CCACTCGGCAATCTTCGGTTCCAGCCAAATCTCGCATTTTATCGCCAAGGCCTGCACCCCGCTTTTCCACTTTGTGACGACAGTACTGCATGCCAGAACGTGAGGCATGGCATGTCGGTCCGAGTTCGCGAAGATATAAGAAATTCAGGTAATGACCTCTGAACTAAACTTAAGCTGCATGCACAGGTAGCACTGCCGGATCACACGTGCGAACTAGCTTGGATACATAAATAAATCCATCATTCCTCTCAAAGTACATACATCATGCACCTCAGCACCTCCCTCAGCCTCTTCCTATCAACCATAGCAACTGCAACAGCAACAATGACAAACACCACAACAACCCAGATCCCAGCCTTCAACCTTTCGTCACCCACGTGGCACTGACATCTGGCGCAAGCCCCCTTCGCATAACGCCTTCAGCGCCCCCACCTTCCCCGAAAAACTCCCTACATACCCAATCAGTGTCTTCCAACGCGCTCGCCTCACATTCACTCTCCCACCCGCTTCCCAGCTCCGCCAATATGACCAGGCCGGTCCTTCTCCTGCACCTCACCAAGCCCGGCGTCCCAGACAACCAAACCAAATGGATCAAAACCGGCATTGAATTCTACAAGGGCAAGCCGTACATCGCAACTGTCGGGTGCGACATCTGGGCAGACTGGTCTTTGACGCCGTCGTCGGGGGAGGGCGAGAGGCCCACGGCTACCATGGAGGCGAGGCGCGAGCGCGACGATTTGGGTAAGAGTCTTTGGGTGTATGCAATTGAAAAGGCTGCGAACGGGACGGAGGAGAGGAGGCCTTTGAGAGAGGTCAACTGGTTCTTTGCAGAGGAGGAGGGCTGGGAGGTTGGTGTTGGAGGGTATGTTGCTAGGCCGACGAAGGAGGGGGGCGAGGAGCTGCTGGAGGCAGAGTTTGGGGCGGGGTTGGAGATTGAGATACTGAAGGCTTAGAGGGAGCGCGATCGGATACAAGGGGAACTTGGGTACTGAAGTTACTTATTGTGATGCAATCATGAGATATAAACATTCACTGAAGCAGTGCACGGTGATGTATGATGCTTAGTACCATGCTGTAAGACTGTGGTGTAGAAGGCCACTGTCACAGGTGTTGAAGGTGCAAAAAGAGTGTGATCGTACTGCGATTCGAACTCACGAGCAAAAAATATGAACTCCGAATCATTTGCACTCGTAAATTAACTCGCTTGTAGAACCAACTACGACATGAGTGCCTCCCATGTGCGCCTTACTAGGTGTTCATGGAAGAGTTACGATTTAACTGATATATACACTGCTATGATAAGTGTTGTTTCCAGATATTAGAAGCGGCAGTGCCAGCTGGGCCGCGCCAAGAGGTGAATGTGCGGCCGACAGAGGCGCGTTTGCAGACGCGCACATGTCAGAGCAAACAGGCCGGTGCGCCGTAGCTTTTGAGCTCCGTTCTTGCTGCTCTTGTCCGCCATTCTACTTAATCGCGAGCTCAACTCCGCCTAAGATTCAACCACCATGCCGGTCACCATCCAGCTCTTCTATGTCCCCGAGAAGGCCTTGATCGACTTCCAGATCCATGCCTTTGAGTCCCATGATCGCATACTCCAGAATGTCCGCGCGCGCTTTGGTGTTCCTTTCGTTGCGGTCTATTCTCAAGATGCGAAGCGACAGCCGACGAACCTGAGCAAGGTGCTTGAAGGCGCAATCCTTCTTGTGACCACATCGGCCCTTGAACACCCGCAGCCCTATTCGCCGGTCGACTTCAAGCTGTATCGCGGTGAGGAGACAGGTTTCGTACATCCGAGTATGCAGGGAAAGCCATGGGCTGTACGTATACTAATTATCAAAACCGGGTTCTGGCACTAATGATATTAAGGAGACCAGCGAAACCGAAAGGAAGAGCCATATTGTCTCCCTTGGTGCGAATAGGCCAGAGACCAAGAACACCCTCCGCATCACCGAGCCTTACGCCGCTATCACCATTGAGCTCGACGCATTGAAGAAGACTCTTGGCATGCATACCAACGACAAGTATGCGCTGAAGTCTTCCTACGACAAGATCTTCAGGAACTGGGGCCTGTACTTCACTATGTGGCTACCTGAAGAATTGAAGCCGAAGGGTTCTTTGGCGGCCTATCAGTGGGACTTGGAGATGGTGGCATCGATTGCAATACTGGCCAAGGCAACTCCAGGCCAGGGACACATCCTCAAAGAGGTCCTCAAGAACTTTGTGGAGGCTCAGGGCACATTTCGTGTTCCGGTCGTGCAAGACGTTCTTCAAGTCATCGACTATATCTACCAGCGTGCGGGTTTGATTAATGCAAAGGCTAGTTCTTCAAACTAAACACGTAGCTTTTGCTAACTTTAGACAGATGACCAAGACAGAGAAGGACAAGATCAAGGAGAAGGAGCGTCAGAAGGCTAGAAAGGCTCGTAAGAAGGCGGCCAACAGGAGCAGGGCGGGCGAGGAGGACATGGACGAGCTTGATGAAGATGCAGCAGAGGCTGCGGATCCAAAGGGACTCTGGACAAAGAAGGATGGAGACGATGTCGACGACCTTGCAGACAAGCTGGGAGGTACTCAGACTTCCCGCCCTGCTCGTCGCACCTACGTAGAGGACACCGAGTCTGACTAGAAGGTGCTACCGTCTTCGATGTCGCAGCATCGAGTGTCTCTTGTAGTCGCCTAGGCTACGTATCACGATACAAAATGAATGTAATACCACACTGCACGACTCCTCGCGATGCAGAAAAAGGGGTGGTGGTGGTAAAGGTGGCATGTTCGAGTATGACCAAAGGGATGAAGTCGGCGCTTTCAGATGCACATGACGATGCGCGCGCCTGCGCCAAGACTTCTCACCGCCCACATGGCCTGGATTCAAGGGTCCACCAGTTGACCCCTTCGAAGGACAGATCCCCAATTGCTCCTTCCACGCTCTAGTTCTCACCTCTATACTTGTTGAGAGCGCTCCAAGTCTCCTAAACCCTCACACCTGACAGAAATTACAATCATGAGTCTGCAGCCACCCTCGCTCGCCATGCGCCCCGCGTCCCGATCTGGCGGCTCGACCAAAGCGGTTATTTTGGTGTGTAGTTTTGCAGGCGTGCACAGTATGGCAACGACTCACAACAGCAGGTCGGCGGGCCCTCCCGAGGCACCAGGTTCAGGCCTTTGTCTATGGACCTGCCTAAGGTGAGTCCCCGATTCAATTTACTCGGCCCACCCACACCCCACTAAACGCTTTCGCAGCCGCTCTTCCCCGTTGCAGGCCACCCCATAATCGAGCACTGCTTCCGCGCCATTACCGGCGTCCCCGAGGTCAAGGAAGTCTTCATCGTCGGCTACTACGAGGAGTCCGTCTTCCAGCCCTTCATCAACTCCGTCTCCAACAACTTCCCCCACTTGAGCGTCAAGTACCTACGAGAATACCAGGCACTGGGCACCGCAGGTGGCCTCTACCATTTCCGCGACGTCATCTTGAAGGGCAAGCCCGACAAGCTCTTCGTGCTCAACGCAGATGTCTGCTCTTCATTCCCGCTGGCGGAGATGCTTAAGTTGTTCGAGGACAAGGACGCCGAGGCAGTGATGTTGGGCACGAGAGTTGCCAACGAGGCAGCCTCCAACTTTGGTTGCATCGTCTCTGACGCACACACCAAGCGCGTACTCCACTACGTCGAGAAGCCCGAGTCGCACATCTCCAACCTTATCAACTGCGGAATCTACCTCTTTGCGACCGAGTGCATCTTCCCCGCCATTCGCAGCGCCATCAAGCGACGCACCGAGCGCCCGCGCCTCCTCTCGTACCCCTCCTCGGAGAACCTCGAGTCTTCATTCTACCAGAACGACGACGACGACGAGAACAAGGAGAATGCTGTCATTCGCTTGGAGCAGGATGTGCTGTCGGATGTTGCCGACAGCAGGCAGTTCTTCGTCCTCGAGACCAAGGACTTCTGGCGCCAGATCAAGACTGCTGGCTCAGCTGTGCCCGCCAATGCGCTGTATCTGCTGAAGGCTTTCCAGTCTGGCTCTGAGGAGCTCGCTGCTCCTTCAGCGAACATCATCCCACCCGTCTACATCCATCCCTCTGCACAGGTCGACCCCACGGCCAAGCTTGGACCCAACGTGTCCATCGGCCCTCGCGTCCACATTGGCGCGGGTGTCCGTGTCAAGGAGTCCATTGTTCTGGAAGACTCGGAGATCAAGCACGACGCGTGCGTCATGTACACCATCATTGGCTGGCACAGCAAGGTCGGCGCATGGGCCCGTGTCGAAGGAACCCCAACGCCCGTCACCAGCCACTCGACCAGCATCATCAAGAACGGCGTCAAGGTTCAGAGCATCACCATTCTTGGTCGGGATTGCGCCGTCGCGGATGAGGTCCGTGTGCAAAACTGCGTCTGCTTGCCTTACAAGGAGTTGAAGAGGGTGAGTCTAGTTCAACTCACACAAGCTAATGTTACTAATCTAATCACAGGATGTTTCCAACGAGGTCATCATGTAGATTTTACATCCTACATACACAAAAGGCTATGGATAGAGTTGGTCGTGTATAGACCATCTTTAGCATGAATAATGAGCGAACTTATGTTCTTGAACAACCACAATTCCCATTTAACAGTGTGAAGTGCAATCGTGAATATTAAAAGTTCATGAGCATGAACGAGTAAGCCAAATTCGGCGACAGCCTAGACCCACTAGCTGTGGTGTTGAGAGCGTCTGAGATGAGATCTGTCAATATTCTTACATGTGGTCCTTTGTGTCAAGTGCGATCATGTGGTCTCAAGTTTGCAGAATTTCTTTGAATCTACCCTTTTAAGACCCGCTTTCATTTGTCCGCTCCGAGAATATCAGCGAGAACCCCGTAGAATGGACCTTCTCTCATATTACTTGATCTCACTGACGCGAAGACCATCCTTCTTCAGGCCAATTCTTACAAAGGGGCTTTGAATTGTAGACTGAGAGCATTCAGAACTAGACCAAAAGAGGTAAAGCCCCGCGGATCGCATTGTTTCGTTGGAAAGGGTCCTCATTACTCCGCACGAATCTCACATATATATATATATATATATATAGCTGACACCAGACACGTATACACATCTACTTGCTCTCTTACAGCGAAGTTGGCAATTGTAGCGTATATAACGCCCGTCCTCTCTTCCGGTTAGACGAGAGATCCATTGGTCAAAATTCGTAGCGGGAGCCATACCCCCGGATAGAGCCAGTAGCCAAATCAAAAAAATCAGAAATGTCCGAAGTAGAAGCTACGCTGAATGCATACCGAGCGAGGCTTGCGGATGGCGGCAACTCCAGTCCTTTCCTCAACCCCACACCCGAGACAGGCAGACGATATGAAGCGCCCATCGCCACCGCACAGAGCGAAGGACTACCAATAATCGACCTCTCTGCGTTTCTGGATTCCAACTCATCGCAAGAAGCACGCCAGACCACTGCCAAAGCCATCAACGCTGCGTGCATCAACTACGGCTTCTTCTACCTCACCGGCCATGGCATCCCTCTTTCCAAGCTTGACGAAGTGATTGCGTTAGGACGAGATTTCTTCGCACTGCCGCTCGAGGAGAAGAACAAAGTCAAGCGCTTTGACGCAGGCGGTCCCGAAGGCGGCGATGGCGCGAGAGGCTACCAGGGCCTTGGGGAGAACATCACCAGCGGTCTGCGAGACATGCAAGAAGCGATCGACTGGTACGCCGAATGGCCCGCCGACAAACGGGAGACTGGAAACGGTGGGCCGGGTAGTCTCAAGACACTCCAGGGCCCCAATCTCTGGCCCGAGCTGCCCAAGGACTTGAAGCCGATTTATCTGGACTACATCGAGCGCGTCAAGAAAGTTGGTGAAGCGCTCGTACATGCCATGGGGGTCGCGCTCGATCTTGGTCCTCCTGGTTCTGATAATCCAGAAGATGAAGAGGTCTTTGTGAGGAAGTGCGAGGACTCGTTTTGGGTTATGCGCATGATTGGATACCCGCCGCTTCCAAGCCCGCAGACTCCAGGAACCGACGATGCGCAATTCTCCTGCGGCGCACATACGGACTATGGCTGCGTGACTCTATTGCACGCCGATTCTACCCCGGGCGCTTTGCAAGTACAGCTCAAAGACGGGACGTGGCTGCCTGCAGATCCCGTACCGGGCGCTTTTGTCGTCAATATCGGTGACATGATTGAGCGCTGGACGAATGGGCTCTGGAAGAGTACTATGCATCGTGTGATTCATCGGGGAAAGGAGGGCGAGTATAGGATCAGTTTGCCGTTCTTCTACGAGCCGAATTTCCATACGACGGTTAGGCCGTTGGAGAAGTGTGTAAGGGAGAGTGGGCGGGAGGAGATGCATAAGGGGAGCACGTATGGAGAACACTTGCTCACAAAGGTGTTTAGCAATTTTTACTACAGTAAGAGGACGGATTGGTGATAGTTGGGTTGAAGTATGATCCTTGGATCCAATGTTCATTCTTCATTAGTTTGCTGGCTTTGCGAGAGCCGAAGTCTCTCAATTTATTAATCATTCCACGTCCCGTATCTCGAATACCGACTGAGCATTCCTGATTCCACTACTTCTCCGCCATAGCTCCACTCTTCTCCTTCTTCGTCTTCTCCTTGAGCGCCTTCTTCCTCTCCTTCTCCCTCGCCTTGGCACTCTTCGGCTTCGTTAGCTTCTCCTTGATGACCCCCGCGCGCTCAAAGATGATGTGAACCGCATTGACGACGTCCTGAAACTGCAAAACCGGGCTCGTGTCAATTCCGTCCCCAATCCGCAGCTGCACCGCCTCCTCCAGAAACTCCGCCGCAAGCCGCGCCTGCCCCTGCGTGAAGCTACTCAACACCGCCAGCCCCGCAACGACACCCTCATCCCAGAACTTCGACGCCGACGGCTTGACTTTTGCCGGCTTCATGGCATCCGGGAGGAAGTGATCGATGTTCGTTCCCCAGCGCTGTTCAATTAATCCCTCGCACTCCTTCGCATCAACACGCTGCCGTCCCACCATCTTCATCTCTTCCTCAATCGCCTCCCAAGCACGTGTGATTCTGAGCTTATTCCTCATGCGCGGTTCCTCCTCATTCAGCCGTACGACATGCGCGCATTTCTCGCGCTCACTCGCCCACTCCCACTCTTCCGCGTCGGGCCCCTCTTGCCCATCGTAGAACGCGAATTCAGCAGGTGAGTCCGGCAACATGACCTCCTCGCGGGATGCACCCACTAGAACGCGCTGGTCGTTCTGGAGCGCGTCGAGCTTGGTGAGAGACCTGGCATCGGCGGTGTACAACGCCGCATACTGGATTTGCAGGGCGAGACGGATGCCTTGGAGGATCTGGTCGTTTGATTGGAAGGGGGTGATGACGAAGTTGGCGACGGTCCGCTTCGTCGAGGGACAATGGAGTTGGATTGTTTTACTCATTGTTGTTTCGTGGTTGAGCGTGTTTGTGGGGTGAGGGGGAGAGGGAAGGAGCGGTGTGGATGTTATGTTATGGGGAGGCGGGAGTATGCAGTTGCCCGTTGAGTGTAACCTAGCGTCGTCACGGGACTTGGTATCTTTCACTTTGGTTTCACCGGATGGAGCTTTACCGCGGCAGGGATTATGGAACGCGATGCCAGGTAATGGCGACGTGAAAGTCGAAGGAAATGTGTGCCTCCAGGAATGTGTTCTGGCAATTACGCCAACCGTGGCTGAGACGCTGGAGGATAATGAATTTTGGAGGAAGCTCCACGGTCATGAAAGTTGCGAAATATATCGATTCATGTTGTTTATCTAGATCTAAAGACGATTGATCTCATATGCTCCAGGGGTGATTGCAAAGGACATCATGTAGTCCACACCATGACAGTCATTTCTGAATAACGCTATTATGTATCTAACGATTCTGGATTAGATTAAATTTCAGCGCAAGGTACAAGATTCATGATCCTGACGTCCAATTATACTGACTTTGTTTTCTCCTCAGGAGACGTTTCATGTACACCAAACAGGTCACGAAATACAGCCGAATATCACAGGTACACATGGAAGGCGATCATGTTGTAGATGCTTCTACAATCTTACGAGTGCTAATGGGCTGTCATGGTTTTGCTCTGACGTTCGAATTCCACGTTTGTCGCTCTAATCATGCACTTTTTGCACCTCTTCCTAGTGTTTGATCTGCCGCCTTGGCGGCGTACAATCCATAAAGAAGATGTTTTCAATCATCATACAGCATCTTGCTACGCTTTGATAGCATGGTGTACGTGGCGTATAAACATCTTGTCCACTGAGTTCCTCCTGGTTCATTCGTAGCATCATGTAATGAGAGTTCTTTAGCCTTTGCTCGCGCAACTCAAAATGCACTAGAACCTGAGACGCAGAACCCAGCCGCCTAGAATAGAGTTTCAGCTGATATGACATCACGAGTAAATGGTAGCAGGTAATTGCAACTGAATGAGAGCGAGGTCTTATGAATTATATGCTTTGCAGTCCTAAGCTACACAAAATGATACGACACGTGAGCCTGACAACTTCTATGCAGCATTTCGCGGAGTGAACTGCAACTGCAGAGGCGGCAGCGTCACAGTAAACGTATCCAACATCTCATTATCAAACGTAACCCCATCCTCACCCGGCGCAAACGCAACATCAAAGTTCTGCGCAATCATCGAAAGCGAAGTGCGCAAGCTCAACTGAGCGAGGTTCTTTCCCGGACAAGCATATGCACCTATTTCAATGTCAGCAAATGCACGCAAACCCCCAATACGTGGTATCTTACCCAGCGAGAACGGAAGATAAGGCGCCTTATCCGTCCCCATCTCCTCCCTCCTCTCGCCAAACCTCTCCGGCACAAACTTATCCGCCTCAGGCCAATACCGCTCATCCCTCTGAATGAGCCAAATTGGGACCATGACATTAGTGTTTCCCGGAATATACACATCGCCGACTTGGATACCCTTTGCGGGCGTTTCTCTCGCGCCACCGGTTAGCAGCGCGGGCTTGAGCCGCAGCGTCTCGTTGATGAAGTCATCGACGTAGGATACCGATTTGACTTTTTCATAGGACCAGTCTGAGTAGCCACCAGGCATGGCGCGGTCGAGATGGGCTTGAAGTTTCTTTTGCGTGGAGGGGTTTTTGGCGAGGTAGAAGAGGGCAGAGGCGAGTGTTGTTGCTGTTGTTTCGCTGTGGTTGTGTTAAAATTAGGCGTTGTTGAAAGGGGATGTTAGGAGCTATGTGATGTACCTTCCTGCGATGATGACGACGCGGGCGTCGTCTTCAAGAGCGGCGGCGCTGGGAGAGGCGGATACGTCGCGCTCTTTGACGGCTTTGAGGAGCCATGATACGATGTCTTGGGGCATTTTCTCGCCGTCCCATGTCTATGTAATAGTTAGTCGGGTATGTTACTTGGGGTGCATTTGGACTTGGTGACATACTTTGTGCTTTTCGCGGATTTGACCGGCGCAGAATGAGAAAAATTCTGTGTATCCCGCAGCTGCTCCGGGAATGGAGCCGAGAATATTTAGCAACCAAGGTACGGTGCTCATTATACCAAGCATAGTCATGTGAGAGTGCACGCCCTTGATAGCAGAGTGTTCAACACCAGTGTTGAGGTTATTGAAGTCTTTGCCAAAACCAACTTCGCCCATGACGTCGAAGCTGAAGAACATTGACCAAGTTGATACGTCCATGGGCTTTCCTGCAGCCTTTGCAAGCTGAGATTTGAATAGATCTGCCTTTGACTTGATGCGAGGTTCATACGAGCTCAGAGCTGGATGGCGTTAATCTAATAATATTGCTGGAATCCTTTGCTCTCCATACCTTTGATGGAAAAGCCTTTATCCCATGCTCTGCGACGCAGGCGATGGCCGTTGAAGTCACGAGTCATGTGGATTGAACACTTCTGCGGGTCATTGCCAGTTTGTCCATACCAGGTCGATTTTAGACATTGTGAGTTGGGTCCGTAAAGCAGCGGGACAGCTTCTTTGCGGTTGATACTGATCTCTCTGGGCCCTTAATTTTCATGAGTATTGACATCCTGTTGAATAATTGACTGCAAGTTGCTCACCCGTCCGAACGAAATCACCATACTGTCCATGCAGATTCGCCAGCTCTTTGTAGAACTGAACGTCCTTTGCCGAAAGTGAAGCCGCGTAAAACTTCGAGAGCTTCGCGGGGAAAGGTCCCGGAAACTTCCTGCAACGGTGGAATACCAATCTGTAGATAGCAATACTGGAGAGAACCCCGATGTTGAAGCCAGCAGCAAGCAGGAAGGCTGATGTGAAACCGAGTGTGTACATGGAGACCAGAAACGTTGCAACATACGCAGCCATGAAATGGAACATATAGTAACATCGAATTCGATCGGACGAATCGCAAGATGAAACAGCACCCCAAGCAGCACGGCTGACCCAGCAGTAGGGACAGCATGGCCTTGAGCCACGCCGTGAACAGCACCGAGAAGAGAATCCATGAGGAATGAGAATGCACTCTGGCGTGCTTGCTTGAAGTACAGGGAGCAATTTGAACCCAAGCAGGAATCGAATGAATAACAGCCGTTCTATATGGGACGCCTTATCCTGGCAGACGTACTGCATGTATCGCTAACCGTAAAGCGTGGCTTTACCGCGGAGACGGCTCGGCAGCCGTCCAATGTTATGGCACCTTCGTTTTGGGTGCTTGCATGCGCTACAGTCGCATCCTGGACATCCATCACACACCAAAAGGACTGGGTATGCGGTTGGGTGGAGGGCGTTACAGCTGGGGTAAAGCGTGGGTTTGCTTTTCCCAGCGCACCGGTCCAGCCGCTGTCGTTCTTTCACTCCGGTTAAAATGGTTGGCTGTGTCGCCACACGCGAGCTTACGCCCCTACCGTTGGCCCCACCGGCGGGAACGGAATGCCATCCATGTCGCCCAGACATGTTTGCCGTGAATTAGGCTTGCCGTGAATGGTCGTTTCAGGCCCACGTTCTTCTCGCGTAGAATTGCTTCTGCTCGCGCAGATCGATGCCAGCCGCGTAACGTTCTCGGCCGCCATCACAGTGCTTTATGTAACTTTCAGGGATCGGCAGTGTATGATCTAGTAAAAGTGTATTAGCTCTTACGGTATGTAGTGGGTCTATCGCGAATACTAGCCCGCGGAGGTGTTCGTTGGGCTCGGAACACTCAAAGGACCAATATTTCGCCAATCTTCCGAACGAATCCTTGGGGTTACTTGGATAATGATGCGTGCTACATGCTGATCATGGCTCAACGGCTTCTTGATGCCACCGAAAGGGGGTTGGCAGTGACCCCATGCGAGTGACACTGGCCAATGCAGATCAACATGCAGTGTTCCTGATTTGCTTTGGTGAAAAAGGAATCGAACCCATGTTGTCGGTACCTGAGGCATGTGCTTGAGACAAGTACTTGTAGACTTGCGGCTGCATGTCTACGGCGGCAGTTCCTTGCGGTCTTTGTGCATGTCCTACTGCGTCTGCTACAGATCAGTTCTGACTTTGCACTGATGGGTTTGTCAACTCTACAGCCGCTGGCTTACGCCGTAGCCTATGTCTCGTTCTTCTTTGGTATCACTTCTACGATCCTCCGATTCTACAGCCGCCAATTCGTTCTCAAGACTGTGGGATGGGATGATTACATCGCTATTGGGATCCTGGTATGGTGATACAGTATCTTACCCCAGGTAATAACCCAACTAAACAAACTTTAGGTCCTTGTTCTTGGTCAGCAAGTGGTGCTGCATATGTTCCTCTACTGGGGATGCGGACAGTGAGTGAACGATGCTTGAATCCGGACTTGTTAGACCCGAGCTGACTCTAGCGCTAGACACATGGATCAACTCAGCGGTGTTCAAGTACTCGAAATTCTCAAGGTGAGTGAGACGTAGGACGCCCTAGTCGGCATGAGTTAACATGACTTGTAGTGGCTTTTCATTGAAGAAGTGGTGTATTATACAGTGCACTGGGCCATAAAAACAGCCTTCTTGGTGTTCTACTTGCGACTGTCACCGAAAAAAACATTCCGCATGTTTGTCCACATTGGCGTGGCACTCAATGCCGGCATATGGCTGATCAACGTGTAAGTCGCGACATGTATGAGCACAAGTCAGTCGCTAGAGAGCTAACGGGAACATAGATGCCTGGCATGCTTTCAGTGCGTTCCATTCGATGAGATTCTTCATCCAGGAACACATCCCGATGCTGTATGCATCAGCAAGCTTGTTTTGTTGATAGTTCCCTCTATCCTCGTAAGTGGCTCGGTTCACTGCCGCACCTTGATAAGTCTAACAAGAGCTCAGAATATCCTCGAAGACTTCTACATTCTCCTTCTTCCCATCTCCACGGTCTGGAACCTACAAATGTCAGCACGCCGCAAAATCGCCGTGCTGAGTGTCATCGCTTTCGGCAGTAGTTCGGTCATTATCGCATGTTTCCGCTTGATTCCTCTCTTCGAACTGAACTCCTCGCCAGACACATCCTGGGTACTCGGCAAGATGGTGATCGTCGCTGCCCTTGAAATCCAATTCGCTGTAATTGCTGTCAACTTGCCATCGTTGAAAGCGTTGTGGATGCGGTACACTGGTGGCAGCACATCAGGATCTGGAGAAGGTAACTCCAGGCAGAAGGCGTACAGACTGTCCTCCTTGGAGCGAAAAGGAGGAAACAACTCTGGCACTCGATGGGGAACAGGAGGAAGGAGCAAGGGCTCACGTGGAAGCATAACGATGATTGAGCGAGGCATTACCAGCACGGAGTCTGAGGAAGAACTGTTTCGGCAAGGTGGAACTTCGTTGCAATTGCCAATCCAGGGCAAGGAAGATGAGACTGGACGTATCAAAGTCACGAGGGAAGTGGATGTGAAGACTTCTGAGGACCAGAAGAGCTCTACCCCACCTCAGTACTTCCTCCGAGGCGACTGAGGTCTCTGATCGAGGAGCCCGTGTTACAAGAAAAGGAAGTCTAGTATCGATCGCATAGGTAGTCGTTGTATGTCTAGGGCAACCGCGATCTTCTGTTGGCAATTGAAGGAGCCCACATTTGCGTACAATACAAATGCATCTTTTCGTGTCATCACCCCGTCGATGTCGAGAAACAAAAAGCAATATGAAGATCATTGGAAGTCTTGTCAGCCTATACTAGTGCCAGTCCTGAATGTGTCCAATCTGCCCGGGCGTCTAGAACGCTGCCCGTCCATGATGATCATCAAGCCTGGCCACAGGTTTCTTACCCCTCCTTCATTCTTGTCGATGCTAGGGTGTGTGTGAGCACATTTCGAATAGCACCGACGAAGCTACCAAGAGCCAAGAAAACGATGACGAGGCGGGTTGCTTACCTCCCTCCCTGCTCGCTTAGGATTCGCCCCCTCCTGAACCACATGTGTCTCCACCCCCACTGAAGTTCTCCGCAGGATTCAAGCCACCACAAAGCTTGTGTGGCGCGAAGGAGCCCCAACCACTCGCAGTCCCGTCTTGAGCCGCACAATTTACCGCAAATTCTTCTTAGCAAGAGTCGCATTGACAGGAAGCGAGCCAGATTGGATTCGGAGGACAAACCGAGTCGCTTTTCGGACTGTCAACCGAAGGCGGATTGAAGCGGGTGCTGAGGCATTGGAGCGGTGCGATTCCTGGTACTGCAATACTAAGCAGAATAGTCTCGACGTAGATGTTCCGCGTCTTCCAGGAACAACCCTGAGAGGTGAGACCGTTGGCTAGCGAGGATGTCTTCCCGGACTCCTCAAACACGCGCACCGGAGCTGTCTCCCCCGTCCAATAATCATAGACACGGCTCGGACCTTATACCAAATTCTCCTACTCTTCATACCTCTGCATCGATCGCGAGTGATCGGAAATAACCTCAATCGTCGGGCTTGAACAAAGTACACGTATGCTTGACTCATTGCTCGGCGAAACACAATTCAAAGACACAACCAACGATATTGATGCATCTATGCCAAGCGTCGTGATGGCAGAAGAGGTGTGGATCCATGCAGAGAATCAATGCTTTCTGTAAGTTGCGGGCTTGCGGGCACGGTAGCGGAAGTATGTGGCCGGAGGTCAGAGCGCTGGTGACGGGAGTGGAGAAGCACGTGAAAAATAATGCATGAGATAACTTCAAGGTTGTGGAGCACGAACAGCATGGCGGATAGAGTAGGTTTCGCTTCATCACAATCTGTGAAATGAGTCGTACATTTCACATGAATCAAAACCAGATCGATACTCGGGTGTGCAGATGCGACTGCGATCTTCGAGCCGTAGTGTGGGATTGCGGCAAAGCGGCACAGTGCCGTCGGTTCAAAGTCATGGACAACGTGACTCGTAGAAACAGAGTTTCCGAGCCCGATCTTGCTGGCTTTGAACTGAGATGCGCATTCAAAAAGGCATAGGTGTGAGTGTTGCAGAGTGCGAAAATGAAGTGATACAAGTCAGGAGAATGGAACTGGCGCGCACGATCCCCGCCCTTCGGCAAGCGGCACCTGCACCAGCATCGATTCTGCGACAGGACCCTTCAGATCGTCCTCCAGAGCCGGAAACTTTTGACAGTGTTGCAATCGAATGATGCGCAGTGTAGATGCGGTGTAAATGCATCACGTGAACATTGTCGGTCTCTGCAATCTTTGAAACATGCTAATCACACATCAGCAGAACAGCACAACACAAAGATGGCCTCTGAAGAACAACCTTCTCAGACAATTGTCCAGTCAGCGCTGGAATCGGATAAAGAAAGACATGCATTCATCCGACTAGATCCCAGCGGCTTCACAATCCGCCATCCGCCGCCTCCGCACGAGCTCTCTACCTACATAACGCCCGACACCCAACTCTTCCAAACGATCCACATGGGTGCCGCTATCATAGATCCAGATCTTTACAAGATTGTCGTCGATGGCCTTGTCTCTCGACCCTTCTCCATCACTCTCGATGAGCTCAAACGCATGCCGCAAACAACCATTACCGCATTCCACGAATGCTACGGTAGTCCATTGAAACCACCCACAGAGGCATTGTGGCGCATAGGAAATGTCAAATGGACGGGCGTTAGACTGTCCCATGTGCTAGATTTAGCTGGTGTATCTCCGTCCACACTCAAAGAAGAATTATTTGTATGGTCAGACGGTCTCGATCGCGGCTCCTTCGCTGGCATAAACGCAGATCGGTATCAAAAAGACCTTCCGTTATCGAAAGCGCTATCTCCAGAAGTTCTAGTCGCGTATGAGATGAACGGCGAACCTTTGAGTATAGAGCGTGGCGGACCGGCGAGGCTTGTAGTGCCGGGGTGGTTTGGCACGAATTCGACAAAGTGGCTGTGTAGGTTGAGCGTGCAGGGGGAAAGGGCACAGGGGCCGTATACAACGAGGTTCTACAATGAGGTAGATATGGCTGGGGACGTGAGGCCGGTTTGGAAGGTTGAAGTCAACTCGATGATTGTTCGGCCGAGGCCTGGGGAAGAGCTGGATGGCCCTCAAGTCTTGGTCTGCGGATGGGCGTGGAGTGATGATGGCGTTAAAGCGGTTGAACTGAGTGCTGACGATGGCACGACCTGGTATGAAGCGGTCGTGGAGAAGAGATTTGAGTACGAGTGGCAACGATTTGAAATGCTGATCAATTTATTTTCTGGCAGACAGAGCATCATCGCAAGGGCGACTTCTATTTCCGGTCATCAACAACCACTTACTGGCCATCGGAACCACATGCATGAAATTGAAGTGGAAGTTAAGAATAATTGAAAGTTGAAGACGCAATGAAATTGGTATATATGCTGGACAAAACTTCAAACACCGACACCGACACCGACCATGCAAGAATTGTAGTATGTACAAGAAGTGAAAAGATCGTCGTGCTCAGTACGGCCACATCTAGGGGAACCACATGTTCACGCTCTTCCAGTTGACGAACTGGGGACCGATAGTCTTCAGGTTTCCAACACCAAGGTTGGCCGCATCGTTTGTAAGCTCGTACTTCATCATCTTAACGGCCCTGGCGACACCTTCGGCGCCGTAGACGTTAGCGTACATGAAAGGTCGACCGAGACCAACAGCGCGAACACCAAGTGCGAGCAACTTGAGCGCATCGACACCGTATCGGACGCCACCGTCAGCGTAGACCTCGACCTTCTTGAAGATCTCAGGATCTTCGTTGTAGATCTCGAGTGCGATCTCGAGCGCAGAGGGAGCTGAGTCAAGCTGACGACCACCGTGGTTGGAGATGAATATGGCCTTGGCACCGTTATCGATTGCGAGCTTCGCATCCTCGACAGTTTGGATACCCTTGGGAACAACGGGCAGTGTGGTCAAGCTCTGAAGCTCCTTGAAGAAGTCCCAAGTGAAGTAGGAGTAGCCACTGTTGGCGCTACCCTTTCCATCGCGAGCAGCGCGATGGCGGACACCATCACCAGCAGAGTCAACAGTCAAGATGATCGCCTTTGCGCCATTGGCTTCGATGTCCTTGAAGAGCTTCGCGGTGGCATTAATGCTTGGGTCATCGAGGTAGACTTGCTGGAAGAGGACCTGAGAACCGTTGCCGGCACGCGCGGCGTAGATATCATCCCTCTTCTTGTCGGAGTAGAGTGAAGCCATGTATAGAATGTCACCTTCGGCAGCACCCTTGACAAGTCCGAGTTCACCGTCAGGGTGGGCATATCCAGCTCGCGCACATGGCGAGATGAAGAATGGTGCGGAGAAGTTGTATCCCAGGATGGTAGTTGGCAGTGACTCCTCAATCTTGGTGATATCTACCAAGACACGAGGCCGCAGATGAAAGCGCGAGTACACTTCGAGGTTGTTACGGTATGACCACTCGCCCGCAGCGCCGTTACGGTAGTAGGTGTAGTTGACCCTGCTCATGTAATTGCGAGCAGCCCAGTCAAAGTCCGGTAGACCAGCGAGACGAGCCAGAGGAGGAAGAGTCTTGTTCGCAGCAAACCCGCCAAGCTGCTCGTCGATACCGGTGTCTGGTTCATTGAGGAACGGGCGAGCTGCAAGAGCCACTGAAGCAAAGGTGAGGGCGGAGAGACGCATGTTGAAAGAGTGAAAGGTCCGATCGATTTGGTGTAGGAAGTGAAGTACCGGGCTTGGGACCAAGTGTATTCTGGGAGATCGCCTGGTATAAGAAGTATCTCTGTAGCAGATACCAACCCAGATAGTCCACCTGCCCTGTCGGTCTTTTGTGAGGAAGAGAAGCCCCGGAAAAGTTTTGTTTCGCTTCACGTGGAGCACCTTCCCCTTCGAACAGCCCTGAATTGCTTAATCCGCTTGCAAAGACAGCCATAGTCATTTCCCTTGCGATCGCCAAGCGTACCAGGCACGTCGCTTGCGGAGAAATGGTTTGGTTTGTATTAATTTCACTGGGCACCACCTGATCTGGCCTTGCCCGCCTCGCGACAGATTTGACATTTACGACGGGGCAAACGTCCGTACGGGTGATGCGTTCGATTGATTGGTGTTTCGATTTAAGCAGGCGTTTTATCTGATGGATTTTGACCGACGTAAAGCCGCATCGGACAAAAAAACGTCATTCTCCGGGGCTTCCTGAGGAAATGATGCGCGTCCCATGCACCTGGTCTGAAAACAAACTTGATCATATCGCAAGTGTTGGCTCGTCACAACTTGACTCGTCGCATGCGACGTGGCTGTGCTGACCGCCCTGATGTGTTGCGAAAGCTTTTGAGCAGAAGGGAGGCGAACCTTACAAGGGAGTGTTGCGCCTCTCGATATTGTATGGGTAGTATTAGGCTGTGCAAAGCAGGTACACAGTCCCGAACTCCAGTGGCCCAGACCTGCTGAATTACGTGCGTAAGTGTTCCTACGCGCAGTTGTACCTGTTCAAAGCCAGCTGCGGAACATTTTCAATGCATGTGGCCAATGACATTGCAGAATTAACGTGTGGGCCGGGGGTTTTTCTTCTGCACTATAGCCTTATATGACCCAGGATGAAGAGTGGAGTCGTCGTTCGGATTCCGTGCTTACCAGGTGATCGAGAACATCGTAGCGTGACTCGTGAGGGTCCACACGAAAGATGATGCGATAACGGACGCAGCAAAGCAACGAATGTTGAGTTGCTAACACAGCTGCGGCTTGCGTGGCATCATGCGCACGACGCAAACAGAGTGCCTGCGAGATTAGGTTTCAACGCCATGGGGGTTGGTGATAAGATGGGTGGAGTATTCACGGCACCCAACCGGGAAGCGGAAGGCGCCAGATCCTGTCAGCACCTTAACTCATCCTTGGCAACCGGGATCGCTGTTCGCCGCATTGTTGGAACCAACATCACAATCCTTCACACTGCACACACGGAGACACAACCTTCATTTGTTGCTTCATAATTCGTCAAATTTATGCTATCAAACAGTTTGTGGGTATATCGCACGGAATCAATAGCGCGACGCCGGCCTGACAATACTGATACGGGCGGCACATGTTGCCAGTGTTTACCAGCTACCAACGCTGACTGATTTCAACGACATTGTGGCGTCATCTTTCACTAAGCTGGATGCGCTGTCCCGGCTCATCCTAAAGTGGGAGTCGTGACGGCCGGCTTCAACATGATCATCTCGCTCCTTTTCCGTCTCCACGCCGCTCTTCTTCGTTCCCGAGCTTGCATATGGCTGTAGTGTCGCAACATGACCTGGAAGTTGGCCGGCGCTAGATGAGTTGCGGGAGGAACCGCCGATGATAGTGCGCTTGAGCGATGAGCCCCACGACATGAGACGCTCTTGTCGGCTGAAGAATTGCCGGACAGCCGGCATACTTGAGGCCGTTACGCCAGCAAACATCTCGACTTGCGACCAGAGGAGCACATAGCCCACCTTCCAAGTGACGTCTGATAAATCGCTCTGGATCTTGACTCGATAGTAGAGTGTAACGACAGAGGCGACAGCGGCCCTATCAAAGTCAGTGATTGTGTTCAGCTTAGGGATGACTAACGCACATGAGACCAGTCGCAAAGACGAGCGAGATTCCGATTTTCCTCGATGTGCTCAAGTGAAGAGCCCAAACGGCCGGCAATGGAAGGAAGAACAGATACCAATCGAATACCATGCCAATGACGCCTGTCGGTATCGCAAAATCGGCAAATTTCAGGTAGTGCCACGAAACAACAGTCTCGAGTAGCGAATCACCGTCCCATGGGCTATTAAGCACAAAGGCAGTGATGGTGACTGAGATGTAGAAGAGGCCAAAGACGACGGCACCGACCCAGACGCAGATGCGAATGTATCGGCGCATGTTGAAGAGCAGGTAGTACTGAATTAACAATGACATCTTGATGAGCCCAAGTGCAGGAGTTGCCATGATTACGGTCACATAGCTTTGCTTCTGATCATTAGCCTAGGAAGAGATGCATGGTTGTCAACACCATACTTGTAGAGCGGAACTGCTGATCAGTCGATTCAAGTGGATCTCATATTGGTGTTTCCCACATCCGCCATACAAAGCTCCCCGAGTCACAACGGCCAAATGCACCATGGCGCATGCAAAGCCTACCGAGATCGTAACTGGAAAGTGGTCAGTTCGACGAAGTGGTCTCAGACACAACAAGACTCACCATCATCCCATTGCCAGCGTTTAACGATGAAGATCCTAGTCCACATCCGAAGCAAGAAACATATTAATGCTACGGCGAAGAAAAAGTACGACAAGCCCAGGATGAGATCTACGTTTGTCACCGGGTTTGTGAAGTTAGGGACAACACCTGGAGGAGGGACCTCGGCCGGAATCTGTGCAAGCATCTCAGGCGGAATCGCCTTGAGAGCAGAAACGTTTGGAATCGTAAGGCCCATCTTGTGTTTGAGCAAGTCAAAGATAGAAGATGATAGGTCTGAGATGCTGGGTCAATGCTAACTATATGGCCTACTGCATAGTCAACTGATGCACACCTCCAAAGACCATAGAACCGCCGAATGACAGGTAAAATGGCCCGCTGCTACGGTAACCAAAACTACGGAGTACCTGTTTCAAGAAAACCTATTCCGGTGCTAGAAATGATGTTCAACACCGTTCCCGCTTCTTCGGTGAGCAACACGGATCCTTCCACTGGTGAACACCACTATGCTCAAACGCCAAAGAATGATCTCCGCCAATTCGGTTACATCTCATGATTTTCTTAAGGCGACCAACGGGATGAACAACGGTTTGAGGGGTTGACGAGAACACCACAACACTTAGGCCTCCTTAGCGCACCTCATCATTGGCTTATTACTTTCCGACGCTACTCTGGATCCTACGCCATCCGAACTGCCACTGGCAACAATTTACTCAGCAGCACGCTACATCAGTCTGAGAATCTGTCCACGTATCAGAGGCAACGGCCTGTCTTCCCCCACGATCTTCGAATCTCGGACACCGAGGACTTGATCATAGCTGTTTAACCAACGACCTGGACGCTCCCGTCCCGACAGGGCGCTTGCCGTCATGGAAAATGCGTCGTGCCTGATCTTTCGCTCTCGATTGGTTGGTAGCTCCAGATATTGCTTGTTACAACCTCAAAACTGGAATCGGGACACACTACTAAAAAGCCACTTCCAGGGTAGTTTGCTGCCCCATAGGCTGGCACCTTTGGTATCTCTCGGTTTCCGAGACTTCTGCAACTACATCAGTTTGTTGGCCTGTTAGAACGACATCGTTGTACAGATCGGACATAATTCGAGGCACAGTCTATCGAGGTACATGCCAAAGAAGGTTTCGTCTTCACAAGTCACAAGCAACACGGCTTCAGGATACGACTCAGATCCCCAGAGGCGGCAAGACTGCCTTGCTATGCGCTGGTGCGTCGATCACGATGATGGCCTGAATACCTTCCTTGATAGTGAACTATGCCGCCCCACCCTTGGATACACAACATTGAACATATAATGCTCAGTAGCTGTATCAATTGCGCATAGAGCTCATCCCTACATGTTGAAGGAAGCCTGCGTACGTTCAGCATCTACACTATGGCGGACACCAACTACAGCTCGCCTATCATGGCGTACATGGCGTCGACAACTTTATGTGCGATGCACGCACCGCCCCTGCATTTACAGGCTCCGGCCGATAAATTTGTTGCAGTAGCACCTTTCTTGCTGCCACCAGTCCAGAGTCTCAGCCATTCCAACCTCTTCTCAAGTTGGACATGGCATTGGGCGTACCTTGTATACGCATTATTGTTATGGCAGATAACGTACATCTTACACACCTTTTGGTGGAAGGCGCCGGTACGATCTCGTGTAAAATTGTCGACATCGTATTGGAGAATTGACAAAATATAGACTGGTGTCATCATCGCTGCACACCCGACTGTTCTTGGCCGCTACTTCACCGCACTTCAGATGATTTTCGACTCGGAAACGCTTCTGCAGCGAGCCTATGATTCGGTATGGACTTGGAAAATGCGTAGATTTCAACGCTGACATGAATAGTCCAATGGCCAACCTTTCGCAATTCCAATGACAGATCGCTGGATCGTGTACGTCAGCGATCATGCTCAGTTGAAGACACTCGAATCAGAACCCGAAACAGTTCTCTCCATGGAGCAAGCATTACACGAGCTCGCATTCACTGGACCAATTCTCGGACATTTGCAAGTCAAGCCAGAGCACAAGGGCCCTAAGTCCGAAGGATTTCGTGTAATGATTGGCGTGTTGAAGAACAAGTTGCGCTCCAACATCCCAGTCATGAGCGCTGCATTCCGCAAATCCATCGAAGATGCATTCACCAAGGAAGTCGAGGATAGCAAGAAGAACGAAGACGGCTGGAGCGAGATCCTGATGATGCCCAGTCTACTACGAGTGTTCACGCGCGTCAATCTCCTCGCCTTTTTAGGCGAAGACCAAGCAGGCGAGATTAAAGTCTACGACGACATCATGTCTTTCTTCTGGAGCTGCGCGAAAGCTTTCCCGATCGTGAACCTGATGCCGCAATTCACCATGCCCCTAATCAGCCCCATCGCAATGGGCTTCGGCATCACACGCCGCGTCGTCTACAACCTTATCCTCCGCCTCACTAGCAAATCCGTGCACGGCACCGCAACCAACAAAATGCACATAACGCACTGGGTCGCCGAAGTAACCAAACTCCACGACATCGCCGCCATCGCGCGCATCACCCTCGGCCTGCTCTTTGCCTCCGCATTCCAAGTCCCCATGATCGCGCAGTTCGTTATATACCGCTTGTGCATACATCCCGAGTACACCGCTCAACTGCGCGCGGAAGCAGAATCCTTTGATGACGCGGCGTTCACTGCGAAAAACGAGGAAATGCCGTATCTTGACAGCTTCATCAAGGAGACGTCGCGCCTCAGCCCAGGCCCGATACTCAGTGCGCCACGCGCTGTCATGCACGACTACACGACGTCCTCGGGCGCATACGTGCCCCGAGGGAATTGGCTTGCGATCCCGCAAATCGCACTGATGCGCGACGAAGCCATTTGGACCGGCGGCGCGGCATTCGATGGATTTCGCTTCGTGTCGAACACCGGAAACGCGAGCGACAGTCGCTGGACGCACCCATCATACGAGTACCCGTTCTGGGGATCCATTCGCCACGCGTGCCCCGCGCGGTTTTATGTGAGTGTTGTGATGAAGATGATACTGGGTCATATTTTGAAGGAGTATGAGTTTAAGCTGAGGGATGAGGGGGCGAGGCCCTGTTTGACGTTTGGGAAGGTGAGGTTGCCGAGTCCGTTTATGGTATTGTTGGTGAAGAAGCGGACGGTGTGACTTTGAGTGAGATGTTCGATCCAGGAGTTAGATACCCAGTAGTTCTACAGTTTCTTAAACGTAGTTGATGGTTGTGGTGTTACTGTTCATGTATTCGTCCAGCGCCTGCCGGATATAAATGTGATTATGTCATCTGATCTGTGTTACTTCGCAACCTCACCGCGGGGCGTACGAACCGTCGAACAAAATTATTCTGTAACTTCCATGTCATTTCGACTGCCCAATTGTAGACACGGGGCGTCTCGGTTTGTTCCGAGATCTGCATGGCGCGGCGAAGGGTGCTCCTGCCAGAGGATATAAAGCTCGCTGCGCCGCTGCCACTTCTCCGACTTCTCCAACCTTCCTGAACGCCGCGACCTCGAAGTAGCGTACAACATCGCGATCACTAGCACTTCTTCCTACATCCATTCTAAAAATCACATATCTAGCTTTGGCGGAGGCATTCCTTTTTCTTTGCTCTTGAGTCTGGGCCCCGTGTCGTTACTGCCTTGCTTACCTAGGCGCCCACTGCGTGGCTGCGCCACTCATCTGAAACGTCACACAACGCACGCACGATGGCTCTCAACTTAGTCCCAACGTCAGTCGGCGTCCTTATCTTTACCTCTCTTGTTCTACTATACCGTCTTCGCGCTCGCTCATCGCAAAAACAGCGAGATGCGGAATCCAAAAAACCCAGCCAGCGGGACCTTGAGGCGAGCTTCACAGAGGAGGCGCGTCGCATGCGGAAGAGGCTGATAGAGGCACTGCCGGAAAGTGTTATTTCGCCAGAAAATGCCGCGTCATTTAAAGAGTCGATAAATGCGTACTGGGACCAGAAAGCGTGCGAAGTTGCGCCGGCGTGTGTGGTGAGACCGTGCAATGCACAGGAGCTGTCCCTTGCTGTGAAAATCCTGAAGAAAGAGTACGATGAGCAAAAGAGAGCAACATACAGCGCAAACCCCAATAAAGATGGCGTATTCGCCGTTCGAAGTGGCGGGCACTCTCCAGTCGCCGGAGCATCGAGCGTCAAGGGCGGAGCGCTCATTGACCTCAGCCTCTTCGACCAAGTCATGCTGTCAGTTGACAAGAAGAGCGTGGTCATCGGTGCTGGTTGCAAGTGGATGCATGTATACAAAGCACTCGAAAAGCAAGGGCTCGCCGTGGCTGGAGGACGAAACTCGGCAGTCGGTGTTGGTGGGTTGACGTTGGGCGGAGGCCTTTCGTTCTTCTCGCCGCGCTTTGGCATGGTGTGCTCCAACATCGTCGAGTACGAAGTCGTCCTTGCCAACGGTTCAGTTGTGACAGCGTCTGAGACGTCGAATGCGGACCTCTGGCGCGCGCTCAAGGGCGGAGCAAACAATTTCGGCATCGTGACGAGCTTCACAGCCAAAGCATTTCGGTCGGCAGATATCTGGAGTGGCTTTTTGTACATCCCACCTTTCGAGACTCCAAGAGTGTTGTCATCTTTCCACGAGTTCGTCAACCGTGTAATCGCCGACGATGACGGAAAGGTTTATGATGAGTATGCTGCGGGCCCGATTGCATGCTTCACCTACCTGCAGCAACTTGGCATCCAAGCCATCGCAGTCGCCTTAACGCACACCAAGACTCCTGAGCCTGGCAAGAAATGGCCAGCGTGTTGGCAAAGTTCAAGCTTTTCCAAGCTGTGGCGATTCTGGAGCACCTGTAGCGTCAAGAGTCTGACAGCTGCCACGGACGAGATGAGCGTCTTGAACCCGCCTGGACGGCGACAGGAATTCGCAACAACAACTATCAAGAACGACAGGGGTACCATTGACGCCGCGCACCAGGCTTACCGGGATGCGGTAGCAAAGATCCGAGAGCACAACATAAGGGAGATGTCATGGACCCTCGTCCTGCAGCCGCTGCTTCCTGACTGGGCCCGCAAGGGCGATCCCAACGTGCTGGGTCTTGACATATGCACAGACGAACCCTTAATCAACGTGAGCTTCACCGTCAATTGGGCGTTGTCGAAAGATGACGGGATGGTGCAGGATATCACTCGCGCGGCGATTGAGCAGATTGACGCTTTTGCCGCAGAGCATGGTACCGGCCATCGGTATCGCTACATCAATTACTGTGCACGCTGGCAGGATCCTTTCACTGGCTACGGAGCGGATAATGTGGAATTCATGAGGGAGGTAGGTCAGCGGTACGATCCCGAGGGCCTGTTCGAGAAAGGCTGCGTGGGCGGCTTCAAGCTTGGGCGGTGATAGTGGCCGGTAGCTCGATCCGAAGCGCGCTATTGCTCTGCAGCCAGGCGCCACGGTTGCAATCCTCTATCTCGACGTTGCATGATCACCCAACAGTCTTCCTCTGGCTGCTGGCTGCTAGCTGTGCCGTCAGGGAGATGCAACAGCGCTTACGGAGGGGTTCCAACAAAGACATGCCCAATTCGACCTCGGCCATTGTTAAAGAGACGGAACTGAGGGTTGAAGGAATATTGGTGATTGCAGCAGGGCGGAAGTGTATTCAGGGAACTGCCTCTTCAGGACAAGCAAGTGTCAAGGCGTGCCACATGTGACAAGCTCCAGCTGGCGTCTTGCGGTGTCAAGGCGCTAGCCTTGTCGCGTGTCGGCATCACCACACGAAAATATCTTTGCAGGCTTCGGTTTTGGTGTTCCAGAAGACATGAGTGGGGTCGCCATGGGGCATGTGTTGGGTCGCGCATTGATTACCCCGGGGATGATGCCCCACCTCGGTGATGAAGAGTCGAGATAAGAAGGAAGACAAGGAGCGCCGCCGCATCAGCATGTTGTCGGGTGAGGAAACTCAAGGCACCGCTGCTAGCCGTGCACCAAGAGGGCAATTGACTCTCCAGGCCAGCAGTCGCGTGTTCCGACCGTGTTTGCCAGCAGCAAACGTCTTGCGACCATTGCGACGGCGGTGCGCCCCAGCGCGACGGATTGCGCCAGTTCCTCCACTAAGCCCACCACCACCAATGAGCAGGCGGGATATTGTGCCAAGACGCACTCCGGCCTTGGCCCTCGAACGCTCGCACTCGGATGCCACCATGTTCGCTCGGGATTAGCATGTCGCGTTATCAGCATAGTGTCGCACTTTGCCCAGTGCAGCAACCTGGACTGTTCCCAGAAGGGCAGGAGCGACAGAGAACGTTGGTGGCGTCAAATGAGGGGGGTTTGCGCTCATCGGCCAAGCCCAGGGCCAAGCTTTCTTGTATCGCCCCCGGCCTCCGCTTGCGTTCTGCTTGCTTCTCCTTGGTTAGCGACTTGTCGAGGCTTGTCTGCAACATCGAATCTCGGCGCGGTGGCGCGCTTTAGGAGAGGCCCGCTGGAAGAATTGGGGAATTGAGCCGCGGTGGCGATGGCTGCACTGGTGATTCCGTGTCGTGCTCCTGCGATGAATGGGCGATTATCTGTACCTGTTACGAGCTCCTTCCTCTTTCGTTTGCCGCGGTCCCGGCGTGTGGTAGAAGCACCGCACACGAGCACTCACTGGCGTGCTCTCACGCTACCACGCTTGTCGGTCCCCCGCCTTCAGTTACTTGGGTATTAATATTAACGCACCCTCGCCCTCTCTTTGTCCCGCCACGAGTTCTCTTTCCCTCGTCGCTCTCACTGTACAACTCCCCTGTCAGTGTCTAGCTAACGCAGCTCTGCATCCACCATGCCTGTAGGAGACAGTGACGAACTCGTAAGTCGGCCCATCTTGCAAAACTCGTCTTTCACAATGCTGACATCCTCCAGCGCGTGACGGGTCTTGACCCAGCGCTCATCGACCGTTCAGGCGATCCTGGACGCACAAAGCCAGAGTTCCACGAGACTGGCGCTCCGGCCTACCAGTTTTCTGAGGGCAAGGCTGGCCTCCAGGACACCTATGTCAGCGACTCGGACAGCACCGCTGATTTCCCCACCGACGAGGAGCTCAAGACGCTCCGTCGTGTCCCTGCCTCGATCCCATGGAGAATCTACACCATTGCTTTCGTTGAGCTCGTTGAGCGCATGTCCTACTACGGAACCGTTGCCGTCTACTCCAACTTCATCTCGAAGCCCAGACCAACAGCTACCGGTGCTGCGCTGCACCCCGACGATGCTGAGGCCGTTCCCGGTGCCCTCGGTATGGGAAAAGCAGGTTGCTTTCTCGCTCACCACCTTCAACGCTTTCTGGGGTCTACGTCTGCCCCCTCTTCGGAGCCTGGATTGCCCGACACCTATCTCGGTCGCTTCAAGACTATCCTGTACTCGGGTCATTGTTGCTGAAATTGGTCATCTCATCCTCGTTGCCTCCTCTGCTCCCAAGGTCCTTCGACAAGCCCGACGCAGCGCTCGGTGTCTTCGTTCTTGGTAATCTTAGTCATGGGCCTTGGAACCGGTACTTTCAAGCCCAAACATTTCGCCCCTTAATTGCCGAGCAGGTTCCCCAGGAGAAGATGCGTGTCCGAGGTTGTCAAGGGCGAGCGTATTATCGTCGACCCGGCTGTCACCATGACCCGTATCTACAACTACTTCTACCTCTTCATCAACATTGGCGCCCTTGTCGGTCAGATTTCCATGGTCTACGCCGAACGCTACGTTGGTTTCTGGCTCGCCTACCTGATCCCAACTGTCATGTTCCTCGTCGCCCTACCCGTCCTTGTCTACTGCAAGAAGTTCTACATTCTCGCACCCCCAAGCGGAAACGTCATTGGGCCTGCTTTCAAGCTCCTGTTCAAGGCTCTTGGCCGTGGCTTCAGCATCAACCCTCTCAAGACATGGCGCAGCTGGAACGATGGTCAGATGTGGCAGGCCGTCAAGCCCTCCACTCTCGGTGCCAGCGCGCCCAAGTGGTACAACTTCGACGATGCGTGGGTTGATGAGGTCCGCCGTGGTTTCGCTGCCTGCTCCGTCTTCTTCTGGGTTCCCATCTTCTGGCTTGCTTACCGTCAAATGGACTCTAACCTGACCAACATGTGCGCGACCATGAAGCTCGGCGGTGTGCCCAACGACATTCTCTCCAACTTGGACCCCATTGCCATCATCATCATTGTGCCCATCATGGACACGCTCGTCTACCCCTTCCTGCGCCGCAAGAACATCCGCTTCACTCCTATCAAGAAGATCGCCGCTGGTTTCTTCATCGGATCCTTCTCCATGGTGTGGGCCTCCGTCCTCCAGTACTACGTGTAAGTTCTCCAACTTTCAATATCTGACGACCAAAACTGACAGTGTCCAGATACAAGTCATCTGGCTTCTACGAGACTGGAGACCCAGACTACAAGTCTCCCATTTCCGTCTGGGCTGTCACTGGTGTCTACGTCCTCATCGCTATCTCTGAGATCTTCGCGTCCGTCACCACCCTTGAGTATGCTTTCACCAAGGCGCCCAAGAACATGCGTTCGCTCGTCCAGTCCGTCCAGTTGTTCACCACCGCTTTCTCCGCCGCCCTGGCTCAGGCTTTCACTCCCTTGACTGCCGATCCCCATCTCGTCTGGAACTACGGTGCCGTCGCAATCATCTCCTTCTGCACTGGTATCCTCTTCTGGTTCACCTACCGCGGTATGGACAGGCAGGAAGACCAGCTGAACATGCTTCCCACTGGTCACCTTGGCAACTCCCGCCAGGCTGAGGATGTTGAGAGGCGTACTAGCTTGGCTGCTGAGCGCCGCGCAAGCGCAGTGCCGGTTGACGAGAAGCGCGCTGAGCTTCACTAGATTATCTGATACTTTTTCCAGATGTGAAATCAGCTATTCGCTGCAAATTCTGTATACGGAGCTATGATACCATATGAAGGCCTTTATCTGGCCTGGGGATGCGTCCCGAGATAGTAGTAATCAATACTCAAACTTCACAGCTTTGCATTTTAATAACGTGATTGTTGATGCTGATTGCGACATGTCTTCGTGACAGTAGTTTTCTTGTTGGCTCATTGTCGTACTGTGCACTCCCTGGCTGTCAAGTTGTGCCAGTGTTATTTCGCGCCCCACTGCACCCCACATCCCGCGCTAGCTCGACAACTGCTGCTTCAACTACATCCACCCTTTGCAACATTAACATCAAAATGATCCACTCTTATACACCCGAATTAGTTCTAATCTCTTGCGAGCGTGGCTCCCTAATTATTTCTTCGCTAAAATGGCAATTTCATGTTCTTTGTGCAAATATGGCCGCTTACGCGCAATTCGGTCTTCCTATTCACGCCCTATTTCGGACAGCCTTTTCACCTCACATAAGCTATTCCACGTATCTGAACATTGAAGAGATGGATGATTGCATCAATATTCGCGATGATGTTTTTGGCGCTCTCATGGCCTACGCCCTCTTTCTCGTCTTGCACTTTTTCTCTCCATCAACCATGCTCTTGTGATTCACTACACCGCACACCTCACACATCGAGCTCTTCATAATTTGATTCAAGCTCAGCAAAATGGCGAGCAAAGACGCGACTCGAGAAAATCTGACGAAGCAGCCACTAGCGAAGAAAACCGCCTCATGGAGCCTTGCGCAAGTGCTCATCTTTACGGTATTTGGGGCGTTGGCTGCTACGTTGCTATCCTCATACCTGCCTACGCAAGCCGCTCCATCTACCAACGCGGATGCATTTGACGTCTCAAAAGTCAAGATAATATCCTTCGACCCGTTGATCGTGCACATTACAGACTTCGTGTCCAAAGACGAAAGAGAGCATTTACTGAAACTCGGGTACATCACCCCACCCCCGTCCCACGATCAAAACACACAACTAACACCATCCCCCAGCACCCCCCTCCTCAGTGCGTCCGTGATCCGCGACGCCTCGGGAAAATCCATCCTCTCCTCCGGCCGCACCTCGTCCACCGCCTTCCTCCCCTCCACGGACCCCACCGTGTCCCGCATCGCCACGCGCGCCGCAACGTTCCAAGGCTTCCTCACACCCGCGGACGTCGAAGTGCAAATCACCTCCTACACCGCCGGCCAGGAGTACAAGCACCACTATGACTGGTACCCCTCCACGCGGCCGCGCAACCGCGTGTCCACGTTCTTCGCCATCCTCAAATCCAGCTGCAGCGACTGCGGCACCGAGTTTCCGTTTTTCAACACGAGCGCGAGGGGGGTGTGGGATCGGCGGTGGTGTGGTGTGCTTGATTGCGGAAAGGATATGCTGACGACGAGGAATGTCGAGGGGAGTGCGGTCTTTTGGGCGAATTTGGATACGCAGCTGCTTGGGAGGAGGGATATGTTGCATGCAGGGTTGCCGGCGATGGGCGGGGAGAAGGTCGGGTTGAATGTTTGGACGGATGTAAGTCTGGATGAAGTCTATGGGAGGGGCATGTTTGGGGGGTGGAGTAGGGAGTGGTATAGGCAGATGGAGATGGAGGAAAGGGAGACGGAGGGGAAGAGGAAGGGGGAGTAGAGGTGACGAGATGTAGGGCGGGTTATGTGGGAAGAAATCTGATGTTGTTGCTTATACGCCCGCGTCTTTCTCTGTCTTCCTGTGAAGTTTCCTGTCTCATCCCGAAATTCATTTGAACACCTTCTTTTGCAATCTGCAGGTGTAGAACCAGGTAGTAGGGCAATCAAAACCCTGGAGCTCGGTAGCTGTATTGACAAAATTGTCTCTATCAGTGTTACCGTGGTCCTCCCGCATGCAGACCGAATACACTTGGTCATCGAGTTTTTTTTCGATATTGGATACCTTTTTGCGTGACGTTTTATCCAGCTTGTCTCTCTTTTATCGACCGTCTGTTCCGCTTGCCTTACCTCTGTATTCATTAACGAGACGGCCGGTGTCAGAAAAAATGCCGAAGAAGAGCATAGCGCAGTTGCCTTGCGATGTTTCCTCAACGTTTTGGTCTAACTTATGCTAGCTTGCCGAAGCGCGGGGAACGGGCGCCATAAACGCCGTCGACTATATACCACCCACTATCTGTAGCACTACAATTAGAGGTTCAGTTCCGCAACAAATGTAACAATGGCAAATAATCTACGAGTAGCCGCATGTCACATCTCCCCAATCTTCCTCAACGCACGCGCAACCACCGATAAAGCACTCTCCTTCATCAACCGCGCCGCAACGCGCAAAGCAAACCTCATTGTCTTCCCAGAAACATTCATCTCCGCATTCCCAATATGGAGTTCTGTCCGCCCGCCAGCCGAGAACCACGACTTGTTCCAGTGTATGGTCAAAGAATCTGTCTACGCTGATGGCGAAGAGCTCGCCGCCGTCCGCGAAACAGCGCGCTCAACCGGCTGTGTTGTGAGTATTGGATTCAGCGAGAGGTCGCGGCACAGTAATGCGTGTTTGTACAATTCGAATCTCATAATCGGGGCCGATGGCGAAGTACTTGTTCACCATCGCAAACTCGTACCAACATTCTTTGAAAAATTGACGTGGAGTCCCGGTGACGGACATGGGCTCAAGGTTGCAGACACGAAGTTCGGGCGCATAGGCGCGCTGATTTGTGGCGAGAATACGAATCCGCTGGCGAGGTATGCGTTGATGGCACAGGCGGAACAAGTGCATATCTCCTCCTGGCCTGCGATATGGCCCACACGAACGATGCAGAAGAAGAAAGAGGATGATGATGGGAGTGCGGCGACGCCGAGCCCTGCGAACTATGATAATCTTGCTGCGAATCGCACGCGTGCGGCGGCGCATTGCTTCGAGGCGAAGTGCTTCGGAATCGCATGCTCTGGACACTTGGGTGAAGATGCGATCAAGGCAGTCACGCAGAGTGCAAGTCAGCCGGATGTTGTGGCCGAGACGCTGCGGGCGATGCCTCGCGCTGCGACGTTCTTTTTGGATCCGACGGGTGCTGCGCTGCCGAGCTTTGCCTACGATGATGGCAGCGATGAGGCGCGGTCCACGTCACATTTACAGAATGAAGAAGGGATTTTGTATGCTGATATGGATCTCGACGCATGTATTGAAGGAAAGCAGTATCACGATGTTGTGGGCGGGTACCAACGACTCGACGTCTTTGATCTGAAGGTCGATCGGTCGAGGAAGGATCCAGTGCGCTTCACAGTCGTCGAGTAAATCGAAGGACAAAATCACATCATCACGAATATTCATCACAAAAAGCCCCAAGCAAACCGAAATGGAAGAAAGATCTCCATGCTAGTCTCACAACTATCATCAGCTCTCAAAACTCCCAACCGCTTCTGCTTCCGCTCCTCCCCCTCGCCTCTAATCAAACAATCCGAAATCCCCGTACATGTCCTCGTCATCGGACCCCTCCTCGTCCCCGCCATCTTTCTCTCCATCCTTCTCCTCGGCATTCTCCTTAAATTTCCCATCCACAATCTTCCCACCCGCAACCACCCCACCAGCCGCACTCGCGACCTCGGTGAGGATGTCCTTGACGTCCTTGCCCTCAAGCGCCTTGGCGAACAGCGTGGTCCAGATGGGCTCGACGTCCTCGATTCCCGCGGCTATGAGCAGGACTTGTAGTTTCTCGGGCGTAATCGGGGTGGCGTCGTCGGCGAGGATGAGGGCGGCGTAGGAGACGGCGCGTTCGGGATCGGTAGGCATTTAGGAGGTGGTGGTTTTTGCTTGACGATGTGTCGTTGGTTTGGGATGGAGGGTGTGTAGAGGCTCTTGGCGAAGGGTTTGTTCAAGAAGGAGTTTGTGATGTTAGAGGTGTTACTCGTGTTTGGTGCCCCGTATTGCGCAATGTGGATGGACGATATTTGTGATATTCGATATCACGAATATTCTTCTGAGCACAGTACATCATTTATACAATTGTAGCGCTCTGCACATTCATCTGAATCATACTCTCAACCATGGTAGGTTGAACATTTGGTGGTCGCAGCTTAGGCGAGTGAGTCAGGAAAAGGGCGCAGTGAGCCAGGGAACACTGGATCGCCTGGATGAGTCAAAAGCATTGCACCACAAACATTCCGGAAAGTGGTTCGAATTACTATTCGATGATGACTGTATCAGAGAAAGCGCATTGAACACTTTTGATGAGTCTCGTCACGACCCACGCGGGAGGCAGGGCATGTCTGTGTCTGCCGAGACAATAAATTCTTCCTTCATTTCTACATGAGAAAAGTAGCCATCTGCAGAATTTAGCGCCAAAAATTACCGTTATGTCAATATAGGTAAGTACCGAGTGTTACGAACAGTAAGAACTATATCTTGCGATTTGCATGTCAAATCTATGTACGTATGTTCCACTGAGGTTGATTACAGGGTGCTCCAGAGCACCATAGATCCCGCGGGTGTTACAACTGCACATTCATCTTGAGCCAATCCTTCCTATCCAGATTGCAATACAATCCATGAAATAGACTAGAACGACCTGCGAGCAACTTGAGACCTCGTTCGAAGCTTTCACTTGAACCACGCCAACAACTCTTCTGTGAAATCAATGGTTATCTCCTCCACTTCCTGCAAATGCACATCATCGCCCCATGAGGCGATCTGGAACAACACTGATGCAACTTGCTTTGCGAAGTCGTTGTTGTTGATATTACTCTCGCGTCGCAACTTTGATAGCGCCTAACGACCCCGAAGAAGAATCTGAGTCATTGACTTTGCAAGATTACCTGGCAAGGTCATCTTGAAGGCGCTTCGCTCGCTCAAGTTGCCCGTGAACTTTGTATCTTTGTAGTACTGGATCACGAGCCTGAAACACTTGAGCCATTGGTCGAAGGAATCCCGATAGCGACCTAGGTTGGCCATGGACAGATTCGTCGGGCGCAAACGATTCATTTCGTAGATCGATTCGAGTAGATCCAATGTGCTTTCCACGATAACAATGTCCAGCTTCTGAAGCTTGCCAAACAGGACGTCGAAAAGTTCCGTTGCGAGGCGTTCTCGATCATACTCATTGTCGTCTAGCGAAATGGTGAGCTTAAGGCACACTACTAAACTCCGCCGAGGTGTGGAAGGAGTTGTCTTACAGCATACATGCATCGCCTCCGCTCCAGGTACCTCAAGTCCCTGCACGGAGTCGTTGTCTCCGTCTTCGTTGTCAGACGCAGCATCTGTTGGCGCAGTCACCGTGATAGATCCATGCTCTTTGACCGGCGGTAGTGAAGTGAATTTGCTGTGCTGGTTTGGGGCCATGTCCTCGCTGTTGGGATCACCAGTATCTCTTGTCACAGTTGCTTTGTTCCGATCGCTTGGACAGCCGGGACGTATGTTCGGAAAATTCCGACCATTCGATGCTTCCTCCAGCTCATTCAGTTGGAGTAGGGGTGGGGACGGATATGATGTAGTGCCGGCCGCTTCCTCGGTGTCAAGCACACGGGCTTTTCTTCTCGTGATCAATGCTGGCGTTGGGGATGCATGCTTTGCTTTAGCTACCTTACTCAGAGGAGCGTCGATTGTGGAGTGGCCCCTGCGTTTGATGCCTGTCCGATGGGTAGGACGATCCGGCTGAAACGTACCAGAATCATCACCGTCAATGAGAGCATTGCCTCGATGTCCGGATGCCATGGTCTTGCTCGATTCTTCAGCACCTGGTTGATTGACCCCTGGAAGAGTTGCGGATGTGGTCTTGTTGGATACCATGGGTAGCATTGGGGCTACAGGTACCAAAGGGTTATTTATGCGACGTCCGTACCTATTGGTACCAGACTGGCCGTTGTCAAAGACATACGCTGTACATTTGTCGGAGTTACCAGAAGTATCAAAATCATCTTGGTCGCCCTCTTCTGATGATGACAAGGAGATCTCTAGGGTTGTCCTCTTACTTCGCGGCAGGCGACGGCTGCTTGATCTGCGATTGGCCTGCGCGCGAGCGACACGACCGATAATCCAGCAATACACATATAACATGATACTAGTTAGAGAGATTTAGCCTTCGTCAATACACTTGGCCTGGAGTGCTCACGTTTGAAGGTCGTTCTCGTTCTGGAATTTCAAGTGTCGCGGATACTGAGATGGTATTATCTTTGTCTGATATGGTTCAGACTTGTTCCAGATGATGGGCCCCACATGGACCAGCAACGGCCTAGTCGTCTCAGAGATGGACAAGTCGTGCTGCAATTTGACAGCAGTCTCGAGCTCCTCCTTGGTGTGGTATCTGTCGGCAATGCGTTGCACTGCTTCCATGATCATCTTATGAAGACATTTACACTGAGAAGCCACTTCGCCTTCGAACGTTGGTTTTCCCTTCTTCGTTTTCTCCGTGGTAAAATTGTTTTGCGAGGGGGAGCCCTGCTCTGAGACCGGATTTCTCTCCAAAGGAAAGGCTTCTTTGTGGTGCAGTCCTAGTCGTTGAGTATAGAATTGTGTTGGACGGTCGTACGCTAGGCACCAGGCCATGATCGTGTTTGAATCAGCTGATAAGGGGGGCCATGCAGAGTCTGTTCTTGAAGACATGGCCAAACAAAGTGTCTGGGAGACCGCGCGTTGGTTTTGTGGAAGGATCGTGGAGTACTTCGAAAAACTCAAGTATTGACGGCCTGAACTCTACTAGGCATTTCTTAACGGATAAACGGAGGGAGGGGACAGAAGGCGCTGGTGATAATGATGGAAAGATAGAGAGGAGGGATTGGCGAGGAATCAAGGCGAAAGATTCTGAGGGAGTCAGAACAGTCCGATCCCTAAGTCCTTGTAGTAAATCCGAGGACTTTTACCACATCTGCTACTAGCTTAGAGCACCTCGGACCGTCTCAACCTACGATCGACATCTTGACAGGGACACACCGGACAGACAAAGCTTCCCAGCAAAATGTATTGGGTCGGAACTGTGGCCTGTGCCAGAAACACTTATGCATGCCGAAGATGTTAAAGCGGTCTAGATCCAGGAGTACAGACAGCTGCAGTGTTGGGGTCCAAAAGGGTCACTGCAACGCACGAAAGCACCCATTGGATCAAAATCGTCAAACGCACTTTGTGTGTTATTGACCGGCTTTCCTCCCGCTTCCGCTCCCATCTCCCCACCTGCGAAGACTGCTCTGTTGTAAATGCGCGTTTCCACGGCACCTTGAACATCAAGACGCTCGGCGGACCAGGAGTGGAGACAGAGGCCGCCCTTTAGAGATTGGTGTTACACAGAAAAAGCAAGCTTGGGCGCGATCTTCTCTTGGAACTGGTGGAATTTACTACACTTTTTCGTCTCAATGCCTAGACGAGACGGATGCCGACTGACAAGACGTTGGTTAAAAATACTCGTTACAATCAGAATTCGTTCTTGCGTAAGTCTGCTTACACAGTTTACATCATGGTAGCTTGTTGGGACTCTGCTGAGATGGGGGTGGTCGGTTAGATGCAGGGGTGCGGCGTGGTCTTGCTGATCGACCGCGCACCTATCAGCAGGAGTACTTTTCATGTCCCAGGTGAGCGCGGTGCATTGTTTGCTCTGTGCTATTCAGCGAAACAGAAAGTCGCCATATCGCTATGATCAGTGCATTATTGGTGGCGTACATGATTCCCAACAGTTACCTAATTGTCGCAGCATTCACCAGGTCATTTCAACTCGTATCTGCTTCGGGCATTGAAAGGCATACTTTAAGTTTGTAATACGACGAAAAGTGAACAGGGACTATTGCTCGCCTGAACCTATACACGGAGGCTTCTCGTCGCGATCGAAACCTACCGTACCTAGGTAGCGATACTGCGTGATAAGCTCCTACATGTTCCACTATAAAATCTCTTCGTCAAAGAGAGTAACAGGCGCACTTGTCCGAAATTGATGTTAGTGGGGAAATTGGAGGAAGTGACTACTCGTTTCGTGGAGTAGACGCCGAGTGTAGCTTTGACCGTACTTTAGCAAGGACTCCACTTGTTGTTATGCTTGCCTTGCCCTCTTAAAATTCATGTACGTGTGTGAAACAAACAAATACGATGATCTTTTGTCCCGGTTTGCGCCGTGTGAAAATTTGCCTGCAACTAGCGAAATGCTGCAAGGGCCCCTTTTTTCTACACTCTGTACTTTGTGACGAAAAACCTAACTAGTGTGGCAAATGCAGTTACGCTATAACTAGAGTTGGAATCAATTGTAGAAGATTCTTGGGTACTGCTTACCTATGCGATTAAGATCTAACTTACGGCTTGCAAGTCGTAGAAGTTTGATGTGTCTCTCCATATATAGCGATCTAGCGCAAGATCCATCTCGCATAGATTAAGTGGATCCAATGATGATGTATCTTTGCAATAAGGTATGATCCCCAGACAAACCCCAAAGGCGCGGGCAGTACCTAACTGCACTGGGCTGAGTATTGTCGTCCTTTACAAGTAAACCGCTCCACCCACTCTGTCAGCGTATCACATTTTGATTTCTTAAATCTGAGGCTCTTCTCTAAATAGCAGTTATAGTATGGTTCATATGCAGCACTAAGGCTTAAAGTACGTCAGCTACTGCATCAACGATGCAGAATGGAATACTTAAAATCTTGTGAATTAAAACATTTACTGCCTTGTAGCGCATATTTGACGCAAGTCAAATGAAGTGGTAGATGGATGCAGTCTGTTTTAATCAAGTGAAAATCGAAAAACGGTCTGAGTAGTTCAAAAGGGTGGGGAAACCCTACTCATACACTGAAGTCGTCTTCATCTGGCTTGAAATGCCTGAAAATGTCTTTGATCGAAAGACTCACAGAACGGCAAGATCACCCATTGCTTTTCAAAATACAAGCGAGTGCTTTAATAAGTGCTTTGTCCATTGTTCAAAAGCCAGTCATAGCCGTTGGAGCCGTGTACAGTAGGGAAAAAGACGTTCTCGGCGAGCAGACAGCTCTGCCCGTATCAGCTGCTAGTTTGTCCGCAAATAACATTCGCATACATGATGAAAAACAGTGCAAAATAGCACATGATCTGTTCTACGGCATATTAGAACTTTTGGACCTCGACAACCCTCCGCCGTCCCTTCAAGCAGACTACACTTTGTCGTTTGAGAATGTCTTAGGAGGCTATAATTCTTACCTTATCGATAGTACTAAGGATTCAAGGCTATTAGAAGCCTTTGATACCTCTCGTGGACTACTCGATTTTAATTTCGGATGTACGTTATCGCAGTTCTTTGCCACTCGATCTTCATAAGGCCGGTGCAGCAGGGACAGCCATGAGATCATCTAGCAAGCCAGAGCTATGCGAATAGGTGGCAATGATGTGTAGAATGTTGTGTTACAATTGTTGCTCATGTGCGGACATGTCCTGGATGTCAGGAACAGAGGTCAAATCAGAGTAGCAAGCGACAAATGGAGTAGCAATAGCATATATATCCAAATAGTCTAGAGACAAATCTCTGCCTTTGTGGGCCATCATACTACAATGCTATATATATGCGGGGTGAGTCACGTGTCCGTGCGCACGGTGCTACTGACAGGGACGTTGCCTGGCACTAGACAGTCAATTGGGTCTACCCACGCGAAGTGTTTCTATCGAAAGCATCACAGACAACCAACCAGCAAGGAAAATACCTTTTCTAAAAAAAAAAAAGGCTTCGGATACATTGCAGATTCGGGAGCGCGTGATCGCTAGCATTCCGAGATCGACACGATTCATGATTGAATCCATAGCGATCTTGGTCGATCTAACATCGATCTATGGACGTAAATCGATGAAGAATTACCAAACTGTACGTCCCTGAGCTTCGAGCTACTCCCATGCGCTATAGCCGAGAGGTCCTGTGTCCACGCCCAGATATGTTGTGGTCTATCTGTTTATCCAAGGCCAATAACTGTGCGCCGGACACAGGCAACATCATCGACTGTCACAAGCAGTGGTTGACATGCGTCAGAAGATGAGGTATGGGCTCTGAAGGGGAGATCTTTGTTACATATTTCACCTACATATGAATCCGTGGAAACGACATAGCCTCATGTTTGACTTTAACGAAGTTCACGGAGAAAACGATCCTGAAGGCGACTTTCGCACATTGGACGATGAGTAATTCTTTAGGAGGTGTGTACAGGCGATTGCTTTGATTGTGTCCGAACATCATGAACAGATGGTACTACAATCGCCGCAGATGTAGTCTTCTACCTTCTCAGCTAATCTGATCCTATTCTACCTGTACTGCGTATCCACACCAAGTGAGTGGATATGAGCACGGAGACAACTCAACAAGGACAGAAAATCTGCTTTGAGTAAAATTCAATATTGTATCACTTACCGAGGCATATACCAGCAGCAGATGATGAACACGCCACTGCAAAACCTCGTATTGCTGGTGGAGAAGACAAAGTCATGGTGAAGTGGAGCCGACCCAATCGGGTCAAGCTGAATGGAGCATTATCATTAAGTTACTCTATATCGAAACTTTATTTCTTAGTTCCCGATCATGCCTTCTACCATGCTAATCATGTTGTTGACCACACTCTGGATAACAGGGTACTTTGGGAGATACGGGTCATACGCCTGCTTGCACCTTGCGTTGAAGTCGGCTGAGTTGGCAACCTCAATCGCAAGATCGTTTCCTGGCACGCCCAACTTGGCAATGGGCCCATTCTTGGGCGTTGCCTTTGCCCATCCAGGGCCTGCAGCCGGGTTCTTGATCCAGTTGACGAACCAGTTGTTCTGGAAGTCGGCAAAGGCTTGCTGCTCCTTGGTCGCAGCGAGGCCAGCGAACGCCTCGTTACCGCCGAAGAAGTAGGGGATCTCCGTGCCATGAGTGGGTCCCGGAACTGGCAGGCCGGTCGCGTAGTCAGTGAAGAAGCGGTAAGTCCATGTGTCCTGCTTTGCGCTACGGAGGTCAACAAGGTAGTCGACGGGGCAGAAGAAGCGCGCATCGCCGTACTGGGCGCCGCTCATGGCGGAAACACTGGAGAAGTCGGCTGGGTTGTAGGCGGCCTTGAGCACATCATCAGGGATGTTCGCAGAGTCAGCATCAAAAGTGTTGATCCACTTGCTGAAGTCGCTGTTAATGGCGCCATAAACCAGACCGAAGATAGCACCTTCTTGGTCGGAGTTACCAGTCAGGAGAGGAACGTGAGAAGCATATTTGCCAGCCGCAAAACGGGCAGCATAGTCCTGGTAGCGCGTCTTTTCGTCAACGACAGGCGCAAAGAAGGTGTTGAGAGAGGAATTGAAAGTAGCCGTTTGGAAGGCGTACACGTCGACTTTGCGAAGGCATTCAAGTTGGCCTGCTCCAGTGGGGCAGTTGACCTCCTTGGCAACCAGGTCGAGTGCTTCGTTGGTAGGGGCCACAGCAGGGCCAGATTTAGCGTTAGCAGCCATCTGGACGGCACCCGCAAGCCAGGTGTCGGGGTGGTTCCAGAGGTAATGGTCGACCTGGACAGAGCCCGAGGAGTGACCACCAAAGACAATGTGGTCAGGGTTGCCGCCAAATTGAGCAATGTTGTCGCGCACCCATTGCAACGCCTTGTCAACATCGAGTATGCCGAAGTTCTGTACGCCAGAAAGCTCGGCAGAGTTGGGGTACGCCCAGACACTCTCACGAGTGTTGAAGCTGACGTAAATCACACCCTTGCGAGCGAAGTTAGTGCCAACGAGGCCAGGGTTGCTGCTGGAGCCAGTGACCATGGCACCTCCGTACATGTACACGAATACTGGGAGACCAGAGGCACGCGGTTTTGGTGGGCCTGGAGGGCCGCCGGCAGGTCCTCGAGGAGGACTTGGAGGTGCACGTCTCGGTTTGGATCCTGCAGCAGGTACCCAGATGTTGAGATTCAGACAGTCCTCACCCTGCTGCGAGTATGTCGTCCCGCTGATTGCTTGCGGACATGTAGGGCCATACTTGGTCGCATCAAATGTCTGACCAGGCTGCAGTTTCTTGACATCCTGAGGAGCCTTCCACCTGCGAAGATTGTAAGTAAGGGATGGGGCACTCGCAGACGATTGAAGACATACCGGTTCTGTCCACCAGTAGTATCCGCGAACGGGATGCCTAGGTAGACCGAGTTGCCATACGAGTCGGTATAGCCCTTCACAGGACCCTGAGGAAGTGCTGCAGTGGCATCTGCCTTCCCAGCCTTCTGGGGTGGTGGTAGCGGCGTCGAACCTACTTCAGCCACTTGCCCAATCAGGATGGCTAGCGAGAGGCTCTGCAAGCCACTGACTAAGCCCTGAGGGAACTTCATATTGCAATGCAGGGAGAACGGCTGGAGGATGGAAGATAGAGTTCGGAATGCAGCCTGCAGATCACGGAAGGGCCGTCAACATGGCTATATAGAGGAGAAACTCGGCGTGGTTTCCACGTGGAATCGATTCTAGCCGCCAATTGCACGGTACACTGTACAGCATTCCCACTACTAATTGCCGAAGATATTCCAGGATGGGCCCTAAGGCAAAATAGAAGGGTGCTAAGATGCATGGAAGAGTATTTTCATCTCCGTGGATGCAGGTCATGGGTGGAGGCGTTATGCGGTCCGAATCGTATTCCGCGCATCCGGCAACCTAAGCGAGTCGTGCCAATCGCCTTCCTTCGAGAACTCCCCTGATTCATGCCTGCTTCGGCCGGCGTCCCAAAACACTGGCCCGCTACGATAAATTTCTTCAGCATGCACCTACATCTAGCTGGATCTAGCTTCTGCCGTCCAAAACACATTGAAAACATCGCGGCTGCATGCTCGCGCGACCGGCCCTTGTCTTGGCAGGAAGTCACGCTCTGCATCGTCGCATTCATCGTCCCTGCACCTCCATACCGTGCCCATAGCACCGGTCGGGGAACGGCTGTCCCGAGATGCTGAGTAGATGCTCAACAGGTGCTAGCTATCCTTTATGTGGAGGCGTTCGCCGCCCATGTCGTGAACGCCGAACTGAAGGCTTTGATTTTTCACTGATCCCTAGATACATGCCCACATCGGCTAAGCCACTTTCGACAGTGTGGAGGGAACGGCATGAATAATTCGTCGCTACCTGCCGTTGCTCGGAGAGCTTTTAGTGGTTTGCGGCAAAACCTCGACATGTGCCCTGACACTTGTCGTCTTCTAGTCTAGAGGGTGCAGTAATCAGGCCTGTTGGGTCCCCTCATGCCACACACTACGGGACGGCCTGACAGACCCGCGACCTCTTGTACTTCGAGTTTAGGGGTTTCTGTGTGGAGACTGTACAAGACTGAATGCTTACCATGGAAGCCCCGCCGTCTATCACTTGTACAACCCTCGCGCACATCCTCCTCTGAATCTGCAACATCTGTGAGGGTGGATCTTCAATCTGCGAACTGCTGGGTCCTCACGGCTCTTTCTCGGATCCATCCAATACGCAAAGCAACATGGGCGACAGTGGGCTCGGGCAGGTGGTAAGCACTCATGCATTGTCTTTCTTCAAGTGTGCATTGCTCACTTTTGGGTAGGTATCGTGGTACGTCTGTACCATAGCGACGGTACCTTTCGTTGCTTTGCGCATGTACTCGCGGTGGAAAAGGATAGGCAATCTGGGCATCGATGACTATCTCATCCTGCTCGCCGTTGGGTGTCTGATTGGCGACCTGGCTATTCAGCAACACATGTGGAATCTGGGTCTCGGTGACCCGTCAAAAGCGACCCCAGAACAGTTCAAGGGAATCATGCAAATGATCATCCCAGGTTCGACGCTCTACGTCTCTTCACTTTGGGCCATCAAGTTTGCACTGGTCTTCTTCTACAAGAGTCTTGCAGCGCCAGGCTCACGACTGGTCATCATATACAATGTCGCGCTTGCTGGACTGGCCGTCACATACCTGATCATTTTTTTCGACATCATGTTCCAGTGCTATCCGCACGACAAGCGATGGTCCATGGATCCAAACTGTGAGCGCACCCTGCAGCACGCTCGTGAATCTTTCTGACCATGTGCAGATCAATGCAGCCCTAAAGCTTCTGAAATCAATTATTGGATCACCATTTTCTGTACGTTGATATGTTACGTCTAACATGCTGTTGTTCAGAACTGACCGTGTCCATAGTCAACATTTTCACGGATGTCATAATCATCTGTTTGCCGATCACGATGGTCTCACGCCTCCAGATGAAGCTCAAAGATAAGATCGGTGTGGCCGGCATCTTTGCTCTTGGCTTCTTTGTCGTGATCGCCAGCAGTGCGTAACCACCACCGAGCTCCACAATAGTGCCGAAGCTGACAGTATTCCATAGTTGTGCGAGCATACTACTCAAAGAGGAACGAGACCATGCTTACGTGCACTGTTTCCATGATCGAAACCGCCATCGCCATCATTGCCACATGTCTCCCTGCCTTACGTTCAATGGTCCTGGGTACGGGTACTTCGAAGGGAACATCCAAGAACAGCTATGGCAGACACTACGAACTTTCATCAGCGCGAAGAGTTGCGAACGAGAACCGCCTTACCGCGAGCCATGCCAACAGCGGCGGATTGCACTCATCGCACAACACTCGCAACAGGGCAAATGGATCTGAAGACTCGTTGTTCTCAGACGGACACTTGCAACAGCCAGGGGATGTTCACGCGGTGCCGGGTAAGATCACGGTCAACACTCAGATCGAGACTATGTTCGAGACTCAGAGTAATGCATCAAGTGGAAAAACAAAGTCTCCATTTCATTAAATGGCACGAAGGTGGAGCATGTGTATATATAGCTTCGTTACCGATCAATGCAAACACGGAACCACACAATTTACGAGTAAACTGCATTCAGCTTCGAGTCGGTCCGGATATGTTTGGCCAAGCCAACAAGGTGAACCGACAGACTGGAAGCACGAGTTGTGCTGTACCCTACCGTTTGGTAAGTTGCATGGCTCAGACAAGAATGTCGTCAGCATCCTGTATGAGCTACCAATACTGAGATTCAATGCACGTGAACAGGATTCAGTACGTATGCAGGGAAGTGCCATAGTCACGTGACCTGCCACATCTTCCCAACTTTGACGATGAGCTTCGACCAAACATTGAGTCGATCAGAGTTTAACCTCCATTAATTATAGGAAACTATTTCAACTTATGTTCCTTCAGTAATTCAGCGCGATTAATTAGAAGGCAAATGTGCCCAAGTGGTACTGCCAGTTCTCGATCGCGATGGCGATGGGCGCGGTTGCCGAAAACCTTGGAGCCCCGCTACTCAGGCCTGACACTTGGAACGGCCCGATCTGCAACAATTGGCCAAGCCTAGGAGATCGAAAAGTTGCCTTTCTCCGCACCACTTGAGAACCACGTTTGGCAAGGTTATCGACACCTCTCGTGTATGTCGCTTCATGTCTCCCAGACGCGACTCGTTCTTCCCGAGAGCAGACGCAAGGGTCCTTCATTCGAGATACGCGCCGCCATTATCACGGCCGAAAAATGTCGCGCCCATCCTCGATGTCGAAAACGCCGACAAGCCTCTCGAGAAATGGAGCACTGAGGTCGTGAATGCTGTGTATCCAGAAAAGAGCCAACTCTTCGCGCCTGCTCCAATACCAGCTAGATCAGAATGTCCACAACGATGTGCTGCGGATCGTTATCTCTTTCCTGTCCTGACGCGCAATGAAAGATTGAGACTCACTTTGTTCTTCTACTACACACGTGGTGTCCTACAAGACCTGGAACTCATGTCTCGCTTGCAAGAGAAGGTTATGTTGGCCAAAGAAACAGTAGGTTGGGAGTTCGTGATCGCCGGACTACTGAACCACAACACCTACACACGAATGGCGACCGACGGGTTGCCTCTAGCTATCCTGCCGCGGCGGGAGAGCACTTGTGCGCATACAGTCAACCAACCTCCAGGCGTAGGTGCAAGCAACACTCGTGCTATGCTTGATCGCTAAACCTACCTAGACTATTTTCTCGTTGTTGAATATGGCGGAGGACTGGCGTTTCAAGGATTCTCCTCACGTTGCTGAAGGAGGCCTTCGCGCATATGCCGGCGTGCCGCTGCGCTTCGAAACTGAGTATGGCCAGCATGTGGCTTTTGGATCGCTTTGCGTTGCGTCAAACTCACCACAAGCGGAGCTTTCAGCAGAGCAGCAAAGATCCTTAGCTCGACTTGCGGACTGGATCGTATCTGATATTGTTACGAGCGCTAGAGCGCGACGCCAGCGGGAACGACGACGCATGACCGAACTGACCACTTGTTTGCAAAACTTGTGCGATGACGGAGCTAACATGGAGGACGCCGTCCTGGAAACTGTGCGAGAAATTTATCCAGACGCGGCGGTCGATATCCATCGGAACACGAGTGGCTGCATTCAGTTTGACGGCGGAACAGATTTTCCGACCTCTGAGCTTGACCAAGGCCTGTGGGAAGACGTCGAGCACTTCGATCATTTGATCGAGCAATATAACCATTTAGACATGGTCGCGTCAAAAATTGTCCGGGTAGTGGCCGTTCAGTGCGCAAGTGAGGACATACCTACCTTCCTCACCGTCGGTTCTAGAGACTTCCGATACGTCTTTGACGATCTGGATTCGAACTTCATTCAGACTTGCGCTACGATCTTGTGCCGGCATTGGCAACGGCGTGCACTGCGAGAAGCACTGGATGCCAAAGGCGCTTTCCTCCGAGGTATCACACATCAGTTGCGCACTCCCATACAGTAATTCTCCCACGCACTCACCGAGATATTCGCTGACAATTAGACAGCGGCATACTTGGCAGCGTCGAGTTATTGACAGAGGAGCTGAAAGCACGCAATGTTATGCCCAGTACAGCGACAACGTCTCCGGGATCAACACCAAACATGGAACAGTCAGATCCCCATTTGTACATCAAAACTATACGCACATCCGCACGTGAGCTCATTTCGACAGTCAATAGCCTTATTAAGCTCAATCAATGGGCAGGTATCGCTGAGGCCGAGCGCAAGGCATCACTTTTTACACTGGAGCACATCGAGTCTGCGCTACTTAAGGAGGTTACTCCACTACTTCCACCTGAGATTGGCGACAGGCCGTCCATTATCGTTCAACATAACACACCTCCTCATTGCGACTCACTCACAATAGATCTGGGCCTTCTCATTGACTGTATCCAGCCATTGATTATCAACGCTGTTCAAAATACTCCTGGTGGTATTGTCGCGGTCACGTTGTGCATTGCTGACGATTTCCGATCACTCACCGTGGACGTAGAAGACAATGGTCGCGGCATTGACTCAAAGGATCATGGACGTATATTCGAAGCCCATGAAAAACTAGATGTTCACACCATCGGCGCAGGACTTGGCTTGACACTTTCTTGCAAGTCGGCAGCACTGATGCACGGCGAGGTCTACCTGGTGAGGTCCGAAGTGGGTCAAGGATCCCTATTCCGGGCCGTTTTCCAGGATCCAACATGTGCATCGTCGTTCCCCCCGCTACCTACCTTGAGAGACAGGCTCAAACATCTTCCGAGAACGTTCCACCGCTTCCAATCCCCCTCACTGTTAGGCCATCACTTCACTCGATATCTTGAGGATTGCGATTACGCTGCATCACCCTTTCCAACGGGAGCTCTGATCCTGATAGACTTTTCTTCTGACTTGAACGAGGTATACACCAGCATAGGTCTCATTCCTGCAGATCAAGTAGGCATCTGCTTAGTACCAGAGTATGCTCATAGTCCCATCAGCTTCATAGATAACAAGCTACAACGTCAGAACAACATCATATTTGCTCAGGGTCCATTTCTGCCGAACATTCTGGAGCAGGTGTTGAGCGAAGCAGACGCCGTACTAGCAGAGTTCGCCCGCGCCGCTGTTTATGCTACAACAGCCACCTCTGGTGACACGAAGAACGGGGAAGCCCAAGCGAACGACACTGCCCAGCTGGTATCAAGGCAGGAAGTACCGAACTCGCCGCCGTCAACCCCAGGAGGTGGGTTGGAGCAGTCCATGAAGATATTGCGAATCGACACAGGAGCGTTATCACCACCACGGCGCCTGTCTTCAAGATCAGGGAAACCAATGGCCCTGCTCGTAGACGACAATGGCGTCAACCTCCGCCTCCTCGAGATGTACTGCCATCGTCGCAGTATTCCCTATCGCACTGCCAAAGATGGCGCTGAAGCGGTCCACATATTTACCAGCCACCACACATCAGTCTCTGATCCGCTTTTGGAGCAGCCCCTCACCCCCCTGCCTTTCAATCTTGTCTTGATGGACCTACAAATGCCAATTTGCGATGGTGTGGAGGCAACGCGACAAATTCGTGCTTTCGAGCGTGAGCACCAGCGCGAACGAAGTGTGATCTTCATAGTCACGGGCCAGGACTCGCCAGCTGACAGACTCGATGCTGCGGAAGCCGGCGCAAACGAGTTTTTGACTAAGCCCATTGGCCCAAAAGAGATGGACCGTTGGGTGAAGCAGGAATTTCCGAATGCAGGGTTATGAGCGTAAAGCAAGCAGAGACTTGACACTCGGAACCCAACCCCCTCGGCATAGTCATCAGATCAGATACAGCCGCGATCAAATACTTTAAACCGTACGAGTGCTCTCGAACATCGTTATTACCCTTAAAATGCCGTATTGTTACCTGAGCTGGAACTACACATTGAGAAGCACCAACTCGGTACCGCCGACTACAATCATTCATGTCTTAACGCTTCGACCGAATCGCATACACATTGAGGCGTGGCAAGAAAGCAGCGGGCTATAGAGGAAGAAGCCTAGAACCGCTGTTACGACTACGTTGCAGGGCTTGCAATTGATACCATGTCATCCGGCGCAAAATGTACTGCGAGGCTCCACAATCGAATGCGAGCACGTGCACGCGTGACCACAACGCTGCATCGAAGGAGTCGCCACACATGGTGCTTAGCTCAGTAGTGAGTACTGAGAAAAGTTCATGTATTCCATTAACTCCAACGAGGTCATCGACATAACTTTACGGTCTTGCAGTTTTGCAAAATCAAGTCTGCCATCAAAGCCTGTACACCACCTTTTTTGTTCCATGATCGGCGCAAAGCAGTGTTTTGCACATGAGGTCTTCCTATAGCCTCTGTTTCTTTGTTCATTCGGATTTATCTTTTTCCTTCACATGAAGAGTGGTGTTGTTACGCGTAGCTCCCACATTGCGAACGCCGGTTAATGTCTATATTCCCCGCCAGACCTGGACTCGGGCTGTCAAACCCCAGAATTCATATATTTTTAGCCGATTCGACCCTCTTCATTTGCATTAAGCTTCGCACTAGAGCTAATAAGCTTAGGACCAAGCACACTCATGCATCGAACCCTTCTCGAAGTACCTCACAATTTAACATAGAGCACTTGTAGATTAATTCTCGCTCACCCCACGGTCACACCACAGAGCAGATTTCCCACATTCCGTTACCTCGGTCGGCATCGTGTTCGCTTCGACCAGAAACGTGATGCGATATGTCGTCGATGATATATTCAACGGCGCCACTTTTGCAAACCCGGTTTCAGCGGTTCTACCAAACCTGGCTTGTGGTCAGATCCCTGCTATACGCCTAGTGTATATTTGACGTTATATTGCTTGTTGTTCTACGAAGGTACGCTATTGCTCAGGGCACGCGACTTGATTGGCCAAGGGGTCAGTGCAGTAGGCAAAAATGAGAACGATAGCTACATACTCGCCCTCACTAAGACGGATATCTTCTCATGTTCTCCGCAAGCGTCAACTCAAGCGCAGGGTCAAACACTTCCTGACGGCACATCGAGCCTAACGACCGCAACGGATGTGATCAGCTGGCTAAGCTCTATCAGATCTGGGCAAAGCTTATAAAGACCTGGGTACTTGCATCTTTGCAGAACATCATCTCTCCATCAAGCTTTCACTCAGTGTTGTGACCTGTCTCCATCACCATCATGAAGGCTGTTTCTTTCCTCGCTGTTGCCGCTCTGGCTCCAGCTATCAAGGCCCAGGCTAGTTTGTACCAGCAGTGTCAGTTACAGCGTCACTGATTAGGCCATCTTCATCTCACATTATTACAGGTGGTGGCACTGGCTTTTCTGGAAGCACAACTTGCGTTTCAGGCGCATACTGCTCTAAGGTCAACGACTGTACGTATAATTGGACTTTACTCGATTTCAAGGGAGAACTAACACGGCTTAGACTACTGGCAGTGCCTGCCAGGTACTGGATCAAGTACTTCTGCTCCAGCTGCTACATCGGCTGCTCCTGCCCCAACAACATTCAAGACCAGCAAGACTGTTGGCAGCCCAGCCACTGGATCTTCGACTACCGGAAGCTCGGCGACAGGGACTGCTTCCCCAGGCGATGGCTCAAACCCGCTCAAGGGCAAAAACTTCTACGCCAACTCGTACTACGCCTCTGAGATCAATAACTTGGCAGCTCCATCTCTGGTCGCTGCTGGAAATGCTGCTTTGGCTGCCAAAGCCAGCAATGTGGCTAAGGTTGGCACCTTTTACTGGCTGTAAGCAGCAGAACGTCTTCTTCTGTACTACTGTGAGCTAATAAAAGCAATCAGCGATGTCCGTGCGAAGGTCCCCATCATCAGCACTTTCGCCAAGGACGTGCAGAAGCGCAACGCAGCCGGTGCCAACGAGGTCTTGCCGCTCGTAGTCTACGACTTGCCTGAGCGCGACTGTGCCGCTCTGGCTTCAAACGGTGAATTGTCGCTGGCCAACAACGGCACTGCCTTGTACCAGGAGTACATTGACATGATCGCGGCCCAGATCAAGCAATTCCCCGATGTCACCTTCCTCCTTGTCGTTGGTTAGTCTACATGATGATCTTCTGCGTCGTGATACTAATTTGGGCAGAACCCGATTCTCTGGCCAACCTGGTGACCAACCTGAACGTTGCCAAATGCGCAAACGCCGCGACCGCATACAAGACACTCACCGCATACGCAATCAAGACACTCAACCTGAAGAACGTGATCATGTACCTCGATGCCGGTCATGCAGGCTGGCTCGGCTGGACTGCGAACATAGAGCCTGCCGCCGAACTCTTCGGAGCGCTCTACAAGTCCGCGGGATCCCCAGCAGCAGTGCGCGGTCTCGTTACCAACGTCGCCAACTACAACGCCTGGAGCATTGCCACATGTCCTTCTTATACCCAAGGCAACACCAACTGTGACGAGAAGAGATACGTCAATGCGCTCGCTCCTTTGCTCGTTAAGAATGGCTTCCCTGCTCATTTCCTTACTGACACCGGTACGTCCCCTTTCCTTCTGGCACTATTCGCAAGAGGCATTTTGACTGACTTCTTTAGGTCGCAACGGCGTGCAGCCCACCAAGCAACAAGCCTGGGGCGATTGGTGCAACGTCATCGGCACCGGCTTTGGTATCCGACCCAGCTCTACGACTGACGACCCATTGCTCGACGCATACGTCTGGGTCAAGCCCGGTGGTGAAGGCGATGGTACCTCCGATACAAGCGCTGTACGATACGATGCGCACTGCGGATACGCAGATGCACTGAAGCCTGCGCCTGAGGCTGGATCATGGTTCCAGGCATACTTTGTGCAGCTTCTGAGCAACGCAAGCCCCGCATTTTAAGGTGGAGGTACTTGAGGGGAGTGATGGAAGGTAGAGCTTCTTGTATATAGATTGGGGATGAGTGCCTGTGACGGGTTGGCTTGTCGAATATGGTCGATCAGCATAGCAATTAGAATCATGTCTTCGACGGTTTGCATCCTTGAACACTAACACATTTGAATGAGCACTTGAGAACATACTTCAGAGAATTGCGGGCCTCCAAAGATCGACTGTAGGGTTGTTTGAACACATCTGAATGCTGAGTCTGTGCTAATTTACGGTTACCTAATGCCCTCGAGCGACCTGGATGCATTCATTCTCAGAATTTCCAACTCATGCCTTTGAACGTGACTGAGATCCCTGGTGCCATTCCCTGTCGCAAAGTTGAAGAGCATTTGTGCATTCGGTATTATGACTGACTTTGCCATCTTGGGTGGTCTGGAAAGGTCGTTGTCTCAATGCATACTGCCCGTTCGATACACAGATCATACGTGATGAACGGATGTATAAACCAAATTTGCAACGTTTCTATTCGCGCGTTTGAATTAATAACTAACTAGCCATATAGCTCCAACGTGAATGCTCCTGGGGTCTTGGTGGGGTGCAGCATACTGAGGTCGGCAAATCTGATTTCCACGATAATGATGACGACGATCTTCACGTGCATGCTCTCCTTGGCTTAGGAAGCGAAAGCTATGTAGATCTTCCTCTACCTTAACCACTTCTCTTACATTTATAGTTGTTCTCTATTCGTTACGCAAGTATTTGACCTTGCATAGTAACATAGCATGTGTGCGTGCGGCGTTTGCTGTATTGGTGCACGGGTACGTCATGTGCCTCTTGCTCACGTCCCCTCCCCTTGCCGTAACACGGCACAGTCTTGCGCTACCGTAGAACAATGTGAAGCAACGGATTCGCCTCTCTTCCGCTTACTCCAGATTTTGTGTATCTCTGCGAGTATTGTGGGGCCATGACAATGACAGTGGCTGCTCTAGCGCTGCTCACCTTAATCAGCGCACTCTTCATTCGACACTCTTTTCACCGCTATCAACGACAAGTACGCAATATTATTGTAGAGGCCCAGAATTTCTCGCTGAAAAACATAGGAAGCAGAAGCCATCGGACGGAGACATGGCTGCCTACCTGCGCCAAGACTTCAGAACCAGAGGCCATGGGGAATTGATCGTCTCGAACAGATATTTCGAGCAGACGCAGAATCGCGGCTGATGGAGCTCTTCCTGTTTCACTTCCGACAAACCGGAAATACTCTGGAGCAAAAGTTCTTGGGGACGAGAGCATTTGGCACTATCGAACCCGCCAATCTTGAGGCCATACTGTCCATCAATTTCCAAGGGAAGCATGATCAAACATATTTTGACGCGAGTATGCTAATTCTAGGACAGACTTCGGCATGGGTCCTCGGCGAGCGATCACATTTCCTATGTTTGGAGATGGCATATTCACGCAAGAAGGTGCAGCGTGGAAACATTCTCGAGATTTGCTCCGACCACAAATGCAACACAAGCAGTATGAGAGCCTTGATATCTTCAGAGAAGCTGTAGAGGACCTGATTGAATGTATCCAAAAAGAGTGTGGAACTCTGGATCTCCAGCCGTTGTTTTTCCGGTTGACTCTCGACACGACGACTGCCTTCCTTTTTGGCGAGTCAGTACGGAGTCTAGTCACACCAGAAGCTGCCGGAGAGGGTACGTTCGCCACAGCTTTCAACACAGCACAAAGATGGGTTACCAATCGATACCGCCTGCTTGACTTCTATTGGCTTGTCGATGGTCCAGAGTTTCGACAGGCATGCCGGGACGTGCACTACTTTGCGGATCAGATCATCGATCGTAGTCTCTCGCCAGCTCAAGGTGACAACGAGGTCACGGGCCGACATGTCTTCCTCGACAGCATTGCGAAGGGTACGCAAGATCGTGCAGCACTCAGAGGTCAAATCATCAATCTGTTGACCGCAGGAAGAGATACGACAGCATGCCTCCTCTCTTGGGCGTTGTAGGTCAATGCACTGCATGATTACAGCCTCATGCTTACCCTGCTAGTTTTCTACTTGTTCGCCACCCGAAAGTCATGGAGAAGCTGCGCGCAGAGATTGCTTCCATGTGCGAGCAACATGCAGAGCTCAGCCGCGACGTTCTGAAAAGGATGCCGTATCTCCAGAACGTGCTCAAAGAAAGTAAAAAGTCCCACTCACACTTGCTACTCTAGCCTCTTACTGATCTAAGTAGCATCGCGACTCTACCCGTCTATCCCAGTCAACACCCGCACGGCAGTCCACACTACAGTGCTCCCAACCGGAGGTGGGCCAGATCGCAAGTCTCCAGTGCTTGTACCCAAGGGAAGCGCAATAGCTTTCAGTGTATACTCGATGCATAGACGGCCCGACCTGTTTGGTATGGACGCAGAGATCTTTCGCCCTGAGCGATGGGACGAGATTATGCCTCTGCACAAAGACCCTACAAAAGCCAAGTGGGGCTACCTCCCATTCCATGGAGGGCCAAGGATCTGCCTTGGAAGTGAGTATCCACGCCAAGTAGAAAGTTTGTGATATACTGATTGCGTACAGTGGACTTTGCGATTACGGAGGCTGGCTACACAGTTGTACGACTGCTCCAAAGATTTCCATGTATTTTTCTTCCTGCGAACGAGAAGGTTGAGTTGGTAGGTGTTGAAAAACAGGACATGACATTGGTTGTTTCCATCAAGGGGTGTTGCAACGTTGTGGTTAGTTAGTGTGGCTGTACAATCGTTGCAAATGTGCATGAGCGAGCTGACGCTTGGTGTTTGGATATTTTTGATTGAGCCAGTGACTACAGGGTCAGATTCAATCACACTGGCCAGGTCTACAAGAAGCCCAATAGTCTTTCGGTTGCGCGTTAACCCTTTCGACTCATGTTCCTGTTAGTGAAGCGTTGGCGACAAGGAGTTGACGTAACGAATGAGAACTAAGGGGGGCGTACCAGAGATAGTAAAACAGTTACTGCTTCTGCATTATCTGGTTCATAACGAAGTCGCGATTGAGGATTCTTCTCTGCACGGCGTCGGGGACCTTGAGATGCTTCGGCGAGTCGCGGGTGGGCGGCTCCAGCTTAAATTGGTCTGCCCAAGACTCAAAGTCTGAGCGTCTTTGCTCATCTCCGGGTTCCGCTCTACCAGACACGAGCTCCATTTCAACGCATGCTTCAAATCCAAAAATTCCTATGAGCATATCTGTTGTGGCACCGTGACCCCCTTCCCTACATAGATGTAGCTCCCTCCAATCTTTTGCCACGATGATGTGCATATGTGCGCGCAGATCTGGAGCCTTTTCCAGGACCAGGCTGGCCATTGTTGACCGTGAAACCCCGAGCTTCCTCATGAGATGGGAAATGAAGTCGTGATCTCGCACAAGCTCATCTTGAAGGTCAATTTCATCGTTCATATTATCTGTGAGCAACGAGTTCCACATACTGTGAGGGTAGATTGGTCGACTAATTGTATGTTGAGATAGATAGTGGCCTTTGAACCGCTCTCCTCTGAAAATATCTCGAAGCGCTTGTCGTTGCTTTAGGAGTCTGGACGCGTTTAAATCTCCAGCTTGGGAATTCGCCACTCTTATCTCTGCATTGCTCTCATTATCCTCAGATTCATATTCTTTTCGATACCTCTCGTATTCCAACTTTTGGGTCAACTCATGGGCCAATGTTTGGGCCGTCCTTTCGCGTGATGAAATTGGAAACAGTGCGGGTGCCCATCTGCAATGTATCCGAACAACATCGATCGCCACTTCAGCCGCTGATTTGGAGTAATCGGGTACGAGACCAAGCCCCTTCTCATTTGAAATGTAGGCGATACCCAGAAAGCCGTATACATAGTCACGCGGATCGGTGCTATTAGATATTGCAAAAGAGGTGGACAGCTTGCGTAGATCCATTTGCTTTCTGCGTTCACTGTGGTTGTTGGAGCTCCAAAGACGTCTCAAAATGAGCAACCTCCAGCCCAGTGTCTCGCGAACGTTATGGATCCCGTCGAGGTTTTCTCCAGCACGCCAAAAGTCATCGGTGTCTGCTCTTAAGTTGCCACACCATAAGTGGTTTTCTTCTCCCAGCACAAACTCTTGAATGATCCAGATGCGTCTCCAGTAGGGCTTGCGAAAGAGCTGATACCATGCGTCCCATGGCCACCTCCCAGGTGCAATTGTATCTTCTTGCAACGCGCGGAACGCCAGTCTATCGTCGTCGGTGGCAGCGCCTAACCAAGTGATCACCAGCCCAGCGCCCTGGTATATGTCTTTCATCTGCCCGACCTGATGATTTCTCTCGAGAATGTTGTCTTGGTTGATGCACAAAGCGTCCACCCACAGCCAAGCACCGTCACTCCCAGCTATTCTCCGGAATTGTTGTAAAAAGCTTCTCAGATTCTGGCCGACTTCTACAATCAGTCCGTTGCAAAAGATGGGCACATTTTCACGTGCATGGCTCCCAGCGTGTATGACAGCGCAACGTATATAGGCTGGGTCGCGAGGTTGAAATGCTTGATCGTGCACCGTATAGGGTCTTCAGACTCTCCGGGTAGGACTTGCAGGAGTCGGATGCTTTTCTTCTCTTGATCCAAAGGACTATGGCGATATGATGAGATTCGAGACGCGGCAGGTGAGTCAAGTGAAGCGTTCATCGTGATTCCAGCACTTTCGTGATCGCAAGGCTGAGACCGCGGTGAAGTGGCTCGTATTTGGGGAAAATCGGGTATAGCATGTGAGACCAGGAGCTAGAGAACCGGTATTTGGTCCGGCAGAGACCAGAACCTTTGCAGGATATAATTAATCTGTGGGGCAAGGCGTGATGGTGACGAACCCCAACTGATGTTCTCATGATGCTGCGCCACAATTTGTTCGGCTGCATCAAGATAGTCAGCCAATCAGTGCTATGACGATTGAAGTGTCGTGGCTTGATATCTCCTACAACTAAGGAAGAACAAAATTCAAGCATTGCAGAAAAGTCACCTGATGTGAATCTTTTCGTATGATATAGGAGATTGGAGAGCGGATTGGACTGAGAGAGGAGAGGAGGAGCATACGATGAGAAGTTTGACGTGCGTTGTCTATGCACGTGACTGAGCGAATCAGGAGACCACTCCGCACACCCATGACTAGGCATCTCCTACGGAGAGGTTCGCCATCTTCACGCCACTAGACACTCACATATGGACCTTGAATGTAACCTCAATCATGCAATGATCCACGGTCGAAGCAAATCAGCTACCAGATTAGTGTCGCGACTATTCACCCTCACACGTATATGGACTACAACTGTGGAGACAGACGCAGGAAGCGAAATATGACGAGGATGAGATGTGATGAGGTATGATGCATTGAAAGATGGATCCTGAATAAACGCCGAAGTCAATGCATGAAGAGCTCCTTGCTCAAGTATCGCAAGATCTCAAGTAGATGGCGTCAAAATGACTTTTCGTGATGAAAGACCGTGATGCCGGACCTCATGCTCCTGTGTCGACCTCCATGTCATCGACAGCTGCAGCGCCTCCCTCTTCCTTCGCAATGTCCTCCTCGTTGACTCCTTCGCCATCACTCACACCGGCCTCTTCCTTGGCCTCGGCAGCAGCCGCATCGTCTTGCTTTTGCTGCTCAGCCTTGGCTTTGTCGGCAACGTGGTTGATGATCTCAGTGTCCTTCTCGTTGAACAGCCTCAAGAGCATGGCCTTGCGGTCGTCCTTGTCGACCATAAGGTTGGCACTGCCAGGATGCCTCCAGAGTGGCAAGACCATGCGGAACGGAATTTCCTGCGCATCGTCTTTCTCGACGCGGACGAAACAGCAGCCGATGTCCATTGCTTGGAGCTGATCGCCAACCTCGCCAAGACCGTGTTCGCCCTCGCGGGGTAGCTTGGGGAACATTTCGACAATGAGCTGATGCAACGTGTGCTTTGAGGTGCAGTTCACGATACGCTTCGATGCCCATGGCTCAATGATGCGGATGCCCTCGCTCTGGAGTCGCCAAGGTGCGTGGGTGTAGTCCTTGTCCTTTATCTTATGCGCAACAAACATGACAACACCGCAGTGAATGAACTTCATGCCTCGTCCCTTGTTCTGTTGTAAGATGTGTTTCGCCAGTTCTGAAGTGTAGTATATCTTGTTAAGCGAAAGACCTTCCTTGTTCTTGACCATGAAGCGATCGCGAGGGAAACGTTCGTGAATACCGAAGAAATCCATGATCGATGCGATGGTTGCGTCGTCTGATGGGAGGTACTCGAAGTACTCCTTGTTCTGGCTCTGGTTCTCGGGCTTAAGCTTGGCTTCTTTGACGACTGCAGAGTCGGTTGATCCATTCGCAGCAGGCTTTGCGTCTGTCTCAGCAGCTGATCCATTTTCTAGGGACTCAGCAAGTGTATCTTCATCGGTCCTGACCTTCTTCTGGGCGGCTGTCTCTTCAGTATCATCCAACTTACGCTTTAGGTTGGCACCATTCTCTTCATCAGCTTCGGTCTCGCCTTTTGTCGCATCGACCTCAATAACGTTCTCTTCTGGTGTTGGGACCGAGGCGTCTGTTGTCTTTGTGGCATTGTCCTTGGATCTCTGCGACTTCGCAGCATTCTCTGGATTTTGCACCTGTGTGACCTTGATATCGTCGAGCTTCTCAATGACTGCGATGAAGAAACCGCCCGTGTCTTGCAAGTGAGGATATACACGTATGCAGCGTTGGAGAGGTATGCGCTCCTCGGGTGACTTGGGAATAGGCGGGAAGCATCCCGGGGTGATCTTGGTGGAGAATGAGCGCTCAGGCTCCTCTGCCGCATACTTGGCCTTTGCCTTCTCGAAAGCCTCCCAGCTAGTGAACAAATGCGCCGTCTTCTCTGCTCCTACAGAGACCTGAGATGTATCGAGAACCTTCCAAACGTTAAGACCCGGGCGACGCTTCAGATTGGGCAGAAGATCTGCGCAGTCCAAAAGCTGAACCTTTGAATTTCCTCCACAAGCCTCGATAGCTGCTGCAACTACAGCCTCATTCTCGACGGGGTTCATGCTGCATGTCGAGTAGACCATGCGGCCACCCTTCTTCAGCATCTGCAGGCCTCGGAAGAGGATGCGGAGCTGGAGGTTGTGCAGACCGAGACCGTCCTTGGGTGTCCACTTTTGCCAAACGTTGGGATTCTTACGTGCAGTGCCATCGCCAGCGCACGGAACGTCGGCAAGAATGCGGTCGTACTTGAGGTAGTTCTTCTTCTGGCCTGAGCTTGGTAGCTCGATGGAAGGGAATATCGAGGCGTCGTGTTGGGTGACGATCAGGTTTGGGAAGTTAAGTCGCTTGACCTGGTGGACCAACATGCCGGCGCGCTTGTAGTCGGTGTCGTTCGCAATGAGCAGGCCTGTCGAGCGGCCATCATCACTGTAGTCGCCGTCCTCGCCACTGCCGGTAGGTTCGCCGTTTGCAGCTCTCCTGACTCTGTCCTCCTCGTCGCCGTGAATCATTTCAGCCAGCTGCGCAGACTTGCTTCCAGGTGCCGCACACATGTCAAGGACTACCATTCCTGGCTTGACGTCGAGGAAATGCGGCGGAATCATGCTAACGACTTCCTGTCTGCTAATATTACCGGACGCAGCTTCTGCGACGAGGAACTTCTGGAAGTCGGCAAAGGGCGCATGTCGTCGAATGACCTTCTTGTGTGTCTTCATATGCCAAACAAGCTCGTCGGGGAAGGCATTGACTGGCTCTGGGGGTGGCACTGGCTTGCCCTCGAACTTCTTTGCTGCAATCGCTGGGACATAACGCTGCTTGAAGATTTCGCGAACGGCGAGGGCATCGGACTTGGTACCAGTGAAGCGGAAGCTGTTGGGCAGATCGGTCTGCAAGGCCTTCCACATTTCCTCAAACTCGGCCTCCTCCATGAAGCCGCCCATGCGGTAGTAGCTCTCGAAGAGCTCATTCTTGCGCGGGATGTCTGACCACGGCTCGGTTCTGGTATCTCTACCACCACCGCCACCGCCGCCGCCGCGACCTCTGCCTTTACCGCGAAACGGCTTACCGCGACCGCCACCCTATGTCCAATTAGTCTTGATCATGTTGCGCGGAGGATGCGACCACTTACGCGACCACCTCTTGCCATTGTTGAGGGTTATGAGAGTTGGTAAGAGTGCTAAGGTTGTAGGTCCAACTGAAGCTGCCGCAAAGCTCAAAGCTCGAGAAAATGCAAGTAGCTCCGCGAGGTGGAACTGGATTGGTGGGGTCGGCTGCACCTGGCCCACGAACCAGAATCTTGGCATGGTCCGAGCGCTCGCACACCAATTTTGGTTTTCGTCAACCAACCGCCGAAATTCTTTCCTCAGCTTCGACAATCCCCAACAAGCCCAACTAACCACCAGCACAATGGCCAAGTCAGCGTAAGTGCTGTGAATTGTAGCATTATCGATCGTTCCAATACTAATTATCGCACTGCAGACCCCACAGCATCTCCCAGAAGGACATCGAGGTCCCGGAGACTATCCTGAAGAAGCAGAAGGCCAACCAGAAGGTCAACGACCAGCGTGCCGCCGAGACACAGAAGAAGCGTGAGGTGCGATAACTCTCTCCCAAGATCTGCGAAAGCGGTTAGGAGTATCACAGTTGGCTAAGACTCTCTTAGGCCAACAAGCAGAAGCGCGAGACCATCTTCAAGCGCGCCGAGAAGTACCACCAGGAGTACGTCAAGGCCGAGCGCGACGTTATCGAGGCCAAGCGCGCCGCGAAGAGGGACAACTCCTTCTACGTCCCCGCTGAGCCCAAGCTCGCTTTCGTTGTCCGTATCAAGGGGTATGTCATGTTCCAGCAGCCTCTACAAGACCCTGTCTAACACGTACCAGTATCAACAAGATCGACCCCAAGAAGCGCAAGACCCTCCAGCTCCTCCGTCTTCTCCAGATCAACAATGGTGTCTTCATCAGGCTCACCAAGGCCACTATTGAGATGCTGAAGATCGTCGAGCCTTTCGTCGCATACGGCTACCCCAACTTGAAGACCGTCCGTGAGCTTGTTTACAAGCGCGGTTACGGAAAGGTCAACAAGCAGCGCCTTCCCATCACCGACAACGAGCTCATCGAGGAGAACCTCGGCAAGCTCGGCATTGTCTGCGTCGAGGACCTGATCCACGAGATCTACACTGTTGGCCCCAACTTCAAGCAGGCCTGCAACTTCCTCTGGCCATTCAAGCTCTCTTCGCCCACTGGTGGTTTCCACACCAGGAAGTTCAAGCACTTCATCGAGGGTGGTGACCTTGGTAACCGCGAGGACTTCATCAACCAGCTCGTTGCTCGCATGAACTAAGCTGGAACGATGCTATTTGGGTGGAGTTAGGGAACGATACCATGACGATCACGACTGTTGGTCACATCCACTTCACAAGGAGTAGGGCAGGCCGAGCCACATGCTCTGGTTAGCTAGACAGACAAGCCTCGCACATCCTGCGAAGGAACAAAAATCTCACACATTTTGAACACGTCACTTTCCGTATATCCTTTTCGGTGCTGTGAGATACCTGTGCTAGAGTATTAATCACTTTATCTAAGGAACATGTCGCACTTCAACATAAGCCACACGACAATAGGTATCTAAGCATAGTCAACACAGCTCTGGACCAATCTCTCTGATTCGCGCATTATGTCACTCGCCGCCAAAGTCCGCACCGCACGCTGTTTCGAAGTCAAGTCGACTCATGCCCAGACTTCTCACCTGGGCATGTAGCTTCACAACACATTTTCAACCGCAATCCACACCGAAAACTTTGACCACCAGCGTGAGGAAAGTTTGTATCTAAGCATTGCCCTGTCTTTGCGTATACTCATGCTATGCTGTGTCATTATCTTCAAAGTTTTTACTGAGGGTTATGAAGTTCCAGAGAAATGCATGAACGAACGCCCATCGTTTCGTGCACACAATCTCACTCTGGGACCTGCGCAATCTACACCTCCACCTAAACCTTCCTAATTAGGAAGTTTAGTCTCCAACTGCAGAATTTCCAAGAAACCACATCATGCCCGCGACTTGACGAAATATTCCGATATTTTTCCAAAGATCGCCCCTCCAAATACATTCAACCCCAGATTTCGGGAAAATTCCCCGCGATGTAATTCGCCCAGGCGCAAATCCCCGGCCCAGCGCACTCTGGTAGTGCAAATCTCAAGCGGCGAGCGGACTTGTTGCCCGGCGAGATTTTGCTGCAATCCACACTTCTTTTCTGTCTTTTTTTTTTTTTTATCTGGGGAGGCTGGGGAAAACTGGCTGGAATAGGAAGTTTGAAAAACAATGTGCATTGGGGATTGGAGAAAAGGGGGTGTGGGTAGGAAAGTGCGTATGTCGTCGCTGGCCGTCGTCGGCAATGATGGTGTCACAAAGGCCGCGATCTTTTTTCAGTACTGCGATAAATTTTTACAGCATTCGATCGAGGATGTTTGTCGTCTTCTCGTGCAATGTATGTTCAGCTCCGTGGAGCAACTCACTGCAATCCACAGTCTGGACGAGGACTTGCCTAACGAGGACAAATCGCACGTGTTGCCCGTCCACGACAGACCGTGTGTGATTCGATCCGCAGAAAAGCCCCGGATGAGAGGTTTCCATTCAGAGACTGACCTATGAACGCAGCTCACAAAGGCTGGATGCAGGTAGTGTGAGTCTAGATCATGAAAGGGATGTGAATTAGAATTGAAAATGGATGCTAGTATAGTGTCCAATAAGAATCTGTAACGCTAAGATGTGAAATGTAAAATGTGATGAAGATGCACGTCTCTCTATTTCTCCGCGCTTGTTCCCGTGCTCTTCCCACTCTTGGCGCTGCGCATGCTCTTGACGCTCTTCAAGCTCTTCTTGCTAGTCGTACGTCGCAGTTTCGCCTTGAACTTCTGCCATTTGCCTTGCAGTGATTCAGTTCCCTCTTCCTTGTCCTTGTCGTCGCGATGGCTGTCCAAGCTACCTCGTGGATATTCTGCCTCACTGCCCAGATCCACGCTTTCCATGTTCCTGCTGTGTCCGAGTTCTTGGCAAGGCAGGGCTGGCAACTCCTTCTGTTTGCCTAGGAGGATAAATTGTAGAGTCTTCCACGCCGCCATGTTTGCGATTGGGCCGTCACTGGAATTGCTCTGGGTTGTTGCGTTCTTCCAGGGACAGTGTTCACGATGCGACTCAAGTAGGTTGAGACGAAGTGACTCAATCGGTACGTCCAGCTTCTTGCTCATCTCTTTCAAACGCGTGTCCGAAGACAGCCACAGGCCAAGCCGCTGGAAGCAGTGATCACAGACTGCAAGTGATATGCGCGACTCCGAGAGTCCTGACCAGCCGAAGAGGGCGAATGCGAAGGCAACCATATCTGAGGGCGAGGACGGGGGAGTTGCCGAACCGAACAAGTTCGATGGCATGCGCTGCACGATGTCTTTTATGCTTGGCTCAGGGTAGATGACGTTCTCGAGGAGCGGTACATCGGCAGCTATGGACTGGAAGGACTGGTAACGCGCAAGTAGGCTTGCGGAGCTCGTTGCCCGGCTTGCGATGGCGATGTGATATATGTCATCTGTAGATGATGTTAGCGTAAGGTTCTGGAGCAATCAGTATAGAAGAATGTGCTTACCTTGACACCCGCGCTTCCTCCACAGACAGTCCGCAGCATGACCTGTCTCGATAAGTTCCCTGTATCGCTCAACGAGCTTATCGTCAACCTCGGCGGCAAAGTCCTCGCTCATCTCGATAGCCTTGCCGTCCGCGTCTTTGCGCTTCGGGTACAGCTTGACTGCCACACGCTTTTCGCAGCCACCCTTGCAGGCGACTGTGTTCCATGTATCGCAACTCCAGCCTCTCTTCGCCCACTCGATTTCGCTTATCGCATCCGGCTTCGTCGTCCACTTCTTGACGTCGGCAAAGGTTTTGACGCGGCTGAGGAATTGCTCCTGACTATGTGGCTGGAAATTGGGTGTTTTGCGCGGTGCTGAGGGGCTGGATGCCATGGCTTTTCCAACAACCCTGACTGTGCCTTGTCGTCGCGGTGTATAAAGCTGGTCTTTCAGTGCTTGTATGCGAGCTTGGCTTGCTGATATGCTCCTGTCCCGCTCCATGCTTGCTTCGGAGCTCCTAGGGCGTTTGCTAGGGTGCTCAGGTGAGTCCCCTTGTGATAGTGATGATGTGGATGCATTTGAATGCTGCAGGGAGCTTGCGAGAGAGGTTGTTGATGCATTCGCAGCGATGCTGTCGACAAGCTTGTGAAACTTGCGCTTCGTTGTAGCAAGAGCTGGCTGTGTTTCCGACATTTTGAAGGAGCTGTAACTGTGAAGCAGCAACTTTCAGTAATCTCGATTTGGGTGGGCGCGTGGAATGTGTAGATAGTTGGCACTTTTGGATGGGAGTGCCTCTTTGTGACGATCTTTGTTTACCTGTCGCGAGGCGTGGAGAACAAAGCTTGTATGGAGGCTGTGCAAGGATACAACAACCTTCAGAATTAATTGGTGAAAGGCTAGTTGCAATTATGCAGCATCCACGCGTGTCTGTTTGTGAACGCGATAGATTGCTGCAGATGACGGTTTCCATGGCGGCGACGTCCAAAAAGGAAACCCCCGAGATGTCTCCCGCCGCGCGCTAGCAGCAGGGCAACCGTCTTACGTCAATCCACCACCCACCACCCCACCAAAGCTCCAGTCCTGCAGCAAACTAGGCCCTTGTCTGCGTTCTAGTCCATGCCAGCCCAGATTGCGACATCAAGATATTTTCTGCTAGCCCTGCTCATCCTGGCGATCTCACTCCTCAATCCATCGCTGTTGTCGCGGAGTGTTGCTCGTCTAGCTCAATTGAAACAGCACATCTACCCCTCCCCCGCCATCTCTAGAGCATCAAGCTCCCTCTTTTCGAACCGCACCATACACACCATGGCTTACGAGAAGGAACTCGAGGTCGCCCTCCTCGCCGTACAACGCGCATCCATCCTTACCAAGACGGTCTACTCGAGCCACTCCAAAGGCACCCTCTCCAAGAGCGATTCCTCGCCCGTCACCATCGGAGACTTTGGCGCACAGGCTCTGATCATCGCCTCGATAAAGCACGCTTTCCCCAATGACGAGGTTGTGGGCGAGGAGGATGCAGACGACCTACGCAAGAACGAGCAGGAGCGCAACCTTGTCTGGGACCTCGTACAGGCCGCGAAGCTCGACGACAGCTCAGCAGAGGAGAAGATTGGCGGGCCAATCAAGAATGTCGAGGACATGCTTACAGCCCTCGACAGCGGAAGGAGCAATGGAGGGCGACAAGGCAGGATCTGGGCGCTGGACCCCATCGACGGTACCAAGGGCTTCCTGCGAGGCGGACAGTATGCTGTCTGCTTAGCACTCATGGTTGATGGTGTACCCACTGTCGGTGTCATTGGCTGCCCCAACCTCCCAATCGATGACCAGGCGCCGCTCGACAGCTCCATTGGCGCAGATGCGGACGACAAGGAGGGTAAGGGCGTCCTGTTTGCTGCGGTCAAGGGTGAGGGAGCTACTAGCCGACCACTCAGCAAGGGCGCACTACAAGAGTCAAGGAAGATTTCTATGAAGGCAGTTCCAGACGTCAGTCAGGCCACTTTCTGCGAATCCGTAGAGGCAGGCCACTCCTCCCATGGCGACAACGCTGCCATTGCCTCAAAACTTGGCATCACAAAACAGTCTGTACGAATGGACTCGCAAGCAAAGTACTGCTCGATTGCCCGCGGAGCTGGAGACATTTACCTCAGGCTGCCCGTTAGCAAGTCGTATGAGGAGAAGATCTGGGATCACGCCGCTGGAGTGGTCCTTGTACAAGAAGCTGGCGGTGAAGTCACCGATGCGTGGGGCAAGCCATTAGATTTTGGCATTGGCAGGACTCTAAAGGAGAACAAGGGTGTAGTTGCTGCGCCCAAAGATGTCTTCCCGCAGGTCATCAACGTCGTCAAGGAAGTCTTGAGCGCGAAGCAGTAGGTTGTTGATCATCTCAGACCTAAGATAACATAAACTAGTGCTCGCCACGAAGCACTACAAATATCCACGAACTTATGTTTCGCAAGTCTCCTGCTCATTGGATTTACGTCAAGCTTTTGGTTGCTTTGTCCATCTTTATCGCGTCGATTCAATCCCCATGAACAGTGAAATATTACTATTGCACACTCGCTTTGCTAAAAGATAAGGACCCGTTGAGACGTCTAGATCCACGACACTAGGTCCTGCAAGGATTCGTGCCTCATCCTTCGCAAATCATCCCAACATTGAAACTCCACCACGTAAATGATGCATAAGCTGAGTTACACCTATATGTCTAGGATCCCGACTGATAAATTTTCCCTACCGATGGTGTACCTGCTACATGGGAGGGATAGCTAGTTTGAATAGAACGGACTTAAGTTCTCGTGGCGTACAAATTTCGACGCTGCCCATGATTTTTCCTGCCTCTACTTGAAAGCACCAGGGAAAAAGCAAGTGTCCAGATACCCGAGTGAACGTGGTTCTCGTGGATAATCTGTGTGGTGAATTAAAGCTGCTCGTAGGACGTTTACGTGTCCCGTTCAGCTACAGCGGCGATCCACATCTAGATATCACTGGGATTAGCACAAGTTGGCTCAGCAAACATGGAAAGTGCACTGGTGAGAACATACTTGCATGTTCAGTCGGAGCCGGGATCTTGCTGCGGTCATGGATCTGGAGGCAGTGGGGGGAACGAAACTTATTTGAGCCGTTACGGTTGCGCCCATAGTTCTGGTATATGAACGCTCTGCGTTCAATGCCACCCGGGGTAGAGATGGTAGGAACAAGGATTGGAGCAAAAAGAGGGGGGATTGTTTAGCGGATGGGATAGAATGGAATGAAGGATGCGTGGACTTGGGAGGCTGGATTTGATTGTGGAGCTGGCTGGTGTTAGGAGGAGTGAGGCGAGGTGGATGTATCTTCAGGCACTTGCATTATTAAACGTATCTTTGGATATTTGACGAGGGTGTGCAAAGGAATGTCGGCATCAGCCATGCTTACAGTGGTGTCGTGCCCCCAAGTCGGTGCCAACCAAGCGGAATGGTTGCAGCCTGTCTTCTGTTTATTCTGCAAAGACGATGTAACTCCTATGAACCATCTTCGTTGAGACTAGTGACCCAACGCGTCTCTTCATCAAACCTACTTCGCACGTCGCCGTGTAAAGTCTCCAGGCCAATCTCTCGCAAGTCCTTGAGAGCTTGGACAGCCTTGTCGAGAGTTTCATTAGTCGTATATCCCTCATCATTCAAAACCCCTTCCAACTCTTTCCAGAGCTCCTGGCTTTTATTGAACGTATCCGCCTCTTGGTCATGTTGCTGCAACTCTTCCGCTGAGAAACTGTATGGACATGGTTCGTCGGTTCCGAAGTGATCCCACTCACTAAGGGCAAAAAACAAAGTCAGCCAAAAGGACGTTCGATAGCCGAAAATAAATCAAGTTTACCTTTCGACGCGGATTAAGCATTCTTCAAAGGGAAACAGGCAGTTGTCCCAGGTCGAGCCAGCGAAAGCTTCTAATTGCTTCAACGTCTGACCGTGGGGGTGGCGTATCACCTTGTTCATTAAAGGATTCTGCTCCGCCGTGCATGTTTCGTATGTGTGGATCAAGATGGACTGGGCAACCTGGTACCGCAGCTTATCCTTTGTGGCGTCGTCGAGCGTTTTGAAACTATCTGGAAGCTTCATCATCATTTCGACTGCGTAGTCTAGGACCAGTGGCGGTCTGGCCCCAATAAACACCGGGGTGGTCCAGGCTGCCTGCCAGTCGATGATGGATGATATGCGGGCTTCGTCATCAACGTAGATATTTCCGGCGTGGAAATCCGGGTGCCAGAGTCGAGGTGAGTTGAGCTCCGGATCTTGTGGAGTGATGTGTGGAACTGCAGTCATGAACTTTTGCAACAAAGCTATGTGAGCTTGTGGAGAGTCTTGAAATGGACTTGAGTACTGCCATGGAGTTTCTTTTGCCGATCCTGGGTCCGCATGATTACTGATCCAGTCAATTTCGCGCTGAGCGATTGAAGTGAGATATTCTGCGGAAGATGTCCCTGTAGTTGCCTTGAGTTGGTGTTCATGTGATATGGACAGACTGACACCTACAAGGACCGTGATATTGCATTTCACTGCGTTGTTTCTCCCAGAACTCCCTTCGAGTGATGGGTCCAATGGAATATTTTGATTTGATGTGTTCCGCAACATCTTGTGGACTGGTGGTTACGACGGCCGATTCGCACCCCTCAATACCACTATCTTTAAAATATAATGATCCAATCCTGCCATTTAACATCAGTCCGACTGGCCGTAACCTATCTGCTTGATATCGAGTCTTACATGTCAAATGAGACCGAGAGAAGTTTCCTTTCGATGTCTACAATCCCACGAATGACGTCCACTTTTTTCCGTAGTGGAAGTTCATCCCAGACTTCGTGGAGTTGGGACCCTCTCGCTTCTTCCATGATAATATACTCTGCTTGAACAGGGTTCTGCTCGTTCGCACTCCATGCGAATACTCGTGGAACAGGTATGTTCAGCACGGTCCTAGCAAACTCCATGGTCGCCACTTCAGATGCCGTGGTAATTGATGGGGGGCCTGCATTAGGGTGCGGAGCTTTCGCAATGACCTTTCGGCCATCCTCCATTTCCAGGCGAAATGCTTTGTTGTAGTTGCCTTCTCCAATCTTCTCAATGGATATACACTTCTCCGCACCGACAGCTTGGCAGGCCGCTTGCTGGAGACTGGGGATGTCAAAACGTCGAAATCGGGCTTGCAGCTGCTCACGCTCATTCCATAACCATCGTCCACTAGTGTAGCAAAACAAAGGGTTTTTGTCGGCTGGAGGATGTGAAGCGATCCCATGGCTGTGCTCTAAAATATGTGATTTGCGAAGGTTGCACCGCCTCCCATTGCTTGCCACGATTCGACCAAGTCGCATTGCTGAAAGACTTGCGCGATGAAAGAAGACATTGTACGAAACGAAAGACACAACCGAGAGTGCCGCTTATGCTTGCAGCTCTCGCGTGCCTGGATAGGTGATCATCACATAACTAGCGCCTCACTAGCATGTCTCACGCCCAAAGTGATATTTCGTCGCAATTGGATCGCGTTGTACCATCTTGCGCAACGACACAAATACCTTCCATCATTCCACATCTCTTCCGAGAAAAGGTTAAATTCACTGCACAAAACACCCTACACACATTTCTCAAAGATTCTGGATTCCCATTGGCACATCTATATACGTCGCCATGCTACAGAAACTCACGTCACCTACACTAATCCTACATCAAAACAAACGAAAAAAGATTCTTACTCTACAGGTTCCTCTTCCAGCAAGACCTTGAAGCTGAATGGCATGAACGGCACACCATCACCGATGAAATGCTTGCTCATTGCTTCGACCCAGTGCAGACGCAGGGAATGCAACATGGCACTGGTACCCTCCATGACACACAGCACGGCGACAGTGCACGCGAACCAAAAGTAGAAGATAGGGACCATCAAGATGGCGCCTTTGACACCGGTGAAGCTGAATGCGTTCTTCATGGTCATATCCCAGAGCACAATGGAGAGACGTTGATGGGCGAGGGACAGCGCCCAGAGACGGAGGTAGGATGCGGTGTGGGAGACGCAGTTGAGACAGAATTCTGAATGCAGTGTTAGTGACGTGTCAGGAGGGGTATAATTGTCAAGACTTACCGATGGTGTGGATGACCTGATGGATCATAACCTCACTGAACTCGAATTCTTCGTGCTCCTCGCCGTGACCAATGTCCTGTGTGATCATAGCAATGCCATCGTCGTCATTCCCGAAGCTGTCACGTCCGCCGTTGAGGGCACGGCCGTCTTCTTCATCGTCGTCGTCGAGTGCGCTAACGCGGCTCGTCTCGCCAATACCACGGTATCCTAGCCCACGAGCCTTGTTGTGCTCATAGCGAAGGTAGAACGGCTTGAGGAACAGCAGAATGGGCACGCAGACAAGAGCGAGGAGTAGCAAAATGACCTGAAGTGTGGCCTGGCCAGGGTACAGAGGAGAAGACCCGGGCTCAAGTGTACCAGGTTGCAAGAACATGAAGATCAACATGTTCAGCAGACTGGGTGGGCTCTCGCCACGCGCAGGCCAGTCGATACTCCACTTGTACACAATGGTGAAAGCCAGGTAGCCAAAGATGGACTGGAAAAAGATCATGCCAGGAACGAAGTTGCCCCAGATGTCGATCTTGGTCTTGAAGTAACGAGCGTTGACGAGCGACCACATGAGCGAGAAGGTCATGTGGCACCAACCAAGAAGAATACTGAGCTTCATCTTGTAGCTGTTGGAGAACAACAAGTCGTTCTCGGTGTCGTGCCAGCGGTAATCGAGACCGAACGGATAAGTGTAGCCCTCAACACGGGTAGAGGTAGGGCCCTGGCCGTCTTTGTCCCAGACCCACATGGACTTGAAGAAGGGAAGACCAAGAGAGAAAGCGTCGCAGTAGAGGAGACCGGTGTAGATGGAGAAGATACCCATCATGAGTACAATGTAGCGACCGTAGAACATCATAGAGAACAGCTCATCAAGCTTGCTACGCTCGAGGCGGCGCTCGAAGTAGATCATGGCGGAGGCAGCCATGAGGAGAATGACACCGTGCCCAGCGTCACCAAACATGACAGCGAACATGAAGGGGAATGTGACGATGGCAGGTAGAGCCGGGTTGACTTCACGGTACTTGATCGTTCCGTAGGCGTCGATGATGGTCTGGAAACCAAGGGTGAACCTATTCGTCTTGAAGTAGGTGGGAGGGGTCTTGGTGGTCTTGATCTGGTTGACGATGGTGGGAACGGAAAGGCCAGCGCGTTCATTGACGTCTGAGAGAGTAGACTTGATCAGCCCAAGACCGTTGGTGGGTGCCCACGCTTCAGCAATGAGCGTCTTCCTCTGATGGTCGTATGAGAACTTGTTCAAAGTCTCGTAAGTGGCCTTCTCTTTCTTGATGACGACCATCCAGGCGGCAAGGTTGCGACCAATCGCAGTCAACTCGGCGTCCAGAGTTGACTTGGTGTTCTTCAAGACGCTGGCCAAGTCACTAAGGCGGGTGTTGACCTCACGGATCTGGTCCCGGCGAAGCTCGCTGTTCTCATCGACGCTGTACAAGTCGGCGCCGAGGGACTCTGAGATCTTGCGGATCTTGGCAATAATCTCCTTGCCGTGGGCAAAGATGATGAAGACGTTCTTGCTGGTCTCCTCGTTGTTCTCAGGGTTGATGATGGGCTCCGGGATCTCTGACTGGTTCATGTACAAGTTTCCACGGAGTGTACGCCACAGGATCCTCTCAAAGGCTCCCATGCGCTCACGGGGGATTACACCGGCGACAAAGCCAATGTTCATGACGGTAAAAGACCGCTCTGCGCCGGACTCGCCCTGTCCGTTTTGCTCGACATCACGGAGAAGAGGCGCATCGTCGTCATCGTCAATCGACTGTCGGATCTCCTCAGTCTGGCCGCGAGCCCTGTCGAAGAAGCCGCCGGCCTCTCTCAAGACCCAACGCCACTCGGTGAGCTCTACCTCGCGCTTCTTCAATGTCTCGTAGCTGTCGTTCAGCGACGTGATCCTCTGTTCCAGGCTCTGGCTCTTGTCCGCCAGCTCGTCGATCTCGGAGGCGGAAGGCGCGGTGAAGGGGTTGTTAAAGTCGTAGATGGATCGCATCGGGATGCTCGATTTCTCCATCTGGGCGCGGAAGTACCTGAGCTGCCTCTCCACATTATCGAGGCGACGGATCTCCTGGGTAAAGGTGCGCTGAAAGGCGGTCGTCTCGGAGTTGAGCTATCGTGTCGTGTCGTTAGCCTGCGATTCGTCACGAAACAAGAATGAAGCTCTCAGTCAAGCTCCAAAGGACTCATAGAGGACGTACGTCTCTGAAATCCATGGTTCCAAGCTCTCCTAGCGCGGAGACGACCTCGCGGCCAATCTCGTTGGCGATGTACAGCTGGGTCAAGGACATGTCCGCCGAGCGGAACATGGTGTCCTTGGGGGGCGCCATGATGGCTACTCAAGAGACAGGTCTTCCGGTGAAGATGGCGTGTCTCGAGAGATGGTGTGGTGTCGGATGCGATGTCGAAGGTTGATGAATGTTGCTGCTGTCTGCGCGATGATGCGGCGAACCTCGAGCGCTTGGCGCGCCAAGTACACGTGCACCAAGCTCAAGATGAAGTCATCCCTGTCGCTTCCATCCAAACAACACAGAAAATGCCAGCTTCAATGCAATCGGCCTGTCAGAAATATTCAAAACACGAATACGGCCAAGAATTTAGAGAGTGGTCATGGATGTATTGAATTACTGCTGTGTATACTTGTGTTTTCTGCGCTTCTCCAGCCCCACCGCCTTCAACACTGCATACCTGACATGGTCGAGTCCTAATCTCTTACTATCAACCATCGTCTCGCTACTACAGGCGAGTATTTCACCCAAAGCACCACCACCAACAGGAGGGTTGATAATAGGCTTCAAATCTTCCATCATCTTCCTGACAGCTTCCAACGTGCCTTTCGGCTTCGGATTTGGGCGCTGCTTATGTTGATTCTCCGTTGCGAATCTGCCAGGGGGAATGTACAGCTTGTCCAATTTTGACAAGATGACCTGGTGGCTTACGCCAGCTAGACGTAAGCTCGCGAGGAGTGACCGATCTTTGTCTTTGATCCCATGTTCGGCATCAAGTAAGACGAAGACGCGACGGAGTTGCTTGCGTGATTGGATATACTTCATGATCTCAATACCCCATGATGCCAGCGATCCTTCGCCGTAACCCGGCATGTCGACAATAACTAATCCAGGCCCGGCGATTTTGTCTCTACCGTTCTTGTCTTTCTTGAGCGACACACCTGTTTCCGGACCTATGCCGTAGAAGTTCATCGTCTTAGTGAAGCCGCGTGTTGCACTTGTTCGTGCAAGCAAGTCTTTCACGTTGGCGTCTACGATCGCGTTCAAGAGACTGCTCTTGCCAACGTTACTACGTCCTACGAAGGCAACTTCAGGGACATCAGACTCTGGCACCTCCCTGAAGTTGGCGATACTGCGTAGAAGTGTCGGACGGTTCTGGCTCTTCTGGCTCTTCAGGAAGAAGTTGTCTGCTCGAACAGTCTCTGCGCCCGTTGGTGGTATAGTTTGCCAATACCAGTTGAAGTGGTCAGGCGCTGGTGTCTTTGTTTCTTCGCTCGCTATTTGCATTGGGCTGACCTCTGTGGGCTCGACGTCTTCGGTCTGCTGGGAGCGATGAGGTATCGACGGTGCGGATGGCAGCAACTCCTCGAACGACTGCTCAATACTCTTCAAATATGCTGCTGCTTTCGGTCCTGGTATCCTTGCCCGACCTGCCCGTATACGCCCCACTGGCCGTGATGCCTGAACGTTCGTTTCGTTTGTATTGTACGATATCCATTCTCTTGTTGGCACATCAGTCTCCACAAGCCTCGGCTTCTTCGCGAGCAATTTCGGGGCACTCCATTTCTCCTTCAGTTCGGACGCTTCAAGTTTTGTTTTGCGAAACCGCAAGCCCTCCCAAGTCACCCCGTTGTTGCGCCTAGTCGTCCGCGCCTTCGGGGCCGTCAGATCGACGCCAGTGCTAGAACGACGGCGAGAAAGATGCTGTATGCAGTGCTTACATACAAATCGCGGCTTCGGCGCAAGCGAATACATCGAGAGTAAGACCTGGCGAGGGCGTCGCGACATGCGATGAACAAAAACCATTGGCCCGAGCTCCATCCACAACTTTTCGCCGCAGCACTCCCGCGGCGAACTGCACCACCATAATCCCACGTCAAAACCACACATCTCTCGCCTCTAAACTCACCCACAATGTCGCAAACCCCCGCCCAACTCCGCTCCCTCTACCGCCGTATCCTGCGCGAACTCCCCATCCCCGCCAGCACCACCCCCTCGCGCACATCCCACCAAAAGCTCTCCACACCCTCGACGCTGCAAAAACGCATCCGCGACACACTCGCCAAACCCGCGGCAAACACGGACTCCCGGATCCAGCAGGCGGAGCAATTCGCGCAATATGTACAGGCGCAACGGACGTATCTAGCGCTGATTGAGCGGTATAATCCGGGCATGGGGATGAGTGAGGAGGAGAGGGTACGGTTGAGCGCGCGGAGGGTGGGCATGAATTTGCCGGTGGAGTATGAGGTGGGGGGGTAAGGAGTGAAGATGGAGGGAGTGATGGGAAAGGCGCACCATTGGAGCTGAGGAGCTTGGGTAGGAGGCGTTTGCGAGAGGTATATAAATCCCTGGGCCAAATGTGCGTAGGGAATGTACTGAGAGGTGGTAGTAGGTGCAATGCTTTTGCGGCAAGGTGTGGAGCGTATGATTCGACGGTTGGGGACGAAATGCAGTTGGACGAGGGCGGACGTAGAAATATTGTCACCACTCCTAATTCCCATAGGCTTCCAGCGAGTGCGGCCTGTAAAGCCGTAGGACCTCAGATAATGCCAAACTAGTACGAATCCCTTCAAAGACACACATACTTATGGTAGCGGGCATTCACTGTGCAGGTGAAAACACCATCATTGCAAAAGCGTGCTCGCAAAGAAACATATTATGATGCAATTCAATGTCAATGTCTACAATACGGCCAAACGCAAGTCTTCGTCTCCTGCAACGTCTTCGCGTAAATTGCCATACAGCGCTGGCCTCTAAAGAAGGGTATGAAGCTTTTGTATTTTCCCAAACTCCTCTGCACCATATCATATACACCATTTTACATGCTCCACTTGCACGCTGACGGGTCGTAGAGTGCCATGAGGGCCTTGGGAATGCTGCGGTCCCGCTCCGAAAGCTTTTGCCTTGCAACCCTCTCCCTCTTCTTCTGATCTTTGTACTTTTTCAACCAAGGTAGCTTCTCTTGGTTACTCTCTTCTATTTCAAGAGATCAGCTCTGTTCCTTCAGTCTTCAAACTTGATGCCCTTGCCGCCCGATGTATCGATCATACCACCACGGTACGAACCTTTCTTTTTCTTGTTCTTCTCCTTTGTGAATCCCTTGCCCTTGGTTACAATGAGGTCAGCGTGAGCGCGATCGGCGTAGTCGTAGGAAACGTAGGCATTGCTGGAAAGTTTGGGGTCGACCCAGGTGTCTGCCTTGATGCGCTGAAAGCGGTTTTCGACGTGGTTCTTCTTTGCCTTGGGCTCGTCTGCAGTAGGTGATCCCTCAAACTTGCGCTTCCCTCCGGTGGTTCGCTCAGGCGAGGCGGCTGGGAGAGTGGCAGATGAATCGGTAGAGGAGCCCTTACGCTCAGCTGAACCAGGTGCTGCCTCATCGTCCGAGTCGGAAGAGCTGTCGGAAGAGCTGGAGTCGCTAGAGTCGCTGGACGATGAAGATGACGATATAGATGCAGCCTTCTTTGCAACCTTCTTGGCTTTCACCGCCGGTTTGGTTTCGGCTTCTGATTCGCTTTCGGAAGAACTTGAGTCACTGGAAGAGTCTGACGAGCTGGACGCCGACGAAGATGACACGGATGCAGCCTTCTTGACGACCTTGACCTTCTTCGTCTTTGTGGGCTTCTCGGCTTCAGATTCGGAGCTGCTGTCACTGTCCGAGTCGCTAGACGAATCGCTCGATGCGCTGGACGAGTCAGAGTCGGATTCGGGAAGAGGCTTGTTCGCTGGCTCGTCGTCGGAATCGCTGGAGTCGCTGGAGTCGCTGGAGCTGTCGCTGGAGGACGATGCGGAAGAAGAGGAGACGGACTTTGCTTTCTTGGCCTTGGCTGGGGTAGGTGCGCTCTTTGCCTCGGATTCAGAGTCAGAATCAGAGTCGGACTCTGAGCTGGAAGAGTCGGAGCTGGAGCTGGAGCTGGAGCTGGAAGACACAGAAGGCGCCTTCTTGAGGGGTGCCTTCTTGCTTGCCTTGGACGTCTTCACCGGCTTCTTCTCTTCTGCCTCGGACTCGCTGCTAGAGTCACTGCTGGAATCGCTGCTTGATGCACTCTCGGAGTCGCTGCTCGAATCGCTGCTGGAGTCGCTGTCGCTGTCGACATCCATTGGCTCAGGCGCATCTTGTGGCTTGGAGGCGCCAGTCTTCTGCCACTTCTCAAATTCCTTCAATTTGGTTGCAGCATCTTTGAGGCCCTGCTGCTCGAGGAAGGCTTGAACAGAGTCGAGGGGAACCTCAGCATTCGAAGTCGATGGCGCATCGCCGGTCGAGGCTTTGGTCGACTTCTTCGATTTCTTGTCACTGGCAGACTTTTTCGAGAGCTTCTTGTCTGTCGCCATTGTTTGGGGTGCTCTTTGCGGGATTTCAATAGAGATCTTGTTGTGTGGTTGGCGAGACGAGACGGCGGCTGTAGAGCAGAAAAAAAGTTGACGGGCGGAACTGAAGCCTCCAGGTTATTATGCGCTAGCGTTAGCCCCAAGCGGGTTCCTGGCCGGAGGTATACGACGCCAGACATGGCACTCTGCATCGCAGTGAGACACGGCGCCATTCCTGTGCTGCCGCCATTTGTTGCTGCAACGCGCTCTGGCTGCTGGGAGCTCCACACACGACCGCATCTCCTCGACTGCAGCACCACGCGTGTGCAGCACCGCTCGCTGACGTCGTATCCCACCGCAACGCCCACCTGTCCACTCGACACGCCGCATGGCAACCACTTGCAAGACATTCCGTTCGCGGCCTAGATCCGGGGTCCAATGAGCTCCGCCGCTGCAGCCCATTCCCAAGACCCAGAACGGACTCGAGCAGTGAAGTCATAGCTCGCCATGGACGGAAGAGCGCGCAACTACCCCAATGGCTTGGGAGACCCCCGAGCTCCACCCAGCCGTCCCTCGACCGGAGGCGCAAGAGGCTCCCCCTCCGCCGCCAGCTCCACGTCCACCCCGTCGGCCATGTCGCGCGCTGAGCGCTTCGACGACGAGCGCCGGCGCATCACCGAGAGCTGCTTCTCCAAGACAGACGACCAAGGCCAGCGTTAGTATTCCTGTTGGCACTAGATGCATGCCCGACCGCGCTGACACAACCCAGTCCAAGAGTCGTATATCACGCATATCCGCGTCCAGGAAGATGGCTCCTACCCCCAATCCCCGCCGCCGCCCACGGCCCCCGCGTCGAACAAGAAGGCCCGCATTATCATGATCTCCGTCCGCAACACTGGTAGAGTCAAGTTGCACAAGGCGCGAGAGAATGCAAATGGCACTTTCTCGATCGGCAAGTCATGGCCGATGGAGGATCTCTCGTCCGTCGAGAACTACGTGCATCTCATCCCAAAGAACGAGGAAGAGGCGCAGAGGCAGAAATGGGCAGGCGACAAGGGATTCACCGTCACCATAACAAAGCCTTACTATTGGGAAGCTGGGACTGCGAAAGAGAAGGAGTTCTTCATTGGAAGCATGGTTAAGATCTACAACAAGTACACCAAGGGCGAATTCCCCGTCTTGAGTGGCTTTAGCACCAGCGAACTCAACACCCTGACCAACGGACAGCCGCATCTGGCGGGAGCAGAGGGCCGAGCACCCACCACAGCTGGCGGGAGAGAGGAGCGCGAACCCCCACAACCACGACAGGCCACGCCAGATCAACGGCCCATGCCACCAAAATCGCCTGGCAAATCGCCAGGTCTTCCACCTCCAAGAAGGCCGCCAGGGGAATCTCCTCCGATGCTGCCAGGCGACGGCCGTAGAGGGCCTATGCCAGGACCACCGGGCCCCAACCTCAGAAGACCACCTGGCGAGTACCCTGGCCCTCGAAGGCCTGGTGGACCAGATGATCAATTCCGCAATGGCAGTAGACCGGGTACAGGAGACGCCGGCCGCAGACCGCCGCCTTTTGCACCGAATCCCAACACCCCGTCCATGCCAGATTTGAGAGCGAAGCGCTCCATGGACCCGAGCATACGATCACGGCCTAGCGGAGACAGCATGAGACCGCGGCCACCGCCTTTACAAGGCCGCGAGCCTATGCCACCGCCGCCACAGCCATCTTCCCAGAATCTAACGCCCCAGTCATCTATGTCTGAGTTTGCAAGCCGCCCGAAGACGCCCGATTCGGGTGGCTTCCCCGCTGGCCTTACACCTGGGCGACGCCAGATGGGGGACGACAGTCAATCGCAACGGTCTCAGAAATCTGTAGAAGATCTGTCTTTCGATGCAGGGACTCCCACCGCCTATCCCAGAATTTACGGCGCCCCAATGGGTTCACCTGCGCAGAGACGAGACGTATCGCCACCAAGATCAGTTCGTCCAACCACTGCTCAGAGCAATGCAAGCTCGAATTTCACGCGAAACGAGGACATCGTGCCAGAAGAACCTCCCCAACGGAGGCGACCCATGATGGAGGCGAGGCCATCAGATACGTCTCAACGCAGTCTTGGCAGCCAGGGCGCAGACTCACGTAATGATGCTTTAAGCCCTGAACAGTCTCCAGCTCCGATTGAAGTTCCCCCAAGAAGGCGACCTCAGGAAATACCTGAACGACTGAGGCCAGCAGCTCCGCCTAGTGCTGTAGGTCCTCAAGACAGTCTACCTCCGCAACAACCGACGCCACCTCCAACATCACCACTTCCCCAACTGCCCATTGCGCCCTTGTCGGTTACATCTGACCCTGCTATCCAGCTAAATTCAAGCGATAAAGAAGTAGCAGAAAGCGTCACTGCTCCAACAGATGAGACAGAGTCAGAGGCCGCCCATCGACCAGGCATGGGGCCAATGATAAAGAAAACTCTCGGAACGGCAGAGGCAGCTACCAAGTTCCGAAAGGCCGCCGCAGCTGCCGGAGCTTTCAAACCCCGTGCTGGTGGCGCTGCTGCTAAGCTGTTTGCCCCCAAAGAAACAAAGTCGTCAGATGAACCGGATGGAATCAGTGGGGTGTTTGTTCCGCAAAGACCCATTCCAAAGGAAGCTCCAAAGGAAGTTCCCATGGAGGAGAGCAAGCAGCCCGACGACGCACCCAAGGCCATACCAGACAGAGCCTCAAAGGAGCGACCGCGCATCAGTACAGAGGTTGTTCCATCTGTAACAATATCGTCTCCTCTATCAGCGGCACCAGCTGCACCACTACTAGAGGAAGAGGAAAAGTCACTCGCACCCTCTTCCGATATTTCGACACTACAGACGATCACCACAGAGCCTGAAGTACGACGCAAGAAACGGAGATCTAACCAACAAATTACAAACATCTCGAACCTTGGTATTGACCCAAGTCTAATCGATGAGCAAGGACTCGAGTTTGAGGGACTGCTGGCAGAACTCGGTTGGGGCAGTAGCGAGCTTTCAGCCAAGAACATTGACTCGCTAGAAAATGATATCAAGCGCGAGATCGCTCGCGTCGAGGCAGGTAGTTGGCTGAATCACCTGGAGCAAAAGGATGATCGCGTAGAGGCAGTTGAGCGTATGCTCGATCGTGCAATTGCCGAGTGCGATGAGCTTGAAGGTTTGCTCACACTATACAATGTTGAGCTGGGCGTAAGTTGATCCATACGTGCATCTCTATTTGGGGTCGGGTACTGACACAGAAGCAGAGCCTCAATGACGACATCGCTTTCATAGAAGCACAGAGCCAAGGTCTCCAGGTGCAAACAGCAAATCAGCGGCTCCTTCAGCATGAGCTCCAGCAGTTGGTCGATACCATATCGATCACGTCTGATCAACTGGAACCTTTGAGACGCGCACCTATTGGCAAAATTAATGGCCTCAAAGACATTGAGTCATCGCTGGTGCTACTCTACAAAGCCCTGATAACCATCGACCCTTCTTTTGTCACAGGCAGTCGCTCAGACGGGGCGCTTAGCAAAATCAACAGCAGTTCAGGTTTCGGCAATAGCGAACTTGCCACGATGCAGGCCTTGCAAGAGAAGCGCGACAGGTACCTCGGCGAGGGAGCGATGTTCTTGGACCGACTGAAGAAGCACATGGACATCACCTTTGGAGCAGCTTTCATGACCACAAGAGACGCTCTCACCAATATCGACCAAGGTTCTATGCCTTCCCTGAAGAAGAACGTGGAAGCGCATGATGCAGGGCGCAATGAACTGTGGATGCTGAGCCCAATCATGCTGTTCGCCAAAGAGATTGATCGAAACTCTTGGGATACTTTGCTTCGCATGTACCAGACTCAGGCTGCCAAACTCTACCAGGAAGAGGTTCGTGACAATATTCTGACCTGGAGGAAGTTTGCACGCAGGCCAACTGGTGAGGAGCAAGACTTATTGTTCACTGCCCAGGAGAAAGAGACGGAGAGCTTCACGGGTACTGCGAGAAAACTTACCGTCAAGCGTAGCCAGACCCTCGCGCGTGGCTTACGCTCAGCATCTGGAGACAAAGAGACTAAAGCGAGCAAGACACAAGACGGCAAGCTCTACGCCTTTGATGTCTTCTCGCGTATCTTGGAAGATACGGGCCCTGTGCTCCTAACGGAGCAGAACTTCATCACCGAGTTCTTCCATGCAACCTCTACCGATGCTGTCGACTTTACCGACGCGGTACAAGCCGCTACGCCGGAAGCCCGACGCGGGCCAAATCTTTGGATTAGGAAGCAATTCGAGGCCGATCGAGCTATGGCGAAACATGTTACAGGTGTCATGGAAGAGATCTTCTCCTTTTGGCCCACTGAGATCCAGAGCCTTGTGGACTGGGCCGTTCAGGCCGATCCTTTGCAAGGCGTGGGCATTCTAGGAGCAGTCGACCGGAAGCTTGTGGACATCGAGGATACTAACCAGGACTTCTTGACAAGGAATCTACAAAAGATACACGAACGGTTGAAGGGCCTTTTCAACCGCTTCCTTGACGAGCAAATACGAGCCATCGAAGACACCAAAGTGAAGATCAAGAAGCGCAAGGGAGTGATTGCGTTCATGAAGACGTTCCCGCATTTTTCTGCTGCCATTGAGAATATGCTACCATCTACCACCAATGGAGGCGACCAACTTGAAGTCAGGCGCATGGTCAACGATGCCTACCAGAGGATGAACAAGGCTATGTTTGAAAGCTTGAAAGTGATTGCCAAGGAATCGCCCACGGTGACAGCATCGCAAGGCCAGGGAGATCCAGAAGACAAGGAAGCACTCAACTACCACATCCTACTCATTGAGAACATGAACCACTACATGGAAGAAGTGGACGCTCGAGACGAATCGGTGTTAGAGACGTGGAAAGCCAAGGCTCACGACGAGTATGCCGAGCATATGAACCTTTACGTTGATGCTGTCATCCGGAGACCCTTGGGCAAGCTTTTGGTAAGCCGATATCCTGTTAGTGTACCAATGTTGTATGCCTGCTAACAAGATCTTAGGAATTCATCGAATCGAACGGAAACTCTGCTCACGCAGCCCGGCGCCAGCGCGCAATCCATCGCGCAACGTTCATCACATTCACGCTCGGTGTTCAAGAAGCTTGTACACGGCCACGACTCAAAGGAACTCCGAAAGGGTATCGAAGCCCTCAAGAAGCGCGTTGACAAGCACTTTGGCGATGCAGACGACCCGACCATCAGCCGCGATCTCGTGTTCAAAGGTACTCAAAGAGTGTGAAAAGAAGTACAACAACGTTCACGAGCGTACTGTTAGGATTAATCAGGATGTATATACGGGAGAGGTAGAGATCGATTGGGGAACGACCGAGGTCGCCTCTGCTTTCCGGAGGTAGAGTCTCCGGAAGAGTGGCAGCTCGAACTTGTTGATATTCAGGTAGTTGTCTGGAATTGGCCTTGGCCTTTGTATATGGTTGCGCTCCTTGTGGTTGAGCACGCCATGGGACATTGCAAGGTGTTTCTGGCGCACACCTTTTGTAGGAGAGGGTACGTGAGATTATCAACATCCATTGTTGCGCATTTGGCAACCCTTTTACATGCACTTTTCCCTATGCCTCACCAATCGCTACACTGCTGATGATGTTTTCGAAATGGCGGATTTCACGGACACCGTGGAATACGTCGGACGCCTTGAAACCCACACCGACGTGCATATGTGACGTGCTAGATCCATTCGAACCAAGCCTTTGGCGATGATGGAGCTCACCCCTGTCGCGGCCCTGCATAAGCGTGCTGACGACATTGAATGTCGATCGAGTGCCCAGCCTAGATCTCCAACCATCCTACGCTCACCCAGACTAAATAGTGTAATCGTTCGCGCCGACAATGGGACCGAACTAGCCCAGACGCGTCACTTGTCGGTGGAATGTATAAAGGGCTTTCGGTCGCGTCGTGGTGAGGGGTTGCTTGTCCTCATCCCCCACGCGACACCACTCGAAATGACGCTCCTACAAACCCTCCTCCGCGCGACGGCGTTCAAGTCCCCATTGCTCCGCACTCTCGTCCCTGCTGTTGGTTTGGCATATGGCATCCAGGCAGCTGTTGCTGTCCCATCGATTACGGCGCAGACAGAGCGGTACTATGATCTAAGTGGCAGCGTGACGTATCTGTCATGTACCGCTCTTTCTTTGTTCCTGCCGTACCTGCGCGCAAAGAACGCAGGAACCTTCACAGGCGGGCTATCTGAGTACTTTTCAAGCAAAGGATTAGGCCAGGGAACGTGGTGGTGGAGACAAGCGCTTCTAAGCGCAGCAGTGGGGGTGTGGGCTTTACGATGTAATATACATACGCCTTTACTACGAAGTGTGACTTGAAGAACGATATGTTGACATGCGCGCAGTGGGATCCTATCTCTTCCAGCGCATCTCCTCCGACGCGGGCCGCGACTCGCGCTTCGACAAGATCCGCAGCAGCCCCTCGAAATTCTTCGTCGCCTTCTTCGCCCAGGCAACATGGGTGTCCCTCTGTACGCTGCCCGTCATCCTCGTGAACGCCGTCCCGCGCTCCGCATACGCTACATCGGCCCTGGGCGCGGCGATATCCGCGCGCCCCTATCTGACAGATATCATCGGCCTCGCGCTGTTCGTCTTCGGCCTGAGCTTCGAAGTCACGGCCGATCGCCAGAAGAGCGCGTGGGTCGAGGGGAAGAAGGCGAAGAAGCATTCCGAAGAGTTCTTGACGCATGGCCTGTGGGCGAAATCTAGGCATCCGAATTACTTTGGCGAGGCGACGTTGTGGTCGGGCATTGCGGTTGCTGCTGCGGGTCTGCTTGTTCGCCAGCCCACGCAGGCTGCGCTGGGCTTGAGTGGGTCGCCGGCGAGCCAGATGCTGGTGTCCGGGTTGTGCGCGGCGAGCCCGGCGTTTGTGTCGTTTTTGCTGCTCAAGGTGAGCGGGGTGCCGTTGAGCGAGAATAAGTATGATAAGAAGTATGGCGACAGGAAGGATTATCAGAAGTGGAAGAGGGAGACGCCCATGTTCTTTCCGAAGTTTTGGTAAACGGGAACCAGGTTAAGAGAAGAGAAGAGGACGAGGAAGTTCCATTACTGCTCATCGTTGATGATAATGCTACATGGGCATCTTTGTTCAGTGCAACAATGTCCGGCTGCCTATAATCGGCAAACTCTACATCCCAAAGTCATGAATTTCAGCAAACTAAAAGACTCTTCAAAACTTCCTGGAGTAAGCTGAACTCTCCATGGGACAAAGCACAGTCTTTCTACTCTCCATCACTATTCTGTAAGAGTCGTCGCAATGCCTCTGTACAGTTAGTTTGCAACGATGGGTTAGAGCTCAGATAAGTAGATTGCTGTATGCAATAAGTAAGCGTTGTTTCAGCCTGGCCGTGACCCTAGCAAGGCTTAAATCCTACAGCAACTGCTCCACTACCACACCACCCTACATCACTGACTGCCAAGACTCGGCCCCTACTCTTCGCCATTCCAGTCAAGCCATCATGTCTGCCTTCAACTCGACCGCCTTTTCCCGCCTGCGATGGTCTGTATTCGAAGACCCATCCACCATCCGTGTAGCAGACGATGCCTCAAAACCAGCGCCGTCGCTCACACCGTATACCCATCACCATCCCGTCGCCCTGGAAGCCGCATGTACGCCTCCCGTGAAAGAGATTTACTTCACGATGCAAGTGTACGGCGAGTATGAAGGCTGGGACTCCTCACCGCTGCAGGATATCCAAAGACCTGCAACAGCCTGGCACGAGGTCGCCGTGCGCCGCTCCGACGGGGATGCTTTACTAGTAGCCGACGTCGTCGAGCAATTGCACGCATATTTCCAGAAGCAGAAAGACTGGATTCTGGAGGCGCTGACGCCGCTGTATGATGTGCAGCAGGGCTTGGAAATCGACACGCCGATTCCGCAAGGCGCGCGGGTGTGGTTTGAAGGCTTCGAAGCTATCGAGGTCAGGGGCGATGGGACGGTTGGTGTTGCTGTGTGGTTGGAGGGAATGGATGAGTTTGGTGTTGAGGAGTTTTGGCGGAGTCGCTATAGAGATCGTAAGGATTGAAGGCTGAGGCAGTGTCTGGTGTGTAACTGGTTAGATGGTCCTGGCTGTGGAGGGAGGATGCTGAGATGGCTACAAAAGAACTAGTTGGGGCATGTAGCATTGCGAATACATCAGCGGAAGGCAATTGGAAGAGATTTGTCAAATTCAAGTACTTGGTTCACCCACTTCGCAGTGCATTACCTAGACAGGAAAACAAATTTGTATGTTCTTGAAGCTATATTGATGTACAACCAAAGATTATGAGTTCAAACTTAAGATTGTTTGTTTGCTTTTTGATGATTTTATCTTGTTTTTGGATATTCTTTTGACCATTTAGCTATAACCCAAGCGTCCTGGGTTATTGCACAGGGCTATGATTATAAGAACCATCATGCTGACATGTCAGCTCCTGTAGTTCTCCCGGTAGGACTACCGTTTGGCGTTCACTGCTCAAACCAAGCCTTTGGTGATGGCGCCGGGATGGGTGCATACAGGCGACAAGTAGCCCGGAAGCCAGGGTACGCCGCATGGCTACGAGGAAGCAGACTAACAACCAGGTGGACGACAGAGTTGGAACAGTGGAGGAACGTTTCGGAAGCCAGGGTCGATGTGGACGTTCTGTGACCGGCCCAGAGCTTGGTTCTTCACCAATTCCGCTTGATACTTGGGAAAGCAGATCTGGCACGAAGGACCAAAAAGCGAATATTCCGGGTGGCCATGCTCGCATCGCTTGGTGAGGATGTCGTAAGGGATCGTCAGGAAGCGCGGCTGCCGTGTGATATCCGAACGGGAACTTGGTCGAAACCATCTGGCCAGGAGCAGGAAGTAGACCTTCTGGATCGCTGATGCGGTTGTTTATGTCGTCGACTGAAGTGTTGATCAAGACAAAGATGTTGTTGGGAGACTATCTCATGGAGCTTGCAGCCTAGGAGGATCTTCTGGCATCGAGGGATGCAATCATCGTCGGTTGTTTCTTTGCTTTCATCCTTCATATTCCATCGAGCAGTGACAACTTCTTGCGGAGCGTAGGAAATAGGAAATTCCTGCAGGAAGAAGCTTGCGGGGATGAGGCCATGTTCGACCTTGTCGCGATATACTTTGAGTTCGACAACGGCCTTGACGCCGCAATCACAGGTGTCAAACGCGTTTGGATCGAGTTGCTGGCACTCGTCCATGCTGAAAAGCCATTTCAAAATGTGGTTCTGATTCGGAGACTGAGTGTTCCCGGGACGGGCGTCCAGATTCTTCTGCAACTGCGACAACTTTGTGTTCTCGTAATCACAGTACTGATTATACTCGGCAATCCCGATGTTTATGATATAATCCTCTGATTCATTTAGGTAAGACCTAGAACGGGAACACGGGCCCTCAAGGCCACGCTCGATGTCGGGATAGGCAGGGGTAGATCGCCTTACACGATCGTGTTCAGCCCTAATAGTATCGTCCCAATTCTCAACCGGCATAGCTGTATTCGCAGTCTTGATCTTATACCACTGCAGAGTAAGTTGATTATGCCAGAAGTTGGCATTCGTAATGCGGTCGCGTCCACGGTAGCGCGACTCAAAAGGCGACTGTTCGAATTCTTGGACAAACTCAGCAGGAAGCTCATCTCTCAAATGGTCCAGCATAAATCTCATGTCGCTGGCATCACCGAAGACGGAGCGTCCCAGTGAGCAGAGCTCCCAGTCACACTGACTAGCCACTGATGCGTTCATATCATAGAAGATCTCGCCTCCATCTATGTGGTGGTTTTCAAAACACTTCTGAGCGTTGGCCATAGCGGTATAGCTCTCCTTGAAACTTGAATTCCCATGCTCATTCACAAGGTAGTCCAATATGTGGGCGCTGTCGATGCGCGCATGAGAAACAGGAAGTCCTTGAAAGACATCGCCTTGAGCACGGGTCTCGTTGCGGAGGGCAAGGGCCACCTTTTGCTCCTCATTAAGATGGAAGACATTTTCAGCCTCTTCGGCTATGCTGTGAGCTGTGGTGAGCTCGTGCACGCAGACGTGATGTATAGCATGGACAATTCGATTCATGCAGGCGATTAAACCCTGATCGTCTTCAGTGTCGCAGAGCAATGCTGCGGTCAAGGGGGTAGAAACGGGAGAGATGTAGTCTGCTTCCATCTCGGAGAAGTCCACAACTTCCGCGATTCCGATGGGAAAGTCCACAACCTCAATGACTTCGATGAGCGGAGCAGTAATGACGTTCGAAAGCCATGGCCCCATGTCCTTGGTGACGGGCGGAGAGGTGTTTGGAGTTGCTGATGCACGTTTGACTGCACACAGAGATGCATGTCCACCGCATACTGTCCATAGTAGGACAATGACGACGAGGATCATGAGGAAGTTATTTACAAAGTCTGACACGAGCCATAGCTCGGCGAGAATTGTAATTGATAGAAGGATGGCCTTGATCATGAATCGAAAGTCGCCGTCCTGGATACTGTCCATGGATGCAACGATTGTCACTGGGGCATGGTCAGAGGCCTTGGAAGAAGGGGCGGACTGAGCGAGCATGGATGTGTTGGACCAGCTAGTCGGAGGGGTAGTCGTAGTAACTGTATTCAGGGCGCTGCCATTCTCGGTGGAGGGCATTGTGCTGGGGTGCAAGGGGTTGGTTGGAGGGTGGAGTTGCGAGGAGAGCGAAAGACTGGGGCAGTTATCAGTGAGTATGCTCTCTCTCGCGTGGCAGGCAGACAGGCAATACAACCCTTTAGAAGATTTTTTAAGGACTAATAACGAGAATTCCAGTAGGCGCGACACAATTGAGTGTCGAATTTTGGCAAAGGTGTAGTAGAGATGGTAGAGTTCGGGTGCTGATCTGTGTGGAAGGCGACAGGATACCAGCGAGAGAGAGTTAAGTAGTAGATTCGAGCTCGCAGTTGTAATTAGGAAACGCTTGGAGGGCAGGGCCGTGGGAATGGCATAGGGGAGTGCTGACGTGCTAGTAGTTTGGCGAAGGGTTGCAGTGAAAGCATGAATACGGCGGCGCTGTGGATGAACAACGTCATTCGCGACGTTATTCATCTGCCGGCACCCATAGTAACGGAAAGGAACAGCACATAAGTGGATTTATCACTATCCAATTGATGTTCCCGTACCGTCTGATGTAGTCGGCTGGTTCGTTGCGGTATTAGATGGCTCTGGTCTGCTGCCATGGTTTGCTGGAATCTCTAAGGGTACGTTACGGCAATTTGGATGGTTATCCTGAAATTGTCGTGTCGACCCAGCCGCGTTGCTCGCCAATCCCAAGTTGTTGATACCTCCAGCAATGTTAAAGGGCTGCTGATATAGCTGGATGAGAATTATATAGTGAAGTCGATTGTCAATACTGATCAGTGCAAAGGGAATTACATCTCTATGACGAGGTTGACTAAAACAACAGCTATGTGACAGTAAAATCATATCAACTGTTAAAAAGCATCTTCAGCAAAAGAAAGCATGAGAACAAACACAAGATCATTCACGAGGGTAAGAATTAAGACAAAGAGGATAGCAAACATACGGTCAAAGACTGGAAGTAAGAGAGGCCGAAGTCAAGTACCTTCTGCGTTGCAAATCAGTCGATTTTCATCCTAGTTGAAAGAGCCTACGCTCATTAAGCTTGATAAATTCAGAACAAGGCGGGTGTCTGTATTAAACACAAAGTTCCTGCGGAGGGAATTCTCTGCATTCTGATATTACATCTACCACACCCAAAGACTCCCGAATCTCTAAACATATCACCCCTGAGCACTGTCCTATCTCCCATCCGTCGCGGTATGTATTAATATTCTCGAAAAGCTAGAGCTAGTTTTTGCTTCGACGCCATCGTCTACAACTTCCCCTTCTTGACCGGCGGCCTCAAAATACTCTGCTGGCTCATACTCGCCACCGCCCTGCCTTGCTCGTCCCAAATCCAACTCTCTCCAAACGCCCTCCCCTCTGCCGCTACATTCGTCTTCATCTCCCGCAAATGCCAGGCGCCCAAATCCACCTGATCCCCGCTCTTGAAGAAGCGCAAGGCAAAGTCCAGACTCGAGCACGCGGCCACATCTTCGAACCACAGGTGGCTGAATGACAGCGCGAGGAAGGCGATGGCGCCGTCGATCAGGAAGGCCAGGTTGGATATGTGGTCGACGGGTTCGGGCATGGTTTCGGTGCAGCGGAACCAGTCTGCTGTTGTGCGCTCGGTTACGGGAAGGTGGTCCTGCGTGTGTGGCAGGGATTTGGCGATGCCGAAGAGGTTTTGGGAGAAGATAGCTTCAGGGCAAGGACGTTGGTCGAAGATGTCGTTCATAAGGCCGAAGGTCTTCTCGTGGCCGTCTAGCATTTGCTTGGTAATCTTTCCGTCTTGCAAGAGCTTTTGAAAGACTTCCTGTTGGCGGGGAAGGTTTTGGTGATGAGTGTACTCCATGCTTGGTTGCGTGGAAAATTCTAGGAGACTGGCGGGTTCGCGGACTTGAAAATCAGCGATTGCGATGAACAAGACTCGTTCTTCGCCGTCTCTTTTTTGGCTGACTTCAACTTGGCGGGTTGCGAATGTGCGTGTTTGGCGGATGGTGCGTACTCTGGCGCGCAAGGGGTGGTCGGCAGATGCTGGACCAAGGAAGTGTCCCAGCATGGAGTATATGTGGTAGCCTGCGGGAACGGACAAATACGCTGCTTTGCAGCCCATGGCGAGAGCATAACCGCCATATGCTATTCTCAACGGGTTGCCCATTGGTGAGGGTGGGTGTACCGTCTCAAACTCATTGCTGTTGCTCTGAGGCTTGAAGGCCAATTGCTCGGTGAGCGTTAACGATGATGGCTTCGACATGTTGCGAAGCTGGAACACAGTTTTTTCTGGCTACAAGATGGGATGTAAGAACGTTGAAGTCGATCTGACCTACATCCAGAATGGTGTCGCATAGCACAAGTCTGGACGCCTAAGTAGCTTACCTCGGCAGACCCCAATTAGCGCTTCTTCCCCTTACACCGACCGATCAAGGGATCACTAATCCAACGTCTTGTAATCAGGCATTGCCATGGACCAATTGAAACTTTGTATTACAAGATCACGGCCTCTTCCACTTTTGATTACAAAGTCGAGCAGTCAGATCTAAGAGCAATTATCGATGAGCTCCCAACCGCCGTCATCATCACCGTCATTTGAACCCCCTGGTCCCGACTGGTTTTCATACCGTAATCCTGCATGGCAGAGCGATAGACTGGATCTTGCACTTGTCATGCTCAGCATATCCCATTCCAGAAGATCATCACTCTCTGACTGCTCAATGCCCAACAAGGCGCCCAGATCATGAGCTGCTTCTTGCTCATCGGCTGTTCGCGAAGAGGTGCCTTCTTGTGGCTCTCTGAAAGGCAACTCTTGTAGGTATGGCCTCTTCCTAGATCGGTCTTCGCTCATCTGCTCGGGGCCTGCAACAATCGTGATAGTCCGAGTCTCGCGCACGCCTGCTCTCGCCTCTTTCTCCACTGCGGCATTCGCAAGCACTTTCTGAAACTCAGCATCACGACGTCCAAGTAACTTTATCGGAGCCTTGATTTTAAGTAGTGGGCTGATAATCGCGCACCGCCTGAAGCCTGTGTCGGTGAATATTGTGTCTTCTCCTTCTAGCTCTACCAGGTGCAGCGAGCCACTCAGCTTGGCCACCTGAGCACACGTCAGCGCCCAGTAGAAGTATATAGTAGATCGTCCATGATGTCGGCTGACAGGCAGTCTGATGAAGCGCATATGCGACTTGGCAAATGATGAAAGTTTCTCAATGAATAGTGGGAAGATGCCCTGAAGATCCCTTGGACTGAAGATGACAGAATGATAAAGGATTGGAAGTGCTTCGCCATAAACCAGATGGTTCGTCCGTAGTAGATTGGCACCAACGGATAATTTTGGTTGTTCGTGGAATCTCGTTTCTATCTCAGGACGCTTGGAGTGTTTGTATAGCGAGTTTCCGTAGCGTTTGCCTGATATGCTTACGCCCGCAAATGATCGACTGATGTGGAGCACGGGCTTTTCTCTAGAAGAATCTGTAAGGACGTAGGCCCATATCTCGAGACGGAGCTCTTTCGGTAGCATGAGCAGGCGAGAAACCCCAGAATCGATTTGCCGGCCGTTGGCGCGAGCGACGTCATCTGTGCTGGCTGGAGATGAAGTGAAGTGCACGGAACTAGGAGTGCTGTCGAAGCAACTTGAGAAGACCATGTTGCTTTGAGTTAGTAGGAGAGGAAATGAGCTTTATGTCGCGCGTATGCGAAATGCCAAGGAGTGCAAGGACACTGCTGCCTAGTCCGGTAGCACGTCGCTATGAAAAGATGATGAGGGGTCAATGCGCATGCTCACCTTAAACGTTGCACCTTGTTATTCATATCGTCACTATGGCATGCCTACGACAACGCATCTCAATGCAGAACCACGAACCCGAGTTGTCGCAAACATGAGGGGCTCCATGCCATTGATTCCCTGGTACCATGACGGTAGCGCGCGATGGATAGGCGCATTCGGGCGCCGCATGCATAGAATATTCCACCGGTTGCTTCAGTCTGTTTGTCAGTACTGACCCGTTCAAAGGCAAGGTCTGCATGGCAGAGACCCGACTTCCTTCTCGTGGAGGTTCCAAGGGTCAAAAGTGGAGCCCAGCGGGAGCGGGACCGCGGTACGTCAGGGAAAGCTTGGGCCAACACCGCCCAAGCTTCAGCGAGTTTCGATACTTGTTACAATGCAAACCACCTCAACATGCACCCACGCAATTTTCTGATCCCCAAACGCCATGAATGGGGCAGACATCTGGACCGACGGTGAAGGACGTGTCACGGGGCAGCTGCCTACGCCTACCTTGTCGCCAGAACCTGATGATGTGGCATTACCGAACGGCCACGGTGACGATGAAGCCAGGGAGGGGAGGCCGTTACAGGTCATCACGAACACCTTCAGGGCAGATCCAAACGGAAGTCTGAGCGCCAGCTCGACCAGCAGACGTACAAGCATGCATGAAGATGCTATACTGTCCGACACAAGCGAAAAGATACGCCCCATCAAGCGGCCTGGAGATGCACGCAGGAAGAGCAGCGTTTCCGAGCAGGACAAAACCCTGAAGCTCAGTCCACGTCAGATCCATGAGCTCACCAGCGAGCCCGCGAGCATTCCCATGCGAGTAGCGACTCCGATATTGGAAGAGGTACTGGAGGGAGAAACACCTGGCGAAGATGCGGATGGCGAGGAAGATAGCAGAGTGCTGGGTGTGGTCTTGGAGCGTCCCGTGATGACAAGTGGCACAGAAAGAGGCGACAGGCGAAGGGGGGCATCACAAAGCCGGGAGCGCAAGCAAGAGACGGAAGTGGTCGTTATCAGAACGCCCGCAACTGAGTTGAGGCATGGTCGGCCACTCTTGACGTCTCGATCTATTACAACACCATCGGTCGTGCGACGTAGACAATCGACGTCTCGATCTCGACATGCGCACGACGGAGAGGACCGCCGAAGTAGGCATGTGCCAGCACCGCTGAATGTGGACCACAGAGAAGGGCTGTCGAAGCCTGCCCCACAAGACAGGCGCAAAGAAGGCCGCGAGATTCGGGACTTGTTCTCGCCTATGCGTGCAGCCTTGCCTCTACCGCCCATGTCCATGCCGACATTTCTGTCCCTTGAGCTGTCAGCAAGTCGTCCATCTCCTTTGTACATATACCGGGCCTCGGATGACGACTTCCCGTACGAGTCCTCCGAACTGAAGTATCAGCGCCTGATCAACTTCATGAAGATACCAATGAAGATTGAGGGTATCCTGGCCTTTGGCGCGCTTGCTTGTCTGGATGCCTGGATGCACACGTTGACGATTCTGCCGCTGCGTTTCCTGCTTGCTGTGGGCATTCTGGTCAGGTGGTGGGGCTCGGTCCTCATCAAAGAAGCCCGCGATATCTGGGCGTTCGTATACAGCGGCCTGCCACGTTTCTTGAGCCGACGGAGACAGACAGATGCCCCATCTATACCGCCGACTCCAGCGGAGGAAATGCCCCCGCCAATGTCACGAAGGGCATCCTCGAACGCAACCGCTACGGCAGCGGGGAGGCCAAACGGAGATACCGTAACGACTTTCAAGTTTCCAGAACTTAAAGACTCTCGTCCAAGACGTACACGCAACTCTCGTTTCCGCCATCGCCGCACCAAGTCCACGCCATCTGCACTCATGCCAAGCCATAAAGCAGACATCTTGAAAGGGCTCTTGATTGTCTTTAGCTGCTTGTTACTGATGCGCTTTGATGCGAGCCGGATGTACCACGGCATTCGTGGGCAGTCTGCAATCAAGCTCTACGTGATATACAATCTACTTGAGGTGTGCGACAGGCTACTTTCGGCGATTGGCCAGGATGTTCTCGAATGCCTGTTTTCCCGCGAGACGCTCGATCGTAACGCTGACGGTAGAAGCAAGGTGCTGCGTCCATTCGGCATGTTCATCCTCGCATCGGTCTACACCGTTGCACACGCAACGGCATTGTTCTATCAGGTCATCACGCTGAATGTCGCTGTCAACTCGTACTCGAATGCACTTCTAACCCTCCTAATGTCGAACCAGTTTGTGGAGATCAAAAGCACCGTGTTCAAGAAGTTTGAGAAGGAAAACCTCTTCCAGATCACATGCGCAGACATTGTCGAGCGGTTTCAGTTATGGCTTATGTTGCTGATCATTGCTATGCGTAACGTAGTAGAGGTCGGCGGCCTCAGCATCCGAAGCAGCGACGTGTCGTGGACGGCAATGTTTACCTCTGGCAATCTCACGTCATCTGCCACTCCCCCAGCCTTTACGGCATCAAGCATCCTGCCTATGAGCTTCACCATCTTCCCAAAGTATGTCGCTCAGGTACTAAACCCATTTCTACTAGTCATTGGCAGTGAGATGGTGGTCGATTGGCTGAAACACGCCTACATCACCAAGTTCAACCAATACAAGCCAGAGGTGTACAGCAAGTTCTTTGACGTCCTCGCCAAGGATTACTACTCGAACGCGTTTAGTGACCCAAACCTTACACGACGATTGGGTCTGCCAGTCATTCCGCTGTCATGCCTATTCGTTCGTGCAGCCATTCAGACTTACCACATGTTCGTCGCTATGCACATGCCGCCTCCGCTGCCGACAAGCTCGACGTCGCTCTCCTCTGACGCTGAGTCGTCGCCAGCCACCACTGCCGCCTTTGCACACATCGACCAAATATTCCGCCGCGCTATCGGCCGCTCGTCTCTTGGTGCGGGTCTGCCATCTCAATCATGGTACCACTACTCTTCCTGGACGCTCGACGACCTGATCGCCGGCTCAACCATGCTCATCGTCTTCCTCGTCATCTACCTCATCTTCCTCGCCTTTAAGCTCATCCTCGGCATGCTTCTCCTCATCGTCGCCCGCAAGCGCTACCACGGCATGCAAGAGCGCGAAATGCTCAACGTCGAAACAGGCGGCAAGCGCATCGGCGGCTTCGGCGTCGTCGACGTCGACGACAACGCGCGCAAACACATCTACGACGACGACCCCGAGACGCTGAAGAGACTGCGCGACCGGGATGAGAAGGCGAAGAAGAAAGAAGATGTCGAACGCGAACGAGGCACGAGTTTCGGACATGTGAGTCGGTATGCCATGGTAGCTAAACGCATATGGTAGAAACAAAGTAGATACAATACATCCCTTGCACTGAACAATAAACCTCCCAACAGATTAACATCCATCCTTCCCGTATCCCCGTCCTTTCACTTCCACACACACGCCGCCCCTCCCCCCCTTCCTCGCTTCCGAGCCGACAAACTCAATTCCCCCAAACCTTATACGCGAGATCCATCCATCCATCCATCCATCCCCATATCCCTAATCCCCATCGCCATCCCCACATGCCCATGCGCAAGCGCAAGCGCAAGCTTAAGCGTGCCAAGCCCGCTACCACACACGAGTCATGTTCATTGTCTGAAAAGTACAACGTCCGCTTGCAGAGCAGGTATGCCGATGATGTGCCCATTGTGCTAGGGACGGAAAAGGACCTTTGCCCGAATGTCAATGCGAAGGGTACGTACGTACGGCCGTCAGTTGCCAGGGTTGTGTTTTCGCGTTCCCGAGTATCTGGGTAGATTGCGATTGAAAGATTGAAGGGTGAGGTGAGTTTGGAGAGGGGGAGAGGGGGGGCGTGCGGCTTACGGCAATCATGCGTTTTGAGTTTCATGTTTGCGGGAGCGGTGAAGATGGACGACCTCTACTGCATCTGTCTGTGTCTAATTATCTTCGAAAATGGTTCTCTTGGCTATTATGCCATTGACATTTGGAGACAGATGGGAGCAATCTTGGTGGACTGTAAAAATGGTTGGGTATTTGATGAATGTCTGTCTACCAAAACAAATGTGACGACTAAGTGGCCTGTCCAATGTTTATCGCGTTGCGGGACAATAAATGCTCGTGGATTCTTCCAAAATAATGCGTTAGGTCCTCTTGAATCATGTCTGTGTCTGACTCTTCTTCGTCACATATACAAATACAACAGCCTCCCCATAGATAGCCGCTCCCTAAATCACTCTATAGTCCCCCTCCTCTAGTATCCTCATCTTGGATATTGCGACGCGACCAGCCTAGCAGCCGGATCCGCTGTGATATCATCCTGGTTAAACTCTGATCCCATACACCAGGGGAGGTCGCGGTATATGCAAATATATGCAGTCTCGAAGACGAAGCGTCGGTCGAGTGTTGAACAAATGTTGCGACATGGTATAGAAATGTCCGGAACAACGCCAGAACGCCGCGCAATGAAATCGACTTCGGAGGGTATGATGTCAGAGTAAGGGAATTCGTCGAGCTGCGCACGCAGCCATAGGCGATGCAGCGGGCGAGGTTCAAGTGTTGCTGATGATGACCCGAGCGCCCTCCTTGCCTAGTACACCCCTCTCTTTCGCCTTGGGACTCCTGTCTCGTCCCTTCTTACGGCTCAGAAAACCAAGCATGCCAGATGGCTTCTCAGCAGTTTGAGGGTTCTGTACAAGCGCAGAGCTCTGGTTAGCCATTTCAGACCACGAACCGGTTTCGTTGAGGACTACCTGTACGCCTCCGCCCATGCTGGTGCTCCGTTGTGAGCCACGTGGGCGAGTGTTCATGGGGCGAGAGAATGAAGGCGGCACTGGCTCGGAACCGTCCGCGGGAAAGTAATCCGCACGCTCACCGCGCTGAGACGTGGGAGAGTCGGCCGTGCCGGCCGTGCCGGCCTGGTGGAGTGCAGTCGTGGGCAGCGGAGGGCTGCCGCTTGGGGACTGAGTCGTAGAGCGCGCGGTGGTCGTCGAGCGAGTTCCGTGAATGTCGACGTCTTGAGATTTCGTTGTCGCGAGTGGACGGCCCCAGGGATCTTGCTGGGATGTGGTGGATGCTGGTGTGGTTTCGCTATTGCTATGGCCGCTCGTTCTTGATCCGCCCACTGAGTCGACGGGATCTGTGACAGCAATAGCGATTGGGCGTTGGTCAGCGACTGTAGTGTAGTTGAACGGCTCGAAGAGGGTCTCGATCATCCTGTGCAGCTCTTCCGCACGAATTTCCTGATCGGTGGCGTCATCTTTCAATGCTTCTCTGGGCTTCTGTCTCCGTGCTCGTGCCTCGAGCGGTGCCTCTTCTAGCAGCAACTCCTCCAGATCGTATGTCGCGTCGAAGTTGGTCTTGTCGCTCGAAGGAATGAAGACAGGGTCAATTTCTTTGCGTTCCAAGGCCTCAAAGTCCAGGGGGCGGAAGAAGGGGTTGTCGGTGAACGACTCGAAGCTGATGGCACCAATGCGCTTCCTCCTGTTCTTCTCCAGCAGCGAACTGATGGCGTGTAAGCACGGCATCGACACGGGCGGGCTCGTGACGGGATAAGTGGGTTCGCCTTTGAGGATCTTAGCGGCTAAGGAGTCGTGGCTGCCAGCCTCGAAGGGTCGCTGCGACGGTTAGCACTGAGGGGTGGGGATGGGGATGAAGCAGCCGACGTACCTTGTTGTAGATGCACTCGTAGAAGAGCACGCCGAGTGACCACCAGTCGACCTCACACGAGTACCCCTTGCCCTCGTAGACCTCGGGGGCCAGGTAGGCGAGGGTGCCGGACTTGCTGGTCAGGGGCTTGTGCGGGGTGAAGTCGGATGCGACGTTCTGCGTGGTGTTAGCGCGGAAGATGGAGACGTCGGTAAGGGACATACAAAGTCTGCCAGATGGACATGGCCTTCCGAGTCGAGGAGCACATTGTCGGGCTTGATGTCCCTGTGCACGATGCCCTGCTGGTGGATGTACCGCACAGCGCATCCCAGCTGTGCTATCCAGAAGCGCACAGCCTCTTCGGTGAAGGTCTTGCGCGAGATGTGGAAGCGCAGGTCGCCGCCGTTCATCAGATCGACGACGATGTAGCTGCGGCGGGTTAGTCTCGACGTGGGGGGCTTATCGAACAGGCTGACGTACAGATACTCGATGTCCTGGAAGCTGTAGCGCAGATTGCACAGGAAGGGGTGGTTGAGGTGCTCGAGCATGCGGCGCTCGCGAATAATGTTGCGCACACTCTCGGACCGTACGACTGTTACACGGCGTCAGCATCAGGGCCCGGTATGGTGGCATGACGACGGCGAGGATGTATGTCATGGATGACTGACCTTCATCTTTCCGTATGTACTTGAGCGCAAAGGTGAGGCCCGTGTCTTTTCGCTCGACAATGCGGACTTTTCCGAAGGCGCCCTTGCCGACGACTCGCAGCAGGCGGAAGTGGTTGAGGTTCACTGCGGGGCATGGTCAGTGTTGGTCTCGGGGGCAGGTGGCAGGTGGCAGGTGCTGTGGTGTTGCGTCTGACGGCGATAGGCGGAGGCTGATATGCATGGTGGCCCATGACGCTCGCAGATAGCAGACAGCAGACGCAGACATGCTCGTGCTGGTACGGACCTTGGTCGGTGAAGACGACGGGCTTTCCGTTGCTCTGACCCATGGCGGGCTACAATGGCAGACTGCCGGTGGGCGGGATAACAATAGGGCTTCAGGAAGGCATCGACGGGCGAATTGGGAAGGCACGCTGGGGGCTGCTCGGGCGGCCTGGGCAGACGGGCGCGGGGGACAAAGGTAGGTACGTCGTAGGCACGTCGTAGGCGGCAGGTGCAGCGAGCGGCGGGCAGACGTCGACAGCGAGCGGCGGGCGTGGGCGTGGGCGGCGTATGTACTGTGTAGCTACGCAACGCAGCAGCAGCGGACTGATAGGGCTGACGGGCAAAGAAGGGCAATCGAGGCTGCGAAAGGAGGCCCAGGAGTTTTGAAGCAAGACGTCTGGTCGGCGTGTCCAATTGCAGGCTAGTCGAGCTGGAAGGTGCCTCGCAGCCCACGATTTGCTTAGCGCAGTCCACCAGTCCACCACGTTGGCGCCTCTCGTGCACTGCTCACCCTCACCACCTCACCACGGAGTCAGCATCCCTGCCGCAGCCTCTCTGTCTTATGCTCGCAGCTCGGTAGCATGCCCATCTGCTCTGTGGGCCGCTGCCGTGGGCAAGCGCGGCAGCATTTGAGTAGTTGCAGCACTGCAGCACTGCAGCACAGCAGCACAGAGCACAGCGAGGGCTGTAAACATATCCAGTACGCTGGACGGACATATACCCGCCCCTCGCAGCCATGTGGAACAGCATCATCGTCTCCGCCACGACTCATGCAGCCAAACTTCTGCCAGCCGACGCTCTCGCAACCATGTTGGCCTGCCAGAGCACCTGCAGATCCTCCGCGCCCGCATCATTGCGCTTGAGAGCTGCTCGCCGTCGGTCGCACTCCGAACAGACACAGTCAGCATCCGTCTTCCACCTTCTGCACCATGCCGACTCTGCTCGAGCCTGGCCATGAGCTGTACCCCGGACATCACAAGACATCGGCCAATTTACTGCCCACACCATGTCGCGTTCCCGTCTGATCTGCATAAGCCTCGCTGCCTCTGAAACACTTTTTCCGCAAGGGCTGCCATGTGCAATCGCCGTCAACTGCTCTGCCGCCCGGAACCATAGTTTCCCATCGTGTTTCCCAAAGTACCTTAGGTATCCATCTCCACCATCTAGTTTCCGCCGCCGCCTCCGTACATCCCTTCTCCTTATAAACTTCGTCCCCTAGCACACGCGCGACGGCTTCCACGTGAAGCCGAAATACCGCGTTGTTGCTGACCGGCCACGCTCTCCGCGCGCCCTGATTAGCTCGTCCTCCTTCTCCCTTCCTTTTTCTCCTGGGCCCGAGCTTGCATTAACAACTGGTGTACAGTCGGGCACGCACAGTGCCCTCAAGAGTCCTCGCGGTCTGCATTCCGAGCTCCGTCGCGACGTTGTCGTGGGCAGCATATGCAACCTGTGCATTCCATTTACAAAACTGGGCATAGCTGCGACTACCATCCGTGGACGTCCCCACTCGAACGACCGTGCATCCTACACCGAGATATGCTGCTCTGATATCAACCCCTCGACTTAGCTGACCACAGTCTTTCCAATTTCCAACGCATCTGACGTCTCCGCCAGTGTCCATCCAAGGCAAGGGAGCGTCATCAGCATCGCTGAAACCGACCACCGACTTTTACTTACTTTTCTTAGCGCTGTCGTCTTGCCTACTTTTCTACCAGTCTTGTCCACAATCGTTGTCCGTTCTCTAGAGCTACTCTGCTCGCCACTGCTGCTTGCGTCTACTCATAGCTCAAGCTAAGGCACCAGTAGGCTGTAGAATTTCGTTAAATGTCTCAGTCGGGAAGGTCCACCCTAGTTTGATCCATCCCTTGCCTCTCCCTTGCCTCTTCAGGGTCTCTGCAGCGTAACACAACAGCTCAACAGCAACTCTATCCGTCTCCTAAGAAATTTTGTGCGCAACCATCGCCCTGCACGTGCCGGTGGCTTCGCCGAGAAATCCCACTGCAAGGTTTCGGCTACACGGCCGATCGAGCTAACAGCACTTTCTACGGGCGTTCTAGAAGACAACCAAATCTACCGGTATGCAACTACGAAACCTGACATGTCCCCGCTACTGCGCGTCGAGAACAGCCACATGTAATAGGGAGCACCACAACCCCGCTCCTAATGTTCTGGATTCTGCCAGCCGCAGATATTCGGCGTCTTTGTGAACCATGCTGCACTCAGGGGCCAAAGCGCTCCGCGCCCTCGCAGTGGACTTGCGGTGCGCGCCATGCACAATTTGCTGAAAATATCGTCTGAACTGGTTTTTCTTTTTGCCCAGCTCGAACAGTCGCTCTCATGGCTACGGCACAGGACCCGGATATCAGCTTCCAACTCTGCCGCAAGACGCCGCAGCCCCCGGATGGGGGCATCGCTATGGTCAAGCCAACTGAGTCACAAGAGATGCGACTCACGAAAGGCGCTTGGCGTTATCTGTTGCCTGGTCATCGATCGCCGCTCTCCAGTCCTCTGGGCCCTGGCACACGAGATCAGCCTTGCAAAAGCCAACAGCGTGATTACGCCCTGAGAAATCCTTCGGGTTATTTGCCAAGCAACCTCCCAAACATAACTGCACTTGAAACATAACTGCACTTGATCATCGCCGGTGTCTCCAGTGCGCAAGCCATGTCGACCGCCGCATCATTGCGTCGGTCCGAGACAGTGACGACAAGCACACCTCGTAATGTCACTGCAAAGACATGAAGACGACAATGCATCCCTAGCGTGTGGATCCAGCCTCAGAGACTACGGACTCGATGCGTCTAGATTCCGTTTTTGCAGCCACAGTGCACTACAGCCTTGCAGAAACATTTTCTTGCCAATGTCCCGTAGAGCGTCTGAATGTCCGCCTTATCCATGTTGTATGCACAGACCCGATGGGCAACTCAGCTTCCTATGCAGCCATTTCTGACCGCTTCCCGCGCCCTAATATTAGGCTGTTGGGGGTCAAGCAGAAACAGCCAGCAAGTAGGCATTGACGAGTGCTCACCTCATCTGCGTACATGAGGCTGTATGCACGGTTCCCAACAAGCAGGAAAGGCGTTTTATCTTCGACACGAGGTGCTGTTCAATTGTAGTGAGCAAGGAGCAAGGGGGCAGGCGCAATCTGGCCGAACGAATCAGGAAGCTGTTCCACTCCTTCAGCCTTGCAACGGCTCATCATCCACGCTCCACTGTGTAACATCGCTTGCGGATGACTGATCACTACATGCAGTCAGCTGCGGCATCCTAGAAGACACGAGGTCCTCGTGGATCGTACGTCGCGACAACGCCGTTATACTACAGTAAGCATTCCCTCCGTGGTATTTTTCGTGCAGATCGCTGCATCACCCCCTCCATCGTCGCTGGCAACGACATGCGATGCTCCTGGTCTCGACCAGCTAGCTCGACGTCGATAAAACAACCACAATGCTGTGACCACATTCCACGTGGATGACCCGGCCGGTATTACATCATCCATCTCGCTCCAGGTAGGTGTTGGATCTTGACCTACTCGAGCATCTCGAGCGCGCTTGCATGCCGAGCGCGCGTATCGAAACACCACTCCACCAGCAATGATGACATTCCAAAACCTTCTGGAAAAGGCATGTCAATCGGAACTTTACCCAAACCAGAGCATCGATCTCCCGCTCGCTTACGTCCCTTTCTTGCCTCCTGCCTATTCCGACATGGGAGCACGTTTCTCCACAACGCAGTACAACATCAAAGGTTGGCTCGTATCACCAAACGTGCTCGTGTCCCACAAACATGCACTGCACAAACTGCTAGGACGGGCGTCTTTCCTGAACGGCTGGTCTGCTTCTCGCAATAACTTTCGCACTCACCGACATATTCCGAACACGCGCGACGCTGCAATGGACTCTATTCCGGCTTCATAAATGCGGAACCACCGCACGCCGAATATTGACTCGTTTGGTGTTGATTGATGAGGCTGAATCCAGTACACACGTGGCGCGTGTGATTACCCGGTGCTCCCACCGAAGTAATATACGGGACGCCTTTCCGCGGGTGCTGATAAGTGGACCGCTGTATTGGGTTCTCTGACAGGTCGTACTGGACGGGAACTGTTATTACACCGAGTTCGTGGGGGAGGTGTATGGTCCGATGCGCAGGGTGTGGTCTTGAGTCGTCTCCGCTCGATACGGTGCATGGGAAGCGGAAGAGTCGGACAGATTATCGAGGCAAGGTAGCACGGAGATGTGCAGGGTTTGTGGAATCTAGAGGGCGGTGAACGCAGCTACATATGGTCTTGCACCATCAGTACACCTCGAGGGTATCCTTGCACGCCTGAGATAATCCTCACGGGGTCTTCAAGGTAAAAGTGACCGCATCGGAATCTTCCGCGACAACTTCACGCGCAATTGGTTTTGACCTATGGTAATTGCAATTCGGTCAAGTCTGGACTGATGGAAACGGTAGGTTTTTTGAGGTCATTCCAGACAGACTCGTACAAAGGTGCTCAGTACAATTTGCAGCTCGAAAGACTTGCCAATACTTGTTCATCAGTCAAGTAGGTTTCACTGACTACATACCGCACATTCCTCCCCCCAACCCTTCCTACAACAACCTCCCAAGTACACCCAAAACCACCACTTCCAGCACGACCAACAACCAACTTCCCCTCCGTGCCACCGCATCGCCCGTGAATACCGGCCGGCTATCCACTCGCCTCGTGACCGTCTTATTCCCCCCCGCCCAGTCCGCCCTGCACTTTGCAATCTCCTCAGGAAACAACTGCGTCGAGTTCGCATCCACAAACAACCAATTGCATATCTCCGCGCTGCCGTTGCGGATCATATCGACCTGCCACGAACGGCACGAGCTCGCCGCATACGTGTAGCAGTAGCTCAGACCGCCCATGTTCGGCTCGAGCTGCACATCCGGCACCGCACGTCCGGTAGTCGTGTAATTAGCTCCTGCGCCTGTGGGCTTCGTGCCCGTTGCGATGTCAAGATTGAACAGGGCGCGCGTGAAGACTTTGTATGCGGTCTCGGGCTGGTAGGAGGGGATGGCAGTGGCCGGCTTGGTAGGTGCGGATGTAGCTGAGATTACCGTGTTGACGCACCAGCACCACCGACGTAGGAGTCGTTGGTTTGGATTTCGGCGTATTGCGCGGAGGCGTAGGCGTTGGAGCCAGACCAGGGGATGGCTTTGGCCACGGCGTCGCCGCCGGCCCACTGGGGATGGTGTTAGCTTGATGTAAGTTTGGAGGTGGGGGTTGACTTACGGGACATGCGAAATCCAGGTCGCCGTATACGAGAGACACTTTGATGCCGTTGTCGAGTAGGAAGCCTAGATCCTCGAGCCAGGAATCACGCGGGTAGTCGCCAATGTCACGGTAAGCGTTCGATGCTTGAGGAGAGCTACCGGTCCAGTTCAGCGGCACACCCAGTTCAGCCTGCACCCACTCGCGGTTGAGGAATCCTTGATGAAAGCCAGCAGGGAATGAAGGTGGCGATTGCGTCGAGATGTCGTAGTAATCTAGACCAGAGTTTGAAGTATACGGACTGACAATGTTCGAGCGACACCAGGTTTCAGCATCTTCGCAGACTGCATTCACGCCGGCGTCAATACCCAGGTTCTCTGGATCGGAGATGGCAGCTGCGTCCCGACATTTTTGGATTCTCTCGAGGCATTCGGGGATGGATGCAACCATGCCGTTGTAAATCGTCTCGTTGACTGCCTCAATGCCAAACCCATTCTCGCGGAATGCTTGTTGGGGATAGTACGGATACTGAATTTTCCGGTCAATACAGCCGGAGACAATCATCAAAGTGTCGAGGTGCAAGATGAACTGCTCGCCGTCGCTGCCATCCCAGGTTCCGTTTTCAATACGCTGGTTCTGCTCTTCCCAGAAAGACATCATCGCTGGGCCATAGCGGCCACCGTACGATTGCGCTGCTAGTGAGATGCGAGTGTCGTTGGGCAGGTAGTGAGGGAACTCCTGGAACCACGACTGCAAGAAGTGCCAGGATGCAACGGCACCGTTCACGCTGCCGAAGGCAGTATTGTTGGGATTGCGGCTGGGGAAGGTACCGGTAAGGAAAGTAGAGTTTTGCTCGGGTACTGGTGTCGTCTCGTCCAGGGATGTTACTCGACCGCTGACAAGGTCTCTGGTTATGTTTTGGAGTGTGTCGTAGGAGCTATAATCAATATCAGTCAGCAAAAGGGATGGTTCTCAGCCCTTTTGACTTACAATCCGACCTGCACGGGCTGATCAAAGTACAGCATGTTGACTATTGCTGCTTAGCAATCTGCACACAAGAGCATTCTACATCCTCACTTACCATTCTCGTTCCAGCTCCAATCAGCGGGACGCGTCGAGTTAGAATCGGCATTGACTTGGCAAGGGCCATGTTCTGTGAACAAGCCATGCATAGACGAACTACCAGGACCGCCATTCAACCAGATGGTGAGAGGCGCATTTTTGGGATCATTGCGAGCCTCAAAGAACCAAAAGAACTTGCCGCAGCATTAGCCAATGCGACCTCGATCTATGTCTCCTGGAAACCCACACTGTTGATCGGATAGTCCTGACCCTGGCCCAAGTCGGCGGTACCAGGCGGAAGATAGACATGCCCAGCGTAAGATTTCACACCAGGCTTCGTTTCGCATAAATTGTTCTGCTTGGCGATCAGCGTCCGCGCAGTGTCAAGTTCATGAGATGGATCATGTGTTTTACCTCCTTGTACGTGATAGTGACGCCCTCACCAAATCGCGACTCCAAGACCGTACGGCCCTCCGGCGCGGCAGGGAATTGAGCGACGCCGGGCTTCGCCAGGGCAAGCAGCACCACGGCTGCCGAAGAAACGACCGAGAACATCGCAACAAACAACGAGATGTAGAAACGAGGGCGAGACTTGAAAGGGAACCTAATGCGTCTCTCAGGTACTTCTTATACTGCCTTATCGCAACGGCCGGCTTGGGCATTGCCATTGGCATCGCTCGCTTACATCGACTGTTGGAACACATCACGCTATTACGAATATCTAACGTGAGCAAAGAGTACAAGGGCATCTTGGATTTGGCCGTGTGTGGCTTCATTGGGAAGGTCAAGAGGTACTGCAGATGATTGCCGGTTGCCATGGCTCTTGGCAGCGGAGCAGGGCATCAGAGGAGCGAAATTGAATTAGAAGAACGGTTTAGCACGGATGAGTAGAGATATAGAGGAATTGATGTCGTTCTTCGTTGTTCCTACTGGTCAGTGACCAAGATCTTTAAAATTATCGTTTTTGGTGTTGAAGTGCTGCGGCTCCTAGCGAAGCAGTTACGGGCGGTTTCGCTGTGGTGTGACGTCATCTGCACAATTTGAAGGCGTGAGCTTGACCTCCAACTCTGCATCAGCCGAATTACACTCTCTTCTAGAAAGAGTCAGAAATAATCAAGCGCTATTCAAGTTGCTCTTCTGTTTGACAAATACGATCTGAATAGTCTTCTTTCTTGTACTCCCGCAATGTCCGACAACGCGCATTCATGCAGTATCGCCTTCTGCACAGGTATTGTTCCACGTTCGAGTGTATCATGTCTTGATCATGCACGTTAAGATATGCCGCAGGTATGCCGCAGGACGTTGTAGGGTCCCGAAAAACCGGGGAACTGATGCTGCAGGTGTAGATGGTTCAAGCAGCTCAGCCACCCCGCACCAGGCTGAATCTCCTGCAGCCTCGCTGTGCATCTCTCTCTTTTTTTTAACGAGGACAAGGCTCCAGTCTGAGACTTGGTGCTGTCTAGACGCTGACATCCACCATCAACCACCACAGAATGAGCTTCGTACTGTACACGTAACATGTTGCCCGCTTTCGATTCCAGGAATGGACATGCTCGGGGTCATAACATGAAGAAACTTGCGGAACATAAATTGCTAGTCCGAGCGAGTTCTCGGTACATTTATGCGCCCTTCGCCCCTGATGATTACGGTATGGTGGGTTTCCGATATGACAGACTACCTAGTGCAAAATCACTCCGGATCCTCTCCCTGTGGCCAGCTCAATCTGGAGAACCGGTTCAGGTTTCTCTCGAAACGGTTCCAGAGGCGTATGTAACCAACAGCCTGTCTGGTTGTCAAGCTTTATCTTACGTTTGGGGCAATACCGACCGAACGACAATCATTACTTGCAATGGGAAAACGCTCGGGATTACCAAGAATTTGTACATTGCGCTACAAGCCATTCGTCAGCCAGACAGGGAGACAACGCTCTGGGCAGACGCAATATGCATCGACCAGGACAATGTGGAGGAGCGCAACGAGCAGATCAAGCTGATGGCCACAATATACAGCTCTGCGAAGCGAGTATTGGTTTGGCTGGGTCACAGTCAAGATGCGGAGGCGGCTTTCTCCATTGCAAATCGTATGGTTGAAGATTTTCGGTTGTCCAGAAGGGTGCGTCTTAGTAGCAACCGTTCTGAACTCAATTACCTACGAAAGATATCATCATGCGAATGGTTCAATCGCATGTGGACGTAAGTAGAAGTTGCCAATCCAACATCATCTCATCCTAAGTTTTGATCTTACTTATTAGCATGCAGGAGATCGGACTAGCCTCTGAAGCCATTATAATGTATGGGACCGCACGCATCAGCTGGGAGCAACTATACTCTGTGTACAGCCTATTCGAATCGCAATTTTCACGCGAAATGCTCATGAAATTCTCATTTGAGCCTGACAGAGTCACCTGCTTTACAATTGGCGTTCAGCAAAATTAGACAGCTCATTCTTGAGACTCTTGAACACGACTCAAACACGGGCAACTACCGATCCGAGAGACCGAGTGTTCGCATTGCTTAGCCATCCGAGTGCGACAATGACATGTCTGCATGACGAGGGGAGTGAAGTGTGGATTGAGGCAGACTACAATAAAAGCATCGTTGAAGTCAACATGCTTGTGGCCAAGAGGCTTATTCAGAGCTCTGGTCGCCTGGATGTACTGTCACATGTTCGTGGTCATGAAGCGGAAGCAGGCTTACCTACTTGGGCACCCATGTGGAATCACCGTACTAGAGTTGCTCATAGCCTGCTCGGATCACACGTGGACTTTTGCGCCGATGGCCATGCCCTTCCCACTACGACGTGGAGCAACATGAGGGCTGACATACACAAATCAGAAAAACTCGGGCCATACCACCACCACTTTATTCACGAAGACCAATTGCACGTCACATCCATTTCTATAGGTCGGGTAGTTTGGTGCTTCAAAGACCCTGCCATGGGGCATTACGATGAGTGGCTCGGACAGTCAGATACCAGGCGCTCTCTTCGCGGTCCCATGAAGTACAATCTCAGTTTCCCTCGTGGAGTGCTGTCAGCATTGGCTCAGGTCGAAACTAAGCTTCCAATGTACACCGCAACCCAGGTCTTCGAGGCCTTCGGTGAGGTCCTGACTTGCGGAACCATTCATCCACAATACGAAGGTGAACGAGGAAGACACGAGCATGCCTCAGATTATATGGCGTACCGAGAGAGTACCATAGGAGATCTCCCAAACGCGCCCTTTCCTGTGCAGGATGTAAGGCCAGGAACGCGAGACCGCGCTTTCCAAAATGCAATAGACTATGCATGTGAGGGAAGAGTGTTATTTTGCACTGACACTGGATTCTTGGGTCTCGGGCCCGCTTCTCTACGACTAGGAGACGAGGCGTGCATTTTGAGAGGCGGCAAAGTTCCTTATCTCTTGCGGGAAGCAAAAGAAGATGACTACAATTTGGTGGGCGAATGCTACATATCCGGTGCTATGCATGGAGAATTGGTATCTGACTCTATGACTGATGATAGAAAGCCGACAAAAAGAGTCATTGTCTGACGGAGCACGTGACTATGCTGCAGGCTATCAACTACGAAAAAAGATTATTGAGGCCTTCTAGCAGCCCGAAAGTATACAAGGTATCGCCGGGCTTCGATTGCAACGGTAAGGCCCTGTGTATAGCTTCAAATTATAATCGAAGTCTCCGTGAGTGGCTCGGATATTTCACGTCCTTACACCCTGAGCATGTCGACCTGCTAAACACGCGCTCCAATTACCACTCTGAGCGAGAGGAAGAAATCGAAAATGCGAGAATGGCCGGAGAGGCAAGGTGAACCATCGCATGTCGTCAAGCTCCAAAGCAGGGCTCGGGACCGGATCCGCAGCCTCCCGCCGGGGCCCGGCAGTTCGTCCACAATGGCGGCTGATCGACGGAGGATAGATGGCGAAAGTACATCGGGGCAGGAGTGGTTTTGAACACCGAGTTTGCGTTTCGACGGACGAAGAGTTGTGTCCTGTGGGTCTGGCTTCAGGCAAATGGACGTCGCCCAATATCACAACAGCATCCTGGTTGCATGAAAGCTTCGTCAAGCCATCTCGAAGCTTATGACTGACTTCGGATCTGACTTCGAAATACGATCGCCCAGTGACATACTCGCATCGCGTACAAAAGCACAGCAAGCTTTTGCACTTGTTGGGCACAATTAGCGTCGGACAGTCCCAACGCGACAGCATTGGTTCCTCCAAAAGGTTGTCATTTTACGCAACTCGGCCTCGGAATATGCAAGTTTTTGCGATGATACACTACGCTGCATACGACGCATGAGGCCACGGCGATTCTGTCTGCTAGTGTGCGCGAAATAGATGGCATTGGTAATCGGGGTGAGACAACCAAGTCCTAGGGTGCATGCGAGTACAAGCAAAGTCGCTATGCAGGCTAAACAAACATATGCGCCAACCTATACGCGTATCACTCTATCACTGGTGGTCAGAGTCGGAGGATCGTTGGATGCGGGCAGCGTTGTTGCTGATGAGAGCAATCTATTATTGATGATGATCATAGTGGCTGGGGTGGTTCAGCTAGACGCCACGACCAATTCCCGAGTTCCGAGAACGCGTTTCGCAATGCCCACCAAGGCCTCCCGGAATGGCCAAGTCCAACACTTGAGCGACACAGTAACCCCGAGTCACTGGAAGGTTGCGCCGACAGACCGCAGTGCGCGCAACTGCTTCATACGAACCTCAGTATGCGTATGCTGTTGATGGGAGAGTGTGGACCCAGGCCTGACCACGCGACATCAAACCCGAATAGGGCAGTTTGAGATGAGAAGTTTACGCCAAAAATAGTAAGGCGGATGATCGTCAGATCCAGGGGCGGCCACAGCGGCACAGCCACGCCAAGCTTGTCATGCCCATGAGGTCAGACCTGGGTGCTAGTGGGTTTCCTAAACACTGCCTCTCATTCCGCGCGCTGCCGTTCGACGTGGCTCGCATAGCCTTGGGCCTGACTGCATCTCCACATTCGTTTGTTTCTGTTCTTCTTAACCTCTATCTTTCCCAGGTCCTCTGTTTTGGCCCATTACTTCCATTCAATTCACTCAATATGAAGTACTCCTTAGTGTTGACTGCGTCGGCTTTCACGACCTTAGTGACCTGTATGCGACTCTGCCCTTTGCCAATGCGACATTTCCGTTAACAGTCAACAGCATCAGCAGTTGTCGCACGTGAGGCTCGAGTTGTGCCACCTACCAACTTGGACTCGTGGAAACGAGCGTCGCCCCAAGCTCCCAACGGCTACGCGCCGGGCTCGATTGACTGCCCTTCGACCCGCCCCAGCATTCGCTCCGCCGACCGCCTCTCCGATTCAGAGACACAATGGCTACAGAAGAGGAGACCGAAGACGGTAGACCCGATGCGCGAGTTCCTCGTGCGCGCGAACATCGAGGGCTTCGACGCTGGACAGTACATCGATAACCACAAGAGCAACACTTCATCTCTACCGAACATTGCTATTTCATTCTCAGGCGGAGGCTACCGAGCTTTGTTGAACGGAGCTGGTGTTCTTGCTGCGTTTGACAGCCGCACGCCAAACGCGACAAGCAAGGGACATCTTGGAGGTCTGCTGCAAGCCTCGACATACGTCTCTGCTTTATCAGGAGGAGGCTGGATGATTGGTAGCATATTTGCGAACAACTTTACATCTGTGCAAAACATCATAGACCACAAGGACATTTGGCAGTTCCAGAACTCGTTGTTCAAGGGACCACCAGAGGGCGGCATCCAGATCCTGAACACTGCGGACTACTTCAAGAACTTGGCGGATACCGTGTCCTCCAAGGAAAATGCGATTGGGGAGTTCAACACTTCGTTGACCGACTACTACGGCCGGGGACTCTCGTTCCAGCTCATCAATGCTTCCGATGGCGCCCCTGCCTACACCTTCTCTTCAATTCAGAGCGATACCAGCTTTTCCAATGGCGAAGCACCGATGCCGGTATTGGTAGCGGATGAACGAGCTCCTGGCGAAAAGCTCATCTCCCTTAACGCCACTGTTATCGAGTTCAACCCATTTGAAATGGGCTCCTTCGACCCTACTCTCTACGGCTTCGCGCCGACGAGATATCTTGGCTCAAACTTCTCCAACGGCCAACTTCCTCAGGACCAGGGTTGCATTGCAGGTTTCGACAACCTTGGTTTCGTCATGGGAACGAGCAGTTCGCTCTTTAACCAGATCTTCTTGAACCTCGGTTCGCTGGGGATACCTGACTTTTTGAAGAACACACTCACTGGTATCCTGGGCTCCGTTGGTGAGGACAACAACGATATCGCAGACTACACCCCCAACCCATTCAGGGGGTTCCGCAACGGCACGAACCCAAGTGCGAACAGCACACGCCTGACTCTTGTTGACGGTGGAGAGGATTTGCAGAACATCCCTCTTAACCCTGTTATCCAGCCCATGCGCCAGGTAGATGTCATTTTCGCCGTCGACTCGTCTGCAGACACGGTCGAAGACGCCAACCCTTCCAAAAATTGGCCCAATGGAACCGCCATGGTCGCGACCTACCAGCGTGCCAATACCGACATCATGAATAAGACTTCGTTCCCTTACGTCCCGGGTCAGGACACCTTTGTCGCCCTTGGCTTCAACAACCGCCCTGCTTTCTTTGGATGCAACAGCAGCAACGTAACGGAGGGCAACAACATCCCGCCGCTCATTGTCTACGTCCCGAACTCGCCTTATGTGTTTTGGTCAAACACGTCGACCTTTGGAAAGCTCGACTACACCATTGCGGAGCGCAATGCAATGATCGAGAACGGCTACGACGTTGCTACCCAGGCCAACTCTACCCGCCAGGGCGCTACAAACTGGCCGGCTTGTGTCGGCTGCGCCATTCTGTCTAGGAGCTTCGAGCGCAACGGTCAGCAGATTCCGCAGGCCTGCCAGCAGTGCTTCACCGAGTACTGCTGGAACGGCACTACTGTCTCCAACTCGGCGCCATATCAACCTGCTATGATCTTGGCTGCTGTTGACACGAAGAGTGGTGTCGGCAAGTTTGCGCCAAATGTGTTTGGTCTTGCTGTCGCAGCTGCCGTGTCTGGTTTCTTGATGATGTAGAGCAGGTTCTATATAATGTCATTTGATTGGAGATATCAGGGGTGAAACATTCTTGCATACAGGTTGCATGGTATGGCGTTGGATATGTGATACCTCATTTGGCTTTTGTTCATAGTCTGAGAATGGAATCTTATTATTGCTATTAATTTCTCGAACGTTGTGAACCATATGCATCTCTACCTATCAAATATGCCGATTTTCTGCTTAGCATGCGGCTCTTCGCTCCCCTGCATGACCGATCCGCGCCCCGCCAAAGCGCGCTCAAAAAAAGTTACAACCCCGCCACCCTCGAACCACAACCCCTCCAAACACAAACAACGTCACAACATGGCGTTTCCGGCCCTCAACAGCGCACCTGTGCTTTCTACACCGGATACGCATATCTTTGAAGACCCCACACCTGCTGTAGATCCCTCAAGTCTCCTCAGACTGTCTGACGAGCAAGTCGCGCTCACATATGAGATTGAACGAACCGTGAAGGAGATTAAAGAGGGGAGATGGAAAAGGATCGCGTTGCAGTTCCCGGATCATATGCTTACCGATGCGCCGAGGGTGTATGAGAGGTTGACGCGAGGCTTGAGAGAGGCGAAAAAGGTGCAGAATAGCGCTCAAGAGAAGGATGAACCGCCGAAAGAGGCAGCAGCCGAAGAAGACATCAATGCTAAGCTGAGCAAAATCACAATTAGCGAAGTACAGGAAGAGGAGGAGAGGCTGTTCATACTAGGAGACACATCATATGGCGCGTGTTGTGTGGATGAAGTGGCGGCTGAGCATGTCGATGCAGATGTCGTTGTACACTATGGACGCTCATGTCTTTCTCCTCCCTCACGATTACCCGTCATATACGTCTTCACGGAACGACCACTTGACCTAGACCCTCTTGTAGCAACCTTTACAGAGACATATCCAGAGAAAGACTCGAAAGTCATCCTCATGGCAGATATACCCTACTCGCATCACATCAGTTCTCTCTACAGCCGCCTCCACGAAGCAGGCTATACCAGCATCTTCGCTACAAAAATCGCACATGACCCCTCCTCGCCTCTACCAAATCGAACGATACCTGAAAAAGCCACCGACTCCCCAGACACGCTGCGCGAGTACGCCCTCTTCCACATCTCTGACCCACCAACATCGCTGCTCCTCACCCTCTCTTCCCGAGTCGCCTCAATACACATCTACCCTACAGATACCGTATCGCCCACCGCCTCCTCCGCCGACCGCTCAACAGCCATGTCCCTCCGTCGCCGCTACGCCCTCCTAACCTCTCTCTCTACAACCCCCATTTTCGGCATCCTGATCAACACGCTCTCCGTCAAGAACTACATGCACATCCTGGCGCACGTGCAAAAGCAAATCATCGCAGCCGGAAAGAAGTACTACACCTTCGTCGTCGGCAAAGTCAACGCCGCCAAAGTCGCAAACTTCAGCGAAGTCGGCGGATGGGTGGTTATCGGGTGCTGGGAATCGAGTTTGATCGAAAGTAAAGATTTCTGGAGACCGATGATTACGCCGTGGGAGTTGGGGATTGCGCTGCAGGGGGATGAAGAGAGGGTTTGGACGGGAGCGTGGGAGGCGGACTTTGAACATGTGCTTGCGCAGGAGATACCACAGAAAAGCGGGAGCGAGACTGCGGATCAAGCACCAGTGGAGATGGCGGAAGAAAATGAGGCTGGGGAATACGATTCAGAAGAAGAATCCGCGCCTCCCGAATTCGACCTCAGGACTGGCAGATATGTCTCGCACTCAAGACCTATGCGCTCTGCCGCTACCGTCAAAGATTCTGCCCAAGCGCCTTCAAATGGCCAACCTACACCGGCCAGTACGGCGCTGACAAAACGTGCCAACGGCGACATTGCGGCTGTAGGTGGCGTCGCATCGCCGGGTGCGGAGTACTTGCGCTCACAGCGGACGTGGCAGGGCTTGGGCAGTGACTACAGAGGCGAGGAAGACGAGGGTCGGGTCGATGGGCATGCGGCGAAGATGGAGGAAGGTAGACGTGGGGTTGCGAGGGGGTATGTTGTTGGTGATGAGGGGCGGAAACATTGAGACGTGAATCGACCAATTCAGCACACTGCAGTGTCACGGTAGAAAGGTTTGACCAATCGTCGGGCCCGGTTCTTAGTTCTTACTTGAGTTCTGAGTTGAACATTTGATGCATTGATGCAGAGAAATAATATTATTTTGTCGTTGCCCTCTGGTATCGGAATTGTCTATTCTATAAGTGTTGTATGACTGGTTGATGATGCGTTGAGAATTCGAATTCGAATTTGCAATGTTTATGCTTACTTTAGAGTCGTCTCGTCGTTGTTCGGAACCGAGGCTTTGATACCACATCCAGAAGAATGACAGGCCTCCATGTCGCACGGGTGGGGGGTTGGCGAAGTACAATGTGCACGTATTAGGATGGGATCGATGGTAGAGCCTGTTTTTCATATGTTGGAATCATGTAGACTCGGTATTGAATTTCCGATTATGTCGAGGCTGGTCTTGATTTTCAATTGTTGGTCATAACTATGAGACTTGAATATCCGTCAATCCATAACTGCATCCCTCTATATCAAGATTTAGAACGAGCATATAGATTTCTTGCAGTACACGTATGATCACTTGATCGGGCACTGGGTAGTGGTAAAACAGCTTCAATTTCAAGAATAATTCATGGGGGTGCCAGGGGGTGATACATAGATAGGAGATACGGAAAGATGGTGACGAGGACGTTATAGAGTGCCATCAAGCCCCCACGGCAACTGCTCCGTGTACGACCTTCTCCGATCGCCTCTCATATGTATGAAACGTCTCATTCAGTAGCCTAGATGAAGAGAAACCCCAATGTCAGCAATCCGGTTCTCTGTATCGCTGCAGTGTCACTCACTCGTCAAAACATTCCGTGTGCGCGTGACCCTCGCACTGAGGGTGAAGCTTGTACTTCTCCATGTCGCAAAACTGTGCCTCATCGTATGAGAAGAGGTTCGGCCTGACGCTGTTCCTGCTGTTGCAAGTTCCGACGGCACTCTGTCCGAGATCTCGACTCTTGACCAATTGGCCAGCAAAACGCTTCTGGAAAGCAGCCCTGTTGGCACGAGAAGTTTTCTCCAAGGATATCTGTCGATGTCGTACTTCTGCTGACCTCTTCTTTGTGCACATTGACCGAGGGGGGCGATCAAATGCCTGCCAGAGCCTGACTCGTTCCACCCCCTTCAGACGCTTATTGTTGCAGATTTCTTCTGCAAAGACATCATCTTTATCTGGCATGACGCCAGGAACACAGGAAGAGAGTTCGGGGATGGGCAGGGGCGCTGCTTGCGTAGGTGCCAACTCAAAGACTTTTGGGCACACTAGAATGTCAACCCGAACGAGACCTTCGAATTGGAACCCAAGCATCCCCTGGTGAGTCCAATTGCCTACGAGCATACAAAGATGTTCACTCTTCTGGTCGAGTGGGGAGCAGTTCTGCATGCGGATGGGGTAGCTGAGGCATGTGTGCACCGTGCAAGGAAAGATGGACTGGATTCAATGCTCTTGCTACTACAGGCGCACGGCGTCGACGTCGCAGGGATGCCCTACAAGGAGGCCCCTCCAAAGTAGCGTTATCTGGGCAAGCTCTTGATTGTGAAGCAGTTTTATGGTTCTCAGAAATCATGGCAGCATGACTTTCATCAGGTCTAGCAACGATGCATCAATGCACCCGTGTTTCCCCACTGAAAGTCCGTCACGGCATTGCTTAACCCCAAGCACATCACTCACCAATGGTAAATTCACCAAAGGGCTGACAACACTAAACACAAATGAACGATCAGAAAGCACAGCACGTGCTCGGAAAAGATTGCAACAGCTGCTTCGTGTTCCATCTCGTCAACGAGCAGTCATCACACCCTCGCCCTCCCCAAAACCGAAGTAAAAGGCCATTAATTCATATTCATATCGATCATCTGCATCTTATCTCAAGTCCCAATCCCATCCCCAATCATTCAACACAGTCCTACTCCTTCTGATACGTTCCATAAGACCCGTATCCGCCCTTTGGTGGCGCGTACGTCTTGTACGTGCCGTATCCAGCAGCAGGAGTGGCAACTGCCTTGTATGCACCTATTTTTTACCATCAGCTCGTGGACTCGTGAAGCGGCGTGCAGTTCACGTACCGTAGTTTGCGTATTTTGCCGGGGTTTCTGGGTCCGCGACGGGAGCAGCGGCTGGGACAGCAGCGGGAGCAGCGATGACGGATGCCACGAGGGCGAGGAAAGCGAGGGTGAACTTCATGGTTGTGGTTTGTGGGGAGGATGAGCTGGTATGACTGAGTGTGGAAGGATGGGCAGTGGAGAGCTGCTGGTTTTGGGAGGTGTGGTTGCGGGTTTAAGTACTTTTGCATTTATCCATTATGACACAATATTTCTGATGGCTTTCGACATTTACTATCAGATCCCAGCGACGTCTGCGTTAGCTTTGCATTGGATGCACCGATTGCAGTGAAGCTTTGGCTTTGACCAACTTGGTATCCAACCAGTGGATTCGATAGCTCGGTACACTCGTGATGTCTTGACGGTGGATACTAAGAAAAGGAATACGGGCTCGCCGGATGGCTTAAGGTTTTGTGAAGACGGTAGGATAGGTGGAAGAGCTTGAGGCGTCGTACCAATCGCTAGCGGCAGCTGAGACGAAAGCAGACAAAGCACACACTGCCGCGTCAGGCATGCATAGAATATTGACCCGAAGTGTAAGACTGATTCGTGCATGATGACCGGATAATACATGCCGAGGCGCGGAGGTGGAAGATGCGAGCGTCTTTAGGTATTTGCGTAACAGTTCTTTCTTAATCTTCACGATCAAAATCTTTTCCAAATTGTCGAGATCTACCAGCATACAATGCGTCTGTCGTAATATTCATACTTGCTGTTTGTTTTCATTCCATTGTTGTTGTACACAGTAATCAGTTGTCTGACATCAAACAATTACCACCACAGCTCCACGCAGATCTCCCACACCTCACCGGTAGCTTCTCTCTAACGCACGCTTCGAAAGGTCTAGCCGTGCCAAAGAATACGGGGAATCCGATAGTTCAGGTAAACTAAGCATCAGCCCTAAGCGCCACCTGCAGACGTGAGTGGTCGATCACCGATGGTGTATTCCTCAGCTCGTGCGGGGCAGCCACATTTGGAGCTGAAGCGAGTCTAGAAGCGTCGTGCTGGCGCATACGGTAGTTCTTTTGTTCGTAACATGTCGTATTGCGCGCATTATTTGCGACACGTGCTGGTTGACGACATTTTTTACGTTTTGGAAATTGGATTTCTTTTAGGAATCGACATTGACGCTTCTTGCACGATTGTCCTACCAATATGTTTGCGTCTTTTTCAAGAAAGGGACCGGAGTCCGATAGCAGTTCCGAATATGAGGACCACGAGCGTCTGCTTGTAGAAGAGAAAAACTCTTTTGTTGGCACGCAACGGACAACATCTGCCTCTCCAGGACCCTCATGGTGGGTGACGGTTGTCGCAGTTATCTGCACGGCGATTCTTTCGACCGCTTTTGGAGCATGGATAGTTCGCCATGATCGTAGAGATGCCGACAACTTCTGTATAAAATACACTTCGCAATACTGTGAGTTCCGCAAGAGGCAATCTTTCGCTTGAACGCTGCTGACAAGACAAAGCTCCTGTAATCAAGGATGTTGGTGTCAATTACACCGAGGTCAGGTTTCAGGGCTCGTTAATGAAGTCGAACGACTTCAGACTGGATGCAGGGCCGGAAGTGGATGCTGCTTGGAAGTCTTTGGGAGCAGATTGTATGCTCGCCTTCGCGAAAGAGCCATCATCATGCTGACCGTTTCTACAGACCATGCAGCGAGGATACCTGCCGCTGAAGCGGAACGATCGAATCTCGCGCCAGACCAGGTCAAGATCAAAGAGAAGTATGGAGGTGGCTATCCAGCACACGTCGAGGGCATGCATCATCTCCACTGCTTGGTATGTTTGAAGCACTGCGCAACGTGATCATGCTGACAGAGACACAGAACCTGCTGCGAAAGTCGCTGGCTTGGAATTTCAACTACTACCAGGAAGAAGGTCTTGGACCATTCTCAAACGACGCAGGTATCGTGAAGCACCACGTCAGTAAGTAGAAGTCCGCTCACCGTGCTTAGACATGCAACTGACTTGCCATACAGCACACTGTCTTGACATCTTGCGTCAGCAATTGATGTGCACGGTAGACGTGGGCGTCCTGGGTCAGGTCTGGTATCAGCCTCCAGGCGCAGCCTTGGAAGCATTTGTCGACTTTAATACTGTTCACAAGTGCAGGAACTTTGACGCAATTCGAGACTGGGCTGAGAAGAATCAATTGCCGGATGAGAAAGATGTCCCTCCCGACTTTCTAGAGCTACCAAAAGATGGCGATAGGGTCTGGAACACAGTGCCTTGATTCACATTATTAGATATTAATATTAGCCTAGTCGTATTGCTCTGGGTATGCCTCCTTCATCTCCACACTCCAATTTTTCTGTCGAACCCAATCGTTGCCCAACTCGCTCCAGCTCTTCCAAGTATCCTTGGACACAATCTCAAGCTTGCCATGATTGAGCCGCGCAAATTCCGCATCGACGGGAACAAATTTTCCCAAGGCTATTTGTTTGTCGCGTCTGTGCAGCATCATAATCCTCTGTGCAGCGCGGACGAACAGTGTTCTTTGTCCTTGTTGTTCAAGGACCTCATCGGGGACCATCAAGTAAATGCACACAAGATTGGGAAACGCTCGAAGACTGTTCGTAATGCCGCCGCTTTGGAAGCCAGATTCGATGACTTTTGTGATGGCGATATGTTGCAAGGATGATGCGTCGCATTCTTCTGCCCTGCGAAAATGCGGAAGGAGCCCGTTCATCAGCGAGTCGTCATAATGGTTGACGTGTCTACCTGCAAGAGGCACATAGAGGATATCGGTCTCAAAGCGGAAGTAGAACTCATGACTGAAGCATGTCGTCTCGTCTTGACCTCCGGATACCAGTCCCTCACGTAGTCGCACAATATGGCCGGCCTTGCGGGCTTGGAAGTGGGCTTCTGTTCGCGATTCTCGGCATACACTGAATACAATCAGTTCAGGTGACGGTGAGTAGCGCGGGCAAAACGTTCTCTCGTCGTGAGCGTTCCGGTGAGGCGCAGTTCTTAGCTCGATGAGACGCGGTTCCTGGGAAAAGTATACAAGCTGCCACACACACAAGCGAAGCTCTTTTGGAAAGGACAAAAAGGACATTTTGAAGAGTGTGTTGAGGAAGAGAGAGATCAAGAGGGGAAGAAGCGAATAATGACGAGTTGATAAACGACTCAATGCAGGCGCGAACCACTGTTTGGACTGAGGGGCCGACTCACGTGACAGCGCGCACGTTTGGTGTTAGTTCACGTGCTGCGTTTGTATGCCACTGCACATCTGGGAAAGCGTCACACTGCATGTTGAGGAACCGTGTTTGGAAACTTTGTATATGACGTATAATTATGCTCAGAGGAGTGTGCAGCTCGAACGCCATAGGGGGAGAACACTAAGAAAAGGCCACCTGGGCAGCAAATACCTGAGCGCCAAACACCATGTGTGTCTATCTATGAGACATATAAATGCAAAGGTATCATCGCGTAGATGAAGGGTATATCCCAAGCCACGTTGTCATGTGGAAGCGCCACGCCGTGAACACCGATGCTCCGAAGAGCCGACCTTGACATAGAAAAAGAAGACGACGACATCGTGTGCTGCACAGTATCGTGCTCATCCAGTCTAAAGCGTGTTCGAGCAACACAAGTAGACCTCACCACCCTCGTGACAGGTTGGGACAAGCATGTAGCGAACAGAATGACGTCTCGTGCAAGAAGATGTATGTGCTGGGGATATGAGGTGGGCAGGCGGACTAAGCAGGCGGAATGTGAATCGTGAGCGGTGGGGGACGTCAGGTCGATCGTAGGTAGAAGCGGTATTCAGTCACAAGTGGTGAACGGCCCGCAGAGGTAGTTGGAGAAGACCTAAGCCTTCTGAGCAGGCTTCTTGACGGAGCCCTTGGCGGAGACACGGCCGGGAGTGCCCTTGGAGGTTGGTGTCTTTGCAGCGCGGGGCTTCTTGGGCTCGGGAGTCTTGGGAGCCTTCTTGGGCGAGCCTTTCGTGCCGCGCAGGTTAGGAAGGAACTCGATAGAGGGGACTTGTGCCGTAGAGCCCTCAGTGATCTGCTGGTGGATCTTCTCGACGACATCCTTGACCTCTTCGAGGCTCTTGCCATCACCCATATCCATGTAAAGCTCGCGGAGGATCTCAATAGGCGCCTCAAAGTGCTTGCCCTTGACTGAAGCGACTGCCGCTATCGCAGCGTCCGCCACAGACCGGCCAGACATGACCATGAGACAGTATTTCTCAAGGCGGGCCGCCTCAGACTTCTTGAGGGTGATGTTGTAGGTCGTGCCGGGGAACTCTTTCTCGATGACTTCGAATTGCCGGTAGATGAGGTTCAGCTTGCGGATCTGCCAGAGGTCCTTGTTGTAGGTTGCACGCTGGTAGTGCTTTCGGCAAAATAGCGGCCACGAGTCTATGTCGCGAGTGCAAGCCTTGTTGCGGCCGAAGTGGTCGGAGATGACTTTGCGCGATAGATCCTTGGTATACTGACCTGTAACGCAGCGGGAGCTCTCGTCGTTCATACAGACGAAACCGCGCTCATCATCAGACAGGTCTTCGCCGTGGTCCGGAGCGAACAGCTCAGCGGCCTGAAGCGGAGTGAGGTCTGATGCCTCAGTGTCATTACCCGGTGAAACAGCATCGTCCTCGACCTTGGTACAGACGCCACTCTTGGTGGGGGTGAAGGGCGGGGTCAGGGCTGCCGCGTCCACGGTGACGTCGGTGGAGGAGTCAGGAGAGGCTGCAGAGGCAGGCAGGGATGTGAGGATGTTGGAGAAGCTCATGGTGTCGCGGACCCGATCGAGTTGGGGTGAGGTAGGAGTAGACATGATCTTGGGAGTAGTAGATGCTAAGATCGAAAGATGTAAGGAGCAAGAGATACTGGTTCCTGGATAGCGAGCTTGGTTGAGCAGTGCTGTAGATATCGGGGACAGATGGGGTGGAGGAGATCTCGAGGGAGGTGAGCGGAGGGCGTTTTATATGGGGAGAGGCGGTGCGATTGCGCAGGTGAGGTGAGGTCGAGGTGACGGTCGAGCGTTTGGCCCGCTGCCTGATGAACCTATTGTGACCCACCTATCGTCTGTGATTCACCTCGTTGGTGTACAATCGACGTGCACGGCTGCCCGATCCCGCATGAGCCCGCGTATGAAGGCGGAATCCGCAAGCTCGAGCACTACAATAGGACTGTTCTGCCCGCACATTGGGCGCCAAGGCAGTCGTTCGCAAGTTGCTATGACCAAACAGCGTCCCGCGAGCTGCGTGTGCTACCAGGCTTCTGGATAGGAACAGTCCTAGCGGCACGTTGAGCAATGACAAGCCAAAGAAGTGCGGGGATGGCCAACCACACAGTGGGGCATGTCATTTGCACTGCCACTATAGATCAGACACGAGGAAGCACCGTTGAAGTAGGGTGTTCACTTCGACGGGCGGCGACAACGGAATGACGCCAACATGACTTGAGGAGATGACGGGTGATAGTGACGAGTCGGGGCACGGTGAGCCACGATGCAGATCCAACAACACTCATGAAAGGGCATAAGCGGTGTGTGAAGGTGAAACGACAGAATTCGAGTCAAAGAGAGGTTAATGGTTGTCTTGGTCAGTTCATAGCGTACGCTCATCTGTAGAAGAAGTGACTACGGTGGAGACTAGACGCTTTTATCAAAACTTCTACACAAACTATCATTGCATGAGCTTGCGGGTTACAGCGTACTCACGTTGATTCCGGCGCGCTCTCTCGTGCTCTTGCAGACGTCGGCGCTCGCCGCAGACCTGCTCAACCCGCTCTCGACACGGATCCAACCACGGCAAATCACGGCATCTCTCACACAACGGCACAGATGTTGTGTCACCAAGGCCCAAGTCCAACGGCAGTCCTGGATGTAGGTTCTTGTCAGTGTTGGACCTTGGTCGAGAGACAGGGCGGGCCCGTCGAGGCCATTTCGAGGACCAAGTTGTAGTTGTCTTGGATTACAGCTCTCGCTCTGGATTGAGTAACGGGAAGTCTGCTGCCGCATCCATGCTGCATGTCGTCAATCGCGTAGGTACTAACAGGGACTACCGGTAACTGTGAGAGCGCTCAAAGCTCAACAGTCCATGTACACCTCCAGAATGGTGGTTGAACAAGCTGCGGTTAAACCCTTACCTATAAGTCTCTCTCCTGTGCCGCTTTACAGCGTGAATGAACGGTTTCCCGCGCGCCCCAATTCCACAGACACGTGCCAGCTGCCATGCGCATCATCCGGTACATGTGAATGCAAGCGACGGCATGGGCGTGTAAATCACATTGCATACAATTATCTCGCCTCTGATAAGACGATGTTGCCTCGAAATGTCATGGTTGTTCTGCTCCGAGGAGGGGAGCACATCTGATGCAACCTTGGAAGTTGATGAAGAGCCCTGGAGTGAAAGCAGATGGTCGCACGTGCTGGTCGGCGGTCGGAGCATCTGGCGCCGATGCTCGGCATCCATGTCCTGTCCAGCACGTGAGTTTCGTCAACACCTTGGCGCAGGAGCTACCCGTCCCTCTTTCTCACACGCTCAGACACACGCGCAAATCCGCGTCTCACGCAAGCAAACGCCGGGTTGTCGCTTGAGATGCGCCCACACGTCATTTCTACAACGCTCAATCCATCCTCGCACTTGGCTCTGCGCTGAGCACGCTCGCCTCGGTTCCACCACCAGCTTCGCGCCCGTCGTCCAGCCACCATGCCTCCCACAACGGGCACCCGGACGTCTACCAGACAAGGCCGAGCTACAGTGAGGCCCACCAACTACTATGCGCGCACTTTCGCAGGCAGGATCGCGGCCAACGGGCTTGAGCAGACGCCAGAGTCCTCCAACAGCGCGCCAGGCTTTCTCCCGGCGCTCACGCACTTCACGGCCGCTGTCGACTCCTTTCCAAAAGAGATCATCAACCACTTCTCCATGTTCAAGGAGGTTGAGGCTAAGCTCCATCGATCCAGAGCAGATGCTGAAGGAGCTGTTCGACGAGATTGCCCAGCTGCCCGTCACCACCAAGGGTCAGCTACGTAATGGAGAATCAGAATTTGGAGGGTCCAATAGCAACGTTGATGTAAGTCGCAGATGTGATTCGCCTTTGGAAGATGACTGACGAATTGCAGTCGCTTCCACAAAGCTTCTCCAGCCTCCCTCCCGAAGAACAGGTCATCAGAAAACGCCAGCTGTTCTACCGGCTCCGTGTCCTAATGGCGCAGATTATTCCCACCCTCGACGAGAAACTGGTCGTGCTCCAGGCAGCCAAAATCACAAAAGATAAAGGCCTCATGCGTATGCACCATTCCTTCTCCCAGCTCGACAACGAGATCAGCGACGAAGCGCGCTACGGCAGCCTGAACCACTGGGCCTACGCGGACAAGGAGGAAAAGAAGAAGGGCAGTACAACGCACGAGCGACAGCGGCGCGAGGTCGCTGCTGCGAATAATCTGGCAGCAGCAGCACAACACGTCCATGACGTAGACTCGATAGCCGCGAAGAGCGAAGCCCGGCGCGAGGCAGTGCTGGCCAACAAGCGTAGCCGGCACCACCAAGTTGACTCAGACTTTGACGATAGGCCCGCGAAGAAGCCGCAAAAGAGAAAGCCGCTTGCCGCAGACGCGGCGCCTCCAGACAACCGCCATGTTGGACTTGGCATAGTGGGTAATGGTGCAGGACCCCACGGCAAGCGCAAGAAGACCGAAAAGGCTCTTGCTGCCGCAACATTAGCCGCCCCGGCAATGGAGCGCTCCTTGAGCGGGGCCCTCAAGGCTGCAGGCAGTGGTGGTGGGCGCGGTGGTTCGAGCCCGAGAGCTACTCCAGGCCTAGAGACGGCTGCCAGCTCCAAGCGCAAACCAAGAGCCGCACCTGCGCCAGCTCAGCGCAAGAACCAGCTTCCAACATACTCCCCACCTCTCGCGTCCTCCCCACTAGCCGCGAACTTTGCCATCAACAAGACTATCGCCCGGCGCCAGCGCCTCGGATCGTCCACTGTCAGCACGAGCGAGAAAGAATTCGATAGCGAATTCTGTCACATCTGTGACTGCCCAGGAACGTTCGAATGGTCGACGCCCGTCGTTCATCGCATTCTATTCAGCAAGCTGCAAGCAGCAATGCTATCACAGAGCTCGAGCAGGGCTGCAGGCATCGTTCGTGACAACACTTTCCATACAGGGCGCATCTACTCCCAGGGATGCCATGGACACTGCTCCACCCTTTGAACCGCTTGCTCTGAAACAGGAAGAGCTTGCCCTACAAGAGCCAGAAAGCATGGACATTGATATGCCCGTAGCGGCGTCGCACGCAGCCAGAGCTGGCAGAACATCAAAAACTGCGACACCGGTCGTTGGATCGTTCCCCGAGATCCCCATGGCACGCAGCCGCAGTATGCGCAATGCCAATAACTCGAACTCCAATACATCCTCCGAGAACAACAGCACTACTACAGGTGCTGTATCGAAGCGAGGAACTAAGAAGGGTCCGCAGACAACATCCAACGCAGCTCTTGCTTCGCCAGCAGTCAAGCCTGCCCCGAACCCGAAATCTAATCCCCCGTCCTCGACTACGAGTTCGATCCCCCCCGAGCTGGAGAACGAATACCCAGAGGCAGAGTCAGAAGAGGACGGCGACGAGCCACGGTACTGCTACTGCAACGAAGTATCCTATGGTAACATGGTCGCATGCGATAATGACGACTGCCCGCGGGAATGGTTCCACTTGGCGTGTGTGAACCTTGACAAGGCACCCGTCGGCAGGACAAAGTGGTTCTGTAGCGACGAGTGCAAGGAGCACCACGCAAAAACCAAGACTAAGGGGGGACGGCCTGGAAGCAGTAGGCAATAGGAATTAGGACGGAGTTCAAGGCGTTCTGGTTCGGCTCTAGATGGCTCTAGGGTTAGGCTTGGTCCAAAAGGCAAGGGCAAAGCTAAGTTGAATCTTTGGGATGGATGGAATGCTCTTTGAAGCTTCCTTGGGTTTGCATTTGGTCTGCGGGTTCGCGGCGCTCTTGGATTCGGCGTACTGCGACTCTCATGACTATCACGATTGGAAAGGCGTGCCCTGCTAGGTACTTGGGAAGAGCGCGACTACGTCTTGCACGCCACGCGAACCGAGGTCAACGTAGACATACCATCGATATCGCCTATAAGCAATCACGTATCCATGCAACGGACACTTCATGTGATACTCGTGAACTCAAATACGTATGTCAATGAGAGCAGCAATTGTGGCAATGTCCATGTCATCGAACTAAGAATGCCTGCAAGTCCCTGCATATAGCTTTTGTAAACGTCACACATTATTGGTCACATAGGCAATTTCAGCCGCAGAGCCCAGCTGGACCCTGGATCACCGCTGTACGCCCGTGACAGATCCTCACCGCTCAAACACGCGACACCAACCCTCGAGGACCTTTAAGTCTTCAATCTTGCACCTGGAGCTGTGGCAGAATCCATACTCTAAAATGACACCAACGAAAGCTCCGGCGGCAGAAGAACAACTCATTACGTCGCCAAGTGGGGCAAACACAGACACCCCGCCTGATCTCCGTTTCCTGCACTACAACGATGTTTATCACGTCGAAGCTGGCTCGAGGGAACCTGTTGGTGGATATGCGAGATTCCAGACGCTCATAAATTACTACAGAGACGATGAGAGGTTCAAGGACCAACCCAAGGTCCTGACATTCTTTTCTGGAGATGCGTTCAATCCGAGCATCGAGAGCAGTATCACGAAAGGTTAGCAGGCCAAGTTTTTGCAAAGCTTCTGAATTAGACTAATGTTTGCGTAAAAGGTAGCCATATGGTGCCAGTCTTGAACAACATTGGTACAGATGTCTCTTGCGTGGGAGTAAGTACTTGCCACTCTCAAAACTTGGCAGGAGCTGACGTGCAATGTAGAACCACGACCTTGACTTCGGTGTCAAGCAATACCGCTACCTCACCTCGAAATGCAAGTTCCCATGGCTTCTCGCGAACGTCCTCGATCCCGCGCTCGGCGAAGGTGTCCCTCTCGGCAACGCACAGAAGACAGTGATGCTCACATCCTCGAACGGCATAAAGGTTGGCGTGATTGGACTAGCAGAGCGGGAATGGCTGGATACTATCAATGCTCTGCCGCCGGACATCATATACAAAAGCGCTTCGGCAACAGCAAAAGAGCTCATTCCAGGCTTGAAGGAGCAAGGTGCCGAGATCATTGTCTGCGTCTCCCATCAGCGTGAACCAAACGACAACAAGCTCGCTGCAAACACAGGTGGAGATTTGATTGACATTATCCTCGGTGGACACGACCATTACTATTCCTATAGCCACATCAATGGCACCCATGTCCTGCGCTCAGGAACAGATTTCAAACAGCTCTCCCATGTCGAAGCGTGGCGAAAGCCAGAAGGTAAGGGTTGGGATTTCAAGATCATACGACGCGATATCATCAGCAGTATACCACAAGATCCAGCCGCCATGGCGCTGGTGGACGAGCAGACACAGGAGATTAGGAAGAGGTTAGACAAGCCGATTGGATATACGGCTGCGCCGCTCGACGCAAGGTTCACGACCGTCAGGACGAAGGAGTCCAACATCGGGAACTTCGTATGCGATCTCATGAGGTACTATTATTCGGCAGATTGCTGTATCATGGCGGCTGGAACCATCCGCGGAGACCAAATCTACCCTCCCGGTGTTCTCAAGCTACGCGACATCGTCAACTGCTTCCCGTTCGAGGATCCCGTGGTTGTCTTGAAGGTCACCGGAAAAGCAATATTCGGGGCGCTGGAGAATGGTGTTAGCAATTATCCAGCACTAGAAGGAAGGTTTCCGCAGGTGTCGAACATTACATTTGAGGTCGACTATTCGAAAGCTCCGCATTCTAGGATACAGAACGTGACGATCGGCGATGAACCTTTGGACGAGAAGAGAGAGTATGTATTGGCTACTCGTGGTTACATGGGTCGTGGAAAAGGTATGTCAAGTCACTCGTACCATTTCTTGTTGCTGTACTAACGACATATCGCAGATGGCTACACCTCGCTGCTCATCGAAGAAGAAGGCGGCGTTGCCAAAGAAATCGTCTCCGAAGAGAACGGCGTCCTCATCTCCACTATCCTCCGCCAATATTTTATGTCGCTCAAGGTCCTGGGTCGCTGGAAGCGCCTGGGCCCATCCATGAGCAACAAGTTTCTCTCGATCCAAACAAATCTCCAAAACAACCACAAGCATACCTTCCACGATGCATCGCCGACAAGCCCGGATACAGCTGGCCCACCACAGCCGCCCAGCATCGACAGAGTTGTGCGCTCGACAGGTCCGGATCAGACGAACAATGCATCGGACGACCCGGATGCAGATGAAGATGAAGACGATGGCCCAATGTACGATGATAGTGTACCCATTCGATTCGACCAGAGGCAGATAGAGATGGTGAGGCGGGTCATGCATAAGTGGTGGAGATTAGCGGGGTTGAAGCACACTCCGAACTTGGTCGACGAGCTGGATAAGAAGGAGTTCGTGGTGAACTGGACAAAGGCTATTGCACCACGGTTGGAAGGAAGGATCAAGGAAGTTGGGGTGAAAGCTTAGGTGAGAGTCAAATAGAAACGGAAATGCGCACCGCATGACTGCCACCGATCTTGATGTGAGTTCGCAGGTGAAGTTACGAGCTCACAGAAGCGTTGAACGGTGACCAGTGAGTGAGACCATTAGTTCGCACATATAGAACCTGTGTAGCCCAAAGTTTGTTACTTACCCACCATACATTGTCCTTTGTCCTACCGATACCAGCCTACGAAGGCAATCTGCCCACGACCCCCGGGTTGCAACAAACCGGGAATCTCAGAGTGTCGTACTCGGTGCGACGACTGCGTGAATCATGGACGCGCCGCTAGCATCCACATACGGACGGCTCATGAAGACCCTCGCCGACGAGAACGCCGCTGCCGGTGCAAGAGCGACTCTGCAAGAACAACTTGTTCAAGCACAAGCACAGTGCCAATAAGAGAAAGCGCGAGCCGACAAAGCCGAGCAGAAGATCACCATTCTCGAGCAGAAACATATCAAAGCGATTGCACGAGAATGCATGCAAGCCGACGCCATAAAGACAAGTCATGAGCTTGAATATCAAGAGCAAGAGAGAAGAATGGAACGGATAGCCGAGCAGAAGGATGTACTACAAGAAAGCATTTTCAAGCTAAACACCAAGCTTTTGGTTTCTCGAAAAGTGCAGGCGGGGACAAGGGCTAAAGTGAAAAGGCTGGAAGGGGAGATGGAGGCGATTTTGAAGGAAGTGGAGAAGCTTAAGAATACGCGTGGAGAGAAGAGGAAAGCTAACGATGATGCTGGAGGCGAACGGAGGATCAAGGTTGACCCGACAATCTTGGAGTTTGACTGAATGATCTGAGGCTATGGAAATGGAGTACTGAAGTGCGTTTCGATTGAGATTCTGCGAAAGACTGTATACTTATAACATCTTGGTACATCCTCAGATGCATGCCAAATCTTTCGGTTAAGGTAAAGCAGCCGGAGCAGAAGTCAAGTAACTTCCACGTAGCAATGCCACCTCCGGAATTTCAATCAGCAAGGTTCTTGTCGTGATGCAAAAGGTAAAGTTGGAAGCTAAGCGTAGTGACGCTTTCTGTTGAGCTAGCTGCAGTGACAGGTAAGAGACGAATCACTACCCTGGTGGATATATACCCTTTCTCCCTCCGTGACTGCTCTGTCAACCTGTTACACAACTCAGCCAAAAATTCTTCAATACTTTCAACTCCTACTGCTATTCGACGAAAAGCATGTTAGACTTCGAACCATTCATCTCCAAGCAGACGGGCGCGTCCAAAGAAAAGCCCACATCCAGGAAAGAGACTGAGACCATGGCTGAAGATACACAAGCTTCAACAGAGGAGGCTGAACCAGTGAGTAATTTACCGCAAATCTGAATCACTGCCACTGAATAATTGTAGACAACCCACGAGCGCATCCTCAAGGCTCTGGCCGATCAGCGAGCCGAAATATCAAAGCTTCAAAATAAGCTCAAGATGTCTAGACGGAGAGCCACCTGTGCAGAAGCTAAAGTCGATGAAGCTGAGCAAAGAGCAGTTCAGGCCCAATTCGAACTCGTCGAATTTGAGGAAGAAGCGTGCGAAGCCGCCGAGGCTATCGAACAACTCAGTCGAGATCTTCAGACGGCCCGGGATGGAGAAGCTCAGGCAAACGATAAAGCGGAGGAGGCAAAGGAACAGCTTGAGGAGATCTGGAAGGCAGTGCAGGATAGTGGGGTTGCGCTGCTGGGAAAGAGGAAGGCTGCTGAGGGCCCCGAAGGACACACTGCGAAGAAGGTCAGAGTGGAACCGGAAGCCTAGCGGTTCTTTTGTCTGCGATGGAAGTGAATGTCCAGGTCTGAATAGGATTCAAAGCTTGAAATAGCGTATAGGTATGAGCTCTCTTCTCTTGGTATAGTTTGTGGCATCAATCGACGGAGCTCAGATACAGTTCCGCCACGTCGAGAATGACATGACATGGAATTGTGCTGAGCATTGCCTGGACGTATCACAACGTGTTTACATATGCAGAGGATCTGTGGGCTAGGCCTAGTTTGGAGTAGTCAAGTGAGCGTTTGTATATTGACCGCAACAGACTTTGCAGTCTCTCACCTCAACTTACCCCTCCCGCCACAAAACTTTCTTTCCTCGTCCTCGACCTCACCTTCAGAGCTACAGCTAGAATGATAGCTAAGACGAGCAAGATGGCTCGCGAGATCGATCAAGGAAAGCTGCCTGAGTATCGCGGCAAGTTTTCCTGGGTAGCTGACACCCTGTGCGCACACATCAGTGCGACAATGCCAGAATACGACTCTCACGACCCAAAGACATGGCCTGTTATCACATCCGACTACCTTCAAGCCCTCCTCGGTCATGAGTACGATGGGAATCAATGCCTCCCTCCGTACGTGGCCTACGAACGCGGCCTCGTCGACAAGTGCGTCACGCATTTTGCAGACGGACCCGCCGAACTCATACACACTGACGGTCAGACAACGTCAATCGGGAGTCTGTACCATTATCTCTTTCCCTTCGTGTACAACTCCCAAGGTCAGGCACGTAAGTTCGAATACATGCATGCCCATCATTACATCACGTGGGTCTCTGATATAACTGGGACGGTTCCGTCCACGAGAACTAAGGGCAAGGACGTACCACCTTCAGCGTCGACATCGGCTTTTACTGAGGTACTGAAGATGCTGAAGGAGACTCGTTCAAACTTAAATGATAGTGACGCTGAAACCGGCAAGCAGGAGTTGGCGAAATTGCGCAAAACTCTCGCCAAGGAGAAGCAGCGTGTGGAAGCTGTTCGAAAGAGCAACCAAGCCGTCAAAGAAGGCTTGAGAGAGGCATTGTCCGAGGAAAAGAAACAGCACAATTGCACCAAGAAGGGCCGTGAGGCTGACGCAGAGATGCTCGAAACCGCACACGCCTCCTGGGATATTGAAACAGGTCGAGCGAACGCGGCGGAGAAGTCAGTCAAGCAGCAAGCAGAGCTACTGGAATCTAAAGAGAAAGAGTTGAGAGCTGCTAAGGCTAAGATGAGGAGTCAGGCAAAGGAGTTGGATGCTGCAAAGAAGGAAGCTGCGACCGCCCAGGGGCAGATCAACGTTATTCGGGATGAGCTGAGAAAAATTCGCGGAATTGAGAACCGAAAGAGGCAGGCGAATGACGACACTCCTGAAATGATGTGGAAAAGGATCAAGACCGAATTTGAGGAGTGAACGAAGAAGGGAACAAGTTGGAAAACAGAACAGGGACACCGAGAGATGGGCGGGAGAGCATGCAAATGACGTGACCCGGTACGGCTTCAGGTTTGAACATAGATGAAGAACCAGGTCCTCAGCAAAACTGGGACATACTTGCATTGCCTTTTGTAGGCGGGGTAGTCACTACTACACGCAACCATTGCCACGGTAGTCAGTCTATAACATGTAACAATCAAAAAGAGATTATCACTCAATCTGTCTTCGAAGCTCTTGTGGGCATGTCGTTGTGGTCATCTACCCGAATACATACCTCATCGCATTCCTTGCCTACCTACTTACTCAAAAGTTCCACGATCGATGCCGCAGTAGCATTATGTACCGGGAACGTAGGATGCAAGTCATTCAGCCACAAATACTCATTGACCGGATAATCGCAGCTCGCATCCTTGGTATACCACGTTGGCGTTCCACTGTTCCTTGTTAGCCTCTCTACTACCAAGTCACTGTCCAAAATCCACTTACTTTGCATAAGCCTTGCAAAACGCCGTAGTATTCTTATACCCCACCGTCTGCTCCACGCTTTTCGGGTCCTTGATAACCTGCGTAAACAGCGCATTCGTATCATGCACAAACGCCGTAACACCAGCATGTTTCGCTTTAAACTGCGCCGTCATATTCGCCACCCTCCCATTCCAATCCGCAATAACCCTCCCCTCATACTCCGTCGCATACCCATCATCCGCCTTTTCAGTAATCAACGGACTCAAGTTCACCGGCGGGACATTAAGGAACAAAAAGTTGCGCGCGCCAGTGTCGTACACTTGATCGAGCAGTCCAGCGTACTCGGCGAAAATGGCGTCGTAGAGCGTGGCGTTGTTCAGATACCAGCTATTGCCAACATCGTTGATGCCGATGAAGAACGCAAACAGTGAGGATTCAGCCGTCCATGGCGCGCTCGCGGGCTTGGAGCTATAAATCGGCAGGAATTGCGTCTGGACTTGTTCCTTCACCGAGACTACCGTGGGCGCGTAGGGCTTCACGAGAGCAGAGTCGACGGTTGCGCCGCCGGAGGCCAGGTTGTATGTTAGGATGGTGCTCTGGTTATATGTTGCGGTCAGGAAGCCGACCCAGTTCGGGCCGTTGCTGGATGTCCATCCTGGGAACGTGGGGTTGCCGAAGGGGTTGGAGGGGCTGGGTTGGGCGGCTTTGGCGTCGAAGCCGGTTTGGGTGTAGGAGTCGCCGAAGACGAAGAGGTGCTTGACGTTCTTCCAGCCGGACCAGGAGCTGTTTGCGGCGTATGGAGCGGCAAGGGCGGTGGATGCGAGGGGAAGGAGGAAAGTTGTCGATTTGACCATTTTGAAGATGTGAAGGAGTGACAGGGAATGTGATAGGGGATATGATGAGATATGTGGACCAAAAGCTCATGGACAACGCTCACATGGAAAAGACTGTATTTACCTTCGACGTTGACTATCCGGCGTTACGGAGAAATGCCATGATCACCGAGTGAATCAGATAGATTAGATTGAATTGATTGTAATACTCTACCCCACATATTAGCCCTATACATTGCCAGGAACATCACTTGCGGAAGAATTCTCGAACGATGTAGTGTTCTTCTAGTGCGTAGCATGTGCGAAGTAATGACACGGCGAACGAGGTCCCTTTTCCTCCGTTCCCAAAGAGGAAAGGCGTGGTCGCAGACGTCATCTTCTCGGCTTACTCTCATCAACACAATTCTAGCTTCGTCTTGCAACAAACACTCTATATCCTCCAATTAGTCTAGAGAAGTTCAAAACCGAAATACCATGTGTTGCATCTCTTTCTGCGATTAATTTCGATCTCCAAAAGCACTGTCACTCACTCCTATGTCCTATGCTTCATCAGTTCATACCCTCAACATCAACTCCGTTCCCATATCTCCATCAAAAGGGACAACGATGCTGCTCATATCTTTTCCTCGCATGTTTCTACTACCGGTACTCAAAGTAGTCGTATAAATACACCTTCCCTTTCCTTTTCCAACTCTATCTTCTCATCAACACATCTTCTTCTTCTCAGACCGACCCAAAGCAAAAGATATCAAACCGTATGTTCTGAACATGTCAAAAAAACCACAATATTGCAACTTCATGACTCGATCTACTCGTTTTTGGAAGTAACTCCACCTTCGCATCTTGTACGCTCAGTTACATTCAAATCCTCCATTCTGAAATCGAAAATAGACATGCTCTATCAAAAATGTGCGGAAGAACCAAGCACACCACATTCACGACCTACTACCAGAGATTGTTTACAAAAAAACACTCGCACCTCTTCCATCTCCCTCCTCTCAATAACCACTCTGCCAAGCATCGATATCTCAAAACCATACGAATTTCCATGCATGTCCTCGCTCTGCGGGGCAATCGAGACCAAGTGTCTACACTCGTGCTTGGTATAAAGCGCATGCTATGCCTATCATGCCAATTGTACCGGCGCAATGTCTGCGCGGACATCAATGAGCCCAGCTTCGTTTTTGAATCAGCGAATGATAAAACTGCATGTTTTCGCTACACTTCAGTTCTTTTGGCGTATAGCTGCATAGTCATGCCTCTCTCAGATACTCGGCGTATGTAAACGAGCCGCAGAATGTTACAGTTCGTCCCGCATGACATGGAAATGAATCATTGAGCGGAGAAAATAACGATGCTTAGATATTGCATATTCGGATATACTACTGAGTTGATGCCAAATTCAGCGACGCAAACAAAACCACGAGATGAATAACGTAAAAAGCACTAGCCCAACCACCAGGGTAGAGGGGTATCATAGGAGACTGTGGAAATCAAACATGGAACCATGCCGCTGTAAAGTCAAATCGCGAGTCCAGGTCGAAACATCAGCCATTTGCGCCATCTCAATTTTGAGCCAGATCCACCGCCACCGCCACCTTGTATTATTATGCCGCCCCGTCCGTCGTGTTCATTCGTTTGCTTTTTCGTTTTGAAGCGGTTTATCGCGGGGTATTGTGGACCGGTATCCGTGGTCCGCCAACCGAGCTATCCCTGCGGCCCTTGAAGGAGCTCAGATCGCTTTCCCGACGTCCGGCGAGACTGCTCATATCGCTCATGCCGTCCTGATCGCGCTGATAGCTGTACTCCTCGCTGGAATTCGAGCCTTTCCAGCCGTTGTCCCACGCGGCGATGCGCGAAAGAAGCCTATCCACCATTAAACCTTCTTCAAAACAGCACGTGTGGTATATGTGTAGTTACCGGTCGTCGGGCTCAATGTCGTCCACGATGAGCTCGTAGTCGCCCTCGGCGGGGAGGTAGAGCGCGGAGGCGATGATGCCGACGGAGGTGAGGAAGAGGATTGTCCAAGAGGCTGTCACGAGGTGGAAGCACCTGTCGAGGTGCCAAACGCCGCCAAAGAAATAAGTCGTGTCGTTGTCGTAGAGGTAGGCCTGGGGGTGTTAGACTTGACTTGGCGCCGTGCGCACAGCAGGGAAGTGCAGAGACATACCACAATAGCCATTCCGGCGCACTGCACGACGGCGCTGAAGAGCAGCACACCAGACACAACCTGCCACCCAGCAGCTCTCCTCTGCACGCCGCCGCCAACAATGACTGCGAAAGAGACCAGTGTGCAGAGCTCGGCCACAACGGCGAAGGAAATCAAGAAGCCAACGGTGCGCCACATGTTGCAGAAGGCCGGATGCTTGCCGCATTCTGAGGTCTTGGGGAAAGGTTCGCAGGCACCTGTCTCCGCAGAGCAGCGCGTGTGGAGGCCGTATGAGAATTTGCGCTCGCCATTCTGGACATGGTCAGTAAGAGTCGATATCTGCAAAGTCGGGAAGGCGTACAGTGCTGTAACTGATCCACCGCGGCGAGGCAATACTCGCGATGGTCATTATCGTGCCTGCATATGTCAGTCTTCACGTGCTATCCCTATGTCCATCTCCACAACTTACAAACAATGGTGAGAACAAGGCCCACGCCATATACGATTCGGCGCGTCATGATGGCAGTAAGAAGGCTTCAGAAATTCGAGTATGAGAATGAGACAAGAGCCTCAACTTCGTGGCGCCAGCTCTGGGGACGCTGCGGGGTTTTGTGCAAGGGAACAAGGCGCGTGCTGCGTGATTTTGCGATGAGGCGTACAAGCGGCAGCCTCGAGATCGTCGGTATCCGCGGTCTTTTTTTGCACCGAGCGAACAAGCGTGCAGGCGCGAAATCCACAATGCGTGACAGGAAGATAAATGAAAAGAGTGGTTAGACAGCAAGCGACTAGACGAGGACGCAACCTCCTTCTGTCGTGAGGGTTTCAAGGTTTGCCCCGGGGTGCTCCTCCTGGTCCACACCATTTCGCATGTCTTACGCCATGCCGCTAGACGCGGAAGGTGCAATGACGACACGCTAGCGGAGACCACGGACCATTGATCGCTTCCGCCATGGCGGGATTTGATAGCGCATGTAGCGGCGGCTGGTCACGATGCTCTGTGGTGTTGTATCATTTGAGACTTGAGGTATTTCTCCTACTCGTACATCGCACGTACTCTTGGTCACTTGGGATAGAGAATCATCTGGGATGATCTGAAGGGATCCAGCATCGGATGTCAAGTGGCGGTGTCAAGCCTCCATACTCTGCCTAGCGCCTTCCTCCGCGATCACCGATCTGGAGCACGGCATCTACTTTCTGTCCTAGGTTCTTCCTAGCCTCTCTGCCAACACTCACAGCCTCAAGTACATATCTTGGAGGTAAAACATACCGAGCAAGGGTTAGAAAAGCTCGTATTCTTCAAGACTGGAGTTTTCATTAAGAATGCGCGGTATCGCGCTCACGTCCTTGTGACCTTTCTGCATCCCGGAAGATCGCACCCTTCATCGCCTCGTAGATAACACCACCACACCCAATCAGCATAAGCACGCACTGACCTCTCCAAACGCGTGGGGCTACAAATCCCATGTCCTGTGTGCCTGTGCAAGATGGCATTCCACGCTTACTTGCTAGCGCCGCAAATCTCAAGGTCAGCAGGCCATGCTTGCGCGGGATGTCAGCGATAACCTCCTTGAAAACTTGACTGGGAAACAACGTGTAAGAACTGAAGACATGTCTTCACCGCTTCTGTGTACGGCGTCGGCGCCGATATTATTGTTGGCGTATGCGAGATGCGGGGATGCCAACGTCCTGCAGCCTGCGATATTGGCTGCAAAGCTGATTCGATCGTGGTGCTGTGGGTGTATGTCGCGCATATACGCGAGTCGCTAAGATAAGGAGTAGTCTACACTTTGGGCGCGTGCCATAATCATATTGTACAGAAGCATGCTCAATTCGGGGTATAATGAAAAATGACCGAGATGTACTAATTACATATGGTACATGGAGCGAGATCCTAGCAGTGCTAGAACAACACTTCCTCTGGAGTTGATGCTGCCTTCGCGATCGGCTTCTGCAGCATCTCGTAGGATAGTATCGATGCAGCTACGCTGACGTTGAGGCTGTCGACTCCGATTTCGTCGACTTCACGCCCGTGCTTGATCCCGACCTTGTAATGCGCGAGGTTGAGCAAACTGTCTCGTAGTCCGGTACCCTCTGCGCCCATCATGAGGATTGTGGGGTGCTCCGCAACTGGGCAATGGTCTGACGGGAGGCGTTTGGTGCTACGAGCGACGGAGTAAACGATCTTGCTGCTTGGTTCTTCTTTCTCTCCCGACGTCACAGGTGGAGGAGGAATGGCATCGCTGGCATATATCCTCCATCCAGCCCGCGAGCTCTTACCGAGGAAGTCTGCGGGTTCACCGACTTTGAAGAGAGGGACAGCTTCTGCAGCACCAGCGGATGCCTTCACAGCTATATGACTCCAGGGCGCAGTTTGACGGGTTGGTGTTACGACTGCATCAACGCCGAGGAAGTAGGCTGAGCGAGCAATGGCTCCAAGGTTGCCTTCGTCGAGCTACCATTGTTAGCACTATTCATAAATGCATGAGGCCGAACGTACCACGCCATCGACATAGAGAATAAGTGGCTGTCGCCAGCCCGCAGACTTGTACGAGTAAGTCTCCTGCTTCCCGTTGACAAGCACATCCTCGGCGCTCTGGCTATCAACCGTGACTCCGAAGGTCTCGTCTGATATGGACACTGCTTTTAGTTCTGTAATAGGGGGAACCGGAAGCGGCGACGACTCCAAAACAAGTCCATTATGAGGACGGCCACTGCTTGCCTTGTCCATTGCACGCAAGTATTCGTCTCCAACTTCCTCGGTAATGTGAAACAGCTTGAGCGCTCTGACGCGAGCCATGAGTCCATCTCTACTCGACCCTCTCGTGTGGACATAGAGCTTGTATAGTTTGCGCCGATTTGCTTTTAGAGCCGCGACGACGCTGGAATGCCCGTAGAGGAACTCAGAGGCTGCTGTGGAATATGGCAGCACTTCGGGTACTCTGACTGTGTTCTCCGAAGTCACCGTGGGACGCGTTGTAGGAGTAGGTGCATCGGCCTGCGTTCGAGATGCATCACGGCGCTGGTAACCCTCAGACCGGTCTCCGTCGAATCGCCCACGCATGAACGATGAAGTCTCGTTCCTTGGGGTCCAGGATCGCTCTGGACGCTCCGGACGATCTGGTCTATCTCCAGTTTCGCGTCTTCCAAAGGACTCTCTTGGAGGTCCGCGAGCAGTGTTCCGATCTGAGAATGTTTCCTGGCCTTTGAAATTGCTGTCACGGTCGAATGACCTCTTCTCTCTGTTGTCACGGTCGAATGACCTCTTCTCTCTGTTATCGCGGTTGAATGGCCTCTTATCCCTGCTCTCAAATTGTCCCTCGCGCCAGGGTGGTCGTTCATCCCGCTGGCCCAAAGCCCCCTTGGTCTTGACGTGGCAGGTCTATCGTCAGAGCGAGAAGCTGGTTTTGATCGTCCTTCCCAGCGATCTGACGAGGGCCTTCGCTCACCATCGAATCGCTTGCCACTCATAGGTCCTTCCGACGATGCAACAGCCCCATCCTCTCGGCGCCATGGACTTCTCTCATCCTCAAAGCGACTCGGCGCATTACCGTCTCGAGAGCGTGGTGGTCCAATTCGCCCGAATCTGCTGCTTCGTGATTTTTCACGGTCCTCAGTTTTTGATGGGCCAAACTGTTCCGCCCTCCGTTCGAAACGGGGCTGTGGTCTTGCACCTTCGAAGTCCTCAGGCGGAGGCCGTGTGCGGGGTCTGAAAGGTCGATCGGGTCCGCCCTGCTTGCCACGTTCGATGGCGGCAGTGAGGGATTTGTATCGTCGAAACGTTTGTGGTAAATGAGTTTGCTGTGTCCGGAGTAGCGTACTACCAAATAAAGAAGAAATAACCATAACAGGATCTCTTCGATTGGGCGAATTGAAGTTTGCAAAATATCGTAGTTATTTTCGGTGTTCACAAGAAAATTCGCACGGACCATTGAGCTTAATCTTAGCGCGACGCGCATCACGAAGTCACGCGTCTTTACTCCACATGGAACTGTCAATTGTCCATTCACCGACGAGCGCATTGCGGAGGTAGAGACTCTGGCGCGCTTTTCGCACCAACATGGCGATGCGCATAGCATTCCCACGCAATTAAATTACACAAACGAGTCAAACATTCCTTCTCCATATCTTCGATAGGCGTGATTTCCTCGACGAATACGACGTTTCCACCTACTCGCTACTGTATACTAAGCTTGGAGCTCGACCTATGAACGCCAGTTGCACACATCCATGAGCTCAGACGACGATGGCGCACAGCTGATGGCTGCCTTTCAGAGGAAAGACAGCCGAAAAGCCGCCCCTCCACCTAAACCGCCACGAATCGCATCGCCTGTTGAACCAGCAGAACCGGACCAGGATGTAGAGGCTACAGGCAGAGATGCGGAGGAACCAAGAGTTCGGCGGGCGTTATGTGTGCGGGTGAAGCCGGTCACTAATCGGGATGAATATGTGTACTACGAGCCAGCGGAAGAGGTGGAGGAAATCCTAAAGGAATACTCGCGGAGAGGAGACATGCTGTACGAAGTCAAAATGACTGGCAATACAAAAAAACAGGTGAGTGCAAGCAGTAAAGGCAGTCCCGCTGGAAGCTCCGAGAGAGGTAAAGGCGCATTGGCCGTGGCAGCTTTCCCTCTCTTTGGTCTCTCTATAAAATCAGCGGCCCGCCATCACCTACCTCCTCTTCTCCACGTACCACCAGCTTAAATCCCTAACCTGGACGTTAGATCAACTTCGAAGAACTCCTCGGACTGCCCGGCGGTCCCGAAGCCTTACAAAGGTTCCAGCACGAAGAAGACGATCAAGCGTCGCCCAGTGCCGACGATATGCAGCTACGTCAGCGCGGAGCCAGGGCGAAGAACAACGATTTCGTGGACATTTCGACCATCGACATCTCGTCTTCGGATGAGGAAGACGACGAGGATGACGAAGAAGCACCCACCTCGCGCCGACCCCGCAACGGCCGAGTGCAGACACTGAAAAGGCGTGAAGAAGGGGGAAGTGGCCGTTCTTCACGGACACGCTCACGTGTCAGCGATCTCGCTGAACTCTCGTCAAGCGATGATTCAGGAGCCAGCGGCAAGAAGCGCCGACGGAGACGCAAGAAGGACCTGGGACCAACCCGCCGCTCGTCAAGACAGCAGGCGCCTGTCAAGTCATACGACGATACTGAGGAGGACGAAGAGGAAGACTCGAGCGACTCCGATATCCTGCGTTCAGACGTGCTGCCCGGCAGGAAGCGCAAGGGACGATCTTTGCGTTCTTCGAAGCCAGAGAAGATACCCCGGTCCGGTGTACGACAATCCGATCGGTCAACACGAGCCACGAACAACATGGAAGAGGCTGACCTGGGTGACATCTACCGCTCTGACTCCGAACCGAAGGCAGCGGCGCCCAAGTTGACGCAAGTTCGTGAGGTGTTTCCCACACTCCCGAGAAGTGACCCATTCCGAGCACGTCACGCCGAAGGCTGCGAAGTATGCTACAGTGGCCCGAATGTTGCGCCACTGATCTACTGCCAAGGGTGTTCGCTCGCGTATCACAAGAACTGCATTGGAACTCGATCAAGCCGCGAACACCTTGTCACCAAAGTTGGCAACGAGAACTTCGTCCTCCAATGCAAGCGATGCATCAATATCTATCAGAAAAAGGATGCAACTGCTCCAGATCTTGCACGTTGTCAGGACTGCACAAAGCACGGTACCTCCTGTGGGCCATACCGCGTTCGCAAAACTACACAGCAGGAGATGAAGGATCGTGAGGACAACGGTGGCCAAGACCCAATTGTCGACGTGGATCCAGATCTTGTCAACAACGCTCACAATGTGCTCTTCCGATGCACGAAATGCGCGCGAGCTTGGCATTATCACCACCTGCCTCCGCTCTCGCAGTACGCCATGAACATCAACCGCGAAGACGAAGAACGAGCAGATGAGCGTTTCCGTGAATACTCCGAGAAATGGATGTGCAAGGAATGTATCGACACTGAGGACCTAAAGGTAGGCAGTCTCATTGCCTGGCGGCCATCAGATGTCGAGACCTATCGTCCAGGAGTTCCTTGCGAGAAGGTCGGCGAAGACGAGAAGCAGTACCTTGTCAAGTGGGAGAACCAGTCTTATTTCCGTGCGACATGGTTCTCTGGTGCTTGGACATGGGGCGTCACTGCGCCTGTTATGCGGAAGGCCTTTTTCAAGCGAGAAGACGGCCCAAAGATGCGTACCGAGGATGCCATTCCCGAGGAATATCTCCGCATCGATATTGTCCTCAACATCAAGTACACAAGCTATGTGGAGGTCCGGAGCGAGGAGATCCTCAAGGCTCGTATCAAGGAGGTCGACAAAGCTTTGATCAAGTACAAAGGTCTCGGATACGAAGACGCCGTCTGGGAGAGCGTGCCGACACCCGACGATGGTGACAGATGGCTGGACTTTGTCACAGCATACAACGACTGGGTTGCTGGTCGCTACGTCAAGTATCCTAAACAAGGTCCTCTCAAAGCCCGCCTTGAAAAGATCCGCAGCCAGCCTTTTGCGAAGCTCGAGAAGCAGAAGCAGCCAGACAATCTTGTCGGTGGCGAGTTGATGAAGTACCAGATTGAAGGTCTCAACTGGCTTTACTACCAATGGTACAGCCAGAATAACGGTATTCTTGCTGATGAGATGGGTCTGGGCAAGACTATCCAAGTCATTGCTTTTATGGCTACCATGGTACAAGAGCACAATTGTTTCCCCTTCCTCATTGTAGTCCCGAACTCCACAGCTGCCAACTGGCGCCGCGAAATCAAGCAATGGGTGCCCTCCCTGCGCGTCGTTGCATATTTCGGATCTGCCCAGGCTCGCGACATGGCCTACAAGTACGAGATGTATCCGGAAGGAACCAAGGAGCTCCGCTGTCATATTGTTGTCACTTCCTACGAAGCGGCGGCAGATGATAGTTGCAGGCGCATGTTCCGGAGCGTCAGCTGGGGGGGGCTTATCGTCGATGAAGGCCAGCGGCTGAAAAACGACAAAAGCCAGCTGTACACAGCTCTTAGTGCTGTAAAGGCACCATTCCGCCTTCTCATGACTGGCACGCCTTTGCAAAACAATGCTAGAGAGCTATTCAATCTGCTGCACTTCTTGGATGAGACGATCAACGCGGCTGAGCTCGAGGAGAAGTATGCGGAGATGACATCGGAAAATGTCAAGGAGTTGCATGACCAGATCCGCCCCTTCATCCTCCGCCGCACCAAAGCCCAGGTGCTAACCTTCCTACCGCCCCTCGGCCAGGTCATTCTTCCACTTTCAATGAGCCATTTGCAGAAACAACTCTACAAATCGATCTTGTCAAAGCGCCCCGAGCTCCTGAAGGCTCTCTTCACGTCAGACAAGTCGCTCAAACAACAAGAACGCGCGAATCTGAGCAATATACTAATGCAGCTCCGAAAGTGCTTATGCCACCCCTTTGTCTACAGTCGCGAGATTGAGGAGCGAACAGAGGTTGCGGCTGTTTCCCATCGTAATCTTGTCGAAGCGTCTGCCAAGCTGAGTCTTCTGGAGCTTCTCTTGCCGAAGTTGAAGGAACGCGGACACCGCGTCTTGATCTTCAGTCAATTTCTCGACATGCTCAACATTGTCGAAGACTTCTTAGATGGTATGGAGATGGCATATCAGCGTCTCGATGGACAAATGGGATCTTTGGAAAAACAGAAGCGCATCGATCAATTCAATGCGCCGGATTCTCCCCTATTCGCGTTCCTGCTCTCTACGCGAGCTGGTGGTGTTGGTATCAATCTCGCCACTGCCGACACAGTCATCATCCTGGACCCAGACTGGAATCCTCATCAAGATCTTCAGGCGATTGCTCGCGCTCATCGAATCGGTCAGAAGAATAAAGTGCTTTGCTTCCAACTTATGACGCGATCTTCTGTGGAAGAGAAGATTATCCAGATGGGCAGAAAGAAGATGGCGCTGGATCATGTCGTTGTCGAGCAGTTGGATGCCGACGACATCGAGGAGCACGACGTGGAGTCTATTCTCAAGTTCGGCGCAGCTGAGCTTTTCAAGGACGACAACGCTGATCAGGACATTCGCTACGACGACGAATCAATCGAGAAACTTCTTGATCGCAGCCAAATTGAGAACACCAAGTCTAACGCAACAGACGATTCGGCAGAAGCGCAATTTAGTTTTGCTCGAGTGTGGGCCAACGACAAGGGAACGCTCCAAGATGATCTCGAGACTCCGGACGAGGAAGTAGCTCCAGACCCTGGTGTATGGGACAAGATCCTGAAAGAGCGTCAGGCATTGGCTGCCGCAGAAGCACTTGCAAGAGCTGAGGCCATGGGTAGAGGCAGACGTGCCCGTGGGGTAAGTGCACTCAATTCTATAATCATTCTGTGACTAACCACAAAATAGAACGTCGACTATGCAACCGAGAAGGACGGTGTAGACGTTGCATCAACGGCTGGGGAAGACGCTTTTGAAGACGCACTCGCCCTTATGTCACCTGTCAAGAACGCCAGCTCACGCAAGAAGAAGAGGGCAGATTCTGAGAGTGACACCGACTTCCAAGCTGAAAGCGAAGATGAGAGTGAGCCCGAGCCAGAAGCCGTCACAGCTGAGACAATCCGACCAGAAGAACTTGATCTTGATCGTGCTCGCAATACTGCCACAAAGGCCAATTCCTCGATGTACAAACAGAATGGCGCAGGTGCGTTCAACAACATTTCTTCCCAATCCGGTCAGGCCCCACTGGCAAATGTCACCGCGAAGGGTCCGAAGTCGAAGAATCCAGCGCAGCCAGTTGTTACCTCCTCTAAGTCTGCTTCCGGTAAGGCTTCGTCCCGACCTGCACCGCCGGAATTGCTCGACATCTCGTCTCGAAAGTCAGCGACTAAAGTCCCCTCTACAGTTAAACCTTTCCGACGCACACATCTCCCTATTCGCTCGCCGCTTGAGCCGACATATGGCTCCTACAGCAACCGCCACTGTCCAGCATGTCGCAAGATGCATCCTCAAGGTGCATGCGAACTCAAGGCTGCAGGTGTTGAGCATTGCGGTCTCTGCGGTCTTGCGCACTATGGTCACAGCCGCACCTGTCCCCATATCAAGTCCGAGACTCAAGTGCGAGCCATGCTCGAAGCTCTGAGGAATTCGAATGAGCCAAAAGAGCTGGTTGATCTGGCTTCGAAATACCTACGCGGTGTTAAGGGCACATTGGTGCAACAGAAAAAGCGCGATCGTGAGAAGGCTGCAGCCGCTGCTCAGAACGGAGGTGTTCCACCGCAACCACAACCGAAGCCACGTGGTCCACCAAACAATGCTGGCAAGATCATTCCGTATGCACCAGGCCTTGCCAATAGTGCGCCAGGCGGCCCTCAATCACAATACCCAAACACACACGCTCCTCCGCAGCGTGAAGTCCCGAGCTGGACCAAGGGTCCTGTGGATGCACCACCACGTCCGAAAACGTTAGCAGAGCAGCAGCGCATGTTACAGATGCAGGCACATGGACAGCTCAACGAACAGGAGGTGGAGAGCGCCCTGAGGGGTTACTTGGGTCATTAGCAAGGAGTAAACAGGTCACGGCGAAGGAACACCGAAGTACAGGGGCGTTGAACCATGTACTAACAGGACTTACATTTGCATACTACCGCGGCCAGCATTTGGTACGCCATGCGGCGTTGGCGTTTACAAAATCATGGATATCGATGCAAAGTTCATACTAGATGAGCATCTCTTTGGAGCGAAATGAATGCGCTCAAGCTGTGCGAAATGAATATCTCCCATGATTAAGTTTCAGTGATAACACTTCTTCTGAAAAATAGTAACCCTCATTCTTCCCCATCCTCCTCTTCCTCTTCATCTGTGTCCTCACTTTCCTCGTCTAAGGCCTCCCTCAAACTATCCATCCAAACCTCGTAATCCCGACTCATATCCAAGCCTTCCGCACCTTTACCCAGCACCTTCCCCGTCTCTCCAACGCTATCTTCCTTCGCCACCAACGCCCTCTCCAATACCCCAACATTCCCCTCCCCAAACCCTTTCCGCGTCACCATCCCATCCCTCCCCACGATCATCCACCAACCCATTCCTCCAGCAAAACGCTAACCACGTCTTCCAACACTCATCGCGCACCAGAATCCCCGGATTCCCAACCACAAACAACGCCTCCTTCGCGCGCGTCAGCGCCACGTTCATCTTCCTCTTCTGCTGCACAATGCCCAACCCGCGCCTCTCATCCTCCGCCAGAAACCGGGCGCGCGTGCGCGTCGTACAGACGATGACCACGCGCTTCTCCAGCCCCTGGAACGCTTCCAGCGGCCCGATATTCACTTCCCACAGCCCGTACTGCTGCGAGCGGATGCGCGAGCGCAGCAGCTTGACCTGTGCGGCGAACGGCGACATTATGCATATGTCTTTCTGCGCGACGCCCGAGTCGCGGATGAGTTGCTGGGCGATGCTGCATGCGATGTGGGCTTCGGCGATGTTGTACCAGCCGCCGCCGTCACGCTCGATTTCGTCGGGCGCGGTGTTGGGGACGAAGAGGACAGGCCATTTGCGGCCGCGCCAGAGGGGCGAGGTTTGCAGTGGGGTATTGGGTGGGGGCGATTCGGGGATGAGGGTGTCGTTGTAGAAGAGCGAGCTGGGGACGCTGAGAATGGCGGGGTGGGAGCGGTAGTTGCGGATAAGGTTTGTGAAGGGCGGGTAGATGATGGGGAGCATGTTTTTTTTGAGGACGGGTGGTGCAGCGGATGGCTTGACGCTTGATCGGGATAAGGGGTGGTTTTTGTATAGTGGTCGCTCTCTGAGTCGTGCGAAGAGGGATTTGGAGAAGTGAGGATCGCGAGATGCTGTCTTTGGTCCTAGCTGATTTTCGTCTCCGGCCATGATGAAGAGGGGTTGAGGGAGGTCTGTTGGGTAAGATGAAGGTGGACAGGCGACACTGATGGCGGCAAGAAGGTCGATTTCTGTGGCTTGAGCTGCCTCGTCGATAAGTAGAGCTCCCCAGTGTAGCCTCGGTGTAGCAACTTGATCTTCTGGATGAAAAGTCGCAAGCATGTTTCTTTCGATATGCCAAAGATCATCGTTGGTCAAGCGCGCATCGAAAAGGATCCCAGCATCTTGACATGAAGTAACGACGATGTTGTATGCCATCATTGTTTTGATAGGTGGGAGCGAGAACATGTCATATGTCATGTAGCAGTATTGTGTGAGCTCTCCAGGAACTTCAGTGTCATTTCTTCCTGGTCGTATAAGTCGAAATAGCTGCTCATTGCTGAGATATTTCTTCAATCGCAGTGCAAGGGTATCCGCTGCTGCCTCTGAAGGCGCACATATGAGCGTGTGCGGGGCTTCCGACGTGTTGAATAGCTGCATGGCGGTCTCGACCAAAGTTTTCGTCTTCCCAGTTCCTGGTGGTCCACTGATCAGGTACGGTAGTGTACCATAATCCCTGGTGCAGATTGAGCTCACTGCATGTGCTTGCTCGTAATTGATAGCATGATCGAAGAGTGCACGATGTGGTATCCTGCGAAGTTCAGTCTGCATTTCGCCGTGTGCTTCTGTTGGGAAAAGCATTCGCTGTATCCATGTATTTTGCATCGTTTCTTTGCCTTGCCCGGTAGCTTTGGATGACGCATTGCTCTTTGCGGCCACGTCGTTGAAGTCATCAAAGTCGCCATCAGCAACCGATTGTTGGGTGTGCATTTGTGAAGGGTCTACCATGTCGAGCTGAGATGCAATGAACCGTAAAGTTCTCTGTTGAGTGTCGATCTTCGATTGCTTCAGGGGGAACAATACGTTGACACCCATTGGGACCGGTCGATAGTCGTGTAGAAAACCCAAGTCATTAGCCTTGAGGTACACGAATTCTTTTGCTCTATTGACCCCGTAAACACAAGCGTCATATTGTACTCCTGTCCAACCTTGCAGGAACATAGCTTGACCGAAAAGACTTTCCGAACCATCGACCAACATTGGCACATCTGTGATGTTTCCGTAATTGCTGATCCACAATTGCCTGAGCTGTAGCATGTCGCCCATCTCCAAAAATGGGCTGTCCTCGCGAAGGCCAGGAATATTTAGTGCCCAAATTGGGTCCTCGGTCACCATCCCTGTAAGGTATAGTGGAACTCTGTACAAAGCATGGCTTTCGTTCTCACGCTGGACTGCTGCACATTCGCGGTGTAATGACGCCAGGAAGTAGTTTTGGTACAATGGTGCAGTAAGCTCTGCAAGTCCTATCGCTCTTGCTTCGCTTCCTGTAGTAGTCTCGGGCCGGTTCGGGAGAAGATGCGTTCCACAAAAAGTCGAAACATATCCGTGGTAATCGATACGATGTCGACTTTGCGCGATGGTAGTGCGGACAGGTGGCTCCAAGTTGATCTTGAGCCAGGCGAGCGGGACAAAAGGCCTAGCATACACGTCGTACTCCCTGCTCAGTTGTACCAGTGGTGGTGTACTTGAGGTAACAGAGTCAACCTTCTGCACGCTTGCTGATTCCGGACTTGCTAAGGGGGCCAAGCTGGGCTTCTTCCGAGAAGATTCATTTGTGATCGATACAGGTAGATTTGGTGGCGTGGTGATATGCTTCTTCCGGATAGGTATAGTTGGCACAGCTACATGGCTTGACGGCGTGCATTGGTCGGATCGCTTGCTGTTACCGACCTCGCGTGGCGTAGGGCTTTCATTCGACTTATCGGTTATTGGCTTTGGTTTGGTGTTTCCAGTCACGCGAGGAGCATTCAAGCTTGCGACTTTTGCCCATGATGCCATGCTTCTGTCGTTGTTCACAGGCGAGAACGTTGTCATCTGCAGGATTCGCAGCTCGGATACTTCATCCCGGTTAAATATGTCTGCGTAGTAGCTCCAAGTGTCAATGAAACTGGGAGGAAAGGCTGTCGAAATTCGCCATGTAGATGCTCGCGACTTATCGCTGATGGCGTCTTCAAGTACCAAGGTGGCGTAGCCTTGCAGCCTGGAGTCACGTGGGGTACCGCGGTATGCGCTCTGTTTAGGCTCGAACGCGGCCCGGATTCACAGTGGTAACAAATAAGCGGCTGAGAAGACTGCCTGATATTTTATTGGAACTGCAATAAAAAATTGTGGTACTCTCAAGTACTTGCAAAGCGAGGGAACGGTGGTTGGGAATCTCAGTGTCACAATCGGCTAACTTACCCAGTAGTGACACAAACAACGTTTGTTTCTGGGACCGGGTTCAAGGGTGCTCCTCTCAGTTCCCTTGCATCGTTTCAGCCTCTGGGAAAAGTGCTTTTGGTATCACCAGGATCCCGTGGGTTGATTTAAAATGCGGGAAATATTGTTGTGCTACATGCGCTCCATTTTTTCCAGTGCTGGAAAGCGCAAGATTGGACGATTGTTTCAACGCTGTCAGTCTGCCCCAACACTACCTACCATGGTCCGCTAGGAGATTGTGAAAATGTGACAAGTCAATTCAGGAGAACCCGTATCGGCTTTTCTGTACCGGCCCGGTCTCTTCTCGAATATTGGTAAGATCACTGGCGCTGAAAGCCTTCGCAATGTGCGCTATCTTACCCTTCTCAGATGCAGTGCTGAGAGACAAATTATTGATCCTAGATCGACGAGGTAACTAGCCCATTCGGTATCTGGGCTTTGGTTGAAATGCGCGTGTTTTTGTAGCAGAAGATCATCATTTCTGTCTATCTTCGCATGCTCTAGCTTCCCCGCAACCACTAAGTTAGTACGTCATGGCCAGACCTCGGAAGGTTCGAGTTGCACACATCGACATCGCCATCAATTTTCATGTAAATACGACGAGTGTTTAGTTCTTTCACTCAAATTTCCGCAAGTGTTAACTTTATGGCAAGTTTTGTGTATCGTTACTTTTAAACTATGTCGAATCAGCAAACGGTGCAATCAAAAGGCATCTACCATGGTCTCCCAGTCTACTCACCGTCTTTGAAGGGCTTGACAGCGATTATCACAGGCGCTAATGGAATCTCTGGGAACTACATGCTGCGTGTTCTGGCGCAAGACCCTGCACGATGGAGTAAGATATACTGCCTATCTCGAAGGCCACCCGCAATTCCCGACGGACTGCCAGAAAATGCTGAGCATATCGCGCTCGACTTTTTGAATGACCCGGAGACGATATCAGAAACTCTGAAAGACAAAGGTGTCCAAGCCGACTATGCCTTCTTCTACAGCTATGTGCAGACGCAACCAAAGGAGGATGGAGGTTTGTGGAGCGACGCCGAGGAGATGTGTCGAGTGAATGGTATGTTCGAGATGTAGGTGCGAGACTCAGCTTAGAATAAGGTTACAAAATGGCTCTACTCAAGGACTTCTGCGAAGCACTACTTCTTGCCAACATCCAACCATAACGCATCATGCTCCAAACTGGCGCGAAGAATTATGGTATCCACCTCGGTCCCGCCAACAACCCACAGGAAGAAACCGCACCTCGAGTAAATCTTGAAGCGCCTAGCAGCTCTCCGGGCTGTGTTTTTCCTTGCAACTCAAGCTTGCTTCCTTTAGTCGGAGCCAATTTCCGCACCAGGCAATATTTTCGTGCTAGGCACCAGCAGTTCGCAGCCTCAGCACAGCGCCCAAGGATCTGAAACCAACGATGGAGAAACGTAGGAGTGCAGAAAGCCGAAACGTACTTGAGGAGTAACATTGTGCTATCATACCCCACTGTGGGTTCAACGGTAGGTGGGAATCTCGACTAGACTGTCTACCTCGGTAAAGATAAGGCTACATGGGAATACAATTTCTACCCTCGCAAAGAAACCAGCGACAATGCTAAGTAAAGCTCGCTTCGCCTTTCACAGCCCTGGTCCGACTCTGTGAGAATATCTAGCGCAAGCAAGCACAGAGCTTGACTAGGCTAGCGGCCTAGTCACTTCCTTCCTTCTATCACTCTTTCCGCAACTGCACGTGGGCCGTGCGTCAACCCAAACAAAGGCAGGATAGCCGCCCAATTTCCTCTTCTTCTCCTTATCTCCACTGTATATAGCATCTAGACTAGGCAGCTGGAATGCAGTTCCTACAGACCGTTCACAGACGGCGATCGCTGCAATAGGCGCAGTCATTTAGCAGCTTCAGCAGCAACTGTAGGTGCGCCGCTGCACTTCTTTTGAGATCGGGGAGGCATTGCAACACGTTGTTAACATCGAAAAATCTAGGCGTAGAATGGAGACTTGGCACGGCTTGCTACGACGCGCTATCACGAGAAACTCCATCCTTCATCCATCCATCACCCTCCACCCTTACAGCATCAGCACAATTTAATGAATCTGGCAAATCTGTATTTCACGGGTTGATTGATTGATTGAGCTACTAATCTGAAGACTAGCTTCTTGATTTGATTGTAGCTTCAATCTGGCAATCTTACAAGATTGATCTCATAATCCGGATTGATTGTTGCGGACTGTAGGTGGGTTACAAAAGTTCCTGCAGATCCCTAGCAAATAACTTCGTATGTGATAAGCACATGACAGCACATTGTGATAGCACATAAGGTCAAATGCTTACTAGTATTAATGGGGATGTGCACTGGATTATCTTCCTGACGTAGGACCGTGGCAGATGTACACATGCACAAGAGCTAATTACAGTAGAACCGATACAAGCGGAACGCCCAGAACGAAGCATCAACGAAGAGAACGTGTGGTGACCATAATGCCTAAGTGCGCTCTGCTTTTTCAAAGGCGCGAAATTTGTTTGTTACGTGTCAGACATGTAAATAAGCAAGCTAATTAAGCCTCGGCCCCTGTGCTTGACTGATAGGCTAGTTTAGCGTAGAAAGCTTAATTGTCAAGGCTTGAGGCTTAAAATCAGAGGCTTAATCAAGGCTTCATTTATTAGCTCGATAAAATAAAGAGTAGGGTAAAAGAGCCCCTTGCTAAGGTCGTCCTCTCCGTGCTGCCTTGTGCTGACGTCACTTCTTATCGTTAATACTCACGTAATTCTTCACGTGACTTATATCCTTCACTGCGTCGTGCACGTGCCCTAACAAGCACTTGCAAACTATCAATCAAGCCGTGCTCTCTACGCTTGATTGAATAGCAAATTCCTATAAGAGCAGCTTGATTGTTAGAACTATCAGCTCGTTGTCCGCTTAATTGACGAGATTGACGAGGCTTGCTTGTTGAAAAGTCTGTTACGTGTGCTCTGCCTTCAATACCCAGCTTCTTCAAATCTTTCAAAGAAACCTTCCCTCTCTGTACTCCGTACATACGTACATACCTTCAACTCGCAATTCTCAGAGGTTTTTTGTACAAGGCGATGGCTTCTCTCTCTCAGAACACCGAATGCTACCTTTCAATAACGACGACGAAGAAGAAGACGACCAGAGCTACAGCTCTCGACCAGCTGAGCCTCAGCCTCATCATTCTCCTGAAAGAAGGCGTTTCTTCAAAGTAATAACAATTGGATCAGTTATCTATGGTGTTCTCAATCTATTGTTCGCCGCAATAGGTCGCCTATCTGCTACGTGTTTCCAGGATTCGCGACCTAACACGTCTTGGTCTACATGTTCATGTGATACCATAGTCGAAGAAGCTTTGGCTAGAAATTGTGTCTTTAACCCATACGCTGCCCCTTAGGTCCCTTCATCTTGTCGAGATATCGAGCTTGTCCAAATCTTCGATTCCTTAGATGAGTCGAGAATGAAATCATCCTTCTACACCTACCCTTAGCTGGATCGAGAACTCTCTATTAGAGAAGCACCGCTACTCGCCAAGCCTGTAAAGATGTCGAGATCGGGTGATGGTGCAGAGGATTTGTCAATAGTAACGACTACACTCTATTGGCACTGGACGCAAAAATGTATCGGGTTTGCGGTCTTTACATATTCTTCTTGGGTTACATTTAAATAACATTCAAAGATGGACGTTACGACAACCAAGTGATTAGCTCGACCCATGAACCATGATCAACGCGCGTTTCGCTATCCTGCCAACCTGCGGTAAGCACCGTACAATTTGAGTTTTCCACGGAGCAAAATAGGAACGTATCGGATCGAGATGGGGCCGCACCAGGGTGAAATTTAATCAAAATCGATCGAAATGCGCGTACATAGGCACATGACGACCCAAGATGAGTATTACCAATCCAGCACGTAGGGCAACCTAACATCTGCGATCACCTTCAGTAGGGGTTCCAGGTTCGATAACAATTCTAGAGAGACGCCATTTGATATTCAATTTGCGGATATATGGTGCCAACCAAAATCGGTGTCTAATACGCGCGCATCGACTGCTCACGGCGCATTCAAGGATAATCTGCTGCAGTAGTCAGACCAGAGATTTTCGTGTCCTCAGATCTGCCGGGTCAGATCTGGCCAAGGATCACCTAATCTTCAGCCCGAGGACAGATTACTGGCGCCTGCAGGTTCGGCTATCTAAGAGGAGCTTCGGGCTATAATCTAGGTATATAAAGTAGTTGTAGTTAGTTAGTCACATAGTAGACAATAATCATCACTCATCTGTTCCTAAGATTCCAGATCGCAACATTGATGTTAAGTTGTTGAAGTGTAAGAAAAAGACCACTGCGGATAAAGGGACACGTACTCTAAAGTGTGTGTTGCATGCTTACAGTCCGAGAAAAGGACCGCTGCTGATGAAGAAACACGCCCCTATTTCGATCCGCCACGGCCTTAATTCGATCCGCCGCGGGCCTGATTCGATCCGTCACGGCCCTAATCCTGTAAGACTTATACTAGGTTAATGTTGATTAAATTGTGAGATACTGCTTATCGACTGCGTTATAAATTCTCTCATCTTTACAGTTTAATTAGTCGTGCTCTGCACATAGGGTTTCTTATTATATAGGGATAGACGTTATAGTTTGTAAGCGATCTTTAGTGTTTCTGCACGAACTATACACTAATACCTTGCTTAGCGGAGGTCTTGCTTTTGATCTGTAACAAATCTAATCTTCCTTAACTCTAATGCAGGTACATAATGTATCATATTAACGCTGATAAGTTACTAAATAGATATCGATGACACATCCTTTTGAAAATAATTATTTGATAGCTTTAGTTTGATAATGTAAAGCACCAATGTGTTTTCTTATAACCTGTATCTCCTACCCAAACTAGTGACCGCGGGATATCTACCCTAACGACAACTAAAAACATTTACATCGTCACCTATCCTATCAACAAGATGTTTTCCACCAGAGTTTCTAAAGAAAATTCTGGCTTCTTAATACTGCTTTTTGTCTCAAGTATCTTTATATCGTACATATGGCCAAAGACTATTACCTCTATACTAGAGGATCCTTCATCACATCCATACACAGCACGAATACTCTCTTACGACCCACTTATGATACACCTCGAAGGATTCATCTCTCCCTCTGAACGATCCCACCTACTGAATTTAGGGTACGGTCGCTTACCCGTCGATAAAATTCGAATTATATGCTAACATACCAACTAGAGAAGGCGACTAAAACAGATCACAAGTTTATAACCATACTTCAGATCCTGCTATTTCAGATCATCGCACGAGTGATACAGCGTTCCTTTCGAACAACGACACCATCGTCCAACGTATCATATCTCGAGCTTCCAGCCTCCAAGGCTTCACACCTGTAAAAGACTACGAACAATTACAACTCACACGGTACAAGGCGGGGCAAGAGTTCAAAGAGCATTGGGATCACTTCCAAGACGAAGACATACCCGAGAATAAAACGCAGAGAATAACCACAATCTTTGCTGTACTTGAGGCGACTTGCGATGATTGTGGAACAAGGTTTCCTCAGATTTCAGTCGATTGGTCAAAAGAAGACCAAAGATGGTGCCGATTCATTGACTGCAATGATACGGCTGGAATTACAGTCAGACCTATTCCTGGCAACGCACTGTTCTGGAAAAACCTCAACGCTACTGAGGGGTGGAGATTATAGAACCTTACATGCTGGGCTTCCCCCTCTTAAAGGCACAAAGACTGGATTGAATATCTGGGCCCATTGACCACTGGAATACAGTCTAGATACTGCATAGGTCGGGGGAACATGCATCGGGTAGCTGCACACGCGAGATGAAGCGCTAGCAACATGATTCCAATCGAGTGTTTCTACTCACCGTCTTTGAGGTCACTGAGAGAATGGTGAAATAGAGCTTCTCGTCTTGAGTTCACGAGTGCCAGCGAGCTCTCTGCGGAGAATATTGGTACGCAATTAGTCCATCTCCGTCCTCAGCCTCCCAGCTGATAGCACAATAGCCAAAATCAAGGATATGTTGTCCCTGGGACCACCAGCCGACCGCGCCGGATGTGAATGCACCCAAACAAAGAGGACATTGAGGGAGAATCTGGGAGTCGTGAAGGAAGTGATGAAGGAGCGGGATGGATGGGAGAGTGGTGATTATTCCGACGACGAGGAATAGGAGGGATGCTTGGAAGTGTGAATGAGTAAATAAAAAAAAGTCTAGATCGAGATTGGCACTTTAGCAATACAACACTGCCTTACCCTCTCCTCCTCGTCCTCGCCCCAACCTCCAAATGCTTCCCCGTACTCTTCACCTCCACCTTGTCGCCCGCGCGCAGGTAATCTGCACTGTCAGCTGGAACGGCCGCGGGAGTGAGCACGGAAGTACCCTCGACGAGAACCTTCTCCTGATCAACAGCAACAGCGCCATCCTTCTCGTCTGCGCGCCGCGTGCCGAGCGGCGGGTCGAAGCGCTTGCGCAGCGTTTCGATCATCTTGGCGAACCAGAACCAATTCAATCCATTCAGACACAGGTTGGGAGGCGAGATACGCGCCAGCCAGCCACAAGGGCACTGTCTGGGCCGTGCGCAAAGTACAGCACGCTATCGCCGGTGCCAGAGAGGTGCGCGGTTTTCAACGCGGCTTGACGGTCTGTGGACAGGTCGAGCGGGCCTGCGGTGTATGCGCGCCACACGTCTGCGAAGACGCGGATGGAGTTGTACGTGCCCCAGACGAGGCGGCAGGAGAAGAAGGTAAGGAGCAAGACGATGCCGTTGAGGAATTGGAGTGTGGAGCCCGTCATGTTGAGTTTGTCGCAGAACCAGTGGATGTTGAGGAAGGGGGAGGAGAGTTCGTAGAGGATGAAGGTTGGGGCGTAGAAGTTTACGAATGGGCGCTGTTTGGCGGGTGTTAATAACTCTCTTTGGTCTCTCTCTTCAAGAAAGGACTTACGAATCCCAAGCTAAACACGCACAAAGCAGATATGGCGTGGAATAACATGCCAATCCCAAAGATCCGCACGTTCTGCACGGTGATCACCAGATCCCACAGAAAGTATCCCCCTGCAAACGCCTGGATGAGTCCCGAGGCGCCGGTGTATCCATGCACGCGCTCCGTAGTGTCCATCTCAGTCCGCTCGGTATCCGCCCACATGACCCATAGCGCCAGCGTGCAGATAACCACGCTCTGCACGAACGAGACTACATGGACGTCCCAATTGAGCTTGGTGCGCGCGTTGAGAGCATTGTACGTCCGTGGGAAGAAGGCGCGCGAGAGAATGGGCGAGATGTACTTGTTGGTCGCGTGGTAGATCGAGTATGCGACGATGACTTCGTGGAAATGCAGCGGGAGCGTCTGCAGCGAGAGCCGGTCTGCGAGTTTCTGGGCGTAGGGTATCAGGCCCGTTGGGGGCTTGAGTGGGAACGGGTCGTGCATGGCGAGGGCTGCGGAGGAGAAGCGATTTAAGGATAGGTATCAGGAGGAGGAGGGTGAGGACGGACGGCGGCGGGCAGGAAGGCCTTATGAGGAGCCGACGGCACGGTCGTCAAAGACGCGGGCGTACACACTCTGTGCTGCCTGACGCGGAGACGTTCTCGAGGACAAGTTTAGCGACCATGCTAGCGGCACACGACACCTAAGCCACCACGAGACCACGTCATTCTGATACTTCTTGGAATTGCTTTGGATTTATGCACACCGCCATGTGAGACATCATGCGGCCTTATCTATATACTTGAAGCCGTCTCATCGCTGTGTTGCATACGCAAAGCACAGAACGCTCTCCATCTCGAGATGCATCTCGCAAGGCTTACCGGTAACGTACCAGTAGTTCTGGAGATCGTCAGGGTCTAAACGGGCCGGCGCCAGCCCACACCGTCCCATCCAAGCGCAGAACAAAAGAACGAAAAACCGGGTATCATGTGAAGACAGGAGAAATACAAGATAGTTTGCCCGCTAAAAAAGGTCGACGTTGACGTTGTGCTTAAACCAGCAGTCTTTGCACATGTCGTCCCTGAGCTTCTCCGCGTAGGCTTCAAGAAACAACGCCCCAACATAGGAAGTTCGCTCGATCTTGTCCAAAAGAGAATAGAAATCTTGCAGCGTCTTGTAGCTTTCGATCTGTCTGAGTGGCGAGGGTTCTGTGGATGGTCCTCCAGCTTCCTCGAAATTTGCTATAGATGCTGCTACAGTTTTGTATACCCCATCTTTACGGTGGGATCCACCAGCAACCGCTATGCTGTGAGGGGATTTTGACAGGGACGATGGTGGGGTAGACAGTCCGTACGACCTGCCAGTTGTTGGCTTTGGCACGGGCTCAGGTGACCCCGTTAGATCAATCGTCTCGATTGGCTCTCGGGTTCCTTGTTGTGCAGGCGTAACGGTCGGTAACCTCTCATCCTTCATACGCGTAGGAGGTGGTAAGACCGCGCTTGGGGATGCATCCATTTGTTCGCCGCCTTCGAGCATGGTTTGAAGATGCATCTGCGCGCTTATCCATAAAGCCCAAGACGTTGCACTGAGCTCCTCGCTCATGAAGATTAGCTTGAAGGCCAGCTTCATCTCATACTCGTTCCGATATGGGTAGAACCTGTTATATCGACTATTCTTTCCACCGGGAATGTTTTCTGCATCTTCGACAAATGGGTCCAGGATACCTAGTTCGTAATTCACAGCCCAGTTCAACTCTTCATTCCGATCTTTGTCGGGCATCGCCACGAGCTTGTCATCCCAGGACAATCGTTCAGCAACTAGGAACAGTTTACGCATGTGTGCTGTGGCTTTCCGAGACTGCTTGCAGACGGGACAACGAAAGGGCAGTAGAGGTTGCATGTCGTCACGGTGATGGAGGTTATGCCATGAATCATACGGCATGAGACCGAGTGGATAAGGCACCCAATGAAAGTCCTGACATAGTTTGCTATCCGGATGGGGTCGATGAAGGACCGCCGGCTTGCAAACTGTTGGTGCGCGGCCATGTTCCATCGCATCTCCGTCTGGTCCTCGCTTAAGAGCTGGTAGGAGTTGTGGTGAATGACTACGGGGATTTGGAGGAGTTTTTGGCAACACTCTGGACCTGGACTCTAATGCTCGACGTGGACTGTGAGGTTGGCCTACCTGCGATGAGGGAAATTTTGGTGGAAGCGTCCGTTCGGCATGGGTAGAAGAAGAAGAAGAAGAAGGTCTACTGTTCGAGCGAGCGAGTCTAGCTTGTTTCGCAGTAGGTGTATAATCGTGGTCAATGTCTGCTGCACGCTTGCGAGGACTGGGAGCCATAGAGGATGGGTCCTCGAAGGATACATCCAACAGCTCAATCGATTCTCGGCTTTAGCAAGTGATGAGAGTGCATGTGCAGAGCACGTGATCGTGAGTAGATTTCGTGCATTGGGTGAGGTGTGAGGGTGAACGATGAGGGGTGAACGACGCGACGCGACGGATCTGCACAAGGGTCAACGTTCTAGCGATAGAGCTCCAAAAGTTCCGTGGTGGAGCCAGTACCATCCCACATTGTCCACATTGCCATGACACCCTCACGAGGACTCTCAAGAGCGTCTACAGGTTTTCCAAGAGCAGCCAATTGTGCGAAGTCGTTACCACGTACCCGATACCCGCCCCGCCGCACTTACACCCGACCCGCATTCGCACCCAAACCCACGATCGACATCAAACACATCCGACGAAACCCGGGGCTCTACGAACAGAATTGCATTGATCGAAACTATGCGGCACACAGCGACTCGTCATGGCGCATAATAGAGCTCCACAAGCAATGGGAGGAGCTTCAACAGAGTGCGCGAACGCTCCGCAGCCGGAGCAAGCTGCTCCACACGCAATTGGCAAAAGCCGCTACGCGCATGAAGGATACGGAAGGCGAGAAGGTGCCCGTCAAACATGGAATTCTGGCTGAGGCGAAGGAGCTCAAAGTGCAGCTTAGTGCGATTGAGGCACAGGAAGCCACGCTACAAGAAGAGATCGAAAGCCGGGCTCAAGACTTGCCCAATCTCAGCAGCACGCACACGCCAGTTGGGACCGAGCCCGAAGTTGTTGGATACATCAATGAAGCTAGGGCACCCGCCGCGTTTCCCTCGGACACAGTTTGGAGATCACACGTCGAGATCGGCCAGGAGTTAGGGATATTGGACTTTTCCGGCTCAGCGCAGACATCCGGTTGGGGCTGGTACTTTCTTGTCGGCGATGGTGCATTGCTCGAGCAAGCGCTCGTACAATATGCTCTAGGCGTTGCCAAACGGAGAGGTTGGAAAGCAGTCGCGCCACCTTCGCTGGTATACTCGCACATAGCTTCGGCTTGCGGTTTCCAGCCCCGAGACCAGAACGGCGAGCAGCAGATTTATGCGATCGAACAGTCGGAGAAAGACAAATCGAAGCCGCAATTGGCGTTGGCAGGGACTGCGGAGATTCCTCTCGCAGGCATGAAGGCAAATCAGACTATCGAAGAGTCACAACTTCCGCTCAAGACGGTCGGAGTGAGTCGATGCTATCGCGCAGAAGCTGGTGCTAGGGGCGCAGACACCAAGGGTCTCTACCGTGTGCACGAGTTCACCAAAGTCGAAATGTTCGCTTGGACCAAGCCGCAGCCCGACGAAGAGCATTTCAGCTCCTCCGCCACAGACGATTCAGAGGTACTGTTCGAGGAGATGCTAGGCATACAGCAGGAAATTCTTGAAGGTCTTGGTTTACACTGTCGCATACTAGAAATGCCAACAACAGACTTGGGTGCCAGCGCGACACGAAAGCGCGACATTGAGGCTTTCTTCCCGTCCCGAAGAGAGAAGGACGAGGGGTGGGGCGAAGTCACCTCTACGTCGATGTGCACAGACTATCAGACTCGGCGATTGCATACTCGCACGCGCATTGCTGGCAAACTTGAGTTCCCGTATACCCTAAACGGAACTGCTCTTGCAGTGCCCCGCGTTCTTGCGGCGATACTGGAGAACCATTGGAATGAAAAGGAACGCGCTGTGACGATACCTCCGGTTCTGCGCGTTTTCATGGACGGCCAGACGACGATAGAGAAGCAATAATCCTAGTGCGTAGCACGACGGACCACATGCGTTACTGTAAATATCATGAACGACTGGATGATCATTGTACGATACTGTTGGACCTGTTGGACTACTGTATATAACTCGCTGGCTGGATGCCACTTGCGCAAACCGACGATCCCCACGACAGGTTTATCAGCAACGGCGACGGGATCACCCTTTGGCCCACATTTGTCGCTTTCAGCTCGCATGTCCTGCATGCTTCCTTGCTTTGATCCAATCGGCGTGACATTCGCCATCGAGGCTGAATCAAAGCTTGGCTCGGCTATCACCGGTGATTGGGTCACGTTCGTCGAAGTTGCTCAAGCATCCATCCCGGCGTGCATGGACCTGTGGGTTCAGCGAGCATGTGAGGTTGCCACTACTGTGTAGGTGTTGACTGTTTCGTTCTTGAAACACCTTCCACATTCCCTCAACACAACTGCAGTAGACGACTCCTGTTCGCGTCGCGCGCTTGATCGAGTCCGGGGAGCCTGGTTGCACGAGGCCTGCTTTGGTGGGGGACTACAGCCGATCTGCCAGCCTCTTCAACAATCCCCGGCCTGCCGCAGCTCGAAACGAAGCATCTTTGTGCGCAAACGCAGCCACACCGGCCACCTCCCCTCTCCGCCTTTGGAGGAGTGTCACAGCACTCCAGCCATCCACCATCATTCTCGTCGCATATCACCTCGGCGCAAAACTGCGGCAGACGGAGTAAACAAGCAAGAGCTGGAAACATAGGGGAAGTCGCGGCGCATGGTTTCCTACCCAGAATCTCACAGCGAAGCAGCGCTGGCGATTCGGCGCCCGCCATCTGTTGCATCGCATTCGTCGCGCGCATCGACCGCTCGCAGGCACCGGCCACATCGATCGCACTTTGGGGGCAACTCATATGCGCCGCAGAATGAGTTCCCCATCTTTACGCACACGGGCGACGTGGAGATTGTCATAAGCAACGGGCGCAAGGAACAACGATATCTGCTGCACAAGCTGATCCTGACGCAATGTTCGGGCTTCTTCGAGGCTGGGACGAGCGAAGAGTGGGCAAATGCAGGAGATGCGGGTGGAAATGCGCCGAGCGCATCAGCGTTAGCGAGGATGCCGTCTGGTGCAAGACAAGAGAAGACGAAGTGGAGATACGAGTTGGACTGGGGCAAGGGCGAGGATGATTTGCCTATGCTGGTGCAGAAGGTGCGTAATCCACGCCGCCAAACGCTCTTCCCTCCCCATACTGACAGGACTCGATCTAGAAGGCACAACCTACCATATTCGGCGGCGACGCCTCACCCTCTTCCCAACCACCAGCACCCGGCAACAAGCCTACAGCGCCCGCCTCAGGCTTCTTCCGCAACATGACCACCTTCTCCACACTCCATGTTTCCGCGTCCGAGCCTAACGACCCCGACGACGACGTTTTCCGCGACTACGACAACCTGTTCAAAATCTTCTACAACTACGCGCCCTCGCTCGACGCCATGAACATCGCAAACGCCTACGTCGAATGCAAGTCCTTGCTGCAAATCGCCGACATGTACGACGCCCTCGAGGTCATCGGCCCGCGAGTTGACCACCACCTGCTCCGCTTCCAGGGTCGCCTGTGGAAGCAAATAGCAAAATACCCGCCCTCGTACCTCAAATTTGGACACATGGCGCGCAGCAAGGCCATCTTCGCCGAAGCCATGGTGCACGTCGTAGGCCAGTGGCCCGCAGGCATAAACCAGCTGCGCGGCCAAATCAGCGAACCCGTCATCGAGCTCATCGAAGACAAAGTCGACGAACTCGACGAACTCAAGGCGAAGATCGAAGTCAAGCTGTTCCGCCTCTCCCTCACCACGTCGCGTGGCGAGCGCGTCTCACCCTCGAGTAATTGGCTCGATTGGCTGGCTGTCAGTCTGTTTCGCCAGTGGCTTGCGGAGAACACAAACCCCCCTCCAGCGCCGATCTTGAAGCCCGCATCACGATCCATTACTTCCCCTCGAGGCAGTGAAACGCCCGCCCCCTTACCTCCCGCACCGGCATTCAACACGGGCAGGATATTCCGCCTCCTCGGCCAAGGGGGATCCAGCTATCTCAACCACGACGAATGCAAGCGCTTCCTGCGCCTCAGCCCCGACCATTACAACCGCGATAATCTCCGCAGGTTTGAGCGCCGCATCGAGGAGATCAAGAACAAAGCCAAGGACACCGTCAAGCCGCTGATGCGGAACTTCTTGGAGCTGGATCTGAGAGAGGGCGGGCTTCCGTATTTGACGTGTACGAGGATTGACCCGCAGGATTTTCCGTGGGATGGGGAGTAATGAGGGCAGATGGGATGGGATGGGATTAAGAGTGTTTTGGTGTTAGATACCCTTGGATGTTGTTGTGTCTCTTGCTTTTTCCGCAGCAACGTTTACATTTGATTTTTTGTTTTGATGATACCACGACGATAGGAAGAGAGATGCAGATAGGCATGGGGATGTAATGAGATCTACGGAACGAGTGTATGCTGGACGTACGCAGATAGGCAATGGGAAATTCACATGTAAATGCCAGTCTCAAACACAAACAATTGTCCCAACCCAGTGTCGTGCCCCTCCCATCGACGTAACATCCGATACCTTTTGTCTCGCCCAAAACACAACCCCCTCCGGCCACAATCCATCCTGACTAACAATCACGATAAGCATTCCCCTTTTCTCCCATGGCCCAATGCTCTTGGCGCGACGTGACGCGACGGACGGCGTGATCGGCGCCTTACCCGCGTGCTAGCATGTGGGGGAAGATAGCGCAAGCTCTCAACACCATGACATGTCCTCATCTGTCTTCGAAGGAAACTGTCACATGCGTGGATGTCTGCCGAGCCTCGCCGTTCGTCCTCTTTCTTTTGGCTCTTACCGGGTGTGTGGCTGTGTCGGCCATGACGAGAGATGGGTGTTGTCGCCGCCGCCGAAGGCCATGGTGCTTGGAAAGGGCAGGCTAGGGACAGGTATGCATATCGAGTCCTGTTCCTGAACGATCGACGCTGGGGGGGGGGATAGCCGATGGCGATGGTGCTGGATTATTGGACGGTTCTTCTGGGTTGTGTGTGGTTGAGTTCGTACTTGTCATCTTTGACTTCATCTTGTCCGGGTGTTTGCTTCTCCAGAGCAGTTGAGTCGGCGATAGAGTCATGTCATGGTGCTGGCTGTACGGTACTGCTCTCGCTACCCGGTACTTGTGACAACATCGGGTAGTTCAGCGAAGACTGATGCTTATCGGGATCAACATCGAGCTACTTTTGCTCGCTGTGTCGATCAGGTCCGCTTACTTTTTTCGGGACGAGTATGCTCGACTAGGCAATTATTGTTCTGTATCTAGACACTGCCTCAACGTAACCGGAAGCTTTTCTGGACATCTCGGTAAGTGAATGTAGGACGCTGCCGTGTCGATCACACTTGACTGCCATGCGCTTTAGGGGAGAAGCTATGATGTCAAGAAATACTTGAGCCGCAAATTGGACGTATACGATACGGTACATGGCCTGTGCAATGCACTTGGGCTCATGAAGTAGTTCTGATCGACGAGCGACAGACAGCTCAAAGACACAAGTTCAAAACTAGCAGCGTCGGCTCGGGATACGGGAATGAGGTTTGACACATCTTCCGACTCCAACCTGAGCTTGAATTGTGGTTGCTGATAAGTTCCCGTGTGTTTGGAAGTGGGAGGGTGTTGATCTTGTGGGAGCGTGGGTAGTAGTATCGATGATTGGAAGTCGTCAGGTACGTCAGGGGAGGATGGAGAGTGTCGAGGATAGGTATAAGAAGGAGAGTGATGCTCGCTCTTAGGTCGGTATCCAGCAACTCATCATCAATCTCTTCATCAGCATCACACTTCTTCACCGCTTCAAATAAGCCCGTCCCAACCGCAACCATGCAATTCACCATCATCCTCACAACCCTCTTCTCCCTCACCTCCGCCGCTGCAGTCCAGAAGCGCTACCCTGCTACTCTCGTCGAGCGCCAATCTGGCGTCTGCGGCGGTCTCGCGACACCTCTCTGCTGCCAGACCGATGTTCTGGGAGCCGCAAACTTGAACTGCGCCAACGGTAAGTCTTCCTGCAGTCTTCTGAACATAGATGCTGATTATGTCTAGCTGGCGTCGTCGAAACTACCGAGGAGTTCCAGGCTTCGTGCGCTGAAGACGGGACTACTGCGCAGTGCTGCATTGTGCCTCTTGGTGCCGATGGACTTCTTTGCACTGCTGCTTAGGTCCATTATCGGCATTGAGTGGAATTAGGATGTTGGCTAGGGTACGAAGGAGACAAGTTGGTGGTGGAGGACTTTCGGGTTTTGTTGTATTTGTAGTCGTTAGTGGAGATGCTTCTTGTAATAATAATGCAAGTGATTTTCTAGAAATATTGCCTTCCACATTGATCGCCTTTGACTGATTTTCAACTCCAGTGTCCATGTCTCCTTATCGGTGACCTTTGGATTGCCGAAAAAGGCTTCGATGTTTGATGAGAAAGCGATCACGGAAAGTAATGACACGATGTCGCTGCAAGGGTCTGCAATCTGTAGGTAAGATGACGAAGACGCGATGAGGTGTGTGTAATCTGAGAGGCGCACATTATTGTTAGCGCGTTTCCCTGCCTTCCTCAGCTAGTCAACTCAGCAGCCAAATGGACACTCCAGATCTTCCTTGAAAATACTTCTTGATGATAATGATATTCCAAATTGAGCCTAGAATCTGCTGCGGCCAACGGTGAAGTCGGCCATCTTACATTGTTCACACGTGATGAACATGCCACCAAAATATATATATATGTCGCAAATTCGAGGGATGTGTAAAACATCATGCACGCATACGCTCAAATATCCGTCTCCGGGAGGTGGTATCATACCCCCACGGCATCGTCCTCGAATCATTCGAACTCCAAGCTATCCCTCACGCACTTTCGAACATGTTTCTTGAATTCTGGTATGTTTTCACGCCATAACCTCGCTGCGTCTGCGTTCGCGGGCGATTCGTCGTTGGGGCTCGAGAGCATGGAGATGACGGAGAGAAGGATGGTCTCGGGTGTCTGGACTGGTGACCAGCGCTCGGCTGCCGACTCGTAGCCCCACTTGTCTTCCTCGGGCGGGTGTAGGATGGAGATGCAGACATCGCCGTTCGGGTAAACTGCCAATTTGTAAGCTTTGCATTCCACTGCTCTAGTTGGGCGATGTATGCGCACTGTTTGGGTGGAAGATGGGCGTCTCGAAGCGCATTTTCGGTGGCAGTAGCGGGTATTCGGGCGGGAATGTTAGCCGTGCTCGGAAGAAGCCTCCTGAAATGTCTATTAGCTATGATTATCGCTCAAAACCTGGTTTCGCATACCTCCGTAGAACTTGGTGTCATCGTCAATCATGAGCATCACCTCCCACTCGAAGACATTGCTCTCCACTAAGCCACAGCTTATGCCTGAGATGCTTTTATCATTCTGCATCTGCTTGAGCTGGCGCGCCAACAGTCCTGCCGCTGCAGTTGAAGACGCCATCTTCTCTTTGTGTATCCGGGCGGGGGTTCCGCGGGGACCTCGATCGTCTACGAAACTGGGTTTGTGGACTCAGATGGAGAAATGTAGCCCGGATCCGAAAACCAAAAAGACTGGTGAGCAAATTCCACCGCTGGGGACAGTTTTGTGTATCCAGATGGCGGTGATGGGGGCCAGTGACTTCGAAGGCGCGTCACGGCGTGAATGCGGAGCTCGGAAGCGGATTGGTGGGGCAATATGGCAGATTGCGGGCAGATAGGAGGCAATAAGTCCTGTCAAATGTGGAAAAGTTTGTAGCTGTGTGCCGTCTCTCAGAAAAGCGCAGCGATTTAGCGAAGAGCAGACAGTGCGTAAGTCGAAAGTTATATAAGGAAGCAACAATGAGCACCCATAGTCGTGTCCCGGTACAAGTGGCGGAGGCTAAGCTTGCAGGGATCGACGGGAAGCTTAACTTCCCTTTCATCTCTTCCGCATCGACACCATCTCAAAAAGTCCATTCTGCTCTCGTCACGCGCGAACAATCTCCTCATCGGCTTTGTGGGCGCAGAGGTGCCGGCTACGGTCGACAGCCGTATCCAGAAGCATCCCAAAGGCGGTGCGCCAATACCGATACAGCATCGGCAAGAGTTATCCTGGTTGGGCGTGTCGTCCATTTCTTCGTACGGCGACATTGTCTACCCATGTCAAAATGAGTGAGGATGAAGAGGATGCTGCAGTCGATTTCCTCAACTTGCAAAAATCTTCGAGGCGTTCTTTGTGAACCCAAGAAAAAGGAACCTCGGCATGCAACATCAATACGCCCTGGACCCTTAGGCAGGGCCATGACCGTGTCTGTGGTCTCCCATGCTACCCCAAATATCTCAAGATTTAAAACCATGATAAATGTGGACGGAACATGGCGCGTTTAATGCTACTTCCCTTTACAGGAAACAGTCCTCGATTCCAATTCCCAATGTGCGCAGCGCAACAAAAGCAAGGAACTGCAGGACAAGACTCACAAGCATTGACCGGAGCCACCAATAGCTTGCTACATGGCACTGTGTGACTAATCGACATCCTTCTTATCTCTCTGCCTACAGAAGGCGTTCGCTTCTTTGGCTTAACGCAGAAAGCTTGCATGGATCGACCAAATGGCCTACCTTGCACTTTATCTCTTTTCGAGCGCTTTGACCGGATCTTCAGCGCCCTGTGCAAGCGGTCACGCATGTCACCCTGAAAGCACTCTACTGCAAGCCTTTGGCGTTTTTTACTGACATCTGCTAGGGTGAGACGTGTTACATGCCCAGTTCAGCGACCCATCGTCGCTACGGCCCGTCACTCTTCTCGGTAGACATTGCAGACCACCCTGTAACTCCATCAACACGTCGCCTATGAGATTATCAGCTCTCTTGGCAACTCCAAACACTTCAGGAAAGCTGTAATCGCAATCTAATCCCTGTGCGGGCGCGTCCAATAGGCTTCTGTTTCGTCCACAAAATCTTCATGGCTGCCTACTGAAAGTCTCGAGACGGTTGAGTAAGCACCCGAGGATATGGTTGAATTAAACACTGCTGTCTAGGACCCTGGCATGTGTTAGCCATATAGACAGCATCTGCGCCAGCCACGAACGAAAAGAAAAGTTTATGCACTTCGACCGCACTCGGTCGCTTCCTGCAAGCCGCCCACTGACAGCAGTACATATACGTTGCCCTGCGCCTGCGGGGCCTGTTTTCACCCTTGCCTTGTAATTTTGTAACGTTCGCAGAACTTTTTCGATATGCTTCAACAAAATGGTCTCTATGTTAAGACTTCTGCGGCACAATGAAGCGAGTGCGTTATGTCTTGTCCTCAGCATCGTGTGGACGTCGACTACAGTTGACGCGCAGGCCACAAGAAGCTTTCGACTGAATCCCGTCACCAATTTCTGTTCAAGATGGTGTGAGTGGCGTCGCTCATTTCATGCTGTGCTACGCGAAATTTTCTTTTGGTTGCCACTATTTGGTCGAATGTGGCTATGCACCTATAACTTTATTCCTGCTAACGAAGACCACAGGGTCGCAATCTGTCGTCAAAAACGATATCCTGTACATCGATAGTGGAGTTCAGACTTGGAATGGCACAGACATCAGGGGTCCGATTATCGGCATAAACAGCTACATGATCACGATCCCACTTGCCTCCACATGGGATTGGAAGCTGAACATTACTGAGACTGTCCAAGCCAAAAATGTAACGAACCCGAACACGGGTACGCTGCCGCCGAGCCAAATTCGCGGTGCCATGTTTCACGGTCCCAACAACCAGGCTGAAGTCTATGTCTATGGCGGGACAACCTTCATGGGCAATCAGTCTTTCGAGGCATACACGCGGCCAGACTCCTCAGCGTACCCTTTGTGGTCTTATACGTACGGTGCAAGCACCCCATGGGGCCAATACGCGGGTGATACCGCGTGGATGCCGAACCATGGAGCGGCGACGGAAGCAATAGACCAAGGCCTAGCATTCTACCTCAATGGGCAAATCGATTGGGGCACTTCTTCCAAGACTTTCGATATTCTCCCTAAGACGGACGCGATATATGTTCCTATACAAGGCATGCTCATTCTTGACCTGAACACGCAATCTGCGAGGAATCTATCGACCTCCAAGCTAAGAGGTGGGGCGCCACGCGTAGGAGGTACTATGGAATACATCGCTTCGATTGGTGACAACGGAGTGCTTGTAGCGTTGGGGGGTCAGATCCAAGCCAATCTTAGCAGCTCTTTCGCCAATGTCAAAACTGGCTCATTGGTAGGCACCGCCTAGGAGATGCGCCAACTTTTCTGACATCGTACCAGATCGATTTCGCGACAGTGGACCTTTTTGACATCGGCTCCTACTTCGGGGATCCTGACAGCAACGGAACATGGTACTCGCAGAAAACAACCGGTGAGGTACCAAAGGCACGTATAGACTTTTGCACGGTCGCTATTTCAGCACCTGATAATTCGAGTCATCACATCTACCTCTACGGCGGCATAGATCCAATCACGAATGCCGCTTTTGATGATGTGTTGATCTTAACTTTACCTTCATTTACCTGGACGAATGTATGGCCTATCGGAGAGGCGCCGAGATGGGGTCACAACTGTCATGTCGCAGGGAAACGACAAATGATCACGGTTGGTGGAAACAATACCAATGGTCTCACGTGTGACTGGGAGACCAAGGGTGTTGCGGTGTGGGAGTTAACTTCGCTGACATGGGGATCCGTCTTTTTGAATAACCTGACTGAGTTCCAAGTGCCTCAAAAAGTCCTCAGTGCAACAGGTGGAAACGCGAACGGTAACGCCACGAACAAAGATCCAGCACTCGGCTGGACTGACCAAGGCCTGAAAAAAGTCTTCGCAACACCTCGCAGATACAACTTGCCCGACAACACGACATCCCCAACCTCCCGAAAATCCAATACCGCAGCCATCGCAGGCGGTACCGTTGGCGGTATCGCCTTCCTCGCCCTCATCGCGCTCGCAGCATTCCTCTTCCGCCGGCAACACCGCAAACACCACGGCCCGCACGAACTTCACAACAGCTCCTCCCCGACCGCCAGTGCGTCGAAGAACAAATTCGAACTCCAAGCCGTCAATGAAAACAGCCCTGCTGAGCTCTTCGGCAATGATCCCAGGGAACTCGAGTCGCCGAGACAGGTTGTAGAAGCGGAGAATGTTTCGAGTACGACGAGGGCGGAGTTGCCAGGGACAAATACGGTCAGGGGAGGCGTGCATGGGGTTCCGATTGTTAGGACGCCAGGGGATGAATTGCCTGAGCGACCGGAGTATGTGGCGGGTTTGAGGCGATTGGAGAGAGACGGGACGGGGGTGAAGGAAGTTGCGATTGTGGACAAAATCGAAGAAGAAGAAAAGAAGCCAGGAAATACGGAGATTTGAATCATGGGAGCAATTTCCTAGCTCCGGATGAGATAGATCCTAATGGCTTACTCCACCTACAGATATCATCTACGTACGGTCCTCTTTCTGCAAAAGTCCCTGCTCTGAACCTTCCTCGCCTTCTACGGTACTATATCCTTCCTTTGTGCTACTCGCTTTGGTGAATCGTGTGCCCCGGGTTGGGGCGAAATAAATAGCCAACGCAGAGCAAGCCATCACTCCAATTGCAACAAGAAAGTACCACACTGGCTGACCAGCGATCCACAAACCCCTAGTCAGAATTAGTGACTGGCAGACAGTATAAGCAATATCTACTCACAATAGGACGTTTACCCAAGCGCTCGCCAAAGTCGATGCACCAAATCGGCGATGCCATACAGTGACGCCAGTTGCGCGCCCAAGTTTCAGATATCGCACATGATGTAAATAACCAAGCATCGGCGTAAGAACAACCGAAACCAGCAGCGTGAGGCCGAGTATCTTGTGAGCACCATTCGAAGTTGCAATCTACCAGTCTTGTCAGTGTTCTCCCGCGCCAGTACAAATACGCTCTTACAGTGATAGGATGGCCCCAGGTCAAATAGATTCCCCACGCCGTGCCTGAGACAGCAAATGCTACCGCAGAGAGCTGAATGACCCAATGTATCTTGAATGCATTAGGGCGTCCGGTTCGAATTCCTGCAACACCCAGCGGCATTAAAACAACAAAGGCAGATGCTAATAGCAAACCGTGGATGGCAAAAAGTTGACTTGGCTTCCATGAGCTGTCCGTCCCTGCGCCGATCGATTTTCTGCCGTTGTCGACCAGTTCGGGTGCAACAGGGCTTCCGTCAACGTTATGACCCATTGTCATGTCCAGCTCAAATACGTCTAGAACCTATGAGAACTCGTTTAAAATGGCCAAGTGAGAGTGAAGGAACATACCATAATCGGTATGAAGACTCATCGGCTTTTTGATATCATTTGTTTGCATGACATATTCGTAGTGGTTTGCGAATATCCATTTCTGTTTCTTCGACGTTACATTGGCACTATTACGATGCCATGTATCGCAGCCATAACAAACGATCTGGGCATTGTAGTAAACTCCTTCCACCCACGTTTTGATGGTTTGGTGGTCTGGCGTCTTCTCTGGTGGTGGTTGAGGCGGGTAGTGGTAGCTAATGAACCTTTTGTAAGTGAGATGTTCCAAAATAGTTTACTACCTATGGTACTCCTACTCACTTCGTCGTTCGGATGCTCAAAGTGACATCTTCTCATGTTAGTTTTACATTCTGGCATTTCTGTGGTCGGGCGGTACCTTTATCCTGTGCTCCTGGGTACAATACGAACATCAACGACCCATCCATTGTCGAGCCAGTGCCAAATGCAGCATAGCCTTTTCGGTCTTCGAATTTGGCGGACACAAGGAGGTAAAAGTCATTAGCATTGGTGGTTGAATTATGGAACGTCGATATCGCGAGACATTGATCGGTTCGCAGAGAGTCGTCAACACGGCAATACTGGAGTTGAGCAGCAGCGACTGAAGAGATGATGCCAGCCAGAAACGTGACTGTGTCCCAACTGCTTATGCGCTGGATACCAGAAAAACGCATCGCGAATTGTTTTGATCGATCAACGTTGTAACGTCCAGAGCGAATGAATGAATGTAGAAGTTTTGCTCAAGACAGCACCGAAAGATTGTCAAGCAAGATCGAGAGTAGAGCAAAATCTTCTTGACATTGCGCTACGGTTACATGATCGGAGTTGATGCATACATACACGCTACCTGATGCCTAACTTAGTTGGACATGGGAAGCTGAGCAAGGCGCCGCAAAGTCGCACCGAACCCCTGACAACGTTCCGTAAAACGTCTGCAGATGCACGAAGCCTTTGTGAGCGACGCAGAGCGACGCATAAGCTAGGTGTCGCACAGTGGAATTGAGACTGATCGGTGCGGGACTTGGTTCATACCTCCCCCGCTGTTTCGTGTGTTAGCGTTGCCCTGGCGTGATTACGGCCCTTCGACGATCATATGTACAGTACAGTTACCATCCGTGTGAGGGCCGTTAGCGCGGGAAATACGAGGCTGTTTGTCTCGTGCAACTTCTTTAATTAGAATCGAGTCCTAGACATGTCCTTGTCTCGCTAATCGACGCTAACGACCCGTGTATGGAGAGAGACTCTACTTGTTCAGTAATCCCTCTACTAGCCCTCGTGTACCTTTTCGGCGCACCGACGTAATGTACCTTGTCGGCACCTAGTCACAGATGGGGCAGGAAGCATATATGCGTTAGTGTAAGGCTCAGATAGCATGCATAGCTGCCATTGGAACAGATGCTACGGACGTACGGTGAAGCTCGGTGAAACTAAAATTATTGGGGGCCTTGCTTCTGATCAGCATCCTTATATTTCACGACTTGGCAAATAGTTGAAGTAACACCGACCTTGATGAACTTGGCGCTTGCATCCGGAGCCAAACTTTTGAAGTAGAAAGATGTCGAGAGCAAATACCACCAAGGAGTCTCAGGCATACCCCTGCAAATGCCAGTAAGTCGGACTCAAATTCTCCGTGATTCCTTACCTGAACGTTTTGGAGTGTAAAAATCCCGCAATATTCAGCACACGCAAAAGGCGAAGAGTGTCTGCGAAGAGTCCGTTAAAGCTGCGGCGTTTGAGTTCACTTTGAGTAGCTGTGCTGATTAGTTCTTCAGCTGTGGAGAAGTAACTTTTACTATAACATTGTCTCCGCAACTAGCGGACTACAAAGTCATGCAATGCAACTGCTCCATTTGCACCGCACATGGCTACCTTCTGGTGTATCCCGAGCGCTCTGAAGTGATCTTTCATGGGAACTCAAAGGACCACGTGCAGAAGTACCAGTTTCACACGAAGAAGAAGGATCACTGGTTCTGTCGTCACTGTGGCACGAGCTTGTTGATCGACTTCAATGGTATATATGAAAACTACGATGTTATGGCTGTCAACGTGAGTGGCGCATCCCCTTAACGTGCCTGAATACTGAGCTGGAGTTTTAGGCTCGGACGATTGAGAATGTCGACATCAGTACCTTGAAGTTTGAATATGGGAATGGTAAGAAGCTTTAACTTATGTACTTAGGCTCATTCAATGAATGCGTTGAAAAGAATGTTCAATGAGAGTTAAACTATTGAATTAACAACTTGCTCTCCGGTTTGCAACGCATCTTCTCGTTACCACAGCCCTCCCAACATCCTCTGAAGATGCAACATCCACCATATCCAATGACACCCCACCACAATCCCATCCAGATTCCAAACAGTCGACAACCACAGTATGGCGGACATCTCACCAGTCCTCATGACTCATTGGGCTGTACCTCGGGGTCAAGACTCAGTTCTCAACCTTTTGGGCGGCGCGGTTCTCGACCTTCTGTGCAGCGCGATTCTCAACCTTCTGAGCCTCACGGTTCTCGACCTTCTGCGCCTCGCGGTTCTCGACCTTCTGCGCCTCGCGGTTCTCGACTTTCTGAGCAGCACGGTTTTCCACTTTCTGGGCTTCGCGGTTTTCCACCTTTTGCGCCTCACGGTTTTCAACCTTTTGTGCCTCGCGATTCTCGACCTTTTGTGCCTCGCGATTCTCGACCTTCTGTGCAGCGCGATTCTCGACCTTCTGAGCCTCGCGGTTCTCGACTTTCTGAGCAGCACGATTTTCCACTTTCTGGGCTTTGCGGTTCTCAACTTTCTGAGCCTCACGGTTCTCAACTTTCTGAGCCTCACGGTTCTCAACTTTCTGAGCCTCACGGTTCTCAACTTTCTGAGCCTCACGGTTCTCAACTTTCTGAGCCTCACGGTTCTCAACCTTCTGAGGCTCACGTGCCATCAACTCGATGGTAGCCGCTGCGATCGCGAGCAGATTAGTATCAAAACCCACGACATTGAATTAGCTGCTTACCAGCAAGACGCTTCTCCCATGGCTCAGGGGCGTTCAAAATCTCAAGCTCCTTTTCAAGAGCTTCACCGGTAAGCGTGGTGGGTGCGGGCAAGGCCAACGCTCCAGTGAGCAGGGTGGCAATGAAAACAGCGTACTTCATTTTGGAAAGGTAACGGCTGATGACGTTCTTAAAATTTGGGAATGGAAGTGTAGAACAAACTTTCAGATGGGGGATGGAAGTATAGAATAGACATGTAAGTTCTTAAATAGAGATTGGACAGTACTTGATTGTACGCAACGCTTCTATGCGTATGCCGCTGATCGTTTTGCAAAGGAGCAACTTACGCACAGAGCGGTTTCACGTAAGTTCCGTTTCGCGTTATGCCCCACTCTTTCACACGGATAAGATAGCCGTCATACGGGCTGCTATTTCCCTCAAGCACCGTCTACTACTCTGTCAAGGAGACGCACGGCTATCTGGGTACTGGGCAGTGCCTAGGTATCTGTGCAGGAAGCCTGTACGCTAATCCTAGACAAGAAGGAGAGGTTACCTATCTTACCAGCGCCCGTCCGTCCGGAGTTCTCCTTGTAAGTCAACCTCAGCTCTTTCCCCCACATTATAGCTCGATGCACTTCCGTGGATTTGCCTTGTTCCGTGCGCACCACCCTTGCGATGTGCCGTCGTATGCATGAACCTGCAGTACAGTATATAGTTGGTTACGTTCGAACCCATGTCCTCGGTAAAATCGTAACACCTCCAAGTCAAGGCTCACATACCCGGGCGGGCCGATCCTCGGCCAGGTGTAGTCTTGGAAAGTTCAAGCAATTTGATTGGGCGCAGGAGTGTTTCATTCTTCGTGATTATCTTTAGAACCAACGTCTGCAGTGAGCTGCCAGTTGGTTGGAGACTTCCCGGTGTACTAAACCGATAACTTTCGCGGACCCCGTTTCATCACCGTTCCTGTTACCATTCTGTGCCTGGTCAGTTGCATCCCTGCTTCGGAAGATGCCAATTGTTTTCCCTCACTTCGATCAACCGATCTCCTTGTTTCGATCAGCCTCTTCGTCACTGTGGGACGTTCAATTCCTCCTCAAGTTCTAGTCTGGAAGTCAACCAAGTTTCTCTCACTCACAACAATACTGCACGACATGGCTGGGTTCTTCACATACGCCAGTATTGAAGACAAAGATTTGACAGTAACTCTCAAGTCAAACTCATCCGGAGGACATGAAGAAGAATGCTACCTCCAAGACCTTTTGATTAGGGCAAGCCATGAGCCGACTTCGAGGTTCATTATCGCTATCGACCACAAACATTACATCTTCCATGTGGTTCGTGTCACAGAGACTTCTATGCTAGAAGTAGAAGATGCGGTCACTGTTCTTGATGGATTTGTCCGTTCAGGAAGCGAAGCTTCCATCTCGACCTTTTACAAAAGCGACGATGACCTTTCGAACTCTCGGGAAAAGATGTCGACGCGCAGCTGTTTGGCTACCTTATCCCATGCACGTGGACCTTTCTTCGACTCTCTATCACTACCGGCAGCGGATCTGGAGCTACTGAGATTTCCCTCAAATGTACCAAGGAAACAAAGGATTGTCACAGCAGTCAATCAAACAATCTGTCGTTTTAGAACTGCTTGGAACGATCATATCGCTGTCAGGGTGCTATTTTGGATAGCTATTGGCGCCCTCTGTATTCTCGCAGCTGCTATGGTCCACGGGACATTCGGCAAAGCCTTCCACCAACATTTCGAACACGGCATTTGGGTCCGCTACGACCTCAAAGGCAGCCAAGGTCCAAAGTACCAGCTTCAGTTTACCCACCATAACGCCTCAAGCTGGGCAGCCAAAAACCCGCATCAGAATGGTGAATGGGCATTTCGGATTGACGATCAAGCCATGATACCAGCCCACCTCATGGACGAAGAAGAACAACTCTATCAACGCTGGTTCCAGAAGCGATACCCCGAGAAGAACCAAATTCGCATGGATCAGAGGTACATCAACGACTCATTTCTGGGCGACCCTGATCAAATCAAGGTGCCTTCCGACAAGCAGTTTCATATGGCTCACTGTGTCCGGGCCTTGAGAAGATATTGGCAGGCCAAGGAAACTGGCAAGCATGTCTGTCCGAGAGATATCGATTACAGGCATATGAAGCACTGCCTGGACTCCATGGATGAGTGGGCATTCCCAGACGGAGAGAGAGGTTCGATCAAGCCTGTCGTGGATTCTGGAACGTGGAAATTGATTTGGGAGACTAAAGTCTGCTTTTGAGAGAAATTTTGTTGTAACAGTTACCACTTATTGGAGGATTCAGAGTTGTATTTTATCTGCGAAAAACAGTTCAAAAGTATACATATGCCATACACAGCTTCTCGATTGTTCTCAATGCTAGTATGTGCCGACCTGACTAAATTACAACACTCCACTTGCAACAATTACTCAAAACGCGTCAAATGCGACTCGCCGTCCACATTTTGGTTCAAGTTTTCGTCATTCTACATATGATTACATCTCTAGCATACATTTCAATCAAATAACCGAGACCCTTGAACAAAATCAGCTTCAATTGCGCGACCAATTGCCTGGCCATGTATCCAACTCTACCTATCCCCAGGCCTCGAACACCCATTAAACAGCATAACAACCGTCTCCTGCCTCGGCTTCATCTCATCACTAACCGCCGCCTTCCCAATAAATTGCGCACAATGCATCGTATGCCCATACTCAATAAAACTCGGCACCAGCCCCAGCCCGCCCTCCATAACCGAGCGGTGCAGCGTCCTCCACGTGCCCAAACAATGTAGCACATGGTACCGATGCTCCGTCCAGACATGCGTGTGCGTACTCAGATCCTCCCAATCCTGTGGAATCTCCTGGGTGAAGTTGGGCGCGAGATACCATTTCCATGGGCCGGCGCGCTTCATTTCTTCCTCGAGCATTTCGTCGAAGAGCTCCTTGTCGTAGCAGTCAGGTGGCAGCCAGCTGAAGTTTATCGGGTTAAAGACGCAGCCTTGAGCTTTTGCTTCGGCGGGCGTTGGGCCGCATTTGGGGATGACGAGGGCGTTGCTGGTGTGGCTTTTGGTGTATAAGGTTTGGAGAGATAGGAGGGTGAGGAGAGTAAGGCCAACGGCTAGTGCGGATGCCCAGTGTGATTTGCTGAAGGAGAACTTTTTGTGTTGCGGGACTTGGACTGCATGGTCTTTCTCGCGAAGTTTGGTATCTTCCATTCTCGGTGAATGGTGAGGGTCAAGTTCGTCCGGTGATCGATGGAGCTACTACGTAGGTAGCCACAAATGAACACAAGATAGGCTCAGTTGTAAGTTGTGTGAGTTTTTGGATTATCCAATCAAAGATTGGGGAAAGTATTGAGGTGACATTAATCACTCCGCCCGTATGTGGACATCAAGCTCTACATTCACCCGCAGAACTCCGTACCGATGCAAAGCCATGTCGCCTCGTATCCATGGCTAGTAAGGTCCCTGCTACAGCTTTCTTGTATTCCCGAAGTTGTACCTTCAGTTGTAATAGAGCCAACGCATTATTTTTGGAAAGCCCTCACCACCTGCCTACTTCTATCCTGATCATCGTGACGCATGCATGTATCCAAGGGCTCCACAGTGTTCATGGACCAAGCGCATCTAAAATCGAGGTAGACTGAGCTAGGCATGTGTGGATCAGCACTCACTTGTCTGTCCCCTGCAGAAGCCTCATTGACCTCAGACTCGGGCCGACTGATTGTTTTAACATCTTTCAGCAGCGGAATGAGGGAATTCCATTGATGTAAATTTTAAGCTAATTATACACAAGAACGGGCTTGGTTGTTTGGTCCGTCTGTAAATCCCCGCCGACTTTGCATGCGGGTGGACTACATGCTTTTCTCTCCATCATTGACGGAGTGAAGGACTGGTCCCTAATCTTCGAACTTTCTTTACTTCCTCACTGCGGATCTACTCACGCGTATCTTAGCAAAATGTTCCAAAACAACATTTTCTCTTACTCTCTTACCTTGCAAGATGAGCCAGATTCGACACCAGACAAAGAAGACGCACTCCCTTCTCCACGGCCACGGCGCTACTCACAAAAAGCCATCTTCACCACCGCCATAATAGCACTCATCTCAATACTATGTTTCGCATTTGCCGTCTTCGAAATGCTCCAACTCACTTCACCCGCCCTCCTATCTCCGGATAGTTTCTTTCCTGACTGTAAATATGAGATCCGAGCTCCACCATTTCAAGAAACGTACTAACAGAAAGAAAGTCCCAAGCGTAAAGATGAAATTCGTAGAAGGCGAAGACAACGACTTCATGCGCTTCGATGAAGTAGGCGACGCGGCGTGGAACGGGATGATTCCAAGTACTCTCTATCTAATCTCACCACCTCACAAGTACCTTTCACTGACTGCTGAATCAGATGGTGCCGGATACGTCAAAGTAGACCGTCCAAGGCGGTACGACATGGAATCCAGCGTTCCTTACGGCCTGGGCAACGAAGACGCAGAAGTCTACCAAGCCTCCGTAGTCCACCAACTTCACTGCCTCGTACATCCCCTCCTCCCACCCCCCATTCCCACCTTCTGACCTCATCTCCAGGGCACACTACGCCTCGTACTCGCCGCCTACGCGCGTCACGAGCGGTTGGAGAATTACTACGACAGCGAGCCGCACATGCGGCACTGTCTGAATATCCTGCGACAGGGGATATTGTGCGCATCGGATGCTACGCTTGCGTTTTCGAAACCGACGGGCAGGACGGAGGAGGGGTTATTTACGGCCAAGTTTAATAATATTGGGACGGTGCATACATGTCGGAGTTGGGAGGCTGTGAGGGCGTTTTTGGAGGGGCATCGGGCGATGGATAGGAATGCTACTGTGGGGAGTACGTAAGTATAGGGTTGGATGATAAAACATTAATTGACATCAACAACTTGTTGCAAAGCTCACTTTTGTCTTCATCGATATGCCATGTGTATGCATTATGCTCGTCATTGCCGAAGAAACGCCAAACCCATCCAGCTCTACGGGTATATATGCGCAAAAATACAACATCTTAACGTTACGTGACATTATAAGCGGCGAAACCATGCCTATCCAAAAACTCTGAGGAAGCCCCATAACCCAGCACCGCATAAAACGGGAATCGTCAGATTATCGTCCCAGCCAAACAAATCAATAGCTTCGCTCACGCTCGCTATGAAGCCTGCTGCGACGCTCATAGCGCCCAAGGCCCAGTAGCCCGTGATAGTCGCGTGTTTCGTGTCTACGCCCAACATCTCGCGAGCCTGTGCAGGTAACATGAGCGCGCCCTGATACGCAAACGCATACTCGCCAGTGTTGTATTCCGCATACATGGGGCCCAAGACACCCCACCACAATCCCGCGGTAATAATGCCCGTCGCAAACGCCGCCAGGCTACCAGCCAGACTCTTCCCGCGCCGGACTTGCGGCGTGTATCTGCCCCATAACCGGCCAAACGTACTCGCCGCCGTATCGCACCAACTCAGTAGCAGTATGCTCATGACGCCGACGTCTTTGGGACACCAGCGCATGACCAGCCATGCGCCGAGGAGGTAGCTGATGACGCCGTTGTAGCCGTCGACTTCGGATTCGCGCATGAAAGCGCCGAGGCAGCGGATGTAGAAGCGATTTATGTGCGGGTAGCGGTGGCGCAAGAGGTCGGCGCAGAAAATGGGGACCAGGCACGTGAGAAGGACGGGATGAATGGAGGCTGTTTGGATGCCGGTGGCGTACAGGGCGAGGGTGAGGAAGCCGATGGAGACGTGGAGGATTTTGCGGGGGATTTCATGTTTGTGGATCTGTCAGGGTGTGTTAGTATCATGTGTGCGTGTTGGAGAGGTGTAGGTGAAGGGTGAAGTGCAAGAGAACGTACAAATGACCGCCATTTCTGGTGGATAGGAATCAGGCCCAGCGGACTTGGACTCCGGCTCATTTCTCGCCAGTAGTTCTTGTTCGCCTGTGCCGGACTCAAGTGTCCATTCGACGTGCCGAGTTCCATACTCTTCTTCATTTGTCTGCGGCCTGTCAAGCCACTCATTCGCTGCCGACTGCCTACGCCCCCGTTTTCTAGTATCGGGCTCCGACTCTTCGCTCGTGCCCGCTTCTCTGGATCTGAGCCGGAGTCCTCGTCTATCGGCGGGGGTGAATGCGCGCTGCTATACTGCTTGCTCTTCCGCGTCGACGAGCGCGTCACAGGGCCGAAGTAACCATCTTTCCCGCTGCCAACTTCGGACGGCGTAGGACTTGGAGATATCACCCGCGGTGTGCTGGGGATCTGATACTGGCGAGACGACTCCATGGCTGAGCGCCAGCAGGTGGGAAAGTACGGGAGCGGAGGTGCGCGGATGAGGCCGGTCAGGCGGGAGCGTACTAATAGCGCGAGGTGGGCAAGCAAGCCTGAATTCGGAGTTTCCAGATGTGGACTTTGATTCGAGAAGGTGCGGTGGGCGTGAGGCTGAGTAGTTCCAAGCAGGCTGCTCAGGAAGGCCTCGACCTGTGCGACGCTGCCGTCAGCATCGGATGCGGAGGGGTGGTTTAAGCAATCTGTGGACGCCGTGGATTCGTCCGGGCGGCGCGCATCCTCGGACGGAACGGGAGATGCCACAGTTTAGGCGGGCGACAGCGGTCGGGGTGTTCTAGGGAGAGTTTCGGGGACACGTTTGGTGCGGAGAATGACGCCGTGCTATTATTGTTGTTCAGCCAGGGAAATTAAAACATGCAATCATGCAAATGGCGGATTGTGATGTCGATCTGACTTGGCGGTGATATCAGCTTGCATGTGAAGATCCCTATGTAGGGCTGGTTACTCAGAAGGAACTGGAGACGATATGGAATATTCTATGATTACTGTCGAGTACGGGCTCCTCGAGTCTTGTACATCATTTCGGCGGTGCCTATGACGAAATTGGTCACGCGCCACTGGCTGCACCTGCCATCCAAAGTACCGGTGGTGTGGCGTCGGTAGCCAATCAGAGCACGCTTCAACTTTTTTGTTCCAGCAAAACTTTGGGCGCAGCTTTGCGCGTCTTCACGCTTCACAACCACAGCTGCGTTTCCGCCATACATGACATGGCGCCACAAACGAAGATCGATCGCTCGTTCAGCGCCTTGACGCCTGCGCTGTCAGAATGGATCATCGACGCCGTGGATGCTATGGGTTTTGTGAAGACCACGCCTGTGCAGCATGCAGCTATCCCCATGTTCATGAAAAACTCCGATGTTGTTGTAGAAGCCGTGACTGGGAGTGGGAAAACACTTGCGTGAGTTTGGACGAATGACGTCTAACGGTGTGAGCTAACATCTAATCAGGTTTTTGATACCCATTGTAGAGCGACTGCTGCGCGAGGATGCGCCCACGAAGAAGCATCACGTGGGCGCCATCATCATCTCACCAACCCGGGAACTAGCAACACAGATACACACAGTTTTATCGTCGCTCCTAAAGTTTCATGCCCCATCGGCAGCGATGCTTGAGCCTGACGATGAGGACACGGACATGGAAGACGCGGATACTCCACCAAAACCAACATTCCCACCTGGAACACTCAAAGCCGTTCCTCAACTACTTCTTGGCGGATCTGTCACTCCTGCTCAAGATCTCAGTGCGTTCCTGAAGAAGTCGCCAAATATCTTGATTGGTACCCCTGGGAGGCTCCTGGAATTGCTTCGTTCGCCTCATGTACACTGCCCACAGTCATCATTTGATGCGTTAGTCATGGATGAAGCAGATCGACTACTGGATTTAGGTTTCAAGGAAGACCTTCAAAAGATCATTTCTCGTCTTCCTAAACAGAGAAGAACGGGACTGTTTAGTGCCAGTATGAGTGAGGCTGTCGATCAACTCATCCGTGTTGGTCTTCGTAATCCTGTCCGTATTGCTGTCAAGGTCAAAGCACGAGCTACTGGCGAAGATGGCAAGATCGAGGACAAGCGGACACCAGCCAGTTTGCAGATGTCGTACCTCGTTACACCTCCATCACACAAAATACCAGCCATGAAGAAGATCCTGTCATCGCTGCAACCGCAACCTCAAAAGTCGATCCTGTATCTTTCAACTTGCTTTTCTGTCGATTACTTCCAGCATGTTTTACCAGAGGTTCTGCAAGGCTATGACATCGTACCGTTGCACGGAAAGCACCCCGACAAAGTGCGGCGCAAGAATTTCAACAAATTTGTTGATAGCGTCACCCCTTCAATACTGTTGACCACCGATGTGGCCGCCCGTGGACTCGACATCCCCTCCGTAGATCTTGTTTTCCAGCTCGACCCCCCAAGTGATCCCAAGACGTTCATCCATCGATGTGGTCGCGCTGGAAGAGCTGGTCGCAGAGGCTTAGCTGTTACATTCCTCAACCCCGGACGAGAAGAAGATTACATTGAGTTTCTGCAAGTTCGCCAGACTCCAATATCGCCTCTAACTACACCCGAAATCACAGTAACGGACGAAGATGCGAAGGCCGTGACGTCGAAGATCAGAAAGAAAGTTCGAGAAGATCGAGCTCTTTTTGACAAAGCTCAACGTGGCTTTGTGTCCTGGGTCCGTGCATACAGCAAGCACACTGCCAGCTCGATATTTCGCATAGATGATCTTGACTGGACCGAGCTAGGCAACGCATGGGGTTTGCTCACACTGCCCGGTATGCCAGAGTTGAAGAAGTGGCAAGGCGACAAAAGACTTGGAATTGAGCTGGACCTTGCAACATACGCATACAAAGACAAGGCGCGCGAAAAGCTGCGATTAGAAGAGCTCGAACGAGACAAGGAGGAAGGTACGAAGAAGAAGCAGCACAAGAAGGAGGATAGGGAAAAGTCTGCGTGGACGGAACAAAAGGAGAGCAAAGCGACGAAGGAGGTACGCAGGGAAAAGAAGAAGTCAAAGCGGGAGCATGAGCGCCTGGCGAAGATGACAGACGAAGAGAGGAAGGAAGAGGACAGGGTACAAGCCATGATTGAGCAGATGCGCAAGAAGGTTGCAAAACAGGAAGCTGAAGATGCTGACTTTGAGGGATTCAGCGACTAAGTGTGAGGACCAGGTCAATACACGCTATGGTTATTTCGAGGCTTTGGCACTCGAGACTCGTGGTTGAGGCGATCGTAGGAGTAACAGGAGTTACTTAGCTGCTGGTGATAGCCAGCAGCTTGATCGATTCACTCAGGTTTGATCACGTCATTCACAAACTTTTGGGCAAATAGTTGCCATAGAGCTGCTATGACGACATCAATCCTTTCTCCTTAGCTTAAGAGGTGGGAGTCTTAGTGGTCTAGGACTACAATTCTTTCACTCACCACCTGCAAGACCAGGCTGTACCGGGGGTTTACCGAGACTAGCCAACGGCTTTCCTCTCCCTATATAATACGCACTCACAATCACAACGAACTTTCTTATAGTGTACATCAACTCCGGCCCAACCACTAAATTCTTCTAAACCCCTTGTCTCCTAACCAGAAATCACCAGAACAGTAAGCATGGACTACACAGTCCCTACCAGCAGCATGACCACAAAGGATTTGAACGAGAAGAGTAAGTATACCATTCCTCTACCCCATGCTTGGGCTACTCATCCGCTAACAATGTCCAGTGCTCGAGTCTTACCAGCTCCGTCATGACGGTTGCGTGGCCACATGCCGGGTCATCGAGTACGAGAACGAGATGCGCCTTGCCAAAGCCGAAGCCACCATTAGCTCAGCCCTCAAAGAGCTCGCTGTGGCAAAGAACTTGGCTAAAGGCGCGCAAGCTAAGTCCAAGGCGATCGACACCGGGGCACTAGTCTTCGATCCTAGCATATCCGAAGGTCAACGATTACTCGATGACCAACACCTGCAACAGCGCAAGGCTGAGAAAGCTGTGCTGGAGCCCAACGCACTGATGTCGGCGCGAGAGACGGCTGAGACTAGGGTCCAAGATGCTCGCGATCGACTAGTCGAAGTCAAGGCTGAAGCTCTGCGCAAAGAGACGGATGCGAAATCGGTCGCGAAGTATGTGCGAGACAAAGTCGGTGATTACATGGAAAAGTTGCTGGACCTTGAATCACGAGTCGACATTCCGATGTCGACAGCTACTGGCATCACATCTGTTACTAAAGGTACGACGACCCTTTCACAACGTGTCGCCAGAAGACACTGGACTACTCCACTTCCAGACCGACCCATCGACCAACGCCGCGGCAAAGCTGAAGCTGACCTCCGCTCCGCTCAGCTTGCTTATGAATATCACATCGAGTCAAACCCCACAGCAGCAGCAGAATCGAAGGCAGAAGCGGAAGCCGCCTACAAGACGTTCAAGGAAGCTGTGCAGGCGGTGCGAGAAGCAGAAGATCAGTCTAAACTGACTTCGGCGGCCCACAACTCATCTGGGCGGGTTTATGTTTCATGTCTTGCGGCCTGTGACCAAACCTACAAGGCTCGGTGCGAGATGATTGAGGCCCTTCGGCGCCACAAATCTGCGGCTGCGAAAGCTCGGGAGTGCCACAATCGGCCGATTATATTGCGTTGTCTGGTTCGATCGGCTGAGGCGAAGCTTCTATTCTCGAGATATTAGGTGGAACGCAAAGAGATGGAGGCTTGGCATGAGGAGAGTCTGAGGGAGCTTGGTGGTAGAGAAATAGTGTGGTGTGTGGCCTAGGAGGGCGAGGTATGGATGTATGGTGCGATCGTTCCGCATATTGTCGAGGATGATGTCTGATTCTCGATGGTGAGCGATGTGTAATGGACTGAAGCATACTGGCCTGCATCAACTCTATTCATGGAGTTCATACATCTGTGGCGCTGTAGTCTGGAAGCACGTGAGCTTGATGAGTCACCCACGCTAGGCAAGAATTCAATGGCTGCACTATCTCGATTGACTTGTAGCCCTTACTTAACATGTACCGATCGATTGCAGCGAATCACTCAATATTCCAGAGGTTTGGTGATTACCGGAAAGCCTGGTCGCTTACTTTTGGGAAACACCAATATCGACCACAATCCGCCATCACCCCATCACCTTACCACAATTCAGCTTCCGCAGAAATTCCAGGTCATCCGTTTTCGGTCCAAATGGACACACAACCCCCAGCTCAACTACCTGAAATAATGCCTTCATCACCACCCAACATCCCTCTCGCAGAACGCATGAAGAAATACGAAGCCGTCTACGACACAACCCTCCCATCAAACAGCCCCATCATACTGCGCCTCGACGGCCACAACTTCTCGCGGTTCACTTCACACTTCGCCCGGCCCTTCGACGAGCGTATCCACTCCGCCATGCTATCCACCTGTACCTCTCTGCTCACCTTCTTCCCCAGCGCAACCCTCGCATACACGCAATCCGACGAGATAACGCTGATCTTCCCCAGCGGCGTCGGCGCATTCGGCGAAAGAGTGCAAAAACTATCCAGCCTGGCAGCGAGCTACACGTCTGTGAATTTCGTCAAGCACCTAATCGCAGCTGTAGATGCGCAGCCGGAACCCGCGCTCAAAGGTGAAGGTGGGAAAGACGTGCTGTGGACCGCGCATTTCGATGCGCGCATCTTCGCCGTGCCGAGCATTGAGGAAGCGCTGAATAATCTGCTCTGGCGCTGCAGAAACGATGCGGTGAGGAATTCGGTGAGTTCGTTCGCGCGGACGATGTACTCGACAAAAGAGATGCATGGAAAGCGCGCAAAGGAATTGGTGGCGATGATGAGGGAGGAAAAGGGTGTAGTTTTTGAAGATGCGGTGCCGAAGTGGGCGATTGAAGGGTGTTTGATTAAGAGGGAGCAGGTGGATCATTGGGGGAGGAATGGTAAGACTGGGGAGATGGAGATGACATTTCGGGCAAGGGTGAGGGTGGAGGAAAGGGGTGTGAGGGAGTTTGGGGAGGAGGGGTTGAGGCTTGTTCAGGAGAGGTATTGGTGATGCGCGGGTTGGTCTGGGGTAGCAGGAGTTCGGGCCATTCTGCATGTCCTTACCTTGGGTTCAACCAACATGGTGTCGATATCTATTGAAGTGTAAGCACTTGTGACTTGGAAGCCTCGTAGTGCTCACGTGCGGCTAAGGCAAAGTCGGCCAGGCTAGGAGGCTTAGCGCGCAACCTTATCCTCCGATTCTATTTCAGGCATTGCCACCAACGACATCACCGCACCACAAATTCAAGACGATCGAAATGTTTCGTGCAGGCTGCGCAGGGAGCTTCTACGACTGGATGGATGGCACAATGTTTCATGCAACTGCGCAAAGATAAGATACTTATCCGTAGAAAGCATAACGTTCTTTTCGGCCCTACAACCATCGATTCGACTCCTTAATGATGATCTGACGCTCGTAGCGTGTAGCCTAGAAAGGCGCCAACAAAACCTCCCTGTACACTCAATTGATGCGCTATATCGCGCGGACCAACGTAACGTCATCCTGTCTGTTTTTTCTCTCCATCTCTCCTTCCTCATCGTGAGGTATCGCTGTCATGGCGTACCAACCCGTGCAGGACCCGGATATACGGCCAATACAACCTGCACATTTCGGCACCATCGAGCTCGACACCCAATACGATCCTGCTTATGCGCCAGCGCATGGAAGGTCTCCGAGCATCTCCCGGAGTCCGGACGAAGAGTCGAAGGGCGAGGATATGGGGGATAAAAATCCTTTTTTTCGCAGGTCAAGGACCACAAGCTGGTCGACGACCTGGCCATTACCTCCACCGCCCGGTGTTCGTCCGAGTGTTCAAGCGCAACAGGTTGCGACTTTGACTCCGCTGAGAGCTAGTCTCATGGTTTTCGATGCGGTCTTGGCATCCACACCGATCATGTTTGTTGGTGAGTTTCATCTAGATCTACTTCTTCTGCGAGGAATACGCTAAGACCTGTCAGCTCTTGCTTTGACAGCTGCGGGACTGGATGGCAAAGAGGCATCGCTTTATGGCTTCAAGCTTGAACAGACGTTACTGCTGTCGCCAACTATCTTCCCGGTGATCTTCGCTGCTCTCATGGGAAGATTTTTCCGCTCGTTGGGAGTATACCTTGCTGAAAGAGGGACCACACTTGGACGTCTCGAGCAGCTTTTTGGATGCCAGTCTGTTTTTACAGCCCTCGAGCGCCAAATCACTCTTCGCTACTGGTCTATCGTCGGAGTCTTTACGGTACTTATATGGCTCTTGTCACCTGTTGGCGGCCAATCCGCTCTCCGACTTCTCAGTACAGAAAATCAGAACATCTCATCGATTGCCACCGTTCGTTACCTGGACCCTGGATCTGCAACAACTTCATCTCTGGAAGGTGCTAGTTCCATGAACAGCGCGCGTGGGACGTACACTTCCATCTTTTTGGCTGCTCTGCTCAGTAGTTCCAAGTACCAGGACACCTCTATGGACCTATGGGGAAATGTGAAGCTCCCTTTGTATAGAGACATCGAAGGCGACACTACAGACGAGTGGAAGCGAGTATATCGTGATGAAGAAGGAGGCAATGCGACTTATGGCTCCCTCATTGGTGTACCGACAATTGGTATGCCCCGAGACGGCTATAGCAACTTCACCATCAAGGCACGCCAATTCGACATTACGTGCTCAAGGAACGAGATTCAATCTGGCCTAAAAAATGAAAGCCTATGGGCCAATGTTACTGGAACGTGGGGTCTGATGGGCGACCCATCTTCGCCACGTATAGGAGAATACCCGCGTCCTATTCTCTCAATGTCTTTGGCTATTGACGGCGACACTTCCTCGAATTACTCGGTAACCGCTTGCAACGTGGACTACAACTACTTTGAGGCGCGAGTCAACTGCAATGGCACATCGTGCGGCGTCGGGTCAATGCGAAAGCTCGATTTGTTTGGAGACGGGTACACGAACGACACCGATCTTGTCACCCGGGCCAATATCATCCGGAACCTCATGACAGTATTGCCACGAGTCGACAACACGGATGTGAGCAGCCCTTCAGCCCGAGGCTCTACAAATGCGGAGAAGTGGATGGCAGATCCAACAAACTTCATCGGCGCAACTTTCGATTATGTACAGCTGTACAAGCTCGATCCTGACGTCTTCGCGCGACGTCTTACCATCTTGTGGAATACCTTCCACCAGTCTACGTTCGCAACTACTACACTGGGCGGAGCTCTGCCGAGTAACCTCACACAGACAGGCCTGTTGGTCAATCCCAACGGCTTTAGCCCAAACATCACATTCAACGGCACGCAAGCCCGTGTAATCCAGCAAACACTACCAGTATACAAAACCAACTGGAAGTGGTTCGCTGCGCTCTTGTTCAGCTCGCTCATATTGTTATCTGCAGCATACGCAGGCCTTGCGATCAGGTACATGACACTCGCGCCAGACATCATCGGGTACGCTTCCTCGATGGCGATGCTGAACCCATACGTTCCGATAAATACTGGCGGGTCGACATTGTACGGCCTCGAGCGCTCAGCCTTGTTGCATGATCTGCCAGTGCGCATAGGAGATGTGCGTCCGAACGAGCCCGTCGGCACGATCGCGTTTGCCAAAGCGGACGATGGGCGGGTTGCGAGACTGAACAGGAGACGATATTATATATAATTAATGAGAACAGTATAGATTTTATGTACTCGAGATTAGAGTTTAATGATAGATTCAACCTCATTGTTGGGGGTTGTGCTGCTGCATAACCCCCACGCTTTACCTTCACCCTTCTTTTGCCCTGAAGCATGCAACTGCACTCCTTCTCACCACCATGACTCCCGATCAGCGGACCTTCGAACATCGTCAAACATCGCTACAGCATCGACACAGCAGAGCTAGCCCGAACTGCGCCAAGCGTCCGCGTTCAAGCGCTACATCTTACACTCCGCTTAATTCCAGGATGTCGTTCACGCACTCGAGACGGTAATATCGCGCATTCTATAAACACGATCTTTCCAGTAGAAAACCGCCATTGTGAAAATGTTTCGCACGCATGCCCCTGCTAAACCGCACCTGAAGCACTTGTTGCGCCAAGCACGTCCCGTCGCGAGTTTCAGGCGCTCAGGCAGAGTATTCTGGAACACAGGATTGTGAGCATTGACGCTGCGAATTTCGACACTTGTGGCGATGATGTTGTGAAGCCGCAGAGTGCATGCGGGTATATATTCGTGTGTGGGAGCGACGATGAAATGAGCCAGCAAGTCTCATCCATTCTCAGCAACATTCACTACCACTTTCCATCTACATACATTCTTTAAGCGCAAGTCGCTCTTTTTATACACACGTACTTTTGATACCCACTTTTTTCCAATTCCATTTCTTCACACATACCAAGCAAAACCAATCCAATCCAATCACCATGCAGTCCTTCACTACCATCCTCGCTCTCGCCATCGCGGCCACCTCTTCCGCCGCCGTGCTCCCGCGCCAAGCTAACGCCCAGTCCTTCAACGGCGCGCTGGGTGGCATCGCGGCGACGCCTGTGCTCGACTCGGGCAACGCGGTGCGCCCGTTTAGCGTCAAGGGCGACACGTTTGTGAACCTCAAGGGCGCGCTGCAGAGGAGCTGCGATCAGCAGTTTAATGCTTGTGCGAATGTGGCGAATGCAGGGAACGCCGCGTTTAGCACGCAGGAGTGCAGTGCGCAAAAGAGTGAGTGTTCATTGCTTTGAATTTGAGAGAGACGAATGCGTGCTAATGGTTGTGTAGCTCAGTGCGATGCTGCGAACTAGAGGTGGACTGAAGTGTTTTGGTGGATTTCATGAGATACGACCATGATAGAGAGGTTGTGGCTGGTGTAGATTGGCTCTGCATGGATGTTGCGGTCCTACACACGTAGCGCGCCTTTGTGACAGCTGTCAGATGGAGCGGAGAATGAAATAATGTCCGTTCTGAAACTTTGTGTCATCAGGCTGAGCCACCTCGTGACAGTTGATATGCAGCACAAAAGTAGCACTGATGGAGGGGCATCTTTGCGTACTTACTTACCACCATGACAGCAGCGCAACGCTATTGTAGAAGGTTTTCAGAGAGTATCGGTACAAGTACTCGACATGCTTACGATTCATCCGTGTAAATCCAAGAAATAGTTGTCTTACTTTGACTCGTGCTGTAAAAGTGGACAAGCATTATCTGACAGTTCATAACTGTCTCACCAGAGGTGGGTTTGTGCAGTAGCAATTATGGCAGAATGCTCGATCCAGTTGCTCGCAGATTGTTCCGGCGAGCATGTTGGTCGTAGAGGGCGCGTATTGATGTAGCCTTTGGTTTGGGATTCTGATGAAGGGTCAAGTGGATCATTGTCCAATGCTGTTACTGTGCCGTGTTGGCAATATTGCGAGCACAAATTAGCATCGCCATCGGTTCAGGATCATCCGTATGATTATGCTGTTTCGACTCGCGCCTGTATTCCTGGGAATTGAAGCTCTACTTCCAAGGTTAAAATCTTCTCAGCCTCATCGGTGACGTGTTCGTTTTGTACCCACTCGCGCCGCGCTGAGAGCATTATCATCCGAGGCCAGGATACTAGCCATCTTCTGGTAGTCGAAACAGCACACGTCGCCAGTCAGTGCACGATGGGGATGTTTCCCCACGCAATCTCGATGGATACCAGCCGCAAGCGGCTACAGTAAATGTGCCACCAACCGCCAGACCGGGAGCTAAAACAACCCGAGCGTACGTGTAGTTGGTGGCGTCTCCATTCTTCCAATGGGCGTGAACGATGGCTCCAATGAGAAGCTCGACCACGTCCATGGAAGCAACCGATAGCCGCGCTGACTACGGCCGTCCCAGAAAGACCTGATCAACACACCGTTAACGTTTCGGTAGATGTTTATTGCCGAATAAGACGTTAGTTGCGAAGGCATAGCGGTAACAAGGCATTCCGCCAAGGTGAAGAAGATTGCCCAGGTGGCACTGACAGTAAATGAAGAAGGGATGCAACGATCGGTGGACAACGTTGCTAAAGCCATCAGCTCGAGCTAGGAAACATAGTAAGCACTAGCCCTATCATCAACGTAGGCGATTTGTTGTTGGTATGTTCACAACCAAATGCACAACTGCACATCGAAGACAGAATTTGGTTGTTATCGATAAGGTCGTCTATTTGGCAACTGCCATTCGTCGGCTAAATTTGAGTCGGAGGATCAGCGCTCCGCGCTTAAAATATCAGATCGTGAACTGCGCACGAGCCCTGTACCCCACCTCGAAGACCTTGAGATGAAGAACGTCTTCATCCCACTACCACGCCACTCTACATCATGCGTTCAATTCAGCGGCTCGAGATCCCGATCATGACTTGCTCGATCAGCATAAACAACCAACATCTCCAAACACTGCGCCGATACGTTCGTTTCAAGGAATGATGAGGCTCGAAGCGCCTATATACTGTGCCGCATCGTCATCATCTACCCAACCTCGTGCGGGGGCCGAATGCTATTAATATGCCAACCTGCATGATCTTTTCATAACGCGGCGGCAAGAGTGTACACTAGGCTAGCCATCTGGCCACGCCAGCGCTTATACTACTATTCTGTACGGCTACACCTTCACCGGTACCCGGCCTGATGGCATCCGACACCCACGCCGCACTCAGCCGCTTTTCTTGGCATTTATTCGTGGAGGCGGGCATGGTTTCTTGCGCCTAGCCTGACAGGTGAATGGTCGATCAGCTCGGTAATGCATCATCTTCTAGAAAGGAAGTGTAGCGGGCATGTACGCCGCAGTAAGCCACAGTGTTTGGTGTTTCGCGTACCCTCCAATGATAAATTTGGGTGGCGGAGGCGTACAGCAACCTGCATAGATTATAGTTGAAGGTAAGTACAACAGTGAGCGATTGCAGAAAGTGGTCAGCTTTGAACATTTCCTCAGTCTACCTTCTTCTCCCTTTTTACAGTTGCTTCATCCAGTTCGTCTAGTCTCTTTGATGCCTTACCCTATCTCTATTCCTGGCAGGTCATCGAACATGGTACGCTCACCGCGCAGCCCGGCATTCCCCGGTATACCAATCTACCTCGAAGCCCATGATGAAAGGGGAGCTTTCAAAACCTACGGCACCACCCCCACGACACCTACTACACCAGAGATCCTACCACACAGTAAACCGACCTACTTGAGCCCAGCACATGCCACCGTGACCCAGCCATCTCCCACCGACGTCCCAAGCCCAAGCCCAACCACAACGATCCAAACGTCTAGTGATCGATCCATCATCTGGCCTATTCCCGAACCGCCTCCGGAAGTAGTGCAACCACCCTCTCGGCGGCCACTCCTTCGCTTCTTTCCCACAGATCGTCCACGCGTACGTCTCGATGGACTCTCTGTCAGCACTACATTCGACAAGCGATCCTCGGAACATGGTCCTGCAGTGAGTGAACATAAATCACAATTCGGACTTGGCATCCGTGATGGACCACCGAAACCACCATCGATACGAATTCAGCCGCCCCCTTTCGAAAATGAGAAGGGGGAGAAGGGGGAGTCAGCACCAAATATTGCACAGCGTATCGAAGAGCGGCTCTGGCGTTACAGCTCCTCGGGCAATGTGTTTGAGAGGTGGCTGCTCGAAATCGTCAGTTGGCTTATCAGCGCATTATGCATGGGGGCTATCATTGCCGCTCTAGCTGTCCTCCAAGATCAACCAGCATCCAGGTGGCCACTCAATAAAGCAGGCCTCACACTGAACGCCTTCGTCTCCATCCTTTCTCGCATTGCGGGTGCTGCACTTCTGCTTCCTGTTGCCGAAGCTCTGGGGCAGCTCAAGTGGATTTGGTTCATCAGAGGTGATTCTAAGAAGATGTGGGATTTTGAAATGTTCGACAACGCTTCTAGGGGACCTTGGGGTGCATTATTGTTGCTGATACACACGAAGGGCAAGACCATTGCCGCCCTTGGGGCTCTCGTCACAATCTTCGCTTTAGCACTCGACCCATTCTTTCAACAAGTCGTCAGCTTCCCTGAAGATTGGACGCTACAGGAAGCAAACAGTTCGATAGCTCGTGCTGTACGATACGAACCAGAGATTAGTATCGACTACGTCAACGGACTTGACATAATAAACCTGGATCAGCACATGACGGCTGTCACTGATCCCTTTTTCGTCGGTAACGGAACGCAGCCGATACCCTTTGGCAACGGCTCCCGTGTCGACTTTCCGCTCGCTTGTCCCAGTAGTAATTGCACTTGGCCGACATACGACACACTGGGGGTGTGTAGCAAGTGCGTAGAAGTGCCAAAGCTTCTCGAGTTCGCGTGTATCTACACGACTGTCGACTGGACCTCAACGTTGAATAGTACGGTTTCTTCTTATCCGAATACTACAGTGTGTGGCTATTTCCTGAACTCTACCAGCGTGGACCCTATACTTATGTCGGGGTACATGGTTGATAACAACGGAAAACCAAAAGGCGAGGCTCTATTGATGAGAACACTTCCTCTACTTTCTAATCCTCTTCGCGAACCTCTCTGGGGGGCTGGCACCATCAACTTTAAGGAAATACGCAACCCAATCGTGGACGTCCTGATATCTAGTAGCGCCGAAGCTTCCGATGTCTTCGCCAACAAACCACCAGTGTTGCAAGAGTGCGTTCTAGCATGGTGCGTCAAAACTGTAAAGTCCTCTTATTATGTCGGCACATACAAAGAAGACGTCACTTCTACCATGATAAATAACACTTCCGGTCCACAGCCCTGGTCAGCCACTAAACTCGAAGACGGCTCTACTTACACGGACTATCTGGAGAATGTCACGATCGCAGCACCGTCAACCGGGAAAAACTTCTCGCAATGGGGGTGGGGCGTCAACAACGACACAATGTTCCAAACAGTAGTGATCTTTGATCGCATGTTTCCGGCATTCACTACAGTCGGTAATGACTCGCAACGAGTACTTCGCTGGAAGACGGGCCACCCCACTGAGGTCAGGACAAAACGACCTGATTTCAACCCTTGGTTGCTTCCCAACAACATCACGCAACACATGGATAGATTGGTGGAAGCTATGACCAATGTCATCCGGTCATCGTCCAGCAGTGAGCTGATTACTGGTGACGCTTTCGACAATGAGGTGTACGTTCGTGTGCGTTGGGCGTGGCTATCGCTTCCACTTGGTTTGTTGCTCATCAGCTGTGTGTTCCTTCTCGCAACGGTCATCAAAAGCGGAATCGAGAAGGAGTCAGTGAGCATTAGGAAAAACTCGGCTATTGCCACCTTACTCTACGGGTTTCCCGAGCATTATCAGAAAAAACTTGCAAAATCCAACTCAAAAGGCACTCCACGAGCCAGGGCAAAGAACCTCAAGGTCCGACTGTCTGCGACAAGAGGATGGAGGGCATCTGGTCTAATTTTCTCGCCGTTGACACCGAAGCCATCTAAGAATTTGCCACCTCCAGGGTGGATTTAAGACTTAATTTACCTTACAGAGAGGAACCGCCCTTCGAACATATGGATACATACAGAAATTAATAAAGTCCCTTCCTTTCATCTTCTTTACCAGCAGCTATGGAGTGGCGTTCTCGTGCCTAGACGTTCATTTGCCGTCTCTACAATCCTCCGCCAGGCGTATTCCGCCCTCGTGCCTCGATGTCGACTTCCACGGATCGTTCCTTCAGGCCTCCACCTGGTGTATTACGCCCTCGGGCCTCGATATCAGCTTCTACTGACCGTTCCTTCAAGCCTCCACCTGGTGTGTTACGCCCTCGGGCCTCGATATCAGCTTCCACGGATCGTTCCTTCAGGCCTCCACCTGGTGTGTTACGTCCACGTGCCTCGATGTCGGCTCCCACGGATCGTTCCTTCAAGCCTCCACCTGGTGTGTTACGCCCTCGGGCCTCGATATCAGCTTCCACGGATCGTTCCTTCAGGCCTCCACCTGGTGTGTTACGTCCACGTGCCTCGATGTCGGCTCCCACGGATCGTTCCTTCAAGCCTCCACCTGGTGTGTTACGCCCTCGGGCCTCGATATCAGCTTCCACGGATCGTTCCTTCAGGCCTCCACCTGGTGTGTTACGTCCACGTGCCTCAATATCAGCTTCCACGGATCGTTCCTTTAGGCCTCCACCTGGTGTGTTACGTCCACGTGCCTCGATGTCGGCTCCCACAGATCGTTCCTTCAAGCCTCCACCTGGTGTGTTACGCCCTCGTGCCTCGATGTCTGTAAGAGAATTCGGAACTGCTTCAACAATGGACCTCTTGCCGAAGATCGTAGGAAAGAGGTTGGTAACGGAAAGCGTATTACGACGATTCAAAACAGGTACATTGCGGGCCTTGATCTGTTCCTACGTCAGACGATATAACGATGATGGGTCTCAACAGTATGTCACTTACTCCTTCCATGGGCACAGGGCTCGCGAAAATGGGAAGCACGCATGAAGCGACGAGGAATAGAGTACTTCCGCGCATGATTATTGTACGATGATGTACAAAGTCAAGTACGTGTTGGAAACGATAGATGTGCTGCCGAAGAGGTGGATGCTTGCACTGCCAAGTACCGTTCGATGTTCAAGAGATGATACAGTTGTGGATGATCAGCTGGATTCCAGCAAGAACGTGGGACATACCGATGAATTTATCCATGGATGCAGTGCTACGACGAGCAAATGCATTCAGGCATCGCAGGACAGCATCATCTCCACCACCCATCCACGGCGCTTCAAACCGCGATGACCCCAGGCCGAATGACCGCCTCCAAAGCTACCGATTGCGTCTAGATGACAAGCGACATGTGTGCGCATTCACTGCATCATGCGGATGTTGTGCGATCATTGGAAGGAGTGGACCAAACGCATGACGGCTGAGGAACAAATCCGGCAAGGTGAAACGTTTGAGTGGTCGCAAGTGGAACACAAGGCGTTCAGGGCGGGCCTCATGGAGGCCCGAAATCACATCGCAATGGATGGAAAATCAGCTGCCATGTTCATCACACAAACTATCACAATCGCAAGCGCTCTGGGGGCTTTCAACAAGGCATTTTCAAAACAGGCGATTTTGGTAAGTACGAACCTTTGCCTGTAATATGCGTTGTGCTTCACAGTTGCTAGAATGATTTCTGACCAATCGAACAGCTTTCGGGAGCAGAAGAAGGGCTTGGCGGTTCTGGCCCGTCCCCTGGAGCCGAAGCGATTGGTTCTACATGCAAGGCCTGACACGCCAATGAGCCGTTTCCGCGACCACTTTCGCTACTCCTTCTACACACGAATCACGTCGGCGTTACGCTTTCTTCATCTCCTAGACTTTAGTTAATGGTCAATAAACTTCAGTACGGAAACCCCAGAACTTTCTTGTGCCTGGCTGTCGCTACTGCAATTGAACCGTTTGTGTGACGAAATACACGAGCAAGTATGCAGCCACAAGCAACAAGGGTTCAGCCTCGTGGATCCCGACGTCGCGATGTCACGCAGCCTTTACACCGTAGTACGTCCGAACTTTGACAATGTTGGTGCTAGACTGTGCACCCTTCCTGTCAAGTGTTGTTCGGGTACACTACCACGTTCGTTCGTCTATCATGTCTCACCATTACCATAATGCTACATTTTGGCATGACCTCGCTGTCCTAGCAGGTTCCGTGCAGCCCCCGACTTACGCAATATGGTGTTCGGATGATCAGGTACATGTACAACACTGGCCAATAGGAAGGCCACTGTAAGCGCCCCAATGTGGCATTGATGTCAGCAAGCTGAGAAGACAATATGCATCTCCTGCATAGTAGCCTTATCAGAACGACCTTGTTCAGACAGGTAGCCTTGCGATGATGTGTCGCCGTATCTCAAGAATTGAGCCGTCCAATGGCGCTACACAGGACGGCCCCAGCGATGTACAGTATGTACATACGAGCGCGAGTTGTCACCATGTAAACAACGCAAGGATCATCTTGATCCCAACGGAAAACCAATCTCGAGTCAGTCTCCAGTCCTGCAAACCTTTAGGGGCATGCCAGCTATCATTGCACGCGAGCGCAATGTGTTTGTAACGCAACGGGTCGCTACCTTCTCTAGCACTGGTAGAGCCATGATTTCGGTCTACAACAAAATGTGCAACAGATTGGATAAAGATGTCCATCAACCATGGATCGCAAGCACGGTCACGTACTTCAGCCTCGATTTCCGTAGATAGTAGCACTGTACACGTTGGTAACCAACGCTTGCGATCAGTTGACAGGCAAATTTATCTTATACCATGATTATGGCCGACTAGATCTAGAAAGCCGTGGCTGCCAATAGACGTCGCAGGGTCAAAGGACAAAATATGACTTGGAACACCGAGCTGGATGATTTGTTGATGACTACACCTCAATCATGACGATGGTTTATTTCAAAACACCTGTCATCTTCTAATTTTGCCATCCACCAAGTTGATGGATTAAGGAGTTGGTTCCAACAGAAGAAATCATTCAATATACAGAGGCCCGATGGAAAAGCTTGTCAACAACCACACGATTGCATGAGCGCATTTTTTTCTAAGCGCGTACAAGTTTGATCTACGGTATGTCCAAATGACAATGTGTCGGGTTGGTGCGCCCACATCGGTACGCTCTGTAGCCGCCGAGGTCTTGTCCCAGCGCCTACGGCCTCCCACCACCATATGCCGAACTCATACATGGCGCGAAATGCCCGTCTACGAGAGGCTGAAGCACGGCCATGATAGACAAGACCTTGCACCCACACTTCTCAATACCTATTTGAGACGCTCTGTTAGCCTATCGTTGCCTTCTTTATGTATTGTTGTCTCGCCGGCGCGGCGGTGCCCATCGTCACATTTGAGCTATCCTAGCATGATCCCCAAAACACTCGTAATTTCCTTTGTCGCCAATCGTTTCTTGTGATCACACGCATGAATTTTATGACTACAGACAGTTGACATTCGTGCCCTTAGCACTAGGACAAAAGATTTCGGGGACTGACATGAGTCCTCATCGTCCGCCACGCTCCAGTACGAGTAGTACATCACCACCTACCGAAGATCGTGGTGGAACACCGCCTCCAACGTATAGGTCTTCTCTCCACACCAAGCCCTCGTTGGATATCATCCCACGCATCGAACGGAAGCTCGCGCAGTACAATGCGTCACAGAACCTCTACAAACGGTGGCTGTTTGAGATCCTAAGTGTAGCAACGAGTGCTGTCTGTATAGGTAAGGGCCAAACTCGCCTTTAATTACACGTCATAAGCATCAGGATCTAAGATCTTGCAGGAGCGATTGTCGCCATACTCGCTGTGTTGAAAGACCGTCCACTAGCGCGATGGCCCCTCGGACTGACCGTCATCACTATTCTCTCCAAAATCGCATCAGCAGCGCTCATTCTGCCGATTTCGGAAGCTATTGGGCAGCTGAAGTGGTATTGGTTCCATGGTAAACAGTCTAAAGATGCTTTCGACTTTGAGATATTCGACAAAGCATCTAGGGGTGCTTGGGGCTCTGTTCTACTCCTGTTCCGTACCAAAGGAAGGTCACTTGCCGCGCTTGGTGCTCTTTTGACTGTGCTATTGCTAGCAATTGATACATTCTTCCAGCAAGTTACCGAGTCCTAAGAGCGATGGACATTACGCGGCCATGGGCTCGTACCACGAGTAGTCTGGTACGAGCCCGATGTAATGTTTGCATACTCGAGTCTCACTAATGGCCAGGAAGCCTCGCCAAATCAGGACCTGAAATCGGCGCTCCTTCCATTCTTTTACGATCAAAATGGTACTCAATTCTCCACAAGCCGTGAAGGCAGTCAAGCGGGCTTCCCACTTTCATGTCCTACCAGTAAATGCGAGTGGCAACCTTATTCAACTCTGGGAACTTGTAGCGCATGCATGGACATTTCAAAAATGCTTATGTACGCGTGTCTTCCCATGAAGATGGACTGGATTCTCAATGCTACAGGACCTCAAACAGAGAGTACCTGGGAGACTGGTAAGTCAGTTGCTTGTTGCGATTCTTGTGTGCCCTAAACCTTCCGCAACTTAACGCCTGGACAATGTAGCTTACTCACTAATTATATACGTACATTTTTATGCAAGGTCACTAACGTTTACACGACAGGTACGGCCTGCGGTTACTTTCTGAATGCGACAAGCACCTCACCGGTTTTGATGTCTGGTTATAGAGTCAGTAATGACAGCGAGGATCCGGCATATGGGGAAGCTTTATTGATGCGTACTCTTCCGCTCGTCACAAATCCAAGTAGGCAACCACTATATGGCGGCTCCATCAACTTCAAAAGCCTCAATCACCCAATCTTAGACGCTCTTATCGTGAGCTCACAAGACGGTTCAGCGGAAAGCGTGTACCGAAAAGAAACACCCATTGCACATGAATGCGTACTTTCGTGGTGCATCAAAACGATTCGCTCATCCTATTCGTGGGGTGTTTATCACGAGGACGTGGAGGAAACGATCATCAATACCACCCGAACGCCATACCCGTGGACTTCCAAATATATTCCCCACCTCCGCACAACGGACACAGATTATCACGGAAACATCAGCATCTATAATTCGGACAAAAGCCAAGACAAACTTGAGTATGGCCTCTCAAATAGCACGGTCTTTTCCTTTGTGACCTTACTTGATGAGATATTTCCATCCTCAATCACCGTCGCGAACGAGACAGCAAATGCCCTTTTGAAGATAAGGACCAGTTTCAATGACAGAGTCATGTTTCGAGCAGTGCGATTCAGTCCATGGCTCGCTCCCAACAACGTCACGCACCACATGGAGAGGATGGCAACAGCCTTGACCAATGCTATGAGGTCCGATTCCAGCAGTAGAGAATTTATGGAGGGTGATGCTTCTGCTCTAGAGACCTTTGTGAAGGTCAACTGGGCCTGGCTTGCTTTTCCACTGGCCATGCTCGTTTTGTGTGTCGTGTTTCTGGTCGCCACGATGCTCAGAACTTCGCGCGGCGAAAATGGAGAATTAGGAATCTGGAAGACGTCCGCCATGCCGACATTGATGTACAGTCTACCGCGAGACATGCGTCACGACCTGACGAAGAATGCGACATGGCGGAGCGAGGAGAGCGGTGGAGCGAAGCGGGTGAGAATACGACTGCTGCCTGACCAAGGTTGGCGGGTTTCTGGGTATATGTGCACATCGCCGACGTCGGACAGAAGAAATCGTTCTCAAGCGCCGCCTGGCTGGGTATAGTAGACGCATATAGATATATTCCAAACAGTGTTGTAACACCGCTTGCGAGCTTTCAAGTTGCACGCGGACTTGCACGTGCATGCTGAGTCATTAACTTAGCGCCTGGCGTTTCCGTCTTCTCGAAATGATTGCACTACCGCACCGAACTATCGTCACATTGCTACCTCGGATAAATACCACACGTGTCATTACCTCTTTGCCATGGCTCTTATCGCACAACCCGATCCATGATGATCGTGACACGTTGCTGCGCCGCAGCGCTAGAATGCATGTAGGAGCCGAAGAGTAGACCTGCGAACCCAGAGCATTTAGCGCCGAGGTCTTTCGCGATGCACCTATCCTAGGCGTTTCTGCTCGTGTTCAGTCCAGTACCGGACATGCTGGCTTACAACACTGCTTATTTGTGTCAAGTTGTAGATGCTCAACGGCTTATAGATGTCTCCACAGCGCCAAATGCTTTGGCCGACCTTGAGACTACTCAAGGTCGTCGGCGAGACTGCTAAATGTCCTCAGTTCCTGTTCACCGTTTGTCGTCAGCTCCGCCCCAACAGCAATGGCCGCCCCTACATCCTCCTCCCCGTTTCCGCACCGGTCACAAATCGTTCGACGTTCAATCTACGGCGAAGAAGCACAAAAGCTCATTGGATATTGCACAACGGTTCGAGCGAAAGCTGGCTGAATATAACGCGTCGCAAAATATCCTCAAGAGGTGGTTGTTTGAGGTGCTTAGTTGGTGTATCAGTGCTGTCTGCATGGCAGCCATTGTTGGCATCTACTTCCACCTCAAGGACAAGCCAATAGGTGGGTATATGTCAGGATACCTTCTGACAATGGCCAACGTCTTTGGAAAGATCGCCTCTGCAGCCCTCATTGTACCGACCTCCGAAGCTCTTGGGCAACTGAAGTGGAAATGGTTTCACGAGTCGAACGCTATGTGGGACTTCGAGATCTTTGACAAGGCATCGAGGGGACCTTGGGGTGCGGTCATGCTACTTTTCAGGACCAGATGTCGATCTCTCGCTGCTTTAGGGGCTTTCTTGATAGTCCTATTGCTCGCTATTGATACTTTTTTCCAGCAGGTCGTGAGCTTGCCGACGCGGTGGACACTGGAAGGCACGGCCGGCACTCTTCCCTCAACAATTCAGTATGATCCTCATCTTCCCCTGTTGTATAGAGAAGGAGGTCAGATGAGTGTCAAAGACAAGGACATGTCTCTAATAATTGAGACCTTTTCTTACGAGAATGGAACCCAGCCTGTATCCTTTGGGAATGGCACTCGGCCTGAGATACCACTGGTATGTACAAGCCACTTCCTCGTATAAATTCACATGTTTGCGAATGCGTTTGAATCTACTTTGAACCTCATTGCATACATAATTCGCAACCGCTAAATCTTCAACTCATCTAGTCTTGTCCTACCAGTAACTGCACATGGCCAGTATACGACACACTCGGCGTGTGTAGCCAATGCGAAGATGTCTCGACCGAGCTCACATATGCATGCTTGAATACCACAGTTGACTGGACGATCGACCGCGAGGGAGGCTATCGCGTAGAACTTGGATACCCGAACGCCACCATGTGTGGCTACTTTCTTAATGCCACAAGTCAAGATCCAACGATGATGTCGGGTTACCTCGTCAATAGCAACGGGACGCTGGGTGAGACGCTACTCATGCGCACCCTACCACTTAGTACATTGTTCGATTACACGCCTCTGTACGGTAATGGATCGATCAAGTTCAAGCATTACAGAAACACAATTACTGATGTTCTTATTGTATCCGCTGCAAATGGATCTGCGGAGACAGTTCGACGAGGCATACGTCCTACAGCACACGAATGTGTTCTGAATTGGTGCGTCAAAACGATGCGGTCGTCTTATTATAGTGGTCGATACAGTGAAGAGGTACTCCACAACTTTCAGAACACTACCAAAGGTCTTCATCCATGGGTGACGATCCCATTCTGGACCGAGAATGACAATGGCACCGATCTTTTCTACGTGCAGAATATCAGCATCGATCCGGGGATGACGCCACAAGGACGCAATATCACGGGTTTCGGTGTATCAAATTTCAGTGCTAGCTCCATAATCACAGGCTTCTCAGACATATTTCCAGCTGTCTACACACTCACTGGCAACTCGGATCCTATTATGAGATACAAGTTTTGGAACACCGGCCCTGCATCGACTCGCGTACTAGAGTTCAATCCCTGGCTCGCCCCGAACAACGTCACAAGACACATGGAAAGGCTCGCCACAGCCATGACCAACGTCGTCCGGTCAAGCCGAAATAGGAACATGATAAGTGGAGATGCATTTACCAGAGAGACGTTCATTTCAATTAGCTGGGCATGGCTTTCATTCCCTTTCACATTGCTCATACTCGGTTTAGTGTTTCTAGTCGCTACAATGATGAAGACTTCGAACGACGGAGAGCTAGGGTCATGGAAGACGTCGGCCATGCCTGCTTTAATATACAGCCTGCCTCAGGATGTCCGGAGGGATTTGGCGTCAAGCACCGAAGAAAATACACCCAGGAAAAGCGCCAGAAAGGTCAGAATCAGATTGCATCCGGACCAAGGCTGGAGGGTGTCAGGACAGCGGTTTGGATCGCCCACATTACTGTCGAGAGATGAACACCACGCTACCTCTGTTTAAATGAATTCTGCCGTTTCTTCATCCTTCTGAACTTTCACACCTGATCGGTGTTTAAACAGGAATCTAAAATGTCGAGTCGTTGTTTGTGAATCTGGCTGTCAGCACCAAGGTAACGCTGCGATGCTTACCATAATGCGCAACGGTCACCCGGATGCGCCTTTGCCCGGAGCAGCGAAAGCCTTCCACTAACGTTCACCACCACAATTTTCTCAAGACCTAGCCAGACATCTTCAGGCGGCCCTGTTTCGGTATCTTAGGGAAGACTTTAGTCAAAGTTGTCGCAAGCCAGCCGTGTTCCTGGGGCCATTTTGCCGATTACTGTGCCGCAGCGCTTAGAATGGTGCGTCCATCATCAGCCCAGGCGGTCATACCACAACATACAGCCGGGCGCTAACAATATGTTCTTGAGAGGCTCTTTAAATTCGCCTGCATACGCAAGCGTTTAGATATCGGGCTGCATGAGTCGTAATGGTCTGCACGCATCGATCTTAACGCCATATGCAGTTGAAATCAAGGTGCAAGACCACAGCCTCAGCCTCAGCTGGTCAGGCTTTCTCCGGGTCGTATGTGATATGCGCATCTTACACGCATTTTCCGAGCACTTGATGTAATAATTTTGTTGTCTGTAAAGATGCACAGCGATCACCCGCCACCGTACGAATCTTGCCGCACAGGATCTCGACGAACGACACCGTTTGCCCGCGACCCGATTTCGAGAACATCGCCATCTGAGTCAGCCTTCAACTACGGGCACAATCAACCAACAACAGACTCATTTACCAACACCAAGTCATCGCTAGATATCACGCAGCGTATCGAGCGCAAGCTTGCTGAGTACAACGCATCGCAGAATGCGTTCAAACGATGGCTCTTCGAAATTCTCTGCTGGCTTGCGAGTGCGTTGGCTATGGGTGCGATAATTGGTATATATGCTTATCTCAACGGCAAATCGATGTCACAAGCTGGCAAACTCCTCACATACACCAACGCCCTGGGGAAAGTTGCTTCTGCGGCTCTGATAGTGCCTACGTCAGAAGCGCTAGGCCAGCTCAAGTGGAACTGGTTCAGCAAGTCTAGGACCATGTGGGACTTTGAGATCTTTGATAAGGCATCCAGGTGGGCGGTTCAAATCTCGGATGTTTTAAGACATATACTAATCAGAAGACTGCAGAGGTCCCTTGGGTGCATTAATGTTGCTATTCCGTACTAAGGGCAGATCACTGGCTGCACTCGGCGCTATTCTCATCGTGTTGTTGCTCGCCATTGATACGTTCTTTCAACAGGTAGTCGAGCTTCCGGATCAATGGACGCTGCAGTCAATTTCTGGGACGATCCCCCGGGTCATCGAATACCGCCCCGAATTTGAGCTATCTTACATGTTCGGCTATGAATCGACGTCGGAAGATCGGCATATTGCCCCTATGGCCCGTGACTTTTTCTACAGGAACGGATCACAGCCGGTCTCCTATGCGAATGGTACTCGGCCAGATATACCGCTCTCCTGCCCAACGAGTAACTGTACATGGCCGCTGTACGAGACGCTTGCGGTTTGTAGCAGCTGCTCAGATGTCTCGGATGTGCTCAACAGTACCTTTGCTTGCCTTAATACTACGATCGAATGGAGCGCAATCTGGGAAGGGCCGCTTGATGAAGTGCCATATCAAAATGGAACAGTCTGCGGTCACTTCATCAACGCCACCAGCATCAGACCGACCCTATTATCTGGTTATGTACTTCCAGCGAATGGCAATAGCTCAAGTGGCGAGGCCCTGGTTGTCCGGGCAATTCCGTTGACCGACTTCGACTCGAAAGCCCCATCCTACGGCACCGGTTCCATCAATTACAAAGGCATCCGCTACCCTATTCTTGATGCCTTGATATCTTCAGCAAGAAATGGGCGTGAAAGTGTCTATCGAAACGAGCCACCCATTGTCCACGAATGTATGTTGGCATGGTGTGTCCACACCATGAAATCCTCGTATGAGTGGGGAACGTACAACGAAGATACAGTATCCACTTACTTCGAGCCTGTTCGCGAATCGGATCCTTGGCCATGGCAGACTTGGGACACTCCACGTGGAACATGGTACTCGTATACGGAACACCTGTCTCTGACACCACAACGCAACCACTCCCAGGTCGCAGAGATGACAGTGATAAACGATACATACAGAATAAATAACTACACTCAAACGAACATCATGAACTATCACGACGACTTCTTCCCTTCGTTCTATACTTCAGCGAATATCGACACAAAGCCTGTCCTTCGATACCAGAACTATGCGATGGGTCCTAGCGTGTACAAGCTAAATTGGAACCCGTGGGAACATCCCAACAACATCACACATCACATGGAGAGGCTAGCTACAGCTATGACAAACAAAATAAGATCGACTGGCAGTACTACGATGCTCGAGGGCAAAGCGTACCAGATGGAGCCTTACATCTCTATCCAGTGGGGTTGGTTGGTATTTCCTCTAACGCTCCTGGTCCTTAGCCTAGTGTTCCTGGTATCTACCATTGTCAAAACATCCGGTGATAGTGCGATGGGGATTTGGAAGAACTCGGCGATGCCAACGCTCATCTACAGTTTACCCAAAGAGACACAGCCCCAGTTCGCATCATCCTCGGCATGGAGCAGTGATCGAGGGGCACCAAAGAAGACACGCATCAGGATGCTACCGAACATGGGTTGGCGAGTCTCGGGCCATAGCTATTCACCAAGACTACCTTCAGGCGAGCGAGTACCTCGCGGCTGGATATGAGCCAAGCACTGCACAAAACATCTAATTATAATACGACCTATTCTCAAACGCACTTCGCTCGACTTTCTTGACCGTTTTCACAGGCGTTTTGGCTATAGTTCTCCACGACAGTCATGTATAAGAGTTCTTCGCGAGAGTATACGCAGACCGAGCATACCATGATGCAAGATATTTGCTTATGGCTTCTCTAGTTCTCATCTTCTCAATTTCTCAATACTCGTGTCATCATCCCAATCTCGCAATCGTGTGTTTACACTATTCGTCATCCGAATTGCGATGCTATCGTTCTAAGCTATTGTGCGCGAAATCTCTAGCTGCTAATAGCATAAAGAACGATGTTGGAGCTTTTGAAGGGGAATCGGTGAAACTAGGAATATTTCTTGATCGGCGTGGTGAGGCTGGGTAGTAAATGGTGTGGGCTGGAAGAAGTGCTTGCGCGAGGAGGGCCGGAGCCGGAGCAGCGAGGCTGAGACATCGAAACGCCTGAAGGAAGGCTGAACGCGGGGTAAGGAGAGAGTGACCAGGCTGAGGCATGTATGACACGACATTTACCACACGGAGATATGCTCATCGTGGCTATCCTATGCAGTGCCCAGTCCCCACTCAGTATCGCAAATACTCGCTCATGGCCTCCTTACCTATGCCTCTTACCCATCTTATATCGTGACTTGGAACTATTTTGCTTCGTGGCTGGCATAATGGATAAATCTACATCCGAGCCAACTTGTACTGTCTGTCTTGATCTTACCGCGCATCCTCATCCACTCTACGGTGACGAAGACCCTCCGACGGTAGCAGCTCTCGAGGCTTCTTCAGAACAGGGATGCTGGGGATGTAAGGTCATGGTCGATTTATTTCACACTCAGGATCTCGGCCACGGAGTTCAGTACTCGATACAGTTGTTCAGTCCGGGTCATGGGTTTGATCACGATATACGCGTGGCCATCTGGAATAGCGAAACAAACCCAAAAATACTATCGATGGCAACTCGGTGGTTCGACATCCTTAGTTTTCCAGGTACATGCCTCTGTTAAGCATATTGACTACACCCTGCTGACCACTTGCATTCTAGACAACCCATGTCCATTCCCAGATATCAGAGCTAGCTATCCAATCTCCGGTGACACAGGATCCGACGAAGCTCTTGCACATGTGTGTGGCTGGCTTGAAAATTGTGCAAAGGAGCACCGTAATTGTCCTGGCGTAGACCACAATACACAACTGCCAACAAGAGTGCTCAGAATTGCTGGACCTAAGCATGTCAGGCTTCATGTATCAGTACCGGGAGAATTCGAGCCCTACGTACGTCTTAGCCACTGTTGGGGTAAGAGCCCTATGATAAGGACTACTTTGTCGAACATGAAAAAGCACCAAGCTGGTATAGTGTGGGAAGATCTTCCGAAAACTTTCCAACACGCCATCGACTTCACACATCGCTTAGGCTTCGAGTACCTGTGGATCGACAGTCTTTGCATCATACAAGATTCTGTGAGCGACTGGCGTCACGAGGCGGGCAGCATGGCCGGAGTCTATGAGGGTTCAAGCTTAACGCTATGCGCCAGTCTATCTGCGGATTCTCGTGGAGGCTGCTATGCGATTGCTGAGCCTGAGCATCTATCTCGAGGCTTGCTCCTGACAGACTCCGACTCGCAATCCTTCAGAATACACACTCGTCAGAGATTGGAGCACATAGATCTCAACCTCCAAGATGGGAAAACCGGGCTTCCGTTATTAAGCAGGGGCTGGGCTTTGCAAGAACGGTTACTGTCGCCACGAACTGTACATTTCACCCCGAATGAATTAGTTTGGAAATGTTTACAGAACGCGGTTTGCTAATGTTCCCCACCCACCAAACTCAACTGGCTCAATATTCAGGTTGAGCCCCATGATTGGATGAAAACATCCATTGGACAAGTCTCTCTGTCGTGGAACTACGTTGTACAAACTTATTCGCGAACAAGCTTGAGTCTTTCAAAGGATATCTTCCCAGCCCTGCAAGGACTTGCCAAAAAGGCACCACCTACGATGGGACAATACCTAGCCGGTCTCTGGTGCGAAACTTTGGTCGTTGGCTTGAACTGGTCTGCGGTAGACCCGGAAAATCACCTAAGACCCAAGGAATGGCGCGCTCCCACTTGGTCGTGGGCATCAGTCATGGGACCTTTGTACACAGATTCGCTTGACAGGGAAAAATCCAGCAGAATGCCATCAATAAAGGTGATTGACGCGAAGACAACCTCCAAGGGAACTGATCCTACAGGTGAGCTATCATCAGGCGAGCTACTTATTAGGGGACGTGGTGTGAAGATGCAGGTCGTTCATGGTAGCGGGTCTGATAGAACTGGATCGTTCTATGGTTCATACAGAGGACCTTCACTCTCCCTGCTACATGGAAACGAGGCACTGGAACGTTCAAACGAGGTTTTCAGGACGAGTTGGGACTATGCAATCGCTGCGCCAGGTCCAGATCATGTTCCCGATGGCTCAGAAGTGATCATGGTAAAGATTTTGGAAGAGGTCCACAACTTGGGTACATTGTTGCGGGAGAGTTTGATTGGATCACGATTTCCAGTCGAATCATCCTGGCTTATCCTCCAAAGCAACAAACACGAACCAGAAGCTTTTGAACGCCTTGGTATTGTGCTTGGTATTACGTTTGCAAATGCGAGCGAATTTTTTTTTATCTACATGTAGAGAAAGCATATGGGGATAGTCCTGAGGTAGAGATGAGAATAATCTGAGTATGCATGTGGTTTGAGGACAACTGAAGCATGGTCTAAATAGCTGATCTCAAGGTGACGGAAATGAAGTGACCCCAACGTAGTTAGCATAGGCAGATTGATGCTGCAACAAGCCGAGAGAAAACAAGAAAAGGCAGTGTGTTGTGGATTATGTTGTTCGCTGCATGATCCCATGTCTTCCCAAGCAGCCCGCCCAGCAACGCGCTAACCGCATCAGTAGAATGCCTCGGCCCAAACCCAAACCTCAGCGGCAACGCCGACCGACTCGCGCGCGTATGTCATCCGAGCCGAAGACACCAAAGTTCCCTCATACATACCAGCTAGACCTTTCAATTTACACTAGAACCATAGTTCGCTGATCATCGTTGGACCTCATACAAAAAAGAGCTAGATAGAGGAAGTAAGAGCCAGGATACGACGACCATGGCGAACGCAGCAGACTACAAGCATGAGTTCTTCAACGTCTCGTTCCCGGCAGAATATGTTGCGCATGTCGAGATCAATAGACCGGAGAAGATGAACGCGTTCAAGGAGATGTAAGTGATCTTTGTTTATTTGTGGGCTGTCGTTTTGGGTTCGTGGTGGTGTCACATGCGCGGAAGAAGAGCTGGAGCACATACACACGCGCCATGTCTCTCGGAACTCAGATGTATGCGAAGAAGAAATGAGAAGAATTCCCATATGCCAAGAGCCAAAAAGCGTTGTAGTCAATTGTTTCCATCGTCTTCTTCACCACGAAGCACAACACCATGTGCCTCCATACCAATACTAACCCCCCTCCAGCATGTGGCTCAACCTGTCCGCCATCTTCAAAAAGCTCTCGCACGACCCCAATGTCCGCGCCGTAATCCTCACCGGCGCTGGCGACCGCGCCTTCACCGCCGGCCTCGACGTCCAAGCCGCATCCCAAGGCCAACTCTCCTCCAACTCCGGCCCCAGCGACTCCGCGCGCAAAGCCAACGGCCTGCGCCGGCACATCTTCGAGTTCCAAGAGTGCATAACCGCGATAGAAAAGTGCGAGAAGCCCGTGATCGTCGTGCTGCACGGCATCTCATACGGTCTGGCGCTGGACATGTGTCTGGCATGTGACATTCGCTTTTCAACCAACACGACTGCGTTCTCGGTCAAGGAGGTGGATATTGGTATTGCGGCGGATATTGGCACACTGAGCAGGCTGCCGCATTCTGTGGGCAATCATTCGTGGGTCAAGGAGATTGCGCTGTCGGCGAGGGTGTTTGGGTCCGACGAGGCGCTGCAGCATGGGCTGGTGAGTCGCGTGTACAAGGATAAGAAGGAGGCCGTGGATGAGGCGCTCAAATTGGGAGAGTTGATTGCGAGCAAGAGTCCCGTGGCGGTGCTGGGGACGAAGGAGATTATCAACTACTCGCGGGATCGGACGATTGCTGACGGGCTGAATTATACGGCGATATGGAATGCGGCCATGTTGCAGACGCAGGACATGAAGGATGCGATGCTGAGCGGGATACAGAAGACGACTCCCAAGTTTAGCAAGTTGTAGACATCACAAAATACTGCATGTTTGACTTGAAGAAATGGACTTGATATTTTCATTGACTCGGAGCGCCTGGATGCTAATACCGGAAGAGATTTGACCATGCCCAAGACCCATCCCGCGTTGAGCGTCACTCATATATCCCATGGCAATGCTACAGGAGATGTGGAATCATGGAATCATTCATTTTCCCATTTGCGCCTCTCGTCGACCCTACCAGCTTTAACAATACATTCGCTTATGCCCTTGACATGACGCCCCAGCAGCGGATGCGGTTGTCAGTGTAACCAGCGAACAGAGTCTGGCCGTCGGCGGACCAGGCCAGGGAGACACACTCGGGCTCCCGGCTCTTCTTGCCAACCTCCATGTACTCGGGCTTCAGCTCATCAACCTTGCTCTTCTTCTCGAGGTCGAAGATGATGATGCTGGAGGCGGTGGCGGCGCACAGCCAGTAGCGGTTGGGCGAGAAGACAAGGGCGTGGATCTCGTCACCAGCCTGGAGGGAGTAGAGGTGCTTGGACTCGTTCAAGTCCCCAGAGCATGGTGGTTCCGTCCCTTACCTCCGGAGGCGCACAGGGAGCCATCGGGGGAGATGGTGACGGTGTTGATGTAGCCGGTGTGGCCGATGTGGTCGGTCTGGATGCGGCAGGAAGCGAGTTCCCAAACCTTGACGGTGTTAGCTGACGATCTTAAAAGATTATGTCTAACAAATTGTGTGTGGACGCGTAATATCAGTAGTATGGTGTTGTTGTCTCATAGCCGAAGCTCTGAAGTAGCAAATACATAAGGAAATCCAGATCATCATAAAAAAGGGCGGAAAGTTGAGGAGTGTGATTCTACGCACCTTGACGAGCTTGTCCCAACCAGCGGAAACGATGACGGGGTTCTGGGGGTTGGGCGAGAAGCGCACGCACGAGACCCACTCGGTGTGGCCCTTGTCGGTGATGGTGTACTTGCAGTCACCAAGGGTGTTCCAGAGCTTGATGGTGCGGTCGCGCGATCCGGAGACGATCTGGCGGTTATCGGCAGAGAAGGAGACGGACAGGACGTCGTTGGTGTGGCCGACAAAGCGGCGGGTGGTCACACCAGTGGACAGCTCCCAGAGGCGGAGGGTCTTGTCCCACGATGAGGAGAGCGCGTAGGCACCGTCAGAGGAGATGACCTGTTCAGCAATTGTCAGCTCAGCGCCTCGTGCTTCCTAGCCAGCCAATTGCGTGCTGCTCTTGCTGCTGCTGCCGGTTCTACGTACGCAGTCGGAGACAATGTGGGAGTGGCCGTGGAGGCTCCTCTTGGGGTAGCCGTACGAGGTCTCGTCGCGGGTCAAGTTCCAGATGATCAGGGTCTTGTCGCGCGAACCCGAGAGAAGCATGTTGGGGCTGGTCGCATGTCAGTCTCGCGCATTGAAAAGCTGTAGATAGATGTGGTGGATGCGCACTTCTCAAGGGAGGTAGCGAGGGAAGTAACCCAGCCAGAGTGGCCCTCGAGGGTGCCACGGAGAACCAACTGCTCGGCCATGTTTGCGGTATGTGGCTTTTGCTGTTTTGACGTTGACGTGAGGTCTGGCAGAAGTTCAACAGAGTCGTCGTTGATTTTCGAATACCACCTGGTGTTCGAAATTCGCTTAGTGTTAGTGCCTTCCGTGCGCACACTAGCGTAGCTTCCGCCCCGCCAGAGCTGGCGAACGAGGGACGACCTGAACATTGACATACGCAGACTTACTTTCGACAAGAAATGAACAGGCTCGTGCTGGTGCCCCTGAAGTGAAGCGATTCTGCATATAGTTTTGGGCTATTCGATCTAATCTTTCGATGAACAGTATAGACTCGTCATAGAATCGAGGCTACCACCAGACGTCGGCAAATGTCCTGCCCGCCGTCTCCTAACGAGATGAGGTGAAGAGATAGCCTGTATATATTCAAAGATTTCCGATAGAATAGAGTAGATCATCTAGAGGTTACGTATACCCCCAGGCTCACTTAGGCTTTTACTAAGTAGACCTCGTGTGTTAAGGTGAGATCCATTGGACCTAGAAGTGTGGATGTTAACCTTTCAACCACATTAGCAACTATCCAAACATCTTCGGTGCAAGCTGACACTCATCCGGTCAGTTGATCCATCATTCAACATTCAAAGACTTGGAATCATGCCATCACGAGACTTGGCGATTACCTGAAGCCATCTAGCTTACTAAACTCCGTCCACCGTCGTCTTAACTCCGAAAACGCAGAAGCATAGATACAAGTCATATCTATATCTTGCTGCTCATTCCTGATCAATACTTCAAGAGACAACCTCCCTCATCTAAACTCCATCCCCTACTCATCCACCCACGCGAAATGTCCACCAAAATCCTCCTCCTCAGCGCCGGCGAACTAGGCACCGCCCTCCTGCCCCATCTCTCCCTCCCCCACACCCACCTCACCCTGGGTACCCGCTCGCCCCAAAACTACACCCACCTCCCCGTCTCCACCATCGCTCTTGACCTAACCTCCCCCTCCCACACCCTCGCCCAAACCTTCTCAACCTTCGACATCCTCATCAGCGCCACGGGCTTCGCCTCCTCCCCCTCCGCCCTCTCAAAACTCACGCACGAAGTTCTCGAAGCCGGCAGACTCAGAAAAGCTCGGGGCCAGGGCAAGATTTGGTTTTTCCCCTGGCAGTGGGGTGTGGATTACGACGTCACGCTGGACGCCGGGGGGTTGATGCCGTTGTTTGGTGCGCAGAAGCGTGTGAGGGATGTCCTGCGTGCTGAGGCGAGAGAGGCGGGTGTGCGGTGGACGGTTGTGAGCACGGGGATATTTATGAGCTTTTTGTTTGAAGAGTTCTGGGGGATTGTTGATAGGGGAAGAGGGAGTGGGAGGGTTGGAGTGAGGGCGTTGAGGGATTGGGGACATAGGGTTACGGTGACAGATGTAAGTGATATTGGGCGCGTGGTGGGCAGGATTGTAGCCGGCAATGTGGAGGCGGAGGATAGGGTGTTGTATGTGGCGGGTGAGACGGTGTCGTATGGGGAGTTGGCGGAGACTGTGGCGCGGGTGAGTGGGAGGGAAGTTGAAAGGGAGGTATGGAGTTTGGAGTATCTGGAAGAAGAGGTGAAGAAGGATCCCGAAGATGGTATCAAGAAGTATCGATTGGTGTTTGCAAAAGATGGGGTGTGGTGGGATAAAAATGGGACGGTTAATGCGGCGTTGGGGATGGAGATGATGGGAGTCGAGGAGTATGCGAAGAAGTTGTTCGAGGGTACTGGTGATTGTTGAAGGATGTATTACACTCTAACTCTTGGGTATTTTTGACACTCTTGAGACGCATCTGGGCATGTCTACTCGCACCGTAAGTCTGTATCCGGCGCAATGTTCAGTTCAACATACACATGGACCGCACAATCGCGCCTACAACGCCTCTCCCTTGATCCTCTTGACTCCGATAGCATTCGCGCCCGTCGCCGCGCCATTCCACTCTCCGTCACCACCACCCCTCATGAACGGCCTGGGTATATCTCCGCCATCATCTCTCTTCCTCTTCGAGTCCGTGTTCGCAGTCACTCTCGCGATGAATTCATCAAAGCCACTCATCATTCCTCCCATGTGCGCATCAGGACGGTCCTAGCGTCCAGGCGGTCCGGGAGGGTAGCGGGGAGGTGGTCCACCGGGCGGCATTCCCATTCCTCCAGGAGGAGGGAACGGTAAACCGCCGGGTGGTGAGCCAGCACCACCTGGCGGAGGGAAGGGGAATGGAGGCATGCCCATTGGGGGGCCTCCCGGCATGTGCGGTGGTGGGAAGGGTGGCATGTTCGGCGGCATACCGCCTGGGCCCGGGGGCATGTTTGGAGGTGGGAAGGGCGGCATGTTCGGCGGCATGTTAGGGGCTATCACGGTATCAGTTTGAGTTGCTGAAGATATGTGAAAGTCAACTTACGTCCTCCTCGACCCATGAATGGCGGTGGCATTCCGGGCATGCCTAATATTCGTCAGCAACAATTTATACACCCTCACATCGTCATCAACATACCTGGCGGCGGGAATCCAGGCATACCACCGGGCATGCCCATTCCCATCGGCGGCCCACCCATACCGTGCATACCAGCCATCGGTCCTCCAGGGAAGCCTCCGCTCAGATTCGCCTGATACAGCGGGTTCGCCTGGCCCTCCAAGTTGTACGCGTCCGTTATACTATTGATGACCTGCTGTGTCTGGTCGCTCGATATCTGCTCGTAGTAGGCCTGCACGTTGCGGAGATGGTTGCGGCCATTGTTGTGCGCTTTCCGCACGCTCATGCTGTCGTGGGTGAGGTAGACATCGCAGTAGTCGCAGAAGAACTTGGGCATCGTGGCGGCCGAGACGTATCCTATGCGAATGGGTGGAGTGATGGCGAGACGTGAAGGTTGGTGGTTCAGGCGCGTCGCAACAGCTCAAGCTCGAAGAATCTCGAAGTCGGCGCTTACTTTCGCCGACGGGCTTGGCATCCTTCATCACCAACGTCCGCGGCGCCTCCTTTGCAACCATACACAACCTTTGTCCATGCATCCATCCGAACGAGCTCAGCCCAGCTAGTATCATGGGCGTTGAACTTGACATCACGTTGGCACTTATTTGTTGGCGTCACATGTACATTGTACAGGTTTGGAATATTCTTGGATTTCATGCAAAAGCTCAGCCTACACCTACACTCTTGTTTGCTCTCGATCGAGATTGATACCCTCAGATGATCGACCGACGTGCGGCCACAGGTAGAACGCCATATATGGCATCATCTCTTCTCACTTGCTCTCAGAGCCCCCCACAAATTGAATTGCACTGCGCCTATACAACTTGTTAGCATGGTCGCACGTGGGAAGCAACTAGGGCAGAGTACGTACCTCCGTGCAATCCCAACAGCAGCAAGCATTACCGTTGTTAAACGTGCGGCAACCCGTGCCTGGATTCTGGAAGCAGGCCCGCTGGCGCGCCTCCAGAAGGGCTTTGCCCTGGATGATCTCGAGCCCAGAGGCGGAGCGTTTGATTCCGTCTGGAGCGCTGAGGCCTAGAGTGGCAAAGGCTGCTGCAAGGACGAGGGAAAGCTTCATATTGTAAATGGTTGAAAATGTGCGTGGGGGTTGAAGGTAAGTGAGAAGTAGTTGACGATTATTGAAGTGGAGTCGTGCACAGAGAAGATGGACAGATGTTTCATGTTATATAAACATCAACAAGACTCGTTGCCAGCATTCATACTTCTCAAATGCTGACGCTTCTGTTAATTACTACTTACGGCCAAGTTGCCAAGAAGGCCCGTTTCAGCATACATAAGACCGTAAAACCTGGGTTATGATGAAGTAGGTAATGCTCGTCAGTTGGAAGTCCGCAGAATGACGATGAGACCGATCAGTGCTGATGCTTTCCAAGAACAAGTCCCTTGGTTCCTTGCCTTATCTGCTTCTGTTGTTGTTGCAGTCTTTGTCCAACGTGACAACGTAATATCAAAGTCTGTAGTGCGCCCTTCCTCTCACGTCTAACTTCCAATGTACAGCATCCTAGTACTGAAGAAGATTGATTATGCTAGACATGAGTTTGTCGCATCGTTTGACAGCAGTGATGTTTACAAGCCATGAAACAAACTCGGGGATATTTTCGCTTCAGTTGCGTATACATCGGACCGAGTATATCTAGGCAGTGACTAGTCGATCGCCAGGCTGACTTTCTCTTCGATCATCACACACATCCGTCCTCGATGTCTGCTCCTGGGCTGAGTAGTTGCGCGTGATCGTCTCGATAGTGCTTATTATTTATATCGAAGATTTGTACCAAACCATGATGTCTAAGCTATGTCAGACTTATGATAAAGTCAATACGTAAAAGGATGCTGAACAACACTTAGTCTTTGCTAAACAAAGTTAATGTGTGTCGGGCTTCTGATATGTATCAATGTTTCTCGCCACAATCGCTGAAATACTGAGTCTTCGGGTCCTTTACATGTAGGTAAGCTTACCTAAGTTTACCGGCTTCTACGCTGAGGTGCTGCACACGTCAGGGTAAGTGCAGAACGTCAATTTACTTATATAGATTAACATTCTATCGCATTGCATTTGACCTGGCTTAACCTTATGTTAGTCTTACAAATGCTAGCTGCCCTTGTGCCTGCCTAACCTTTGAAATCTTGTCAAGTCTGACATAGCCTTGTTATCAATTAGGACTCTAAAACTAATCTAGCCTTGTTATGAAGACATGATTGTCTTAATTCAGGATATAAATTAACTTTCAAGATCATCGCAGTCATCTCATGCAGCTACATATGTTGGTAACACAGCTCTGCGCGGCACGGTAGGGAGCTTTTCCGGTCACAAATCGGTGTTACGAATTCGAGCAAGGAAACTCGTGCATCTTTCTGACAACACATTTTCATTGACTACAAATTCGTAGCCTACTTTCTAACTCCCCTAAATTCGGTAAAGGCTAAAACCCGCAGACAATCGGCCGAGCTGAAACTCAAAGAGGAACTCCATACGCAAGCGAACGCTTACTATCCTTCACTATTCCCCGAAACCGAGCTGGGACGATTAGTTACTGTAGGAACAAACATAGCGAACTCTTACATGAGCAATTGTCGCCATTGCTAATAGCATTGGGGTAGAGATTACCACGGCTCCGAGCACATTTCATTGCAGGCGCGCTATAGAGCTTGTTAATATTGTTGCATGCGGTAAGCAAGTAGTATCAATAGGGAAAGTACGTACGGGCGTACAGTCGGTGCAACAGCAATGACCACTCATGGAGATAACTCGGCAACCCGAACCTTCGCTGGATGGGCAATGTGCTTGCCTCGCAGCAAGATCGGGAGATACCTCAGCAAGGGTGCGTACCACAACTCCAGCTTTGTCTTTAATCTTGAGATTGTCGGGGGCACTGAAGCCCAGGGTAGCGAAAGCTACTGCGAAAACAATAGAAAGCTTCATGTTGAGAGTGATTGAAAAGAGGTTGGATAGATAGTAATGTAGTTTGTGAAAGATTGAAAGTAGCCGATGATTGTTGGAGTGATGTTCGAAGAGGATGGGCATGTGTCTCGTCTTATATAGACGTGATAGCAGCTTTGACAAGGACTCTGTTGACACCGTAGCGTCCGGGTATAGGGTCGCAGAAACCTAGATGTAAGGATGTCAAGGCCTAAAATATGTTAGCGCTGTGTTAAGCTACCTCAACATATGTCACACTAATGTTCAACCTACCTTAATATATGTCTGTCATAGTGTTCGTTATGGCATCTTCACATATTCATATCTTTATATCTATGGCTCTACATTGCGCGTTACGGTATGTCCTCTGCCAGTCTTACACTATCTCTCTTGCTCCTGCTGACTTTAGAATAGTCACGATGCCCTAATGACGGCCCTTCCTCAACATCAATTTGACCGCAAGGTTTGCTCTGAGGCAAGTCGAGCTTTGGCCAGCTAGCTATGGTGGATCATCTTACTTCTGAAGGCTGCAGGGACCCGGCTGGAATCAACTAAAGAACGATACACATCTGGCCGATGATTCCAGAATTAGCCAGCAATCAAAGTCTGCACTCATGCTTTCTAGAACCAGCTTCTTGGGGAAGGTTTATCGTTCTGTCTACTCTCGCTAAGGTTCATGAAGGTAGTTCCAGTGATCTTCCCTCAAAGCGGCCTCGTATCAATTTTTAAACCGCACCTTTCCTCGTGTGTCTACCTTGGTGACTTCTCTGACATACGTGACCAGATGATCCGCGAGCGAAGAAATTCAGCCATATGTATTCTAGACATATGGTGGCCTTGGTGATAGCTATACGATGCAACTGACCTTGGTGGGACCAAATCTTGTCAACAAGCAAGACAAGTACCCAGCACCTACCTCTTAAGCTTGTCTTGATACTTTAGACCTTAGATTTTATCTTGCTTGTCTTAACACCTATTAAGAAAGACAAGCACCACCAAAATTAAACCTCTTGCAAGCTATGACGTTGATTAGCTGATGTGCTAAAAGGAGGTGCTGCTCCTGCTAATACGGGTCCTCCCGAGCCACGGCCCGAGGGCCCCCGAGCTAAGACACACCCTAAAGCTCATTCACTGTACCTGCTCCTCTGCTCAGCCCAAGGTACCAAGACATTGAACAAGTCGCATGCATATATCCTTCCCCCCACATCCTCCTGGTCGCTAGGTATGGTATGCTCAGTACAGGTGATAATAGCAGACCTGTCAACAATCAAGCCTCATCAAGCTCTAATAATCAAGGTTCAAGTTAATGTTTCAATCAAGCGCAGAGGGCGAGGCTTAGTTGATAGCCTGCAAGCGCTTGTTAGGGCACGTGCACGACGCAGTAAAGGGGTAACTTTAAGATCACGGAAATCTTATCGCTAAGAAAAGACTGAGCCATCTATTGCTTTCGTCCATCGTCCACCGTATAATTCCATCCAAATGGCCGAACGCTACAAGTGAAGTGGGTGAGTGAGCGTCATCTCGGGTCTGAATCGGCAGTATCTAGATAGACAAGTAACGGCGAGGTTTGATTCCGCCTCGACGGAAGCCGTGGGGGAAACTTAGTCGAGCATCGAGCCACGCCCATCCAGTCAACATCCTCACAAACCATTTCGAATATCTGAGAACAGTCAGTTCCGCTCACTCACTCTCGGGAAATCCTCTCCGGAACCGGCCATGTACTCCTTCCGGTCATCACACGGGGTAGGGGTTTTTACTTGCTCTATCGGAGAGCTCTCTTGCTCATCCGGTCGGCGTCATGCTGTACATGACAGGGAATGCATCGAGTCGGACGGGGCCTACGTGATGCCCACGTTTGTGCGGAGTCTTTTCGGAAAAGTAAGGGCTAAGGCAAATACCAAGCTGACGAGCGTCTTGAGGTAGACGCTGATCATGCGCGAGGGAGAGGAGAAGGAGGCTCAATCAAAGAATAGAAGCATCGATTGATCCCCGGCGTCTTATTCGTGTTGGGGAATGCAACTACGCATGTATCGTCTCTGTCTTGATGTAGGGCTAGGATCATGCTGTTTTCGCCTTCAGTCGTTCGGGTATCAATCATCCCTATGCGCTTTCCGTCTCTACAAACCCAATCTTGCTTCTCCATCCCGCCTCGCAGTCTCTCACGACGCGCCGGATACATACTGCTTCCACAATGATCCGGGGAACTTTTGCGCGTCACTGTTTCCGCTACGCAACCTCTTCACCTATTGTAGCTAGTCAGTGAATTTCACTAAAGATCCCAATGCGCATGCTCTCCTCACTTGCAGATTGATGAGATGGTGATGGTATTTAGATGCTACGCTAAAAAACAAAATCTATCAATGCCAATGCCAATGCCAATGTCAATGTCATGGCGATCAGAGAGGACGTCTATCGCGGTCCCAACGGCCTCGGACCTCCAATCTGCCTCCTGCCGCCAAAATTGATACCACCAAGCTTATTCTGGTTATCACCACCCATGTAACCATATTGGTTGACGTCCCAGCTCTGGCCTTCACCAGCGCCTGCCGAAGGATCTTTTGCTGCGGCTGCTATAGCGCGTTGAGACTCTTCCCACTCCTTTTGGCGCTCGCGTTCACGCTCCATTTCGCGCTCGAGCAGCGATTTGGAGGCCCAGCCAGCGGCCTTGGTCTTGGTTTGCGCCGCGGCACGGCGGGCGTCCTCACCACGCTGCTCAGAGGTCGAAGTGAGCTCGGGAGGAATGTATGTCGTTGGCTGTGGCGGTGCAGGTGCGGGGTTAGACGCGAGGTAGCGATCTGTACGGCTGGGCTTGGCGTATGATGTGGGGTCTGGCAGTGGCCTTGTTGCAGGCTCTGGGAGTGGTCTTGTCGATGGCTCCGGAAGCGGTCGGGTTGGTAGAGAAGGTGGCGCAGGTTCAGGGAGTGGGCGCGCTGGCTGTCTTTGAGTAGTCTCCCACGCGTTACGCAGGTATGCGCGGTCGTCAGCCTGGGCCCACGATGCTGTGCTATCTTGTGGCGACGGTGCGCGTGGCGGTGGTTGTGGTCGAGGACGGCTTTGCGATCGTTCACGAGTGCGGCTCTTTGATCGCGAGCGCAGCTTTCTTCTCCTGCAGACGGCCCTCGCGCTCGAGCTGGTACTGCCTCTCACGCTCTTTCGCCTCCTCCAGCTGACGCTCGAGCTCTCGGATTCGGTCGCGTTCAGCGTTACCCTCCTCTTCCTGGCTGTTTCGTCGACTGCGCGGTCTGCTGCCCTGCTCGGCTTGGTACTGACTGAGAAACTGGCCCTTCAATCTCGCGTCGCTGCCAGCCCGCTTGCGCCGCGTCTCAGTTTCGATTCTCTCCTGCGCCTCGCGTTCCTCGCGCTGGCGCTGTTCCTCGTCCGCCTTCCACCTGCGCTCCTGCTCTTCCCATTCTCGCTTCTGTTGCTCGAGACGTTTCTGCTTGGCTTCCTGCTGCTTCCGGCTCTCTTCCTCCCACTTCTGCTCTTCTTCCACTCGTATCCGCTCCTCCTCTGCCTCACGCTCGGTACGACGCTTGTGTTCGGCTTCTTCCGCCTGCAAGCGCAGTCGCTCCTCCTCGGCGGCTTTCTCCTGACGCTTCCGCTCCTTCTCCGCGAGGTTAGGCACGTGGGGTCCAGCGCTGGTGATCTGCCGGCGTCCACCGAAAGCGATGCCTTGATTGCCTTGACTTGCACCGCCCATGTAGCCGTACTGGTGGATGTTCCATGCCGGCGCTGTTATACCCTCGTCAGTCTTCTTGCTCCAGCTGCTAACATTTCCAGGTGGCGACTTGGGGAGGCCGTTGGATGTGTATGAGGCGCTTGACCCTCCTGTGCGCGATGGGCTCAGTGCTGGCGCGGGTGGTCGTGCAAGCGGGTTGAACGTGGTCGAGCCACTGCCTGTACTCGTGGTGCTTGGTCCTCTGCTGCGCCCGAATCCAGGAGACGAAAGGCCTGTGTTGGAGAAGCCACCGCTGCCACCGCCTGTTGTTGTAGGGCTCATTACCCCGCCGCCACGCTTCGGGCCTATGGGAGAGGGAATGTTGGAAGGATTCACGGCGTTGGCGACTCGACTGAATGCTGTAATACATTGGAGGACCTGGGCAGGATCTTTGGCTTCGTAGAGGTCGACGGTGAGGAAGCGGTCGTGCGCAGGCATGTTGAGAGGCGGCATCTCGCAAGCCCGTAGAAAGTGTGAGATGTTCTCCATCTGTATGAATGGCATTGCCGATTTCTTGAACTTGACACCTGGGGTTGGAACTGCCAAATTGATGAGTCTAGATGCGTTAGCTTGTTCTCAACGTCCTAGCACAAGTAACCCATACCTGCACAGCGCAGTTCCGTCCTTCAGCGCATCAAGCAAGTCGCCGGGCGGCAGCCTGTCGCCTAGTACATCTTCAATCCAGCTCCGCACTTCATTCGCGGCTTTTGGCGTATACCGGTCCATCCGCAGCTTCCTCATGTCCTGGTCCAGCGACGTAACAGACGCCATGGTGGGCGAGTTGGGCGCAAATCGGGCTGTTGTTGATGTTTGCGCACGTGAAGAGAAAGTCGACGGGATGTATATGAATTGCAGTGTTGAGATGTAGTGTGATATGAGAGCAATTGGAGCAGCCCAGTCTATGTTGTGAGTGATAGAAGAGAGGTGCGCAGAGTGCGTGGCCGTGCAACAGTCTTGTGCCTTGATCTGGTGGTGATGCGTTTGGCGGGGAGTGGCCGGCTTATGCGCCCATGCATGCCCACCAGCCACATGCAACGTCATGTTCTGCGCGTCTTCCTCGCCATCGCGCCGCAGACAAAATTTATATCCAACACCACACAGTTCACAATGCCCAAGGCCCCAGGCCCAATTCTGCGAGCATGGTACGAATGGCGGATGAAGCGCTTCCCATGGCGCAAGAAGTGGCTTGTCGGTTCGTGACTGCCTCGAATATTGCTGCCCACTGCATCATCCTTGCTTGAGTGCTCTAACACCCCACAGGCTTCGATCTCCAGGGCAACACATTCTGGGAATTCAAGGACCAACTGCACGCACTGCGCAATCGCCGCATAGCAAAGTATAGCAGAGACACCCACTATGGCGATGTCAATGTGTCCCGTCCGTACCTTCCCTCACTCGGGGCGACTCTCGACTGACATGTCGCAGCGTCATGGATGCAATGGCTCCGCCACACCCGCTTCGACCCACCATCCATCGCCGAGCAACAGCAGGAGATAATGCGACAAGAGCGCATGAAGATGCTCGCCGCCCAAGCAGATGCGCGTTGGGCATCTAAGCCGTCAGCGCTGGATGCGCCCGACAAGCAGCAGCCCATGCAGATGCTACAGTCAAGAGACCCAGATAGCGGAGTGACTCAGATGAACGTTGACCAAGAAAGAAGAGATGAATTAGAGCCGCCGCGCACTGTAGAAGAGCAGGAAGCGAAGCCGCAGTCAGTCGTTGAGGACCCTGAACCACAGCAGATGCCACGCGACCCACCAGCGCCGCCCGCGAGCGATGCGCCTACTGCACCGCGGAAGAAGCCGAAGAAAGAGCACAAAGACTCGCCGTGGAAGCAGGCAGAGACCGCCAAAGACTGGCAACCGCAGGGCTGGACTCCCGCGCCGAGGAGATAATACCTGTCATGCAAATTCGACTTGTAACAACAATGTATTACCTTGTGCAATTCTCGCACTCTCCTATCGGTCTTTTAGCGCTATCATATCTTGACCTCAGATGTGGTCATGGAGGTGATCACTTCTCACCACCAGATTTTGTTGTGCCTTCTCAAGCTTCCAGGTTGTTCTTGGAGTATTCACACCATGAACTATTCAGAAGCTGCAGCCAGGCGGGCCATCGTACACTAAGCCAACATCTGCCACGTCCTGAACATGCGTCTCTTCAACGTACATACCGTCTATTCACATTCTCTTTTAAACTTCGACATTCTTTCTTAGGGGTTGTGAATGATTACATCGGGAGTTACATTCTTTCACAGCAGATTGGCTTTCTAGCAGCATTCAAAGTCTGGCCTGACATATTCACATATTATCAGCCTTGTTCACTCACCGATTCACAGCAGCTACACGTTTCGTTCGCGACCACGGCGCTGTCGCCTGTATGAATCACGCAACGCTGTCATATTCCTGTGTCGACTCTTGCAACTTCCATTCTTTAGCAACCATCACCATGCCTCAACTATTCTTCAGTAATCTTCCCGAACTCCCAAGAGAGATCATTGACCGAATCCTCCGCTACTGGATTGCGCCGCAGGAAATCACCCTTGGAAATGACGGAACCCTTGTTCGATACGCATGCTCCACTGATGCCCTCGCTGCATCCCTCCCTCCTGCAATTTGCGAAGAGTACTGGCGTGTCCGCTACCTCTCCTGGCTCAACGACGCGAAGACATTCACAAATACCAGTGTCTTTTACCTAGCCCACCACATCCTCTCCCAACACCCCGAAGCTAGACCTCACGCCCTTCGCCTCCCCACTCAGGGCACAACCATACGACTATCCGACAGCGTCCAAGCACTCATCCTGACCCCACACCCCTTGCTCCGCAACCACGGCCTAGAAAAGATCATCCTCGATTTCGAGGCAAGCAATTACTTCGAAATGTTCGACGTCCGCCTGCCGCCCTTCGATGTTCCCAGCGAGGACGACCCCCAAGAACAAGGCATAGCGTTCATCCTCCAGCACTGCCGAGACCTCACTCTGGTCTTCGATCACGCATATCGCTGGGCGCATCCATGGCTGGGTGTCGATCATCCCAACTGGCAGGAGGCGCGATATAGGCCGCGTGTATGCGACATGGGCAAAGTCATCGACATGATCCTGGAGGCGGGGTGGCGGAACGGATATTTACAGCACATTGGCAAGATTACGCTTGAAGGGGGGATTCAGGGGTGGGTCAGGACAAAGTGGGAGCGTATTTTTGCCGAGGGCGTGTATGAGGCGAGGAATGTGCGTACGGTGGAGAGGCCATGGGAGGTATATCCGCCGGCGTGTGAGTGTAAGAGTGGGTGTTGGGAGATTGGAGTGAAGAAAATGTGGTAGCAATTGGAGGGACGGAGGGTAGCAGAGTATGGCAAGTATATCGAAGTTCAGGGCCGCTTCATTCGCTATCGTCTATCATGTCTTCAGCTGCTAATAGGCCATGTTTAATTTTGTTATGTTAACAGCGACTTTCTACGAGTGGGTATTGAGAAGCTACGGTTGTAGCAGAGTGTGTGTTGGTTTCGACTATCTTTGGTGTAGATCACTGACTCGGATTGCAAGTAAAAATACAGTGAAACAACTACAAATGACTACAGCTAGAATATAGTGAGCGACTGCTTCTCGGCTGCGTGCCACGTCCTCCGACGAAAGCCAAAGCTCCAAATCCATCCCAAGAGCCCCCAGTCCTAATGAAACCCATACGTCGGCTTCGGATCCTGCGGCTGCCTCTCGCTACTCCACATCAGCACTCGAGCATCCCACAAGTTGAATCAGTTCACTTACCCGTCCTGATCTACGCCATTGTTCGCCAGCAAATTCGCAGTCCCATTAGGAAGCAGCGTAATAACATTACTTCAGTGCCAGCCCCTGAATCGTCTCGCACAAACTCTCCACCTGCCGCCAGTTCCCGCGCCGAGCAAATATGCGCCCAGCCCAGCAACATGTGGCGCGGACATACTCGTGCCCGAGATGACCGCCGTCGAGCCGTTGTTCCAGGTGCTCAGGACGTCTACGCCGGGGGCGAGGATATCTATTTCATCAAGTGAGTGTTGTGGTGGGAGAAGGGGGGATGAGGAGGGATAGTGTACGTACCCACGACCGGCCCCGTATTCGAAAATTCCGCAATCGTATCGTTAATCGTCGTGGCGCCGACTGTACATACGCTCGGCTCGCTGGCAGGCGAGACGTCGCGGGCGTCGCCGAATTCGTTGCCTGCGGAGACGGCGACGAACATGCCGCTTTGGACTACGGCTTTGACCTGCATTTTAGAGAATTAGACCTCGTGAGTAACTGCGTGGGGGGGGGGGGGGGGGGGGGGGGGAGTGCTTGCAGCGTCATTCAAAGCCTGGCTGAATGTTCCTCCTAGACTGATGTTCACCACACTTCCCTTCGGGCAGTCTTGGGTGCGGTTGTTGACGAGGAAATCGAGGCCAGCAACGATACCCTCGATCGTCCCATCGCCCTCTGAATCAAGAACTTTGACTGCGTAGAGTTTGGTGTTTTTCGCGACGCCGTATGTCTTGGACCCGATTGTGCCGGCGTTGTGGGTGCCGTGGCCGTAGGGGTCGGTGAGGTTGTCTTCGCCACTAGTATCGACGAGGAAGGTTGCGCCTGGATGTGTTAGTGAGGGGAGGAAGAGGGGGTGGAGGTGGGCGGACATACGGCCTTCGAATTCAGGATGCTCGATGTAAATGCCGGTGTCGACGACGTATGCGCAAGTGCCTTTGCCAGCGGTGTCGTCGTATGTATATGTAGTGCCATTCGTCTCGTTGCTTGAGATACGGGATAGGCCCCATGGTGCATCCTCCTGCGTGACGATTGCGTTGGAGTGGAATCTTGTGGACTTTTCGATATACTCGATCTACATGTCAATGTTAGTCATAGGAGAGATATAAATCTAGAGTACAACGGCACACCTGGTTAGAGTTCTTCAGACGCGTTGCCTCTTCTGCTGTCAGAGAGTTTGCAAATCCTCGAAAACCGGGCATGGCGTATTCATGACTTGCTGTGGCCTGTAGAGAAGCCCTGAGGCTGTCTACCGCGGAAGTAGTAGCGTCTGCTCTGAGCTTGACGATGTAACTTCCAGCGTCCGATACCGATTCGGTCGTCTTGAACTTGATGCTGTGCGAAGCGCCCAAGGAAACGAGTGCAGACAAGATGATAAAACGCATGGTGAGTAAGAGCGATATGATGGAGATTTTGATTGAAGATTGGTGTTGTCCAGCTATCTAGGTATGAAATGCTTTGGGAAAAGCCTGTACCTTATGTACGTGTACTTCGTGTAAGCTGGAACATAGAGGTGTTCACTCGGTCCCACGTTCTTTGCTGGCCGACAAACCCACTGGTTCCCCTCAAGGAACGTGGTGCAGCTTCTGACACTGAGCGAATACGATGAGAGGATCTATCTGACGTGTTCGCCCTCTTGTTGCCCACTTTCTTTCGGCCAGTGACACGTCTGGGTCCCTGCAGGAAGCCATGAAGCTAAATACTCGCCAAAATATACAGACTATAACAATCGCTGAGGTCGAATGTCTTTCGACCTGAAAGATTGGATCTTGTGGGGAAATGATGCGGATGCTAGGAGAACTGTGTTCTTCTGTGTAACATGGGGATGCCGCTTGTGTACTCAAGCACCGGTACTGCCTTCTATCGTTTTCACGAGTACAACCGTCTTTGAACAAGGCGCACCAAGGCCGAGGCAGCGGTTCAAAGAAGTGGTTGAACCACTGATTGAGTGCAGATTCGTTATCTCCAAATGACCCTTCAGAACACACGTGTGTTTCTTGAGTCGCTCCCAAGATTATGCAAAGCCAAGACCTGAGTAGCCAGCATACAACATCGGGGACTAAGCCTCGTTTAATTCACTCATCATTCGAATCAGATCTCTGAAAGAATCGCGATGCGCGACATCGACATCTGTTCTGTCCGACCGCAGGATATGTTGTATGGTTTGTGTCTAGACCCCATCGCCACGGGTCCCTGCTTATCTGGCAGGAATCATGCGTGATCCTTTTAGACGCAGTGTGATATTTCCAGGGGTTGACATGAACCGGTCCGATGGTTGTGTAGCTCTGCAGCCAGGCGTGCCAGAGGATCGCATGAGCTGTTGAGGTTTGCTGCCCCATCTGGACTCTTGCAAGCCAAGCAGAGAACTCGGGATGGCCGGGCATCGCGGTACATGCATCACGCGGGAACGGCGTTGGAGTGGGGAAAGCGGCCTTGGGAGCAGAACCCGTTGGACGATCTTGCATGCGCACGGGGCGCGCGCAATATATGTTAGCCTTGACCATATTACCGGATATATACGAAGGCAGTCTGTTTGGTGCGAGGCGCACCGTCAGTCTGAACGTCAATCCGATAAGAAATGATGGCATGCATGTCTCGCCGAAGCTTGCAGGGTGACATGGCACCGTGACAGCAGGTCCTCACCTTCGCAGCCATTGTTCGTCGGTGGCAGTGTCAAATCGTCCGCCAAGATGTAGATCGAACACATGCGCGTGACCACTCTAAGACTGCTGTAAAATCGAGGTCCTAGGTGTTCTCGAGAAGAAGAAAAATGTAAAAGATACCGTATCCATGGACGCTGGACGGCTGTGCCGTGCCACTGTGGCAAAGTCATTGGTGTTGATTCACTGCAATGATCGAGTCAAACAGTGGAATCGTTGCGTGTACAAGGAGGCACGCTTGAGATGTGCGTCGCCAGGCGATGCAAGGTCGCTTTGAAACAACTTGGTCGATATGGGTAGCCGCATCAGTGACTTCGTCAAATGAGTTGGTAATGCGCCTTATCAGGCGTCTTCTTTGCCTCCACATACAGACAATGGGTAAGACTCGTACGAGGTAGCAGAAAGCTTGGAATGGATGGAAGGGAATATGTGCAGCGCAAATGGTGTGCATAGACTTCCATTTATGTCGATTTTATACCTATGGTCGCGCCCTGCCCTTTGTTGGCGACAACTCTGTTGTTCCCTAAGATGCGCGCTCCAAACCACGCGAATGCATGGATGTCACTCAGGGCTCGACTGGGCTTTCCACAAAAGCGACCACATCATCGCGTGCAGGCAGAAGCGAAACAGAAAATTATTTCACAAAGACAGGGCCTCTATCGACATGTTCCGTCACCGAAGCGTGTGATGCTGATGGGGAGAAGGAAGGCAACAGGTTCGAAGCTGCCGACGAAATGCACATCAAGCTAACCACTTTGAGCTTTCCCCCACAGTTTGCGGAGAATACTTCAGCCTCCGCCGCACGATTGCCCACTCTCCCATCACAAATTACACATTAATCGCGCCCAGAGTGCCCAGAGTAGCCACAGGTAGCACGGACATGGCAAGGGAGTCCAGCAAGTCTTCCGCCAGTCTCGTTTGGCTATCCAGCACCAATCGCTGAGCCCCGACGCCAGCCACATTCGAAAGAACGGAAGACGGGGGTGCTGAACGATGCTCAAGCATCACGGAAAATTGAAGCTACTGCCTAGAACTTGGCATCCGCTGATCTGGAAAGCCAGACAAGGGCCGGCTGATACACGAAACATGCCAGATATATGAATCATATAGATCTAGAGAGCTTGTTTCGACGCACTGCCCTCTTCATTGCCACATAGTACAGATACGTTAAAGATCTACTTGGACTATATGATTCTGTTTTCGTCGAATCGTCATCGTTGTTACTCTTGATGCTCTGGTCGCGTGGCCCGCATGGTAGTTCACCGCCACTCTACCCATCGCTGTGGTCGAGAGTCCATGCGAAACATAATACTGTGGAGCCCGAGGATCTCACGGCGAGGTTAATGTTCTTACATCATCAAATTCCCGGCATCGAACGCGGAGACAATGGAAGTAGGGCACACTCCGTAGCTCCATGCAGGGAAAACAAAGGACTTGACGTGGTGCCGCCTCAAACCTGCAAGCTGCAAGGGTACCAACAAAGAAAAGCAATCTCGAACAAAGGCCAGCTGGCCCCACAACATGATGAAAGATGCGCAGGCTTTCGCAAGATACGCACTCGAGCCGCCACGGCAATCACTGATTCCGGACCTGCTCCGCTTTAATCTAAGCGCATGCGGATGAGTACAATGATTGCTTACCATGTTTTCGCATGCGAAATTGCGTAACGTTACTGTGTGATGCTCGTGGCACTGAGACCGATCGCATGATGCAATCAGCCGCACCCAAGGAAAAAGTCTTTGTTGCCCGATCTAGTTGCAAGGCGCTGCACCTCGGTGGCGCGAGAGTGAACAACGACAATGTCATGTCAATATGGCGTATAGCCAAGATATCACGATATCGAAAAGATCAACATGTTCTAGTCAGGCAAAGATTTGCATTATCCGTAGATACTAATTTCATCAAATAATAAGAAATGAAAAGACACTATGCTTCCAGCTCTACATGTCTTTGCAACATTGCCATGCGTGCAGTAAATGATTCGCTACAAAACGCTTAACCGCTGGGGTTGCCGTTGAAAGCAAGGTAGTTCTTGGTGCTACCCTTAAGACCGGTAATCTTGTCCTTAGTGGCGAGAGTAGTAAGACGGGTGGAGAGAGCGGCAGGAGAGATTTTGCCCTCGAGAGCAAGGATGTAGGCAGCAACACCAGCAACGTGGGGAGTGGCCATCGAGGTACCAGAGATGGTGTTGGTGCCACCGTTCAACCAAGTGGAGAGGATAGAGACACCAGGCGCGTGCATATCGACAAGGGTGCCGTAGTTGGAGAAAGAAGCAACGCGGTCAGAGCTGTCGGTGGCACCAACAGTGAAGGCGGAAACCTCAGAAGCAGGGGAGTAGCGCGAGGCGTCAGCACCATCGTTACCAGCGGCAACAGCGAAGAAGACGCCGGCAGTGACAGCATTGGCAACGGCAGAGTTGACAGCGGTGGACTTGGATCCTCCAAGAGACATGCTGCCGACAGCACCGTTGGGGCAGCTGCGGGTCTTTGCGTCGTTGGCGACGTAGTTGATGCCAGCAATGACACCAGAGTTGGAGCCAGAACCTGAGGCGTCGAGCACCTTGACAGCGTAAAGCGAGGCCTTCTTGGCGACACCGTAGGTCTTGGAACCGATGGTACCAGCGCAGTGAGTTCCGTGGCCGTTGCCATCGGAGTTCTGGCCATCACCAGCAAAGTTGGCAAGGAAGGTAGCACGTCCCTCGAACTCGGGGTGGGAGGTCTCAATACCAGTATCGACGACATATACGCAGGTACCCTGACCAGCACTGGAGTCGTAGGTGTAAGAAGTGCCGCTAGTCTGGCGGTTGATGTGGGAGACACGAGATAGACCCCAGGTGGAAGAGCTCTGGGTAGTGAAGGCCCTCTTCTCAATGCTGTCAATCTCGCCGAGGTTGGCCTTGACTACGGCATCCTGCTCGACGTACTCAACCTATGCGATGTTAGTATATTATCTTCAAGCTATAGGAAGAAACACTTACACCAGGGAGGTTGCGGATCAACTCAACGATGTCATCAGCCATGTCAGCGGCGAAGCCACCGAAGCCAGCAAACTTGTAGACATGAGCAGGGTCCTTCCTCAAGAGCTTCAAGGCAGTGTCGACGAGCTGCTGAAGGTTCTCGTTCTTCATCTTGACAATGAAGCGCCCCGGGATGGGAGATCCAGCGCGGGGAACGATAACTGGAGCGGGAGCCGCAAGTGCCAAAGGCAGAAGGGCGAGGAGGACTGAAAGCTTCATGATGGTGATAATTGAATGAAGAGGTCGTCAAAGCGAAAGCTGTTGGAGTTTGCTGGTGTTGGGCTGAGTGTTGCTGTGCTCGTTGCCTGACATTTAGAAGGGGTGACTTGTACTTCTTATATAGATGTAATGGATGTTTTCGACTGGGAGCGAGGAAGCAGAGGCGAATTCAACTTCCAATAAGGATTAGCCTACGGAGGTAGTACCGTGTGGCTTTAGGCCAGTGTACACACATTTACCAGGTTTCAGCACTGACGGGCGGCTCAACTGGTTCGCCGTTCTTTGGTGCCTAGATTGGGAGGTAGTACTGCTGGCCGGCACTGTTTCCTCTCAAGGAAATGCAGTAGTGTGTCAGAACGGACTACGAGGGAAAAGGAGGATAGACCTGTGTAGTAGGTCAGATGTGCACGTCTTGGCAGAATGCAGCTTAAATTAAAACCACATACTAGTCTAGTCTAGGTATGTGGATAAGGCAGTATGGGATGTCAACGTAGAAGGCGTCAATGTGGTGCGATTGGATCCAGGCTGAATGGATCTGCGGTAGTTTTGGCCCCTGTGCGCCTTACCGTATAAGGGACAGAGGCGGAATGACTGGATTGGTGTCTGGCCGACCATCAAATGAACATATCGTGCAGCATGACTTTGTTAGCCGGTTGCATTCGTGTCAATCTCATTGGGTCCTGGATTGGATGGCAGCAGTGGCCTAGGGCGGATCATGTCGCTTGGACAGGGGTGCACATTCACTGCGCAGGGCCATGAAAGCACAATTTCAACGTTTCGGGACGACCCGTCGTGACTATATGATAATGAGCGAGTTACATGTGCCGACGTAGCCGCCATGGTGAGCATGAACGGAATGCGCCTGATATAAAGAGAACAAAGAGTCATTGGTGTTAGACCATCATCTTTTGCTGTACGACACATTCCACCCGCTCAACGCCACCTGAGGGCTAGAAATGTAGAAATAGCAATGCGGGAACCGGGGGCGCCGCGTCGGGTTGGCTTTTCAGGAGCATGCTCTCGAGGTTCCCACACAGGAGGCGCCGACTTCATCACCACTGATAGGCCCACATTTGATTTGAGGAGGGTTGTCGGCCGCATGCAGCTACTAAGCGACCTCGATCCTTGCTCGGGAGGCGTGATTCCCTAGGCAGCCAATCGAAAGCGTTCCTGGTAGATGCATAGTCGGCCATGGCGGGAGTGGCATCGTGACCTTCCCTATGCGGTAGAGCGAGCTTACTCGATACTCCTTTGCAGTACGCAGCGGTCCGAGGTATTCGCAGTTTGTTCAAAGACTTCGACCACACGCGACAATCACCCTACTGTGATGACCCTTGACCTGCTGACCAGCATGCAAGGCCAACGACCAAGACCAGCTAACATTAAGCTTAAAAGCACGTAATGCACAAACCACCTCCTTGTTCGGGGTGTAGTTGATGCAGATCAATATACTCCCCATGCTATTAGCCACACTTCAGATAACAGGCGATAGCGGACCTTGGCATCTCGCGACGAATGGGGACAGCCGTGGAAGCATCGCTTGGCCAAACGCCCGACGGGATTGCTGATGCCTGACCGTTGAGTGGCGGTATAGGATGCCTTGAGGACATGCACTACGTCGGTAAACAATACATCGCCTGCAGATACGTTCCTCATGCCCGCTGTGTTCCTAAGACATGACTGAACGGTACGCGGTCAGCGGCATTAGGTGCTTCTGCGAGGCTATGCTCCACCTGGTGCTGGAGACCATATGCCGACGTGATCTTGTCGCGCAAGACGGCAGATGCGCCTCCGAGGCGGGAGTGAGGATCCTCCACATCACATCCGAAGGTCCGCGGATCTAAGCTGATCAGAGCTGGGGCAGCCCAGGTGGTGTCGCTCTGTAGATCGAAACTTGGCATACCCTTGGAACGCTAGGTGGTTCCTCCAGCCCGTTGCGAAATTCGCTGTTCGCCATCTTGACTCGCTGAGCGGGTCCTTCAAACAGCTAATTACAGCAATCGCTTGTTCCGTGTTGTGCGGTTCCGTGTTGTGTTGTTTCGGGGAAATTATAGACGGCTGGTGCTGGCGGGTCGTCGATGAAGGGGCAAAAACCTCGGGACCGGCGGACAAATTAGCACCGCCAAGGCCCCTCCCACGCTACGTCCAACTACCAGTTCACCAACAAACATGATCGACATCACCATCCATCTACGTCCAGATCTGTGGTTCCATACCGGGAGAACTACCAGTAGTACAAAGCCCTAAAGCATCATGTCATTGTTTCCAGGTATTCTTACACTCCACATCCTGGTCCTTGGAGCCGTGCAGGAAGACGTGTCTTCGCACACTTCTCGTGGCCGTCGACTTCAACTCGGTCACCCGGCTCTTCCATGACTCAGCTATTGCACGTTGCGATATCCTTGCATCGAGAGTCGATCAGATGCCCTTACCTTGTAAACTGATCATACTCTTGTACAACGAATCGCAGCCAATACATGTTCATTCATTCTTTGCTAGGTCCGGGTAGTTATGGAGGTTTGGCAAAGCAAGAGTCTGCCCACTCGACCGTTCATGTTCAACTTTTCTATTTCACTGTATGAGGCAGGTGGGCTTGAGAGGCTGCACGCCATACATGTAGTCTGACCACGAAGGCGCAATTGCAGTCCATGAGGTGCATCAAGGTCCGTGTTATTCCCTAGGATGCTTGAAGTAGATCATGTAGGCAAGCTCCACCAACCTTCCTTAATGTGCTGATGCTCCGCTGCTGCCAAGACGTCCAATCGACTCAAGCGCTTACGCCAAAGCTTGACCCCACACATGGCATGCATAGATGTCACATGAAAATAGCTTGTTCTAGCTTACACATCTTCCTTCCTAATCGGGACCTCACAAACGCAGAAGCATCTCGCTTCTAGTTGCATTATCGCGCGCTGCTATGCAGGTACGTTTGGACGGTACATTGTCCACTCATACAGGATCAATGTGCTCGTTTTGCCGATCAATTCGCGCATACTTGCTTGTTTTCGCGACTTACAAGATCTCCTTCCTAATTGAGAGCTAACCATCTCGGTCCTATCGCTGTCACTGTCACTGCACGCTTTCTTGTGCCATATCACCTGCTTTATCACGCGAGACTCGCCACCTGACAATACGATGGGTACCCAACCCGACTGTATGGCGCTCCCACCTGATGGACCAGGGTATTGCATGCTCCGTGTAAAGGTACATGTTGCATCCGCTATTGCGTCCGTTGTTGCATACTCAACGGCCGTTTCGGCCGGCATGGCGAGAAGGTCCAGCATAGTGACAATGTTATCCGCCAATCACAAAAACGTGCTCGTTGGATTTGTCGCCGGCCCGTCCCACATTCTCGAAGGCTTCCATGTGCACATGAACACCAATCAGGCTATGATAGATAAGCCAATACATTGAGTTCATTGGTATCTGATAAGGATATCACGGATCAGGATCATGGCTTTGATAGGCATATCTGTCAAGCGCGTAGTCCAAAACTTGGCGTAGTCTACGCGCAGTTGTATCTGGACTTCACAGCAATGCTTTTCGGACACAATTACACCAAAGTAGTGTATAAATATCGCATTGCCTGTGATGGGAAGGCATTTGCGTACTCGGCAACTCAATATTTCACATCTCTTGAGCGCTAGACGATTCTCGTTAGTCCAGAAGCGTACCACTGTCTCTCCCTCTCTCTGAGTTTTACACTATGCTAGACCTGGTAACACCGCCTCACTAGTCACCTCCGAACGAAACATGGGGAAATTGCATGTTATTCGACCGAACGGCAGTTGGAAACAAAATGACAGGTCCGGGACTAAGGGTACTGAGCAACAACGAAACAGTTTCACTAAGGCGCCTTGATTTGACGCTTGCGCCAATACGAAAGGCCTGGGCTCAGCAACAGCTGGCCATTATATTCACTTTCGGCATGTTCAAAGTGAACGAGTACGTTCGCCGACCAGTATACGGCTGCCAGTGGCACGCCATGCATGTTACATCGCCGTTGGAAGATCGAAATTGATGGCTTTGATGACATCCTGAACATATTTTATTGTCGGTATCTTCCGGCCTCTGCGTACCATCGATAGCAGGACTCCCGAAAATCGTTCCGCTTCAATCTCAATGGATAGCTGGGTCTGTCAGGAATAAACCGACAGCACCGCCTGCAACTTCAGAAACATTCTCAGGGTGTAAAATTCTTTCACAGCACTTCTTCGAGATGGAGCTTGGACCTCGATCGCAATTGTTTTAAACCCTCAAATTCAGTCAAATCGCAGCACTTTACTAAAATACTCCAAACAATACAGTATTAAGGAACCGCTAATGAGTAACAAGACTGCCAGTCTCGCGCTCAGAGGAGAAAATGATAACAATATACAAAGGGAATCTAGGGGTATAGCGAAGAACTAACAGATCTCCACCCGATCTTACACCACGCCTGCAGCGTACAACAACAGCATGCGCTCAAACGCCAGAGTCGTGCTGCTTGAAGCCTCGACTCGCCACCCACTTATTCCAGTTCGCACATGTACCGTACATCTCGCACGTATCCTTTACTGTATCCTTGATCATGCTCTGACCTTCAAGAATCTGCAGCGCGAAGCCCATGCTAGTGTGCCATCCGATGTGGCAATGCATTAACCATGCACCAGGGTTGTCCGTCTCGAAAGCAATGACCAACCACCCCGCCGCTGGCATATTGGCCGTGTCTCTGCGTGGCGGGTTCTGCAAGTTCAAAGGCTGGTCGGTATACGTGCCCGAGCCGGTGCCGAGAATCAAAAAGTCGTGGCCGTGAAGATGGATGGGATGGTTCAGCGGTATCGCAGACTCGACGATGATGTAGATCCACTCGCCCATCTTTGGCAGGTCGAGGATCAAGTTGCCTGAGTATGTCGGCGCGGTGTTGTTCGCCAGAACACGCACAAGTGTCGGGTCTTCATACTTAGAGTAGAAGGAGTCGCCGCTAAGATACCACTTGAACAGGTTGTCGGAGTTGGCGCCTACGCTAATGTCTTGGGTGAAGCTCTTGTCTTTGCTGAAGGCGTTTACATGAGCAGTTGGGACGAGCGAGGCAAGTGGCTCGTCGACGCACTCTCCGATATACTCGTACGCTGTTGATGATGGGGCAACGTCGCTTTTCGTGACTCCTGTGTAGCGTATGATACCTTTGACGTCGTTGGACTGGTGATTTGGCTGCGCAAGCTTCTTGGTTATCGGCGCGCATCCAGTAGTTGCCAGGCTCTTGGTTCGCTTTCACCAGTACCATGTATCGCTGTCCGATATTGATGTTGAGGATGTTGGTCTTGTATGGCACGATGTTGGTAAAGTCCATATTGATGACCTCGAGTTCGTGGTTATCGATGTGAAACTTCATGGTTCCCTGCATTGCGGAATTGATGATACGGAGCAAGTATGTCTTGCCAGCCTCAAACTTGGTGTCAAGCTCAAACCGTTTACCTGTCTGGTTGCGCGTACCTTCAACACCCCAAGTGTTCATGCCGTTGATAAGACCATTGTCCATGGTACGAGGTCCGCCGTTGATTGCGTCCTGCTCCATGGAATACATGGAGTCGACAGTTTGATGTGCCCAGTCCTGGAGCATAATGGTACCTGCATCAACGTCCCATGATGCGGATGTAGGACCATGGATAACCATAGGGCCTGCAACACCCTCCCATGCTTGGATAGCATAATGTGAATGGTACCATGACGTTCCGTAGTTAGTTGCAGTCCATTTGTAAGTGAAAGAGTCGCCCGGAGCGATGGGACACTGCGTAATAGCCGGAACTCCATCATGGGCAGCGTTATTGATTTGTCGAATTCCATGAAAATGAATGCTCGTTCCGTTATCCTGCAGCTTATTGTTGACAGTGACGACAACATTGTCACCCCAGTTAGCCTCAAGGAGTGGTCCGGGAACCTGACCATTCACAGCCAACACGATGCGAGGAATGCCATCTGGAGCAAGCGTGGTGTTGGTGACGTCGAAGTTGTAGTAGACAGTTCGGCATGTCTTTGGCGTGAACTTGTAGTTATCAGTTGTGTGATCGGCGCCACAGTAGGGCAAGGCTCCACTTTGTCCCTCGCAAGGTACACAGTCGGGGTCGATTTCTTGGCGCTTGAACACAGCGTTATCGGCACGCTTAGTAAATGAGTGCGCACAGGCAGATGCCGATGCAGTAGCAGAAACAAGCGATGAAGCAGTAGCGTTAGCCGAGCTTGCGATCAGCGTTGGTGTGATGATGGTAGGAGCAAGGTTTGAGTCCGCCTGTGAGAGCGCAGTTGGTGCTGGGTGCACGGCCGTGCTTTGCGAAATGGACTGCGTAGGACCTGAGGCAATAGAGTCCTTCAATACCAATGCGACTCCAGTGGGAGATGAGCTCTTGGATACAGAGATGAAGCCAGTCGAAATGGGTGCTGCGAAAGGAGGCTTGTTGAGAGCCGGAGTTGTAATAGGGCAGTCTCCGTCACACTTCTTGACCAGTCTTGCCCCAGCAACGTGTCCGGCATCGGTCTTGTCGCCGATACGGTCCTTGAGGTAACATGCGCCACCGGGTCGATATTGATCAACCCAAGAAACGTCGACACAGCCCGGCCAACGCGCGCATGCGTCTATGCATTCCTCGAGGCATTTTGTAATGAAGCCATTCCCAGACCACGAGATATCGCCACCGACGTGGTCAATACCACACTCGACCTGAAATTCCGCTCCAGAATGTGTCTTGTGTACGGTGTTGTTGGAGTTCGGACAAGCCATACCAGCGGCGCGAGACTTAACATGGTTCTTCTCATCATTACCATGGGTTGTTGGTAAGTGAGTGGGAGTCTTATCGTGGATGGTCTGGTTGGAAGAACTCGAATGGTTCGAATTTATGCCGCAATCGCCGAAACCAGGTAGACATGTCTCCTTCTGGCAGTGGTCGGAAGTGCTTCCACAAAAGTGGTATTCACTGCAGCATGACCCGAAAGTCGAGCCAGCGCATGTGTATCCAGTGGATCCTGCACATGTGCCATCCGGCGAAACTTTGCCTTTTGTGTCTTGACAAAATCCGAAAGCCATTTGGCAGCCACTTCCGCAATAATCGGAAGTACTGTGATGGTGTTAGCGTCCTCCATAATTGCAAACCAAGGGCAACTCACGAGCCACAACGGCCATCCTTGCTACAGCATCCACCAAATGGTGAGCCCACGCAGCTCATACCGTTGCCGCAGGTACCGTCTGAGCTAACACTAAGCTCCTTAGCAGGTCTGTCATGGGCTACCACGAGTGCAGACACTGCAAGCGCGCAGACAAAAGCTCGCCTGAGTAAAGACATTATCTAACCGAAATTATGGAACAGTGCTAGATTGGATAGGAATAGCGATCATAAATGACAAAAGCCGGGAGGAGATAATGATAACGAATGTGGTCCCCAGGTAGCTGTACCTTGAGTACTGGCCAAGAGGGAGACATCCGATCCTACTTATACCATCGTACTCAGTGTAGATAGGCGACCAGCCATGTGGAGAATGAACGAACAATGGTGGACTGTAACCGCATTGAATCGGAGCTATTGCTTGTGCTTGGCATACTACATGATGCGGGAGATCGGTCAATTAATTCAACGTTTAACGGCCGATCACATACGTCGCGCAAGCGGGCGAGAAAACGGAAAGCTATCGTTGCCACGATGTCTAACATAGGGTCCTGGCGCACCCTCAATAAGCTCTGACGTGGATCCACCTGCCAAGACATGGTGTCTGAGTCGATCTAATTGAGCCATTATGCGTGGCTGTATCGTACCACGTCAAACAAGATTGACCAAGTTCATGTGGCAGCAAGGCGGATGGCGAAGAAATTGTACATAGTTCACTGCTTCGTGAGACATGAGGAAATTGCGTAGAAAATCCGATGTACAAATCGGCCTGGCTGAGTGGTCTTGAGAGCGGGTAGAGCTATCGGGGACATTGACATGTAGATGGACAGTTCTGGGTTCGATCTCCGATGTTTCAATTTTTTTGCGATTTTTTATCCAGATACGGCAGAGCAACAGTGTCGGGCCTCCTGGACACATGGACTTCGGACGATGTGGATTTTGGAGCATGGAACTCCTTGTCTGAATCGCTGTGGAGCTTGCGGACGGGGGTCAAATTGTCTCTCGGGGGTATCAGGGTTACTACCACATTAGCAGTTGCCTCAGTCGGTTCCACAACGTTACTGCTACATCGCCCAATGTGCGACTTACGAAGGATGATGGTGAACACGAGATGTTCGTGTCAAAGACTCTGCAGTGAAGTGCCGGCATGCCCTAGCTCAACGCTATTTTCCGAAACAGGCTTAGTCCGATCGTGTCTTCTGGGCGATCCCTTGCGAGTTCTCCTTTCGCTCGTATGTCAATCTATCTTTATCACGACTACACGTGCCACCAGGATTTCTATTTCATCCTCGCAGTGAATTTCATGAGCTGCAAACTGTCGCAGCGCTTTTTCGTGCTGCTTCTGCTGAGGCTGCCCTCCTCATCAAGACCGGACACATTTCTTTCCTCTCGGCTTACACAGACCTCGCGGACGAGTAAACGAACGTGGATACTTACATTGCTTATCCCGTCTTGATGGTCCGTGGCGCATCATTGATCCAGTATCTCCACTTGGCGGGAGTGCTTGCCTCAGGTCCGCTCCGCTCCTCGCGCTTGCCAACGCTTCTCTGGGTACTTTTCGCGAGCACGAGCGCAAAGTCTCCGCTTCACCGGAAAGGCCTGCTAAAGTTCTGTCCACCTTCCAGGATTGTTACGGGGAACAACGAACCATTTGTGCGCTAGCTCGAATTGCTATTTTTGTGTTCTCCATTGCTTCATGAGGCTTTGAAAAGGACGATCAGATATTGGTTGAAACCTCGCACCCTTGTAGTCCATTGGGTCGACATGGAGCAAGAGTGGAGAATCGATTGAAAAGCTACCATGTGAAACTCGGATGAGGCTAAGAAATACTACAGCGGCTCAAAATCACTCAACTTCGATACCCTCGATATCGAAATAGTGTGGTAATGGGAAGTACTCGTCGTTGGTAGAATCACCAAGTCTACTCCGTACCCAAGGCAGATTCACCATCCGCGAAATTCCGCTTACGAAGCATTGGAGAAGCCATCTTTTCCACACTGTCCCGGGATGTGCAACAGCTGGAACGAAGGACGAAATTTCTTGCGACTTTTCGACGTAGGGGCGAAACTTGTCCTCATAAGTGTCGAACGCTTTGGAAGGATGTTCGTCTTCACCGAGCTTGCCCAATTCACCGGCAAGCATGTAGGCTCCCACAATCGCCAGCGACGTGCCCATACCGGTCAACGGAGTTGGTGCATACGCAGCGTCTCCAAGGCAAATGACACGACTGTGGGACCAGTTCGACATTCTGATCTGCTCGATCACGTGGAAATAAAAGTCCGGCGCTTGATTCATTGCGTCAAGGAGTCTTTGCGAGTGCCATCCCGCGTCCGCGAACTCGTTCCGTACCAGCTCTTGTTGGGTCTTCCTGTCGTGCCTACCAGCTTCGCGCCACTCCTTTTCTTGTATCGGGCCGTTAGGCATGATAGTGAACATGGCACGAGTCGTTCCTGTGTCTGTTTTAGTCCTTGTAATATGCAAGGCCTGCCGCCCATTTTATTCTTACCATGAGAGTCTGGCCGAAGGGCAACAATTCTTGACCTGAGAGCTACATATATGTTCCACATATTGTTGTCGCTAGAGATTCTCGGTACAGTAAAGTATACCGCATACATTCCTTTATGTATTGCTCGAACGGCTTCAGATGGGAAGCACTGCTTTCGCACCTTCGACCACTGGCCGTCAGCCGCGACTAGTATGTCATACTCATGCGTCGAGCCATCGCTCAATTCGACTTGGACGGAACTTTTGTCATTCTTCACCACAGTTCTGATTGTGGAATCGAATTTGTATTCGACGTTCGGGAGGTCTTTGGTGGCTCTGTAGAGAATCGCCGCCAGGTCTCCACGAAGTATCTCAAACTCGGAGCTCAAACTGGCACCTGAGCCTTCCAATATGGGAAAGGGAGCGAAAGGCGTTCCTTTAGAGTCGATAAATTGTGTTCCAGTCTCCTTGGTGTTGTGCTTTCGGACTTCGTCGAGGAGCCCCATCCGTTTGACAACCGTGACTGCGCTGCCTTGGAGGTCCACACTTTGTCCATGTGGAAACAAGGCTTTCGCCTTTTCGAGGACGGTAACGCAGGCTCCTCTTTTTGCAAGAAACCACGCCAACGTAGGCCCAGCGATGCCAGCCCCACTAACTAGCACGTGCATGTCGAAGGATAGGTGAGTGTCGAAGGTACGAAATTGAGTTTCGAGTATAGAAGATAATGATCATTTTGCTGCATGATCGAATATCTATTCTTTATATGCTTCAGTCAAGCATCCTCTTAAGAACTAACTTCGGCTTCGGGGCAGACGTAAATTCATGAAATGTTCGGGCGCTCGGTCGAAGCAGCATTTCGGGCGAGAGAGACTTGTACATTACACGGTTGATGCCTAAAGTGCAGTTGCTTTCCGATCAACTCTTTCGACCATCGCAACATATTTGATGGTGAGCGACTAGGACGAACATGCAGATTGGGTATTTCAAGCAAAACAATCCAGTTACGAGATGTGAGACGCATGTTCCTCCATGTCGTATTTACTACAGCTACAACATATCGCGTCTATTGCTGTTCATCAGATACGCGCCTCCCGTAATCTCGGGTTTGACGATTCAACCAAATGCACTAGTCCGAGCTCGAAATCGCACTGGCTGCCATGAACGCTCAATGACCACGACACTCAATATGCGCAAACTGTACTGCACCAAGATCTATGCTTGTACATTATAGTTCAGGAAAGATAATTATGTGGATGCTATCTTAAGCTATGCGATTTTGACAACTCTTGCACTATCATGACAAGCAACACGGCCCATGAAGACTTTCCGTCAGACACTATGATCAGATTTCGGTGATGGAGACCTTTAGTACAGCATACTTGCTGCGAAGAATCTGCGAAGAATTCCAATACACCAAGAACCTCAGCTTGGTCATGTCCTCCCGAACCCGTGCAACTCTGAGAACAACCCAAGCAACTTAGCGAGTACGTACAGTACTCTTCACTCACCCGCCGAGACTGCCCCGGTTCTAAAGTAGCGTGAAGTTCACAAGCGATCATAGTTGCTGCTACACAAATGATCCCCCAGACAGCCTGCAGTGGTGTCCATGCCGGCAACTGCACGGGCTCGAACTATACTTCCGCCAAAACGCGAACCATGAGCCAAATCGTGCTTGACAGCGGGCGAGAACGGGCGAGCTTGTGCCACGTTGTCTCGGCCGTTAAAGTCAAACACCTAATCTGCCGGGGCGCAGTCCCTGGCCTCAACCACGAGGGGTCGGTTCTAGAGCTACTGCAAGACATCGAATTCGTCATCGCGGGAGGCCGTGAGGCCTCGCTTAGCATGGCGTTCAATGGCGAAACAGGGTGCAAAAGTCAATCGTGCATATACGCCTCATCACTAGCAAGAACTTCGGAGAGGGTCTCAAAGCGGGGCATGATTTTCATGGATCTTCATTACTTTTGATGTTCTATTCGGGCCGGGGATAATCATACCCATTCGTCCCTTTCTTGCCTTTCTGAGGCTTGATCGTCTACTGTTACAGTGACCTGCGTGGTTTTGATTATGTCGTCTTGTGATCCGTGTATCCTGCTTGTCTCTGCTTCCAATATCGCGTAATCGCTATCTCCATCGCTTGTAAATTCTGATTTCGATGGCTTGCTCGCACTGTTTAATGGGTCGCTGAACGCTTTGAGCGCATAGCTTTGCCGTGATTTGGTATTGTTTGACGACATAAGACCATCAGGCAGAACTTTGCGCAGAATTCCATCAAAGGTCTTGCGAAGTGGTGGTAGACACGCTGTAAAAACGCCCACGAAGACTTCTGCAATCGCGTACACACTCAAGTTCACTGAGCTGTATGTCGGGTCTGGGGAGCTGTTGAGTGACTTCATCTCGTACAGCTTGAGTGCGGAAATTGTTGTTGTGCTGGTAAAACATTAGAAATCAGTCAAACTGTTCGTATAGACATGCTTACATGAGGCCGAGCAAGAAGACTATGCGGACGCCCCACACTGTACGCGTGTTAAGCTGTACGCGTGAAATATAGACCAGTGGTGTGATAGTGTATATCAAATCAGTCGCAATGTTCGTAGCGGCACCCATGTACCCTGCTCGCCCTGTCAGTATTGATTCCTCACGGTGTGTGATGTTTTGCTCACCTGAGATGACCTTTGGCTTTGTAGACCAACAACTTCCAGGCTGCGTTCCCAGAGCATCCCAGTGCTTCGAGTATGGCGTGCACTCTCCGAACAGAATAACTGTCGGAAAGACGAAGTTCAGACCTATGTGCACAACAACTGATGCCAAGATCAGTGCGCGAAAGCCTTTGGAGAAATTGAGCATGAAAATGTATGCGCAAATGCTCAGCTTTACCAGCGCCATTCCGTACAAGTTCAGTAATTGACCAAACCATAGGAAACGTAGGTATTCCCTCAAATTCGCTGGATCTTTGAAGACCGGATCCCATATGTGTTTGCCACCACCATAATCAGCCATTACATAGCAGCAAGCTGCGCCAGCTATGGCGAGAACCTGCATTTTGTCAGACGCCTGCAATCATATCTTTTTCTGACGCGTGCTTACATGTCCAGTCCAGAGTAGATGATCCGTCAACAAGAAGAAGTTCCGATTTCTAAAGCTCACAACTAGTCGGAACAGCACGAAAATCGAGCTGAAGGTTACCAATACAATAATTGGTATCTTTAAGGCGTTGGAACGACTGTCCAGTGGGAGATTTGGGGGAGTGCCTGGGATGTCCGACATGATGAAGACAAGCGACGCACGAGTACGCAAAAGTAATGACTGTGTGGTCTAAGCAAAGAACTTTGCAAGCCACGTGCGCAGGACAGATATGGCTTGAGAGGGTAATTTGATCTTGGGAGAACGGGACAAATGCCACGGTGACAGGATAGCTAAACTGTTCCGAGGAACACGCCGCCTTTCTATCAACGGCGTATGCAAACGTATAGCATCCTATGTGGGGTCCAGATCAACTTGCCTAGAGAAAATGGATGTATTCCGGCGTGTCAAAGCAGTGACTAGTTTTGCGTCACGCTTACAAGCCTCATACTGCGTTGCTAAGACCGGCCCTGTCATGGCTGTGAGGCGTCACTTAACGTTGCATTCCCGCCCGATAATGTGCAATGTAGATTCAACCCATGATCTCCAGCGAGCATTTCTGTGAACAGTCGCATGAATCTTGCTTGCATGAGTAGCAAGACATACACCGAGTCTTTTCCCTCCGCAACCTGAATGCGCAAATTGGCAATCTGGCCAAAAACTGTTTCAATGTTGTAGAGTTTTTCCCGTCTGGGCGCTGGATGCTCGATAAACTTTGTCGAGCAGATGCATTAGTCCAATAACACGGAGCATATAGCCTGGATCGCTAAGTGTTTCCTCAAGTGGCCGTGAGATCAGTCGAGACGCTAAGGCTGATATGCACCATTGCCAAAGTTTATATCAGCCACTTCGAGCCCCTAAGCCTACTAAGTCGGGCATACAGCCAACTGGGGAATGAGGTGGCGAAACCCGGTTCTTAGACCCATGACGGAGATCTTGTCAATATCACTTAGGGTCCTGTCAATGATACTCGCCGAACAGAGGCGAGCTGGGAGATAAAAAAACTGGTTATATCCTGAGTCGAGGCCGTCCACGCAGCCAGCTGAAGCTGACCGATGGATTGGTATCGTGAGACGGTCGGACCAGTCGTCCACCAGCTAAGCATCGGTACCGAACCGCAACAACAAGTGAACTAACACCTACTGAGCTGTACAGCAGAGAAAGCCAGGCCTTGCTGTAGTCGATCTACCCGTGGCGATGTTTTTTTGGAATACGTTCGCAGCGATTCAATGTGACCGTACAACGGCTGTTGAAGACACTGAACCTATGTCAAAGGCAGGTCAGCCGAGCTTAGACGGCCTCGAAGCTGGAAGTTGCTTGTGTGCGGCTGCAAGCTGGCGCGAAGATATTGAGCGCAAATCTGTAAGTTCAAAGTTCAAACAGCCACGCTGTCTGATCTCTGGAGTGACGAACCTGAGTTCCTCGCTTACACCCCAGTGACCCCCTAGCGGGGCTAGCGTCCACCTCGCGTTGATCTTCAGCTGCCGGCCCCTGCGCCCCTGATCTAGCCATCATCTTTCTTTAGCGTCGAGAAGCGGAGAGAATCTCCGCTGGGCTTTGCAGCTTATGCAAATCATACGATTCTGACAACCGCAGCGTCGTTTTGCCGAAACGGCTTCCAAAACGAATTGCGCTATGTGACCGCGTACCAAACTGCACTTCGTTCGCCTGGAGGTCTGGAGCTTTCAAAAGTGCTCGATCCGGCATTTCGCCTCAACCCGTGCTGCTCAAACAGCGGTTCGTCTAGGTCGACCGGCAAAACTTCGTACTTGCCTTTGATCTACATACGCCAGGCGACGATACTAGTCTGGAGCTGGCCCCGCAGAAGTAGCGGCACTGACAGACTATCTGTTCGCGGACACCAAATTTTCCACGTGGTGGATGGAGACTAGATAGGGCCTCGAGGCGCCACCAGAAGTGCGTGCGCGCGGGCGAACCAGATTATGATGCCTGTATCTCCCGAGAGGAGAAAGTCGAAGACTTTAATGATAGCCGCAAGCTCACACAGATCTTAGAGATCTTTTCCCGTTCTGTTGCTTTTGGTATCCATTCATTCATTTCACTGTCGTCAGTCATGGGTTCCCTTGTCCAGGCAATTTTCTTCTTCAATTCATTCCTTCCGAATACATGGTTTGCGGCAGAACCGCAGAGTAATTACGGTGAACAGAGCCTCAACGGGAAAACTTTTGACTACGTTATTGTCGGAGGTGGTCTTACAGGGCTCGTCGTTGCTAACAGACTGAGCGAAGACAAAGATCGTAAGTGTTGTACACTCCAGACCTCACTCTTCGCGTACTGACTTAGCTATAGGCACTGTCCTCGTTTTAGAGAATGGTGGTATCAGCGATGATATCTCGACACAAGTCCCGAGCTTTGCGAACAGCATCAACTCGCGACTGATGTATGATATCACATCTGCCCCAGATGCTAATACCGGTGGTAAGACATACCCAGTCTACGTCGGTAATGTTGTAGGAGGGGGATCAGTGGTCAACGGTATGGCTTTTGATCGTGCATCTGCTGCCGACTATGATGCATGGGAGCAGTTGGGTAATATAGGGTGGAACTGGAACAGCCTTCTTACATACTTCAAGAAGTCGACCACCTTCACACCACCAAGCCAAGCTCACGCACAAGAGTTCGGGATCACGTACGATGCATCTTACTACGGCACCAACGGCCCAGTTCATGCTTCCTTTCCCAATTTTGAATACGATGACACCAAAAACATTTGGGCTGCATACAAGGCTGAAAATATCGCTCTGCCAAAAGAGCATGCCGCAGGCCTTGCTGTCGGCGCCTTCTGGACACCTACTGCGCTACAACCCGACACCCAAACTCGGTCGTCGGCCAAGAACGCATACTATGATCCCGCCAAGAGCCGCAGTAATCTCGTTCTAGCTACTGGCAAGAAAGTCAACGAGGTTCTATTTGACCAAGGATTATTTTCCATGATCAGCCCCAAAGCCACTGGTGTCCAGTACGTATCGAAGGCCGATGGCTCTGTCGGCAAGGTCTACGCGAAGCGCGAAGTCATTCTTGCTGCTGGCTCAGTCTTTACACCTCAACTGCTCCAGCTGAGTGGCATTGGCCCAAGAGATGTTCTCCAGGCTGCAGGCATCAAAGTCAAGCGCGACCTGAGCTCTGTTGGTGCGAACATGCAGGACCATCCCAATGCAAATGTCATGTTCGATCTCAAGAACCTCGCCAAGGTCAACATTTTCAGTGGCCAAGATCCAGCCTCCAACCAAAGTGCATGGAACGATTACAAAAGCAAGAAGAACGGCCCGCTTACACAAGCCCATGGAAGCAGTCTCGCCTTCCTCAGCCTCAACTCTATCACAGACAAAGCTTCGCAGATTGTTCAAACAATCAAGGCTCAGAACATCCTCAGTGTTCTCCCCGGCATCTACAGTAAGGACCAAAACCTGCTTCGTGGTATACTCAAGCAACGCGATATCATTGCAAACCTGCACGCCAGCCTCAAATCAGCCGTTGGAGAAATTCCCATGACGCCTTTCGGCCTAGCCATCAGTGCTCTCCAGCGCCCCTTGTCTCGAGGCTCCATCAACATCGACCCAAAGAACAAGTACGGCAACCCCATCGTCCAGTTCAATACCTTCTCAAACCCTGTTGACCGACAAATCATTGTCGAGATGGTACGCTGGACACGCAGACATTGGGCAAAGAAAGAGCTCGCCATGTATTCTCCGATAGAGATCTCGCCCGGTGCACAATTCCAGACTGATGACGATATCATCGATGCGCTCATTCAGCAGAATGGCCTCAGCGCGTCGTTTGCGCACATGTCAGGCACGTGCTCAATGATGCCCGAGTTGTTGGGTGGCTGTGTTGGAAGCGACCTTAAAGTCTATGGCACGCAGCAGCTCAGTGTAGTTGACGCGAGTATCATTCCTTTAGTCCCAGCAACGCATCTACAAGCTACTATGTATGCTGTTGCAGAGAAGGCAGCAGACATCATCAAAGCGCGCAATGCAGTTGGCGATTTATTTCCTACATTTAGGTTCTGGCGGAGGTAAACCACATTCGTTTCAAAAGTTCTCGTAGCACAATGCAATTCAGACATTCTTTTACATAGACACAAATATCTTTGCTTTGGCTAAAACGCTAAGTGTATCCTTCTGTCTTCGCGGCATGACTTGGTTTCGTCCCCAACTTCATCACCGGACTGTTAATAAAGTTCTCTAACCCATCGTGCGTGAAGAACGTCTGCGCTTTCGAGATCTGCACCTCGTTCGCGCCGCGCTTCCAGATGCTCTCGTCGTACGCCGAGATAGCGTCTTGCAAGGTTGCAGAGCCTGCTTGTACGGACCTAAGGGCCTCAACGAGGCAATGTGCGGAGTAGAATGCGTTGTTTGCACCTTGGCCGCGATCTAGATACCTTTATTAGTGGCAATACATGCCAGTTGAGTGCGTTACATACGGAAAGTCATTGCATGTGCTGCGTCACCGCACAATGTGACTCGCCCAGCTTGGTTGTTCCAGGGTACTGTTTTCCAGATCTTCAGTTGATCTCTGAGAACTTCCGTGTCTTCTGGTATCCATTCGATTGCGCTTTTGTATGGCTCCGCCCACCCGGCTTTTTTTACATGCTCTTTCAGCCGTTTTAATCTGTCCGTCTCATTGTCGTGATCTTCAACAGACTTGAGTGGCCACGTTGACAGAATTTGGAATGTCCACTTTGTCGGATCGTCTTGGTCTGGCATGTCGAGGATGTTTGCTCGAATGTAGTGTCCTGCGGGATGGATGGCGATGTCGACGAGTGGATGTAATCGCTCTTTGATGAAAAGTGCTTGCTCGGCTGTATATGAGACGTTGAAGTTCATGAGCGCGAAGGGTAGCATGTCTGAATCCGCTTGCCGGCCTAACAAACATTGTCGCACTTTCGACATGGCACCGTCTATACCAATTACGATATCGCCCTCATCGGTCGTGCCATCTTCGAACGTGACTCTGACCCCACCGTCTTCGATCACTTCATACTTCTCAAATCTCTTCCCGTACTGTACATTCAACTGCTCAGCGAGTAAGACTCTGAGTTTCCTGATGTTGATCTCTCGTGCTTTCGGAATGGGAAATGAGAAAGCTTTATCTTTGGTGCTACCATCAAAGATGACGATTCTATCCTCGCCTATTGCTGCGCAGTCGACGAATGGATCGACTTGACATGAGTTTATCTGCGCGCTCAGCTCTTCCGGAAGCATATCAAACAAGTATGGTCGAGCCCAGCCTAAGGTGAACGCCCAATGTCGATGTCGATACACGTCGGCGCCCTTGTCGTAGATATTGAATGGTATGTTGGCTTTCTTGAGGCCGTGAGCAAGTGCGCAACCGGCAGGTCCTGATGGATGAGTTAATACGCTCCGATTTTGCAAGATAAGGAGTAAACAGACCCGCTCCAATGATGATGACTTTCATGTTGTAATCGATAGAACCCATGGCTGAGTGAGGAGTACAAATGGAGCGACTAGCAGATTGAATGGAAGACTTAATGCTGGCTGTTAGCGTGTTGGAAGCCTATTCTTTAGATCAGCGACTAGCTGCAACGAAACAAGAGCAAGTGAAAGTGATCTACATCATGCCGGATCTCCGCAACTTAGTGCACGTTTGTCATTTCTGACGCGTCTACAATTGCTTTATCATTTGTCGCGCGACTCGCATCGCGCTCATGTCTCGAATTCGTATATGGGACATTCAGGGGAAATCCGCATCAATTCGCCTCAACGTTTTTCCCGACAGCAAAACACACCGCAGCCCTAACAATCTCCCTGACCACTTCAACCTCTTCCTCGGTCCTCGGGGCGTACACCATGATCCAGCTAGGCGGTGCTAACCACGTCACCGGGAACCTTTGCCCCCATCCTCTGTTCATCACGAGCTTCGCATCCTGCGGACTGACATACACATGTAGCGAATTCTCAGAAGGATGCACATGCGCGACCTCGAAGAAAATCTTGTGCGCGACTGGGTTGATGCTTTTGACATCTGGCTTGACGTAGATGGCTGATCCCGTGCCTCCTTCAGTTTTACTTGGGCCTTCTTTGATATACGACGAGTACGCAGGCGTGCTGGCGAATTCTCGCATCAGGTCTTGAAGTGTCATCGACGCAGCTGGTGTGATCTTTCCGGGTACTTGTCGCTGCGGCAAAGTCCAGTGGGTAAGAGCCGGTCTGTCGCCAATGCGATCTGGTACCTTTTGAGGTTTGATGTAGGATGTTCCGGTGTCGGGTATTGGTGATGGATCAAGCAGATTCTGGCGCTTGTAGAGCAGATAGAGGCCCCATCGTTGGATTTTCAAATAGCCTTGAAGCGTTGGTGGCGTACCGCCGGTCCCTTGAATATGTCAGGTAATGATTTAGATGGTATTGAGATGAACGCCACGCACCCGAATCCTTCCAGTTGTTGAAGTCGTACCAGAATGCCACGCCTGCAGCCACTATACCAGAAAGAATGTACTGAGCTGTCGTTGCAGCCATTACAGATATTGTGAGATAGTTGTGTCTCGAAGCTAATCGTATTTCAAAACCAAGAGCCAGGAGCGATCGTCCTAGCTCGTGCTTACAGCTAGTGTGAAGTATGAAGTGTTGTTTCCGGGCGTGCCGGGTAACGCATACGCTAGATTTCGGATCCCCTCGCGTTACCCCCCTGACGCCATCACCATCATCCCCACAACCTGTGACACTATCACCAGGTACAATTTGCACCATTGTACATTACCCTGCGATAAGCATGGGCTCAATGATTTGGAAAGTTAGCTTGACGTTGAGGCTCAAACATCGTCACCTATTTTGAAACCTCAGACAGCAACACCAAACGATGAAACAACGCGAAAAGAGCTAGGGAATTAAGAAACAAAACAACCAGTGCCTCACCACCAAGGCTACAAATAAACACAACGCCAATTTTGGACTCGTGTGTCCTTCGTCTGATTCTTTCTCCTGGAACAATAAACATCGTCGTGCGATCACGTCGAGTTCAAGAAATCCAATCCCTCTCCGTGCAAGATACCACCAAACCCAGGGATCGATAAATATCTTCTTACGATCACACCGACATCAAGAAGATCCAACCCTCAACACCAAAATGCCTTCCCCAATCCCCGCCCCCTTCCTCCAAGCCCTCCGCCTCCTCATCCGCGCAAACCACATCCTGCACCAACAAGGCCTCGTCGACGCCTTCGGGCACATCTCGATCCGCCACCCAATGGACAAATCCCAATACCTAATCGCAGCCTACGACCCCGGCGCGCCCGCGCTCGTAAAATCCCGCTCCGACTTCATCGCCTACTGGATCGCGGATTCGTCGCCCGTGGACGCGTCGGCGCCGCAGGGCTACAGCGAGCGCTTCATCCACGGGGCGGTGTTTAAGAAATTCCCACACGCGAACTGCGTCGTGCACAGCCATTCCGAGGCTGTGATTCCGTTTACGCTGGGGAGGCATGGTGTGAAGCCGGTTTTCCACATGGCGGGGTTCATGGGCGCGGACTGGTGTCCGATGTTCCGCGCGGGCGAGGCGTATAGCAGTATGAGGGAGTTCGAGCCGGATATGCTGGTGAAGAATCAGGCGCTTGGGACTGCGCTCGCGGACAAGATGAGCGATGAGCAGCCGGTTGTGCTGCAGCATAAACACGGTTTCACGACGTTTGGGGGCAGTGTCGAGGAGGCGATTTACCGCGCCGTCTACACGCAGACGAATTGCAAGCTGCTTGCGCAGGCGCTGGCGGTGGAGAATCTGGACTGGGAGCGCGTGGCGTTTTTGACGCGGGAGGAGGCGCGCGCCTGTAGGATTATGAATGAGAAGTGCCAGGATAAGAGCTTCAGGCTGTGGTTGAGGGAGGTGCAGGTCAATCCGCTGTTTGAGAATGAGGAGGGGGAGCCGGAGAAAGGGGAGGTCGCGGGTATGAAGATGTGAGTAGATATTGTGGATGAGAGGTGGATAGGAAGTTGACGGAGTGTAGGAGAAAGCACAAGTCTAGGTCGAGTGCGCATAAGTCGAAAGTACTGAAAGAGATGGAGGAGCCGGAGCCACCGATGCCTGTGCCAGAGACTGTGGCACATACGGCTGAGCTGCCAGTTCTTACCGCGAAGCCATCGGCATCAACGATTCAGCCAGCGACACACAGGACAGCACTATCATCATACCCGCCAACACCCCTGGTACAACCATCAAGACCAGTCCTGCGCCCATCATATCAACTAACTCAAACACGAAATCCATCTTTCTACAAATCAGCCCCCTCGAAAGGCCACTGCGTAGACTGCGGCGTCTATGTCCCCTGAACCAAAAGCAAGCAAGAGATAGTCATAGTCATAATAATCATAATATTAGGGTATCAAACTCCATATTCCATCAAATCTCATGACTTGAACTCCACGCCAGGCGCGCCCTCACACGCACTAATCTCCCCAAAATACCACAAATGCGCATCAATATCGACTCCAAAATCCCCCTCGTTGCCCTTAAGATTCAGCGTGCCCTGAAGCACATTGACGTCCGCCGGCGTAACCGCCACATCCACACCACTCGTGACATAATACTCGGGGCTGATGTGTCTGAAGCCCAGCAGCGCAGGCGGCAACTTGGGCACAGGATCGTTCTTGTGCGTGACGCGGAACGTCGCACCCATGGTGGTGTTGCTCAGGTACTGAGAAATGCTCTCGAGCCCGATTTTCGGCGCGCCGTAGGTGTACAGGTCGACGGTTGTGCCTTGGCTGCGCAGCACGGCGGCGGCGAGGGACGCGAGTGCGCCACCAAGGGAGTGGCCTGTAGCTACGATCTTGTAGTCTGGGTACTGGGCTTTTGCGGTGGCGATGGCAGCGAGCACGTTGGACTGCGCTTCGAGCCAGCTGGACCAGAAACCCTTACTTGCGAGGCAGGTTGGGCAGATGGTTGTGGGAATGGTGGGGAAGACGAGGTTGGTGATCCAGTTGCGGATGCTGCGCGAACCGCGGAAACTCAGCACGATGAGCTTGTTGGTGGTGTCGGTGGCGACGAAGCCGGTTATGTCTGTGGCGATGCTGTTTTCGAATTCGGTCAGGGTGTTGGTGGATGCGGATTCGACGAGCGGGCAGTTTCCTTGGGCGCAGGAGAGCTTTGTGTTGGGCGAGTTGTTGTTGGACAGGCAGTACGCCGCGGCTGAGTATTGGCTGAAAAATTGAAGCTTCGAGAAGACGTCGTTGGAAACGGCTGGGAAATCTGTTAGAATGTGTGGGCGTTGAAGATAGTAGGTGACATACCTCTGCCATTGAGCTCGACGGGAGCTGCGGTGACAGAACCAACTGCACCGAGCAAGGCAGCTGCTAGGCGTAGGAGAGGAGACATGGTTGGTTTTATCCTAGATGTTTCCTAGCTCTTACTCAAATTACTACAGCCGATATGAGAGCAGTGTACAGACGCGAAAGAACGAAAGACAAGCTCGCAACCCGATATCGAACAAATCTCGCGCGCCTTCACCGCGGCTTTATACATCCCAACGACTAGTCAAAGCCTAAAGCCCACCCCATACCCAATCTCTCTATTCATACTAGGAGCGGTACTGGGTTGTGGTCGAGATGTACATCCTTGTTCTGGGCCCGCAGCCCCCCATGTCTACCTTCACAATCCTCGGCCACCAAGCATTACCCGAGGACCATGTCTATTTTCAGCGGTATCCCCGTGTCTGGATTGAGCAAAGTTTCTAAAGTTGACGGCCGTTTTAGGCAGTCGTGGTGGCAAGAATGCCGACTAGCAACAGTAACCGCCGAGGATGTAAATTCAGGTCACATCGTTGGCCAGACGTTTAGCGCCGGCATGCCGCGAATCCGACTTCGGAACGCGAATGTGTTTGACAGCGGCATATTCACTACTTGTCTCCGTCTGCTGTTCCTCTGCAGTGCCGCGTGGGTGTGGGCCACAGTTAAGTTTGGTGAAGCCAGTGCGTGCGAAGGCCCGACTTTAGCAAAACGTTTGCTACTGTTGGATCACTGCCCCATTGGTCTCCACTTACCACGCGATCTGGTAAACACCAAGGGTTAGCCCAGTCCAGCTCAGATCAATTGCCGTGTCAGCCTTAGGAACAAGCCTTCCTCGGAAGCCGTATCGGGGATTGATAATCGGTCAGCTTGCTCTCACTGCTTCAAGATCTGTTGCTCGCCTTGCGCAACGTATTTTCGCAGTTGTGTTTTCCAAAAACATATCACCTCCATACTAGTCGCTGCCCAAGACTAATTTTGCGGGGTAACTATGACGGCCATATGTATGCTCGCGTGACTCCGGACCACGTAGCGACTTCAGGAAGGAGTCGTAGAGAACTATCAGTGTCTAGGGGCGGAAACCGTAGAAAAGCAAGAAAGCAGCTCGGCATCGTCACTCATCTCGGTTAGCGTGGGTAGTAGTTCATGCGCTGTTGTAGATCACCAACATTTCTGCTAGGTGGCGGATAAATGCATCCCGTAACCGACTGAGGAGACAAAGTAAACAGTAAATGGTGGAGATGTCACAATCATGCAGGGCTTATTGATCGATGTGATGGGTGGTCAGCTGGCAACGGGCGCACTTCAGGAACAGGAATGGTGGGCATGTTTGCATATTGGTGGCTGCATCGCTCCCGGGCTGCTTTTGTGATGAATTTGTGTATTCCCTCGGCTCGTCACAACTAGCAGAGCTCTCTCCTTATTGCTCGTGTCGCGAGTCGTGTACCAGATCCAGAGATGGCTGATGTGGAGAACAACGTGGCCTGCCCGAGGCTACCGCGATAGTGTCTGTCCCGCGAGCGTGCTTCCGTCGGAGATTCGCCGTGTCTGTACTGGCTTGCGAACAGACTCCCAAAACCAAGTGTCTGGATTCTGGAAGATATGGGGAAAGCGCTTTGACCCGGGCGCGACCGGCGGAGCGGCAAGGACGAATTACTGAGGAGGAACGTAGGGCTTCACCAGCATCTCGCTGAACCTGGACAAAGTGTTAGCGAGAGCACACCCCTCCTATGAGCGCGACTTACTTTTCTAGTTTCTCCTTTCCTCGCACCTCTTCGACCAGCAGCGGCATCTTGACAACGTTGAACTCGTCGTACAGCTCCTCGATCTGTTCCAAGTACTTCTTCTGCATCTTTCTTCGTGCGTTGCACTGCTCGCATGGGTTGTCCTGCTTGGGGAAGAGCAGCTGATTGACAACAATTGAGTGCGTGTCGATCTCGTAGCTGTTGAGTTCCTGAATCATGCGCTCCGTCTCGTACAAGCTCAAGAATTCCGGAATGCAGACACAGACAAATGTCGTGAGGTCTGCATCCTTGAACTGCCCGTTGACCTCTGAAATGGTTCCGCGCAGTGCCTCCATCTTCTCAACCAGCTCATCAATGTTTTGTCCATTTGGCAGTCTGCCGCCACCGCCCAGGAAGCTGTTCAGCATAGGCCCAAATTGGCGCGAGAGTTGTGAGACCTTGGAGAGCGCCTTCTCCATAACTGTGGGGAATTGGAGGAAGCGGAGTGTGTGACCGGTAGGTGCGGTGTCGAAGATGATGACTTCGTATGACATGGACTTGACCTGCTTGAGGACTTCGGCGAAAGACATGGCCTCGTCTACACCGGGGATCTGGGACATGTTAACTTGTTGTGCCGTGTGTATCGACTATTGCAGACGCACGCTGAAAGCCAAATCCTGCATCATGTTGCCCATCCCACCGAGTCCTGCCATGGCATCCTCTCCGCTCTCTCCACCACCTGCTAGTAGGTCTTGTATACTGCCGTTGGGGTCAATCTCCATGGCGCTCAGGTTGTCGAAGCCGTTGATGAGTCGCGCGTCCTTGCCAAACTTCTGGTTGAAGGCATCTGACAGGTTGTGCGCTGGGTCGGTGGAGATGAGGAGGACCGACTTGCGGTGTTTTGCGAGCTGTATAGCGAGAGAGCATGATGTTGTTGTCTTTCCTACACCACCCTTGCCGCCAACAAATATCCAGCGAAGCGTCTTCTGGTCGAGGATTGGCTGGAGCGTGGGCTCCATGTCCGAGTCGATCAGCGCTGCGGAGGCCATAGTTGCGTGCGATGAGTGGAGGTACTCTGGTCGCAGAGAAGCCAATGGTGTTTTAGGCGAAGCTTCCTTCCTAGAGCAACGTCAGTCCCAACTATCATCTGGCCTCAGAACGTAGAAGGTTCCCGAAGCTTCGAGACGCGCGGGTTATGCGCAGGTGGTAGTCCGCCGAGAGAAAGTCTGTAGGAGTAGACATACAAGTTGCTATGATTCAGGAAATCGAGCTCAGAGATGTCCGCAAGTAGCGTCCAAGAGCATGCGCAAGAAGTGGTAGTGGAAATTATAGAAGATGTGGAGGGGAGCACAAGAAAGCTGATGCGCCGTGGTCTTGGTGGGGCTGCGTCATAGCTTCTCGTGCGTCACCCCGCGACTCCTGGCCTACGACCGCAGCACCATCACCCAACGAAGCCAAATGTCTCATAATTTGGTTGAATTACAGTCTAACAAAGTTATCGCACAAACAAGTGTCGTGCTAACGGGCACTCCATTGCCGTCAAGCATGTCCCAGCCACAAGCCATGCTTCAACATACGCCAAACTCCATGCCATGCCATGCCAAAGCCTCGTACCCGTGATCTTACATTTCTCTACTTCTTCTTGCCCTTGCCCTTGGCTTTGGTAGCTGATCCGTTCGAAGCAACACTGCTGGCTCTGGATGTTGAGGCGGATGCTGGAGATGCCTTGCCCTTGACAGCATCTAGCTGCTTGTTCTGAAAAACGTTAGCCCATGCACAAACCAGCTAGAATTTTAAACACGAACCTTGACACCGTTCTTGGCCTTCTTCTTGACGGGCTCCTCGATCTCTTCCTCCTCTGTCTCATCCTCGTCGTACGCACGCTTGCCACCTTTGCCATTCCTCATCTCGTCGCCGCCGAGTTCACGGACGACGGTCTGGATCAGTGTGTTGCACCGACGACCAATCTCCTGTGGTGTGCGGCTCAGGAAGAACCAGTCAAAGCGGAAAAGAGGCGACTCGCGAATCTCATCGCGGATTTGTTCGTAGATTTGATCGCCCTCCACGCCATACTTGTTAAGCATGACAAGGAGGAAGCGATCCTCCTCTTCGGTGTACACCTTCTTGTTCGTGGTCGATACGGTATACTTGATGACCATCTGCTGAAGAGGCAGGCGGTACATGCCGATCTTCTTCTTGAGGAGCTCCTTCTTCTGCTCGGATTGGCGGACGCGTAGCTCACCATCCTCGATCACACCCAAGTGCTTTTGCCAGTTATCGAGAGTCTTGTACTTCTTCCAGAAGACCTTGGCATACTCTTGAATCTCTTGGGCATTCTTGCCGTCGACTTCCTCAGCGATACCTTCATAATTTGTTCGACCGAACTTAGCGGATCCGTTCAGGAACTGTTGGAAGTCCCGCTTATTCCATTCAGGGAAGCCCTTCTCAATTAAGCGCTCCTTCTCGGCCTTCTCCTCTTCTGTCAGCGGCTCTGCGTTGTCGATTTCCTTTTGAGCAAGTTCCTGGTCGGCCTCGCGAGCCTCGAGGTCCTCATCAGGGCCTTCCGGCAGGGGCGCTTTGAGGTTGTTTTCTTTCCGGTACCAAGCAGTCTCCTTGTCCTGGAGTTCTGCCAGTCGCTCTGGGAAGAACTGGTAGTCGTGGATGAGAATCTGCTTCGGCGCGCGAGGGATCCTGGGTTGCTTGTTCTCAGTGCGGCCGCCAGTGACCAAAGTCTTGCGGTAGTACATGTCGATGCCATAGTTCTGCTCCTTGCGCTCACGCTTCGAAGGGTTGATCCAAGTTAGACCAACGTTCTTCTTACGTGGCTCGAACGTCTCACCGTTCCATTCGTAGGTAGAGTCCGATGTGAATTTTTGTAGATCGTCCAGTCCCAATGTCTCGTACTTCTCATTGAGCTTCTTGGTCATCTGCTCACCGCGCTGCATGATGGCATCAAAGTCGTCATCGTCGCCTTGGTCACCAGTTGCTGGGCCGATTCTACCTTTGCTGCTAAAGACCTTTCTCGGCACCATGCTGAATCATTGTGAGCAGCTCGTCCTTGGATGCGGCACCCTTGGCGGGCTGTTGTGAGCGACCTTGCTGGATGACAAGCTGGTCGAGGCGGAGCTTCTGAGCCGCGCGCTCGAGCACCTTCTCTTCGATAGCACCTTCAGTTACAAATCGGAAGACGTAGACCTGCTTGGTCTGGCCGATACGATGGGCACGGTCCATGGCTTGAAGATCGGCCTGCGGATTCCAATCACTGTCGAACAGAACAACAATATCTGCAGTAGTCAAGTTGATACCCAAGCCACCAGCACGAGTGGTGAGCAGGAACAAGAATTTCTCCGAGTCTGGTTTGTTGTAGTCGTCGATGGCGGCAATACGGTCCTCGTGAGCAGTTGAACCATCAATACGGCAGTATTGATATCCTCGCATAACCGAGTAATCCTCCATAATGTCCAGGACACGACTCATTTGAGAGAAGATGAGTACTCTGCTGCCCTGGGCCTTCATGCGCTTGAGTAGCCTGTCGAGCATGACCATCTTTGCAGCGTTGTTGACCAGATGCTCGTCGGTGGTGTATGGCGGGCCGGGCTCGGCGCCCTCGAAGAGGTACGGGTGGTTGCAGCACTTCCGCAACTGCATGACAATGTTGAGAAGACGAGTCTTGGACTCCTTGTTACCAGCACCGCCGTTGACCGCATCGATATCTTTCTCAAGAATCTTCTTGTACCAATCTACTTGCATGTCAGACAAGCCAACGTACAAGTTAATTTCTTTCTTGGGAAGCAACGACTTCTCGACGTCGGCCTTTACACGACGAAGCAAGAATGGTCGCAACACCTTGTGAAGCTGCTGCACGACGGTATCGGAGTCTGTGTCCTGCTGGGAGAACCATTCGTCGAAAGCGGCAGAGTCACCGAAGACATCTGGGAGAAGGAAATTGAGCAGCGCCCAGAGTTCGTGGAGGTTGTTCTGAAGTGGGGTACCGGTGATGAGCAGGCGGTTTCGCGAATTGAACAGACGGACCATCTGTGCAAGAGACGACTCCTCGTTCTTAATACGATGGGCCTCGTCGATAATGATGTACTCCCAAGCGAACTTCTTGAGATGCGTCTTCTCGCGAAGAATCATCTCATAACTGGTGATGCAGACATCGAACTTCTCGTCGACCAGTCGCTCTTTGATAAGCTCGGCACGGTCGTCCTTGTTTCCCTGCAAAACCAGCACATTGATCTCGGGAATCCATCTCTCAAACTCGCGCTTCCAGTTGTCCAGGGTCGATTTCGGTACAACGACTAGGTGGGGACCTGTGATGCCGGCGATGAAGCGGAGATACCCGAGGAAGGAAATCGTCTGGAGAGTCTTTCCGAGACCCATCTCGTCAGCCAATATACCCGAGATACCATTCTCATGCAGAGAGATCAGCCAGTTGAGGCCCATCACTTGGTAGTCGCGCATGACACCGTTGATGAAGCCGGGCGATTCTCGGAAGATGGTCTCGTTGTGTCCATGCTTCTCTTCGCGGACCAATTCAGCGTCTTCTTCCTGCTCGGTTTTGCGCCGCCGCTCTGCGGCAGCTCCGCCCTTGCGCACTTTGCTCGCCTTGGTCTTCTTGACTTCCTCCTCGTCTTGGCGGTCGATCTCGGCGAGAATCTCCTTGATATGGGGGTTGGGGTTCGTGTCGATGAAATGACGGAACAGATCTGTGAGGCCGAGCAGGTAACGGAAGCGCCGAATAGTATCGTCTTCCTGGATGAATTATCAGTACTGAGACTTTGCGCGTGGTGCGCCTCAGAGTGTTGGTACCTTTGAGGCGCCTAAGCGGTCATGCTTCTTGCCGTATATGCTCTTGCGCATATTTAGTGCCTCTGCGCGCTTCTTTCGCCCATCCACTGGGGCGTCGCCTGCTACGCTGCTTGCTGTGGTGTTGGGGTTGGTGTCTGAGTCCTGGTGGAGGGTTAGTCTGTTTGCAAGGGTGGCGCGGCACGTGAAGGGACAGTGAACGTACTGTATAGTCTGGCGTATCCTGGTAGTACTGCGACTGCGATGTTAGCCTCGTTGCTCAATTCGGCTTGCGACTAGATCTCTCCGTCACCGCGTCGCGGAGCGGGAAAGAGGTTGGAGGTGAATGAACATACCCCGAACTTCTTGAATCCGCTGATCTTCGTATCCTGATCCTGCATCTCTACATCCTCGTTCGCAGATGCATCTGCCGTCGACGGGCCATCCGAGTCGACATTGCTCTTCCGCGCCATGTTGCCCGTTTGGGCTATTCGCCGCGTATATTCGTGTATGTGTGGCTACAGATGTCGCTGACAATCTCGTCTGGGGAGTTTACAGTGATGCGCACGGGGTATCTGATGGGTGCTGACGCGTCGAAGTCGTGGGCGTCTGGATGTTCGATGTGCAAAGGGAACTGCTGTAGAAATCGCGTCCACGGGGAATCTTACCTAACGCGACCTTTAGTGGCAGGAACGACCGTGCACACTCCCCTTCCTTGTCTGACACTAGCCCAGCAACATCAATGACCTTCAGAACACCACTATTTACGCGTCAACAACCAACATTTGTGCGAACAATTGGTACATTCAGTCTTATCTTCTACTCCATAACTCGTATTCAAGACGCGACAGCGACGATGACGTCAAGTCATCCGAAATGTGATAGGATGGATTTCAGGTGAATAGTCAAAATAGCTTTTTGATTGCTACCCATGAGGCACACAAGACCAGCGGTGGTATCGACACACTTCACGAAAATTCAGCGCAAGTCATTGTCGATGGAACCGTTACATTATCTATAGGTGCCATTCGAACTGCTTTCATTAATACTGCATCCCGCCCCTCTTAAACAAGATATCTCCTCCAGTGATCCCTGATCTCCCACTCAAAGCTGTCTTCACAATTCCCTTCGCATGCAAATCGTTGATCAAGCTGAACAGCATGCCATCACATCCCTTGGCAGCCAAAAAGTCTACTGTCACTGGAAGGTACTCCACATGTCCCGTAATGGTCGAGTTGTACGGCGCCTCGCCAATCGGGACAACGAAATCCGGCACCTCAGCCATAACACTAATGCGACTATTGCTGAAGCCAAACGGAACGCCAGGCTCTTCGAAATAAACGTTGCGCGGGTCGGCTCGTGCGGTGGAGCCAACGTACAGGACGAGCGACTCAGAGCAGGTTTTGGGTGACGGAGTGAGGATCCCGGAGTTGACCCAGTCCATAAATATGGTCTTGTTGTTAACCGCCTCTTCAACAGTATTTGTTTGGTTGGCGCCCCAGCCCCAGCGTGCGAGAGGTACCGGATTCACAAATGGTCGGCGTCCATCGTATTTCGCGGCGTAGTCAGCGTAGAACGGGTCGCGAACGAGCTCAATCTGCTGCTTGGTGATGAGAATCGCGTAAGTGAGGTTCATGAGAGTCTCCAGTGGCGCAATGGTGGGATTAGCATTGCTAAACTCGGAGGTCAGGTTGTAGGCTGACACATTAGCCTGGAGGTATTCGCTGACATTTCCGAGGAAGTTCGTCAGAAGCTGGTTAGCCACCCCGCTACTTGATGTTGGGCCAACCCAGCGTCTTGATAGTCTTCGGGTAGGCGTTTGTGATGGTGACGTTTGCACCGTACATCGCCTTGGCGGCGTCCGTCCAAATGGCGGGATCACGAGCTAGTAATCCCGGAGTATCAAGTACTGGGCTGAGAGGCATGGTATAGTTCAGAGAAACGAGGCCATGGGAAGGTCTGTTGCCGAAGAGGCCTTGAACCTGCGATGGACCGCGCACACTACCTCCAGTATCGGAACCAAGCGAGACATCTAGCCAGTGATAAGCAGCAGTGCCAGCGCCTCCGCCCGAAGAGCTGGATGATGTGTCTTGATACCCGTCGCCCCTTGGGTTGAAAGCCTCGTGATAATCAACCCAGTCAGCGGTAGCCTGCTCGCCGTTCGCAAATTGACTTGTGAGCATCTTCCCAACAATGATAGCTCCAGCGTCGATCAAGTTTTGAACGGGAGGAGCTGTGTTGTTGGCAGGAGGGTAGAACCAATACCAAGCTCGGTTACCATTGCTGGTGCGCAGTCCTTTGATGTCGTAGATATCCTTGATGCCAATTCGGACGCCAGCGAGCGGCTTTTCGGCTGTTTTCGTGTAGTAGAGGCGGGATGGCACAGCAATCGCTTGTTTCTGGCCAACAGTGCCAGCTGGTAGCACGGAAAAAGTGCCATCGCCATTCGAGATCGCTGATTCAAGGAAGGCTCCTTGGACGTCCGAGAACAGTCTCCAGGCCTCGTATACTTCACCAGCAGCATTGATAAAGTAGGGTCCTGGAGCTAGCGTGTTGGATGCAGCACCACTTAGTATGGTGTACGAAGAGTTGATTGGTGCACTTCCTTGAGTGTAAATAGCTGGGTTCGCGTCAGAATGCTGTCGTCGCTACTCCTCTGGAGGGGACGTAACATACCCTCAAGAAAGGCTGGCTGCCAAACATCGTCTTCGCTGTATGCTGCAGCATCAATGCTGCCATTCTTCACCACCGTGAATGGCACAAATGGTCCATCTTTGAACAAAGCCTGTAATTCTTCACATCCACTGATACTTGCTGTGGGCTTTCCGGGCAAGAAGTAGTTTACGTCGTTGAGCGATACGGTGAAGCCAGTAGAGGAAACAGCGGCCTGGACACTGGAGGCAAGAGCGATTGATGCGACGCTCAAAGCCTGGAGGAATCCCATCTTGACTATTGCAGACTAACCTTCGCTGCAAACATGTTTGCGCAGCTCATGGCCTGGCTTTATAAGATATGAGTCGGAAGGCAGCTACCGGAGGTACAGCAAATGCCGCATCAAAAGCATCATCCACCACAGTCCGTCATGACACGCCGTTGACCATACCGGTACCGCATCTAGTCCTGTTTTAGTATCTAATAGGAAGGTCGGGCACCCCAGTGGACCGGTATCTGCCATGAGGCATGTAACTTGTATGCCTGTCTACGAGGCGCATGATAAGCGCGCCGACGGAATCGAATTGACAGGCGTAAAGAAGTCAGCAAGGCCCTGTAGAGTACCTCAGGCGGCTTCAATAGGTCCGAAATGAGGAACATGTCGGCTCATCATTGGAAGATGTCCACGAGCCGTGGTCCCAAGATCCTTATCTCTGGGAAGTGGAGTGGAGTTGCTGCGTAGCGGCTCGCGTAAACGATAGGAACGTGGCATGGACACGCTAGGTAGCATGCCGACCGAGAATTCCAACATTTGCTTTCACGTTGCTAGGAAATTAGTCATTTCCAGCTTGTCACAGTTTGGGAAGATCAATGACGATGTAGCATACTCGAATCATGTTGCGTCTTGGCATTGTTGATCGACATTTGTCTCTCCCAGAGCGCGCGCTACCTTGCGAATGGACGGCTACCAGTATATGCCAGGGCTCGCAGTCCCGCTGAAAGTTCAACAGCAATGCGTATACTTCCAGAACACCAGATGCGCATCTGCTCTCACATCCAACTTCTCCTCCATCCCCACCAAACAGTAGCATGACGAATCATGGCTCATGAACATGCCGATGCTCACCACATATAAGACCTGATCATCCCAAGACGCGATATATCGTCATCTATTGAGTCTTCTTCGCGCTCCTGTTCTGGAAGCCCATGCCATGGATATACACTAGCGAGCCACCCAAGTATGCAGCGTACAGCGTCGTCGGCAGCGCCACCACGGTGCTAATCAACATGTTGGTGGCATCTGGGGTAAAGCCTGGGTTGTCCCTCCTTGACCACCAATTATACAAAGCACCAATGGCCGCAATGTCGTTGATCAGAGCGTGCATAACGCCAAGCTTGGCCTTCTTTGAGGAGAATCCATCGCGTTGGATGACAGGCATGAGTTGCTGAGCACCGGTGACTATAGCCGGCACTGTGAACAGGAGGGTGAGGATGGTGGTATAGTACGACAGTACTGGGAACAAGCTAGGCTGGATGGCTATGCCCAGGGTCTTGACTACACGGCGTGTTAGCTAGGTCTAACCGCATATTATGTCAGGCGTACAAGTTGAGGCCACGATAGAAGCTGTCGGAGCGAACTTTGACGCAAAGTACACGGCATCCAGACCTCCCGTAAACACCGTGGTGGTAATGGGGAAGTGGACGGTCGCTGCAGAGAGTCAGCAATGTCCAGCGTGTCACTCGAAGACGAAGAATCGTACCTGGGTGTGCTGGGTGCGACATAGTGGCTTGATCACTGTTCGTTCTCCCGAGTGTGCTCAGAGCGACATCAACTGATGGTTATGTACAGATGGCGAAGCTGGGAGCGCATAGGACGTCCTGTGGAGAGCCGAGCACAACTGCTGTGCAACGAAGAACACTCGGTCGACCAATCATCCCAATGCGCCTCGTCAGGCATTGTTGCTTCAAAGAGCAGAAGGCTGTCGTCATCGATTCTGCCATCCGCGGGCGACCCGAAAACCGTGATGTTTGTTGGTGGATGACCGAAAGTGGTAAAGCCTCAGGCACCCCCTGCGTCAGCCGAACATCGTGGCTGTGATTTGGTGATCTTTTCAACTGTGCATGCCACAGCCAATTCGCAGCATGTTCGATATTGAACGCGCTCATGGACTATGCAAAAGGCTCAGAGCATGTATACGAATGGCACGATGACCCCTACTGGCGCAATCGTCGCCTGTCGCCTGCGCAAATACAGGTTCACGACATCCGCCTCGAAGGTTCCCGTCGAGATGTTGGCGCAATGCTAGAGATGCGCGAAGTTCTTTCCTCCTCATTACTTTCGGTCCTAGAAAGGAGAGATGAGTTGGCAAATAACTTGTCGATTCAGGAAGCTACACGCCATGAGCAGGTGCAGATCAAAACCTTGGCCCAAGAATTCGGGTGGCTCCAAGTTCTTCGCAGTAACACCGTGCAAGAATGCATCAATGACTCTCAAGAATCTAGGAAATGTCGGTGGATACATATGTACGCTATCGAATGTAGCTCAGAGTGGATAGGCTAACTCAATTTATAGATCGAGCAAATTTTCAGACTACCTCGCCGGATGCTTGGTTGGTCTTTCGGATTGGAGCAGTCCAGATCAACCTATTACGGCTCTTCGTCAGTTGAACCACTGCATCAATCAACAAGAACGCTTCTCGAAGCATGGAAGATACTTCGCTCCCTTCTTTCAACATTTTGGCGATGATCATGAAGCCAAGAAGAATAGACCCATGCTGCTCAGTGTTCCTTTTCTCGATTGGGGGCTCGATGGGGAAACACCTCCGTTGAGATTTCAAATCGATCCAGGAGAAGGGTACCAATCATCCAGAAGCTCTTCACATCTCTTGAGATCGATATTGCAGCACTTCTACCGACTTGAAGATACCAGCGATCGAGAGCCTCAGCAGGTCTTCACGAAGCACAAGCCCTGGATGACCGACCGCAATTTAGATCTGAAGGTTCAGCGCTTCTACGGTCACCATCCCACCTCGCTTGTCGTCGATGAACTTTGGATTCTGGTCATTGATTCAAGGCACGTCGTCACCTTTTCGAGTAATCAATCGTGGAAATCACGCTGGCCTCCACTCCAGGTAGCTGCGCGCATCGCAGAAGTGTCGTTTCGGGGCATACGAAACAGTCTGATAAATACTTACCCCAGACATATCGAGCACGGCTATAGCGAACAGGACTACACGTCACCGCTTCACGTTATCACGGCTCTAAGCGGAGCATTAGGCATGCTGCATCGATCGTTCTGGACAGATATTCCTCTTTGTCTTTCAGATAGATATGCCAGTTACCTTTCGCATCTACAGTATCGTTTGCTACGTGCGCCAAATTCGAAACTTGTCATGGACCTCCTGCAGGTGCAGGAGGAACTCAACATAGTTATTTCTATCATGGAGCAACAAATGGAGCTTGTTACGAGCCTTCAGGGACATACGTTCACGCGACGCAACAGACCACAGTCAATGGATGCATCGCAACCATATAGCGAGCGGCCTCTAAGTTCATTGCCGCCATCCGACGTAGCGACTTATCGTCAAGTTTCGTTCTCGCATCTATCTGACCCTGCCGCACAACTTCTTGAAAACCTGCAACGAGAGCACGCAGATTTGGTCGATCTACGCGAAAATAGCAACGCACTCGTCAATCGTACCATCCAGCTTGTCAACATTCGTCTCGAAGACCATGGCAAAGCAATCTTAGTGTTTACCATTGTCACCATGATATTCCTGCCATTGTCCTTCATCTCGTCGTTCTTCGGCATGAACTTCTCGGACATTCGGGACATGGACAACACCTCGCGCCTGTTCTGGATAGTAGCCGGATCTTTGACTGTCGGCACTGTGGCTTTTAGCGTGTTCCTAGCTTTCTATGGCGGAGCCATTGTTGAGTGGTTCGTGACCTGGCGGGAGTATCGGCAGCGGAGACTGAAGAAGAGAATCGCGGGGAAGAAGAGGAGGCTTGAAATCCGACAGAAGCAAGAAGACCGATTGGCTAACTTTGAGGTATTGGATGCTTTGCGACCAAAACCAAACGGCCCGTTCTAAAGCTGCACCAAACAGTGGATCTCTATGTCTCAGCATCAAAAAAATGATCGAAAATGTCTATACCAGCGGCTCTACAGAAGCCAATGTGCTCGAACTCGGATGTGGATCCGGCGTCCCCGCCACCAAATACATGTTATAAACCGAGATACCGAAGTTCCGCGTCATAGACAACGATCTATCCACCGCGTAGATAAAGCTCGCGCGCGAAAATCTGGTCAGTTTCAAAGATCGAACGACACCAATTGAAGGCAACATGCTGGCTCTCGACTTTCCCGACTCCGCATTCGATGCTGTCACGGGATTTCAGAGTATCATACATTTGCCGCGCGAAGAGCAGACGCAGCTCATGAAGAAGATTGCGGGCTGGCTGAAGCCTGGCGGGTACTTTCTCGCAAACTTTTCTGCGGTCGAGTTGGAGAAACTTGAGGTCGATAGATGGCTGGATCATGAAAAGGGTTGGATGTTTTGGAGCGGATGAGGGAAGGACGGGGCGTTGAAGATGGTGAAAGACGCTGGCTTGGAGGTGCTGGTCGAAAAGGCACTTGAGGAAGTTGGGTAGGGTATTGGCGAGGACAGCGTTGTAGGCAGGATGCAGAGTTCCTTGTTTAAAAAGAAAATTGACGACTTCTAACTGGTTACATTGCTTATACTGACTGCTCATTCTAGTGAGATATACCAGTCAGGGTGATCGACACTACCCGCGGTAACAGATAGTACGGGCACGTCCTCCCACAACTCACCAATATCGAGCGAAGAATAACACTGTTCCCTATCGGAAGTCCTTGCTAATGCGAAAACAGCAGAGGCGAGGAAGTCGCTCTTCTGTGAAACAAAGCTGGACGTGATGGTCGGAATCAAAGTTCTTTGCCACATGAGATTCGTGTTAGCATCAGGTTTCAATATCTCCGCTCTTTGGGTCTCGTTCAAGGATCGGAGGCCCGTGTCGTGAGGCCGGATTAAATCGGTTGCCCGGATCCCGCTCGCTCCTGCGCTCGAACAGACTAAGGCTCCATCACTAGTATGGAGTATGCCTTCAACAAAAGATTCGGCGTCTCTTGCCACTAGGCTTGCTACATCTTGCTTAGCAAGCAACACCTCTCCAAGTGCCGCTCCTCGTCCATGTATAGCAAAACCTCCTTGGACAGACTGGATTGGAGTCTCACTGAAGCCCCTATTACTGATCTCGTGAACACGAATATGCCAGTCAGGCCAGCGCTTCGTTGGTGGTATAAGAGTTGTAGTGACTTCAATATCAGCGTCTCTCCATGGCTTCCACTTGCTCCGCAATGTTGTCACTATCTCTTTTACGTCTTCATTGCTGCGCACCGTAGCCGTGCCAAAGTTGTGCTCGGAAACCTTCCATGGCACACGCCATGTATCACCGCCATCCTTACTTAGCGCCAGTGTGTTGTCCGGTGCAATTTGCTGTATCAGGGTGCCAGTTGGGACACTGAAACCAAAATGAGACGAGTATGCATATTTTCCATATTTGGCTTCAGTCGCCTTGAGCGGCCATGGACAGTATTGCCCCATGGACAAGAGGAAATGATGGTTGCCGTTGTTGCAGATGATATGCATCGGTGGGCCATTGGGAACCACTGAGAGAGTATTGCTTGTCGGAAGTTTCTTCTCCTGGGCAGTCCAGAAGGGATGGTTGTCCGGTATTCCGAGCGCAAGGAATGATTTCAGAGCCCAATATGGCGATTGAGGACTATTGTAGTCTTCGCCCATGTACATGTTAGGATATGTAAAGCCTATGGTCAGCGTCCCATCGACGTTGAACATGTCGTGCTTAGTGCTCCACCATCGGAAGTGGCGCAAGAGAAGTCCTTTGACTGCACCCCAGTCATCAAGAGGAGATGGCAGCTTCACGTCGGCAAACGCTATAGCAGACCAGAAGCCGGCGAAAGCGAAGCGATACGTAAGGCTCCGGCCAAAAGGGATAGCAGCTCCTGGTTTTCTTCAGCGATGCGCTATACAGATAGAACATCATTATTTATTACTTACCATTGGTATCGAAGTATCTCCAAAAAGAAACGGCAAATTCTTTCGCCCTTCCAATGAATCGATCGCACCGCTCCGGGTCAATGTCTCGCGCCATCTTGGCGTATATGAGTTGCGAAAACTGGATCGCAAAGCTCCCCGAATAGTAGTCAGCTTGTCGACCATCTTCACTCCAAAAGCCATCGGCTGCCCATCCATCGCTCAGATAGAATTGCTCCATAGTGTCCAAGTCTGCTTTCATCGCGTCCACAACCTCATCGTGAGCCACACCGCATACTTTCACCAGAGCCAAATTAGTCATTACTCTGAACCACAGCCAGTTCGTTTGTGGAAAGTCTTTTCCGTTGATGGTTTTCAGCCACTCCGTGATGTTCTGTTTCGCCCTTTCTGATTGAGAAAGGAACATTGCATCCGGTGCGGCCAGTAGCGCAAAAGAGATAATTTCCATCTCCACCATTCGTTGATCGCGAAGTACTACCGGCAGCCAATATTCAGCATGTTTCGGATCTGTGCCATTTGCGAGACCCTTGACATAAGGCTCGATCAACTCGTTGTATTCATCCTTCGTGACAAGAGACGAGTGTAAGAGCGTGCCCACAGCCCACAGTGCTCGAGCATATCCCTCGAGTTGGGCAGCTACATCATCAAAATGAGTCCCAGTGACTAACGGTAGCCTTATTCGCGCTCCGTCAGGCGACTGGTACGGTTTCAGTGCGCGAAGCAAAGTAATAGAAGCGGTCTTAAAGTCGGCGTGACTGCGGAAAGCGTTGTCGGAGAAACCTGCCAAAGGAGGCATGTCGTCTTGAGCCTTGAGGATTCACGTGTTGGAACAATAATGGTCGATGCAGAATTGACAGCCTCGTTGCCAAATTCAAATGCTGTCTTCCCGAGGTTGTCAAGCGGGGCCAATAGCCATCTCAATGCGCACCACTTCATCATGCATAAGGAAATGCACCCGCATCGTCGGACTGTTGCACACCGTGCGACCTCCGATCACGAATAATGGAGTCATGCAGCGCATGGATCAAGGAATATGCTCATTAGCCGAAGCAAATGGTTAGCGTTGGCCTGCGGGGAAGCCTGGAAGCGGAGGAGCCACCGAACCTGGATTGAAGAGAATCAGACATAACCCGCTGCCCGCTGGATGCAGTCCTCCACAGTTTTCTTTTCCAGCAGCGTTTGGACATGTCGCGCCGATGTCGACTGGTTGGAACAATCTTTCCGTAAGCAACGGTAGCCAGGCTGGTGATGATGACATCCCAGCTTGTTCTAGTTGCAAGAAGCGGAAATTGCGCTGCTCAAGGGAGACTCCCACATGTTCGCACTGTCAGCGCCTAGGTAGGTCTGAGATAATATGGATGAGTCTTCCATTCAATTCAGCGCTGATACTGTAGCCAGGCACTGAATGTGTGTACAATGCAAAGCAAAAACCCGGTCTCAAACCAGGAGCTGTAGAAGCATTGACGCGTCGCGTCGGTACGATGCCAACTAGCTTTGAACCAGAGTTGCGGCTCATATTTGACAGCATTTCTTGAACGAATATTGCTGGACGATAGTGGCAACATTCGTCCACAATACAACGATTATGCGGAGTCTGATATCCGACATCCTGCGAATGATGCAAATACCGAATCGGTCCGCACGGCCGAACTGGTCCAGCAAGCTGATGCAACAGATCGCACATCACAACATCAAGAAGCAAATAATCCTCTCCACACCCATCCCAAAGAACTAACACAAGAGCAACGGCCTATCAACCCACTGAAGCGCAAACTGGATCATGCTCAGCCCCCGTATTGGCCGTTCGACCTGGACGATGTCGACTCAGCGCAGCATTTACCGGAGCAGCCAATTTTGTGTAAAGTGGTAGACTTCTTCTGTACATCTTTCCATCACTGGATCCCATACATCCACAAGCAGAGGCTTCAGAATCGTGTACGCGAAGGCTTCCAGAGTGCTGGATTCAGCCTAGTCCTTCATGCCCTGGTAGCCACGACATTAAGACACATGGATCCTAATGTGCTTTTCCTGGATCGAGATCAAGTCAAAAGACATGTCAAAATCTCTCGCTCAGTTGTAGAAGCCAGATGCATACAGGACGTTTCCGTTGAGAGCCTGCAGGCACTGGTTCTGGTCGTGTTTGATCATGTAAGTGATGCTCACTGGAACATGAGAGGTGCACAAATTGGAGGAACAAGATCTTGGTGTTTAAGGCACCTCACAGCAACGCTTGCCCTGCAAAGATCAACGAGGATCTTCGGATAAGCCTCAAATAAACACATGCTGACTATTGGTAGCTCAACAATGGACAGCCCCAGCGAGCCTGGCCGCTGATCGGCTCGCTCACGAGAACAATTGATTACTTACAATTGACCACCGAGCCGTCTCAATCTCAACATGGATCTCTTATGAAACCAGTGCGCTTGTTGCCACCATCGAATGACTGGACCGAGCTCGAAGAGCGTCGTAGACTCTTCTGGGTCGTCTTTCTGCTTGACCGATTTTGCTCGATTTCGACAGGGTGGAACACGAGTCTTACTGCCGAAGATGTTCATAGGAGATTACCAGCGGATGGTGGCTACTTCACACGCGAAGAGCCTGTGACGACCCCATTCTTTGGAATCTGGAACAAGGCAGCCGCGAGGATTGGAAGATCGCTTGCTCACTTACCAGCGCAATATAACGAAGAAGACCCAGCTATCAGCGACTTACCCGTGGGAGCCAGTCCGAGTTCTGCCAATGGCTATATCGATGCCTCCAAGCTCGGCGCATTCGCTTATTGTGTAGAAGCCACAGAGTCGCTGAGTCAAGTAACGACATTTTTTCTGCAACAGCGAATCAACTGGCAGGATAAAGAACATGCCATCAATTGGTTGACGCGCTTCAAGGAGCTGGACCTTAGACTCGTTCAATGGAAGATGTTTTTGCCGCGCAAATGGGCCGATGCAGACATATCCGCTGATCGAGAAGTCATCGATATGGACCCTAATCTTACCCTTGCACACATCACGCATAATACGTCAATGATCCTACTTCATCATACGATAGCATATCCTCCGCGGGGTTGGAACGATTATGTTGCTCTGCCTCAGAATTGCAGTGCGCAGACTTGCGAGCTTGCGGCCATCGAAACTTCTAACATCGTGGACAAATTTCTCACACATTCGCCCATCCCCTTTGTGAATGCGCAATTTGCATTCTGTGCTTACGTCGCAGCAAAGGCTCTCCTGTTCGGTCACCAAATGAAACGAAAAGCACAACTCCGGCCCGAGTTCCAGCGTCTAATAAGGAATCTGTGGGAGATGTCCGATCGGTGGTCTGGTAAGGACAGTAATGTGGAGGCTCCGATGACGCCCACAACCCAATCAGGAATTTTCGCAAATCACCTTGCAAGTCTACATGATGCCTGTAAAGATGGTCAATTTAGCTTTGACCTATATGACCACTCGTGCGCACCAAGTATACAGCAGTATGCCAGCCCGATAGCTACCGCAACCCCACGATCTCACGCTACACGAGACACTCCCGTCACACGTCATGTGCGACACAACAGCATGAATAGCTCCCAGTCAGCCCTGAGCCCAAGACGCCTGCCTTCCACCACCGGATACCAAGTAGGACAAGGGAATTCTTACGTCGCTACTCCCGGTCCGCAGCCCTACATGGCTCCGTCATCGTATACAACACAGCATGCCATGAACGGATTCCCTAGCGTAACCCATCCAAATCAGAACATACGGGCTGACGCATTTGCCACGCCAGATGCTCCAATAACTCACCCTCATCCAGCGAACATTGGACACAACCAGAGCGTACAAGACCAGTCTCTACTCACGCTCTCTGATACATTCCTAGACTCACAGTTCCTCGACATGGACCGGGTCATCACTTTTGAAGATGCGAACTTCTTCATACCCTGGCAGTAGTTGACACAATTCGCCATCTGTCATCCTTGGTGTCGTATGCGCGTGTAGTGCCGGCAAAGCCGTGCACGACGAAAATGATGAAACTTCGCGAGCAGAACATATACCAAGAAGCTTGCATCTCGAGTGTATAATTGGAATAGGCATGAGATAAGAGAGTCCTCTATTGATCGATGTACATATACTCTATAACAATCCCGCTCTCAGGAGTTTGTTACCGAACTCAAGTAAATAGTAATCTGCGTACACCAGCCCATGATCCTTGTACTTCTTGTGGGCATCTGGATTCCAATTTGTGGTACTGTTCCTAAGTAAGCACTCGAATCCACTTTCTTTCACTTTCAGCTCGTCGGTAACGCTGTTTCCATTCACCATGCCCTTCTCCGGCACCTGGAAAGATGCTAGATCTTGATCGTACGACATGTCAAGCGTCTCTGACACAATCTGTAATGCGATGTCGAGGAAGTTGGTGTTTCCAGATATCTCTGTGGCGGCGCTCGTCGGAAGAGCTTGGAGAGATTGGTGGAGGATGAGAAGACCGTTTGCAGCTATCACACCGGCGGAAACATCGCGTAAAGGCTCCTGGGGATTTTCTTGTGGCGCGTGAAAGTCCCACAGTGGTATCATATGGTGATGCCATTTCCCTTCGCCTTCTTTCATCCTCTGCAGGAAATACTCCGCGCATCCAATCGCTGTCTTGAGATACTTTACGTCTTTAGTCCAGCTGTATGTTTGCGCGAATCCCATGATGGACCATGCCTGGCCTCGGCTCCATGTAGACTCATCTCTCCAGCCTTGGTTCGTCATTTTTGCCTGCGGCCGCCCAGTCCTTGGGTCAAAGTTTACGAGATGGTAGCTAGAGAAGTCTGGCCTCAAGATTTCATGAATGATGGAGTCCGCATGTTGAGTTGCAATGTCGATGAGAGATTGGTCGTCTTTAAGGTGTCCAACGAAGTAAAGCAGGTCCAGATCTACTACAGTAAGCTTTTGCCATCTCTTTGAGCTAGGGAGACCTACTACACATGCTATCAATAATGACGAGGAAGTTGGTATCCATATCGGTGATTGAGTATCGATCGTTGATCGCAACATCCCAACTCCGGATCGCTTTCACCTGGTCATCGTATCTCGAAGCTAGCGCATATGCTGCGTTCACGACAGACTGCAGGCTTTCTTGGTTTCCGGTCAACTCCCAGTCTTTCTGTAATGCTGGCTGTACAATGAAGCCCATGTCATGCGTATCTCTTCGGCTGGACATTTGGTTAATGGCGACACCATAGTGTCTCCCAAGCTTGAGCAACTGCTCCTGTACATGCGATCGCACATGTTCCGGAACATCGAGTGCCTGAGGATACCTCATGGCACGCTCGAGGATGGCATATACTGCGCCGGGGAAGAAGCCGCAAGTCCAGAAATCCGCTTCTCGTTCTTCATACTTCCCAGAATCAGGTCCTTCTTGGGGTACTGTATGTGGATATGAAGCGAGGGGGGCCTAAGATCATGAGCGTCGACTGAGGAAGAGAAAGCGTAGCCACGTACCTTTTGTTTAAAGCCTCTTTGTGCAACCTGCACTATCTTTGCCACTACATTCTCCGAGTAGACTTCGCCAAGGTCTACACCTTTTACACTGCCATCTTGGGTCAGCAGGATAAATGCAGCGTAGTCCATGTGCTTCTCCTTACTGCCTTGCGATCTTTCCCTCCTTTACTTGTGATGCCGCGGCGACCATGTCGAGTTCAGCTATGTTGAACGATTCAGACGCAATGACGCGAGACAGTACACGAATATGATCGATGTCTTGTCGTCTTCTTACGGATCAATAGTAGACGAGCAAGTCTTGTCTAGCGCACTGTGAGCATAGCAAATATGTGCTTGAAGAAGCGGCTCGACGGTAGATTAGCGCTGCTGTCATTTGCGGCACGGCAGGCTGTCGCTTAGACTAGCATGTTCGTGTTCGTGTGGTGCAGCATCGGTGCAATCCCTAGCGACAATAGCCAGGCTTATGGCCGGGATCTGCATTCTCCCGCTGCATCGTAACAGTCTCGTGAGCAAATGTGTTGAGCCTCGTCACACACCCGGAAAAACTTCTGTTGCGTATCAGAAATTGTTACTCAAATAGTGTGCGATGCTGGAGAATCGTACTTTAGCGAGATGCTTCCAAGATTTCCCTGCAGCTTCCCCGCATATGTGCTCGAAATCTACGCTAGGCAGAACGCAGGATCTAGAGTAATTTGTGGAACAATTTGCTCATCAATATGAGACGGTAGCATGAAAAGGCGGCCAGTGTACAAGAGAGGTCTCTTGTAAAAGAGCGCAAATTGATCTGTGCAAGCTTCACACAATCAGTATGTAAAGGTACGGACCGACGTGCCTACATCCTGTGCACACCCCGCATCTCACACGATTATAAGAAAAGGTATTAAAAGCAGTTCGGACAAATTCTGTAATTGCAGTAGTCTGGTTGCTTCACGCCCTGCCAAATGTTGTTCACCAAATTCATACCAGCACTCCTCCTTGGAACTGTAGTTCAAGCTATCCCGTCATCCAGGCCGCGAGCAGCATCCATTCTGCCATTATATACTAAAGGACGTGACATCATTGGCACCAATGGAGATATATTCCACTATGTCTCGACAAATTGGCCGGGTGAGTGTGATAGATATGCATTTGTTGACTAAACTTACAACCGCGTCAGGCCATCAGGAGATTATGATACCAGAAGGTCTGCAACATTCTTCGGTTCAGGATATCGTCGCTTGGTTTCCCAAGTTCGGACTCAACTCCGTGCGACTTACGTTCGCAATTGAGATGATCGATGACTATCTCGCAAACAGCCCAAATCAGACCTTGGAGAAGAGCGTCATCAATGCTCTCGGTAGTTCCAACGGAACGAAGGTGCTAAACCAGATTCTAAGCAAGAATCCACAGTTCACCAAAAACACAACAAGGCTGCAAATCTGGGATGCTGTCGGAAAAGAGCTCTCAAATCAGGGAATTATCATCCACTTGGACAACCACATGAGCAAGGCATTTTGGTGCTGTGCTGATAACGATGAAAATGGATGGTTTGGTAGTAAATACTTCAACGTTGAGAACTGGAAGCGTGGCTTAGCCTTCATGGCGAAACATGTAAGCCTCTCTATCCGACTTCCCAAGACCCATGGTACTGGTCCGATGCTGCACCATTCGGCCCTTTCCTTACCGCATGATATTGCAGTTGTTTTGAGATGTCTCGACAGGGAGCAGAGACGCTCTTCGCAGGAGTTGACCACTTTTATTATGATCGATTACTAACGTATCATAGGGCAAGGAAAACTGGCCAACGTTTGCTTCGATTGGTCTGAGGAACGAGTTGCGAAATGCTGCAAATGCTGAACCCATAGACTGGTATACCTGGTACATCCACATGACGGCCGCTGCGGATGCCGTCCACAAGGCTGATCCTGACGCTCTTATCTTCTTCTCAGGCCTCTCATACGATACCTATATCGACCCGATCCCTCTCGGCAAAACTCTGAACGGCACCGCTGGCACCTCGACTGCAGGAAAGACCGCCAGGTTTGTTCCTAGCTCTTTTGCGTACAAGGACAAGATCGTTCTCGAGATTCACAAGTACGACTTCGAAGCTACTCAGGACGATTGTGCAACCTTCAAGCGGAAGTGGTACCAGAAGGGCTTCCAGGCTGTCAATCCCCAAGACCCGGCGACCAAATACCTCTTTCCAATGGTGATTTCCGAATGGGGATTTATAAGCAATGGCGAATACTGGAATCAGACAACTTATGCTAAGTGTTTGGTTGAGATGGTCAAGGAATACAAAGTCAGCTGGCAACATTGGGAGTTGTCCGGTAGCTTTTACATCCAGACCAGACCGGGAAGGATGCCTAAAGAGACTCTTCAAGGATCAGAGGAGTTCTGGGGATTGTTAAACTACAACTGGACGGCTATCAGGTCTCCGATCACGCTGGAGAACAGTCTGTACAAGATGATAGATGCGTTGAAGTGAAAATAGCCTGTATAATCGACTAGATCAATACATTTCTATCACAATGAGATGCCTCGAAGTGATGCAGCATTCCATCCACTTTGCAAACAAGACAAGACCGCTCCTCGTTCGAAGATGCGAAGACAGTCAGGCTTATGCAAGTATGACGTCTTACTGTTCTGTGGCACCTGAAAGCTAGACGGGGTTCAACCTGCCTTAGCTCAACTTTAGAAGTTAATGGTCCTTGCAAATTCTAAGTCATGTCAGACGTTCTGAGCTTTACCGATAGCGACGTCTAGCGCCATTCTGTGGACGCTTGCCACATGCCAACCCCGCCTCCACATAACGACGATACACAAGTTAATCGCACCATTCCTTGTGTGTTCCTGAAGGATCGTAAAATCTTGGCCTTCATTCGGCGCCGGGTCATTGAACCCCATCGTGGCGCTTTGCCCCAGATCCTCCATCCCCGCACTGATCTAGCCCCATCTAGCAATGTCCCGAAATTCCGATGCACAATCATGGAACATGGATGTCGCTTAGCAGCCTTGAATTTGGGCGATGCGGGGGCTACATATTGAACTACCTGGTCTCGGGCAGAGTGGATCGTAATCATCGACCGGCGTCTTCTTTTTGTTGCTGTGTCTTCGTGGTTCACGAGACTATCCCAGGTACGCAGCATGGCTAGCACCAACCCTCGAGAAGAGACCATAGGCACCGAAGCCAGGCAGGGCGAGTTCGATACCAATGTCATTGCACCAGCAGAGGCACCGAAGCATTCACCATGGAAAGCCTGGATATACCTCGCGAATTGGTATCCCTCGCATTATCCTCCCGAGGAGCGGAAACTGTTGAAGAAAATGGACGCGTGCTTGTTGACGTTCTGTTCCTTTATGTGTAAGCATAATCTCAACAAACTGAGAATCTATCAAACTAACTGCGACAAGTCTTCCTGAAATGGCTCGACTCATCGAACATAAAAAACGCCTATGTCTCCGGCATGAAGGAGGAGTTGCACCTCTATGGAAACGAATATTCGCTGTTTGATACATTCTACAATGGTAAGCAAAATACTCCGAACTTAATTGCGACGAAGGCTGATCCAGTATCGCGTATATCAGTCGGCTACCTTGTATTCCAAGTCCCATCACTGCTCCTACTCTCGAGACCCAAGATCGCCAAATATTATCTGCCTACTATGGAAGTTTTGTGGTCCATTGTCACTTTTACTCAAAGTCAGATGCGAAATCGCAACGACATTTACGGCACCCGATTCTTACTGGGTCTGCTCGAGACACCTGTGGCTAGTGGTACCACATACGTGCTTGGATCTTGGTACAGACCCGAAGAGGTCTTCAAGCGCACGGGTGTATGGTACGTATCGAACAATATCGCTGTGATGTTTGGCGGGTGAGTCGTCCAATGCCTAAAGAGATTGCATATGAAAAACATGTACTAACTTTTCGCCCTTCAGATATCTTCAGGCTGCTGCATACAAAAACTTAAACGGGTATGCAAGATTCAGACGATACTCAATGCCCAGTCATACTAACGCAGACTTAGTGTTGGTGGCATGGCTGGTTGGCGTTGGCTGTTCATCATAGACGGAGTGATCAGTCTTCCCATTGCTTTTGCAGGATTCTTCATCTTTCCTGGTCTCCCAAGCAGCGGGAAGCCATGGTGGCTCACACCTGCTGAGCACGACCTTGCAAAGAGACGCATGATTAACGCGGGAATTGCGCCTAGTAAAGAATTGAGCTGGACCGTAATCAGACGCACCTTCACACGATGGGAATTCTGTAAGCGTTCCATAACGAATTCTACTCGAGGCGCATACTGATTTCGAATGTACAGACATGGGTGTACTGTGCTACACTTTCTTCTTGTCATCGTCCTACCCCCATGGTCAAATGGCTATCTGGCTCAAAGACCTGGCGGCAAAATATCCAGGCGCATACACGATACCTCAGATCAACACGATTCCGACCGGTGCGCAGGGTGTGTCTGTCTTCGCTGCACTTTTGGCCACCTCTTTATGCATGGTCTATCCGCTGTGGAGCATCTTCAGCATCGTGCAAGTAATTTACATCGTCGCCAATATATCTTTGCTTGTCTGGAACAGTAAGTTACACTGTTGTGTGTTACTCTAGTAGAGATGGTTGCTAACGACACACTTTGCGTTCTAGTTCCTAAAGGATGGCACTGTAAGTGGTACCTCTCCATATTCACTATATCAGAAGCTAACAGCTGCACAGTCGCATGCTACTATCTCCTTGGTGTATCGGCTGCTATCACGCCGATCCTGATGCCATTCATCAACATGGCTCTTCGCGACGACGCTGAAGCCCGTGCGGTTACCGTGGGCGCGATGCTCACTGCCGGCTGGGCAGTGTTTTCGTTCTACCCCATCACAGTCTTCCCCATCATAGAAGGACCCCGTTGGACAAAAGGCTATTCCGTCAACATTGCGTTCATCTGCGGCTGCTGGGGCACATTCCTCGCTATGCAGTATCTTTACAAAAAGAGCGAGAAGAAGCGCGCGGAACGAATGGTTCGAGAAGTCGCAAAAGACGAAGAAGATCTTGCAGCTGTCGAGAAGGATGAAAGCGAGGTGCGGGAGTATGCCGCGGGTGGTAGATGATGGCTTTGAAGTAGCGTCGTCGAAACAGCCTTAAGACCTGCTAAAGCCATACGCAAGCGAATGAACGCAATGCAAACCATCCGAACAATTGCAAAGATCTCCAGGCTTCTTGTCACCCAATCTCCTGAATGCGAAATGTTGACAGTGAACAAGACAACAAGAAAGCTGAATCTCTTGGTCTTTTCTAAAACAAACTGCAGAAAGACCCTGATTTTCCAGATCAGACACTAAATCTTCCCATCATCCCACAGTTCCGCACCCCCGACTTTTCCCCATCACCACGCCTTACGTCATTCCCTATGCCGATCCCCCAGCCGCCACGTCCACTCGGACACGCTCCGCTCCCCGGCGCATCACACGATCACATTGCTCACAAGAGATCAGCCAAGCATAGATAAGCTCCACAGATACCAGTGGCTGCTGCCTCCGTCCAGTCTCTGCTTTGCGCTGCCGATCAAGCTTTTGGGCAGGGGCTTGGCTAATGCCGGATGCGTCGAGACAGCAGTTGCTTTTGTGAGTGGTCTTGCGCCTGCGGGATGAATCGGGGACTAGTACGAAGGGTTTCGGATCGAGGTTTGGTTACAGTATATATACAATTGCCGGTGCCATGTTCACTATATCTGGCCGTTTTCAAACATCAACATTGCGATTTTTCAGGTTGCGACTTGGAGCGTTTTTTTGTGGCTTCTTTAACCCTGGCCACTGCTTTCGACGCTTTTGAGCATACATGCCGTATTTGGAGCGGCTGAGAGACACTATCTTCGCTTGAGGCGCGCTGCTTGAGTCGGTGTTGGCTAGCTACCCCTGTTCGGACGGCGACGACTATCTCAAATACAAGTCTTGGAGTTTGCATGATTCCAACATACGGAATTCGAAATTCGCCTTGCCCCGATTCTTTTCACAATCCAGTCAATATGACAAGACATCACTCCCCAGAAGACGAATACATCCCCTACGGCCGCGGTGGCGCGGGAAATATGCGTAAATCCCATCCGATCCCATTCCACACCAACCACCTCTAACACCCTCCCAGGCCGCAAGTCCGCCATCCGCGAATCGTGGTTCAAAATTCTCGCGTCGGAGCCTTCGCCGTCACCCCTAGTCCTCACCTCCAGTCCCGACGACCACTACGCGGCGTCAAAATCCGAGCCGCGGCGGCGCAGCACACATAGTAGCAGTGCATGGAGTACGAGTACGGCTGGGGAGCGGAAAAGCGGGTGGAGGAGGTGGCTGGGGAGGAGGAAGGAGAGTGTTGCTGAAGAGGTGGAGGGGAAGGAGGATGTATGAGAGGTGGGATTGATGCTTGGGATATGCTGCTGTTAGCGATATGATACCACTTTTTCTTTTGGGTTTCGGTTAGCGCTACGTCATGATAGTGTCGATCAAACGAATACAATGAAGTTCAGATGTTACGCATAGTATGCACGTGGAATTTGCAGGTGTTGTGCTTCTCACGACCGTAGTCGCTTGAGCCGTTTGTTTGAATTGTGCTTTTGGACCACACTTCCCGGCCTGCGAGAACCGTGGGCTTTTTTGAGAGATGAATATGAAATGAAAACCCCCATTTCCTACCCTACTCCTCATCCCGACCGAGCATGTGCGCCAAACCGATGCAAGTTGAACGAATGATATGTACAAGAAGCCAAAAGACGCGAAAAGAGTGTGGTCATGAGAGTCGTAAGACAGTGATAGGCATGTCGCCTGGAAAGAGTGGACGCACTTCGAGTGCTGACAACGCCTAGAGAATGGAATTGCACCAGAAGTGCTTCGAGTGAGTGGATGCGCCAAAGGTGCTTGAAAGAGAGGAACGCACAAAGCAGTGCCAGAAACGCAAAACAAGAAGGAATGGACCGCACTTCAAGTGCTAGAAAAAAGACTCATGACTCGTCTACAGCGTGACATACTGCATGACGATGGAAGTAACATACTTCGTCTGCGGGTCCGCGGGCTTGGTCGTAGCAGGCGCTTCCGCAGAAGCGCTGGTCGACGCACCAGACGTAGATCCAGGAGCCTGGGACGCGATCGTAGAACTACTGGACGACACAGTAGTCGAGACAGGAGAACTGCTAGAAGCGATTGCGGAAGAGCTGGCAGCGCTGCTGGAAGGCATTGCAGACGAGACGGAAGGCACTGCTCGAGCGCACGGCGGAAGAGCTTGCATCCAAGAGACACCGTCGTCCTAGAAACACCCTGGCGTCGATGAAGAATCACCGCTCGTGCCATTCTTCCACTCAAACTCGCCAGACGTAACGTTGTACTGCCCACTACTCTGCCCCGCCGGAATAGTAAAATTCGTGCCATCAATACCCGGCCCGTTGTAAATCGGCGGCTTGCCATCAATATCGCGGTTGTACTCTACATTGCCGCTGCGCGTCGGGACCTCAGTGTCCGACTCTGGGACTGCAATGGGCACGCTGTACACCGTGACGTTGAGGCCAGCAGGGGGGTTGTTGCGCGGGATTTCGCTGAAGTCGAGGGCTTGGATGCGCCAGTGGAAGTTGTCCTTGAGGTATGCTGCTACAGCGGGTTTGCTGAGGCTCTTGAGTTCACCGGAGGCGTGCTTCTGGGCGAGCTTCTCGGTTAGGCCAATGCTACCAGACATGATGACGTCGGTTGTCATGCGGGAAGAAGACAGGGTAGCGAGTTGGCCGACGTAGTTGCTGTCCGTGGGCCATTTCCTGGGGTCGGCATTGGGCTCGCCGAGGAAGGCGCGGACACTGTAAGAAATTTTGATATCTGCGGGCATGTGGACCTCGCAAAGCCAGTCTGTTGCTTGTGTGGTTGTGTTCGTCTCATTTCCACGTAGCGCTGGAGGTAGGAGATGGATGTCCGTATTGTTCAAGCCTTGCGTCTGTGGTTTGTATAGCTTGTTGAGCGTCGAAGTGAATGTCTCGTTCGAGGGGTTGCCAATCAGCTCAGGGTAAGTGTAGCCAAACGCAGTCCAGTTGCGCACCGTAGTCGATGTCCACATATCACCGTCTGCATTCATGTGGAACGGAGTCAGTGGTGAATCGGGTCCTTGGATACTTCCCTTCTCGAAAGTGAAGGTGCCCATTGCCTGCTTCGAGTCCTCGATCCAGGTATCTGGAAAACGTGTTTGGTACAAAGCAACAAGTCGATCCATGCTACAATGATGCATCCAGAATATAGGATCAAAAGCAGAGACCTCGATGATGCCCATGTGTCCCAAGCCGAAGACATTGTGAACACCATCATGGAGCGTTTCAAAGTTGCCAATGGTCCCGCCGTTGGCTTTGTTGCTGACTTCATTGAACGGTTGATAGGTGGTCAGTAACTTGTAGACCATGTCGCGAAGGTTGGGTTGCTGCTTGCTGAGCCGAACATTTATCTCGTCGTTGCGACTGGTGGCGTTGGCAGAATGCGGGTCCAGAGGATAACGGATGGTATGCTCCCACTCCGTGAACTCAAAGCCTTTCTGAATTGACGTCAATTATGTGTAATTGGGTAAAACTATGGGGCCATAGGCACTTACCAGAGCCGAAAAGTCCTCAGCCTTCAGTGGATGGAAGTCATATCGGTACAACGGGTTCGCGATCTCGCCCTTGGTGCCGTTGGGAAACGTGACTGTTGCTGTAGGGCTCCGGAGGCACTTAGGCATGATTCCCTCGCTTGTCGGAGGATCAACAGCCCAGTCCCAGTAAGTAAGACGAACCTTGTCGGCTATTTTCCTAGCATTCTGCCTCGCTTCACCCGCAGGATACTCGTTTGCTATATCCACGGCACGGTCGTGCAAGATCTGCTCGAACAGTGCAAGGTATGGTCGATGCCAGGTGCCGAACAAATTACTCACGTGGGGGCAGTAACCCATCACATGCGAGGTTTTCCGGCCTGCCACATTGTCCCACTGCCCTAGAGGGAAACCATGGATACCTGAGCGCATTAGGCAAGTTACAAACCACTAAAGTCTGTCCACTTACCAGCGATCTTGAAATATGAGATCTTCTCTCTCTGATCCATAGCTTGGAACCTAGAGAGCGCCATCATATACATGTTCCAAAGCTCGGTATCTTTCTCAAGCTCACGAATCTCCATTCGCGGATGCACACCAGTTCCCTGCACGCCCACGACGCTAAAGTAGCTATCGTCAGTGTACTGAAGAACTCCACATGACGGAGCGGTAGAAGAGTTGGACGCGGCCTGCACCGTCGCCAGTAACGAAAGTGTGGCCGTCACGCCTGCGAGTTGGGAAAAGAAGGACTTCATCGTGACCAGCCGAAAAGAATGGAATGGATCGTCAAGATCCGAAACGAATGTGAAAAGAAAGCGAAGAAAAAGAATGAATGACCGTCAAGAGGTCGGAACGAAAGACAGGCAGACCGTGGGCAAAACGGAAGAGTAGATCATGGGACTTTGAACTGTACTTAAGAAATCCCAAGGCATGAAGTTACAAACCTTTGCCCCGCTCAGTGGGGATTTCGGTAGCCGGGCTGTGCCGTAGGTCTTCATGCGAAGCCACTTGCGATTTCGCTCATGGGAAAGTCCAGTGTTGTTTCTATGCACATCCTTGTGGCCGCTCAGGTACTCGAAACATGTTCTGTTTCTGCGTAAGAAGTGGGCCAATCATGCGATGACTTGGATTGCCGGGCACTCTGAACCACGGCTTTTGAGCAAAATTACGCTTCACGCAGATAAATTCATGCCTGTAAGTTGAAGTGAGATGCCAAAGATAGCATGCCTATGGCTCGAAACGTGATATTCTGCTCGTTGCATTCAAGCAACGCTCTGGCGACACAAGACTGGCAACTCCACAATAGGCCAAGTACAAACGTTACCTAGACGCTCCACAATGTTACAGATTGATACTGATAGATAACTCGGACGCTGTTTTGTTAGTTACACTTCTTCCATCGTGTGTGTGCGTCATGGTGTTGGTGGATCTTGAAATAGCAGGGCTGTCGCACGGACCTCTTACACAATCGTGAAACAGGAACGAGCGCAAGTAGATCACCCGTTTGAAACTTTCGTTACTCTCGAATAGGTAGGTCCAGATGCTCTCACATGATGTATGGCAAATTTGGTGTGTGGTGTTATGACCCGATGGACGAGGTAACCTGGACACGCACACAACGAGGCTTAGCAGGTGTGTCGTAAGACCCTTTATACGAAATCGGCGTCAGCTTCCGTCTGACAGGGAAGACATCTTCATCCCGGGAAAGTGTCTGGAGGCAGCAATTCACCATTCCGTGAACTTGCTAGTCTTCGCTTTCCAGGCGTATTATGTCCTGTCGATGTGCCTCTTCTCTTCCTCGAACCACCCTCTGCAGCAGCAACATGCGTCCTCGCCCATCTCTTGACTCGCTGGAACGCCTGGACGACCGGCTCCGGCAGTCCTTCTATCTTCCCTATAGTGACGCCAGTGCTCTTCATCAAGACATCGATGGTGGTTCTGGCTCGTGCAATCGAAGGATTCAGAGATTGGCCGTGTACAGTATCACGGAAAGACGTGAGCGCAATGTTACGCAAAAGTAATGTGTCGCCTACGTGAAGGTTCTCCAGTATTTGTAGCAGTGGCTCTTGAGTATTTGACTGCTCGTTGTTTGATTCTCGGGGAGGGCGAATCCAGAAAGTCACTTTAAAGCCTGAGCTTGTGTCGTCGGCGACAGTTATTTCGTACAAATCCATGTTATACCCGCCTCTTCGGATGTAAACCTCTCGTCTCTCAGGTGGGGCCATTAGAACGCAAAGCACATTCGGAGTCGGCGTTTGAGGGTAGATGTGCCGGAGATGTTGTGCGCTAGGCATTGAGCCAAGTGGTGTGATCAGCATCTTTGGAGACACCTGCAAGATCAAGATCTGGCCATCAGTTCGGTTTAGACTGCTGGGCTCTGATACGGAGGTGCCAAACGAAGTAGTCAGGAAAGACGACGATGATATGGTCTCGTCGGCAACTGTGTCTAGTGCGACTTGTGATGACAGTAGCGTGTCATGAAAGACCAGTGAATGTTCGAGAAAAGGGTCCGACATGGAGGACTCCTCGAAATCCATTGTGGTGTCATTCCGAGTCGACTCAAACTCTGGAAACGTTGAGGTCTCTTCGATATGTGGTATTATTGAGTTGGCTTCGTCACCAAGTTTTCGGGCGCTTCCAGGAAGGTAGGGCTGTGACCATCCGGTGCGTAGCCGAGAATTATCAACTCGAATATGTCGCCATTTCGCCACCGATGCAGTGTCAGTGGGCTCTATCTCGCTAGTAATAACGAAAGCATCGCACTTTGTGACACCGATGAGCGCATCTTCTCCGAAGTCCAGGTGCTGGGGCAGAGGAGCTCCGTTGAGAGTTTTCAGTCTCATTGGATGGCAATATCAGAGACTACACGTAAGAGGTGATGTACGAGCTTGGCGGACGTGTTGGCCGATCATAGCCAGGTGAGCGTGTTGATGGGGGCCTGGAAGCGCGAGGCAGCTCGGACATGACCCAGTCGATGTCCGAGCTGTTGTACGGTGCCGAAGATATCCCCGAAGGCAGTCACAAAAATGACCTACCTACAAAGTAGCAAGGTGACAACGTACGCAATTCCTCTTCATTCCGTTTCCTTCTCAACCGCACTCGCCCGTTCAGAAACCCATCTCCAAGCTCCCGACCCTTCGGGCCATTTCCTAGCACGTCGCGTCAACACTTACCCACATCCCGCAGCCTCGGAGCTTGGCGATCTAATCTCCACATCTGATTAATAAAAACATTGCGCGCGCCCAGCACTATGCCCTTCACCAAAAACGACCTGAAATCGCGACACGCCTACGTGGTGCCTGCCATGCTCCGCAATCTGTCCTACAAGCTGACGTCGGCGTTGTCGTCGTCTGAAGTCCCGACGCTGCCCAGGAAAGACGGCGAGTTTGGCAAGGCGACGCGGACGGAGCATTTATTCCCCACCACCGACCCCGCCGTCGATGGCGACGAGTGTCTGCGCGACTGCGATAGCTGCAGCGTCAAGTATCCGCGGAAATTCGAGATTGATGAGACGGAAGAGTTATATGGGCATGTGAAGGGGTTCAGTACGCATTTGCTGGTTGCGACGGGCAAGACGGATTGGGTGCGCGATGTAGCGGATGAGAAGGGGAGTGTGATGGAGGCGGTGGATAGGGGGGATGTGAAGCCTAGCAATGGGGTAAGTCCATTCATCATCCAGACATTCCAATTGCCCATCCTCCAAAAGAGAAGAATGAACATCCAAAGCTAACTCCTCCATCCAGAAACTCATGCTCTCCGCCACCGACATCCCCGTCCCCGACCACTCAGACCACAGCACGACCGTCCTCCTGCTCCCCGCCTGGCAATGGATAGACAACGTCACGCCCTCCAACACACCCCTCCTAATAACCCACTTCGTCAACCCCGGCCCGACAAACTCCTCGCCGTACCCATACACAAAGCCCGCAGCGACCCAAACCGCCCCGGATGAACATTCATCCCCCGCCATACCCGCATCCCTGCCTCTCAAAGCCCGCCCCTGCGCGCACAAATACCTGATCCTGATGTGCAGCCAGAAGACGCGCGACGCGCGCTGCGGCCAGTCTGCGCCGCTGTTGCGCCGCGAGTTCGAGCGCATATTACGCCCGATGGGACTTTATCGCGATTTGCACGATGAGCGGCCGGGCGGGGTGGGGATATACTTCATCAGCCATGTGGGCGGACACAAGTTCTCTGCGAATGTAATGGTGTATCGACACTCGAGTGTTATACAGCGGGGGAATGGCGAGGTCAATGGTAATGGGCAGGCGTTGCCGAAAGTGGAGGATGCAGATGGGCGCGAAGTGCTGCTTGATGCGGACAAGGAGGATGGTGGGGAGGCGGCGCAGTGTATATGGCTTGCGCGCGTTAAGCCCGAGGATTGTGAGAATATCATTAGGTATACTGTGTTGCAGGGCAAGGTAGTCAAGCCGGAGAGGCAGTTAAGAGGAGGGTTTGATCGGTGTAAACAGTTGGCGAGTTGGTGAGTTGGTAGTCGCATAGATCATTTGCAATAGACTTCTGAGCATCATTGTTTCTGATCCATTTCCTGCAAAGCCGGCCCGTGGGCAGACATATCTCATGAACATGCATAAACTACCCCTTTCACATTGAGATCGCGACTCCTCAACGCCGCTACAAGGTTGCTTCATATCGCCTCAACTCGTCTCAAACAACAATGTTACTCTGTCCCTCCTGTGCCGCGCTGTCGTCTTTCTTCTCAACATCCGCAGGCTCTCTCCTTCCGACCTCTTTACCTTCAACTTCAATTCGACCTTCGTCATCATCACCAGCACCCTCGTAGCTATTGAGACTCTCGTCATCACTGCTATCCTCAATACCTTCAAACATCCTTGCAAAACGTTGATGTCCTTCACGTTCTTCTTGTTCTTGCGTTTTGCCCTGATCCTCTGGGTCTTCCGGATCGTCCTCTTGTTCGCGGGTAGACTCGAGCTGGGCTTTCCGTTGAGCCAAGCGGAGCGCAAATTGGCGGCGTGCCCGGGACGGTGGGATTTGAAGCGGCTGTGGGACCTTGGGCTAGAGTGCAACCGTTAGCGCGGGTTCTATGCTAGCTGATTGAAGTGATGATCGGCGGAGGAAAACAAAGGAGAGCAGAGAGAAAACAAGCAAGAAGAGAGACGCGATGAAATAGGGCCCGGAGCATGCTGGTTGACAGTCGAATCACGTCATATAGAAGATACGGTAGGAAATAACGCCTCTGATCGATGCGTATTACTACATGTTGTTCATACACCTAGAGTAGATGTATGATACATATCGTGTTCGATGTCGTACAAGCAGCATGCTCCTTCTTCTTCCAGGCGCCCAGATATCGAGTCGAGTACAGAAGAGAAATGAAACGCACCAAGTGGGCAAAACAAAATCGTGTTGTGCTGGACGTTTTGATAAGGACACAGTATTATCGGTAGTCCATATCAGCATCGTCAAATGAGATTTCACCCACTTGTTCGGAATCGTCGACAGGCCCCTGTCGTTGTTCTCTCTCGGTGTCGACATCATCCATGTCCTCGTCTTCTTCATCGCTTGAGTTAGTAAAGCCGCTAAGCAAGGAACCGCCTCCGCTGAAGGTGTACCCACCACCTCCAGTATCATCTTGGGCAGCAAGCTCCATGCTGTCGAGGCCAATGTTGCCGTTGTTGGATAGACTGGCGTTGGAGATTCCACCATCTCCGCCGAAGTTGGATGCTGCGTTGACGGCGTTGAGCACTGCTTGTCTGGGTCCTACGCTCATATCGGGTCGAACGCCTCCGAGGATAGCATTATCTCGCTCTCGAGTTTCCGAGAGTATGTTTTCCACATAATCAACCCAGTCCTCACTGTGAACTTTGTCGATGACTGACCGCGAGAGCGTTTCCTCTGTATGCCGTTCTGTAAATTTCAACACCTCTTCCGCGATGAGGGTCAGATGACCCATGTAGCCCAATCGCATGAACGTCTCTTTCTGGGCTTTGTCGCTTGCCTGCTGGCCCTCTATGATTCTTTCGGTTATTCTGCCGGTCTCAAAAAGGTCTATCGCCAAACAGCGGTTGTATCCTCGGTCCATCTGGCCGTTGAACACTTGCTGAACAACATCGTACACTACGTTATGAAGAAAGTTGTTCCAAGGAAAGCGGAAAAAGAAGTCCTACTTCTGTTAGCTCGGTTCATGACGGAGGTAAGAACGCGTACAAGTATGGTCGGGACCACCTTGTTGTTCACAAATGTAATCTTCAATAAATCACCGACAACAGGGCTTCCGTCGATGTCAATCTCGTAGCCGTTATCTGGTGCATCTTCAATACTGCCAAACACAACAGATCGTCCAGATGCTGCATCGTCAATAGGTGTGATTTCTGCAGCGTCACTTCCTGGTGCGGCGGCGGTGAAGCGACTAGTGTCAACACTGGGAGCCTCGGGCTGACTTTCGCGACTCTTACCCGCGAATAGTGGCGCCGGCTTGTCATCGGGATGCGGTGACAGCTGTTCAACCGCCTCTTCTTTCTTGGGTTCTGAGCTCTGTGCGAGTTGCTGAGTGAGCAAAGATGGAGGGGCCTTCGTATCGGGTTCCGCTGGTTTAGGCTCTGCCGGCTCTGAAGGCTCTTGTCGCTCGCCCATGACTGTGTCGTTGTCGAGATCAAGCCCGCCGACCTTGGCAGATAATCCTGTTGAAGTGGGAGATTCTGCGTCGTCCGGTGGCTTAGGGGTTGTAGCAGTCTCAGATTCGGCTGCCTCCTTTGGTGGAGTCAACGGCTCATCGACGAATTCGCCCTCTCCTTCAGTGGTCTTTTCCGAACCTGAGTCTTTAGGCTCTACCTTTGGCGAGCGCTCTAGCGGTTCACCGATCTGCTCCTTCTCGGTGTCGCCTTTCTTCACTGAAAGCGGAGCTACTTCCGGAGCGATGACCTTCTCGAAGTCGTCTTCTGATGTGTTCTGGACCTGAAGGGGCTTGATCTCTGCGGGCGAGTCCATAGATGGTGCCCGCGCGTGATGGAAGCCATGACTGTCCACGCTGGTCGAAAAGTCGCCGAGGTTGGTTGCTGTCGTAGTGGAAAGTTTTCCTTCAGCCTTGAGACGCTCGCGCTCAGCATCGCGTCGTCTGACCTCAGCCTCGCTACCCCGCTCGTTGAGGAGCGCCATGTTACTGCAATGCAATAGCTCGGCCATCAGCTCGCATGTCTTGAAGCGGTCGAATCCGAGAGGCTCTATCTTTGCGCCAAAAGCTGTCTTGAGCTCTCGCTTCCTTGTTGCGGTACTGCCATCTCTTTGTGTAACGATTTGACTTGGGCTGTGAACCAGCTCCATGAATTGCGGAATGTGGATAGCAAACTGGCGGAGCAAAGTGCCTAGGTAGATGGGATCTGAGTTTTTTGGCACTGGCCCAATCTGATTTTCGAGGTCGTAGTCGGAGTTGTTCTTTCTTATGACCTCAATAATGATGCCGACACCGACTGTCAGCGGGTTCCCGCCACGCAACATGTGCTCAATCAGCTGCTTCAAGCAGGCCTCAGACACCAACTGGCGCGTCAACTCATTAGGCCCTATGACAGACTGGTCTTGGGTGGTAGCGTTCGCGGAAATAGTTATGATGGCTTTGAGGAAATCGCCGGCTGAAGTCTGTGTCGAAGTCGACTGATCTGGAGCGAGGAAAGATATCAGGTGCGGGATGAGGTTCTGCTGCTGTAACCACTGCACAATGGTCAGCTTCTGCTTGTCATACCTTCCCGAAGAACATACGTCAACTATCCCATGTCCGCCCTCGTTCTTCTCGAGACTGATAATCTTCAACAACAGGTCCATGATGACGGGGCAGTCGACGTGCTGCAGCATGTCGGGCACAACATTGTCGAGCGATCTGAAGAAGTCGAGCATCTCTTCCATCTTGCGGTCCAGCAGCGACTCATTGACCTTGGTGAAGTAGCCGGCCTGGACAGGGTCGAGAGGCGCTGGCTGCTTGATATACGCCCAGAACTGGCGGAGCGTCTCTTGGTTCTCCAGGACAGCCTCCGATATGGACCAGACCTCAGACGAGAGGATCTCGCACGAGACGTAGGCATACTTCATGCGCTGGCGCTCCTCCTTGCTCTCTTCGCCATCCTCAGATTTGGCTGTCGAGGACGAGCGCGCTCTGCCCGCGACCTTGCCGAAGAAGCTCGGTCGATTCTGCCTCTCAGCCTCGCTTGCGCCTTCCCCGCCGGCGTCTTCGTCCGGGGTCGCGGCAGCCTTGGTGGCTATGACATAGCGCAACAGGCGCTCCAGGACATTTTCGTCGCGCAGGTACTCGATGAGCTTCGAGTTTTGCTGCTTCAGCTCCTGGATCAGGTCCGACTCGTCCAGCAGCTCCTCGACGGTGACGTCAGGCTTGTCGAGAATGCTGTCCAGCGACGACAGCTGCGCGTAACCGCCAAAGCGCCAGAACATGGTGGGCGGGTGTGTTTGCGGTTACGCGAGCGGGGCAGCGAAAGGGTCGACGTTGGAGGGACTCGAGAGCGGCGGCGGCTCTGCGGGGCTCATGCGAGTAATGCGGATGTGCTCAATGTTTCATGGAAGGGGTGACGTCGCTGCAAACATCTGGGAGGGAAGTCGCAGTGTTAGCAAAGCATGAGGCGTGAGACCGGCGAAGACATGGCGAGTAGCTTGGGCAGCACGAGTACGCAGTGGGACAGCATCTACACACCTAGCAAGACAGTCCGCGGGGAGGGCAATGGCACGTCGAGATCACGGGGGGCAGTGAATCCATGCACAAATTGTCGTAAAAATCGTTACAATTACAGTAGGCGTCGGAGCGTGTCGATGTGTGTCTGGACGAAGCTATGCCAGCGGTTATCGGTACAGGGCTGGAGCTCGTAGCGTGCGTGTGGCTTGACGCTCTGCTGTCACACGATCCCGCTTCCTGGCAAGATCCTACACATAAACGCCAGGTCTAGTGACATGTTGCATCAAAGAGTCCAGCAACATTATGTGAAGCTCAATTATGTAGTTGGCTATTTATGAGCTTCGTGCGTAGAGCTGGCCGTACTTAAGCAGCCAGACACTGTCTGAGAAATGACATCAACATCTTACAGTAACCACAATTCCTTGATGAAATCCAGTCCGGTCGCCGACGGCTTCGCGCATGTTGCTGCCTTCCCATGTCCAATCCCATGCCCAAGCGGGATGCCGCTTCCGCTCTTGCACGTGACTATGACGCTGACCGTGCGGATTGGTGGGGGAGCTTGACCATTCACTGCCGGTGCCTGCTGGCCACCAAACACGCTCTCCTCCACACCTGCGACTATCGCAACAACCATTCCCGAACACCGAATATACTCATCACATTGCATAACTGCGGCCCGGTTCAAACCTCGCCATGAACCGCCTCTTCGGAGCAAAGAGCACGGCGCCGAAGCCAACGCTTAACAGCGCCATTTCCAACGTAGGCGCACTGCAGCTCTTCCTCTTCATCCAAGCTAACCTGTACAGGTTGATACACGGATAGAAAGTCTCGATGTCAAGCTCGCCAAACTCAACGCAGAGCTCGGGGCCTACCAGCAGAAGCTCGCAAAGATGCGCGACGGCCCCGGCAAGACCGCCATCAAGCAAAAAGCCCTCAAAGTGCTCCAACAGCGCAAGATGTACGAATCACAACGCGACCAGCTTCAGTCACAATCCTGGAATATGGAACAGGCCGGCATGATGCAGGACAACCTCAAAAACACAATGACCACCATCGACGCCATGAAGACGACGACTAAGGAGCTGCGCAAGCAATATGGCAAGGTCAATATCGACAAGATCGAGAAGCTGCAGGACGAGATGGCGGATCTTATGGATATGGGAAACGATATACAAGATGCGATAAGTCGAAGCTACGATGTGCCTGAGGATGTAGACGAGTCGGAAACTGGATGCCGAGCTGGAGGCGCTTGGCGATGAAGTCGAGTTCGATGGCATCGGCGAGTCGTCAGGCGTACCCAACTTCATGCTCGACGACGCCGCGCCGCCGCAATTCATCGATGAGCCGCCGGAGACTGGCAAGGTCAAGGAGGCTGCGGGTTGATGAGACAGCCAATCCGCGTTCAATACATCTACCGTGATGTTGCGCCCGAGTCGTCATATAGGACCTGACGCAACAATCATCAGCAGAGACCTAGCCATCCGCTTCACCGTAGCGCTCGCCAGCTCGCAACCATCATCCGCCCCGGACACAATTCCAACAGGAAAGGCACCTCCGCAACGGAGCAAAAAGTGCCCCGCTCTTACATCCAGCAGCTTCAAACAACCCGCGAGAGCGAGCAGTATGGCAAGTTAATCTTGCTCTCAATCCACACCAAGTCTTCAAATGTATCCAAAACACTGTTCATCTCATCCATCAATATCCACATCTCCACCCCGTGACCCTTAAAACCTCGCCCTCCACGTCTTCTCACAAACCACCTGCACCTCCTCCCGTCCCACCAAGCCCCTCATCCCCCTCACAGCCAGTTCCCGCCTGAACCGCCTCTCCTCCACATACCCCGTCTCCCCTTGACGCTCGAACTCTTCCCTCTCGCCCACCCCAAGTCTCGCCGCGCCCACATCTGTACCCACATACCTCAACACCACACGCTCCAGCCCCGTCAAGCATCTCAACTCGTCCCGACACGCACGATCCGGCGCCTGCACTTCATCGCCAAACTGCTGGACATCCCGGGCGTGGCGCAAGGGCCAGTGAATCGTCCGAATGCTCTCCCTCTGTTTCGCAGACAGTGTGCCGAGCCACAGCGGGAAGGCGGTGGCGTAGTTGTACCGCGTGTCTGTAAACGCCCATGAATTCCCCGCGAGTACAAAGTCCGTTGTTTCGGCTTGGAGTTGCCGGCATGTGCTGCTTATGCCGAATAGGCCTGGGAGACTAGTGTAGTGAGGGAGGGTGGTGGGTTCTCTGTCTGCGGGCGCTTCGATGCGGTGCCAGAGGTGGTCAAGGTCCGGGTGCAATTGGCAGACCGGTGCGCTGAGGACGGCGATGGTGTGCGCGGTGAGGTCGAGGTGTGTGTATATTTGCAGACGGAGTTCGAGGGGGAGGGTGAGGAGGCGGGAGGAGGGCTGGGGAAGCATGACTTGGGTATTAGGTGGTGAGATGGGGAGGCATGTGCATGTGTTTGGAGGGGTTTTGTTTGGAGTTTGAGGCTTCAAGCTTTGCCAGAGTTGATTCATTTGATTGATTTGATTCATTTCGCGCGAGGACTCGATTCGAAATCGATGTTGGTATTGACGTTGATGGTAAGATGGGTGATTAGGCTGCAGTATGTCACTGGCGTGCTAGGGCTTACATGTAGCAACATTTTGTAGATCATGACGTATCTCACAGCGACATCACACACCCAGTCTACTGCAAATCAAATGTCAGGTGTAATTCCATTGTTCGTGAGACAGGCCTCTATAGTCCCCATATCCAGCCTGCCATGTATGCCCAAACCCAACGCCAGCCATGCTCATAAGTCGTAGAAGAGGTATAAGAGCCGAAACCCACGCCCATGCCCATGTTGAAAAGGCAACTACTGCAGAAGATGGTCGCGGAAATGCTTCTGGAAATTGCCGCGCTTTTCGTTGCCGGCTTGGTACCGGTTCTTTGCTCGCTCGGCACGCTTCTGCTCGCGCTTCTCAGCAATTGCTACCTCCGTCTTCTTCGCGTCGCTGACGCCAATCATGCCCATGCCGCCGTTGGCGCGGGTGATGAGCTGCTGGCGGCCACGGCCTTGACGTTGCTGGCCCTCCTCACCCTCCTCGTCATCCATGTCAACGTCGCTGTCCTCGCCGGATGCTGAGCCGGCAGTCAGGCGGCGTTGTGCGTTCTCCATGCGCTCTGCTACGCCTGGGTAGTTGCGCAGGTTCTGGCGGTAGTACTTGTTCAGCGAACGGTGACCAGCAGTACGTCCAGACGGCAGGTGAAGCTCGTAGTCGTCGTGGTACACGGCATGAGGAGTGCCATGAGCATGCGAGTGGAAGCCATCTGCCGCGCGATGTGGTCTTGGGTCAGCATGGTTGTGGTGCTTCGACTTGTTGAGAGACTTTAAGCGATGAGTACGGTCGATGGGAACAGCTGTGATCTCGTCTGTCGGTACACTTGATACTGTGCTGTCGGTTTCCCAGCCCTGATCATCCTCATTGCTGGACATGGCAGCGCTGTCCTCGGTGGTGGTGACTGTCTCGCGCTTAGCTCCAAGCTTGACGCCTCCTTGCGTTGATGCGGAATCGTCTGAGTTCTCAGCGTCCTCCATGTCCTCAAATTCGGCAGCATCCGGGTACGAGCTCCGGAAGTCGTAGAATTGTCCAACCTCGACGAGCTCAGCATCAGATTCGAAAGCAATCATACAGTGGCCCCGATCGCGCATATGTGTCTGGATACCCGCTGGCGTGTGAACAATCTTGTGACACTTCAAGCACTCGTGGTTGACGTGAATCTTGTCGTGGAGATATTTGACGAGGTTCTCTGGCTCGACCAAGAACTCACGCTCGGGAACGAACATGCCATGGAACCGGCCCATGTGGTTGACGTTGAGCGAGAAGCTGGGCGACTTGTAGTTGCAGAACAGGCAGTCCAACAAAGGATCGCTGGGGACCTTGGCAGATGTGGCTACGGAGCTCTTGTCGTCGTCGGCTTCACCGGAGACTGGCGCCTCTGCGTCCAGGTTGGCGTTCTTGATGCCGTCGGCAACCTCGGAGACGTCCTTCTCGACATCGCCATTGACAGTGGACTCGGTCTCAGCCATAGACTCGCCCAGCGAAAATGCTGAGCTGACCATGGAGCCGCTGACGGAGGCTGCATCGTCTATTTGCGGGCCCCTGCCGGCCTTCATGGCATTTGTGCGGTGCTTGGAGCTGTTGAGATGGTTGTTGTAGGCATTCTCGCTAAAGTATGTCTTCTGGCAGATGGTGCACGACTTTTCGAACGAGGCCTTGGCGGCAGTGGCGGCAGCAGTCGCCTTGTTCGCGAGGACCTTCTCCGTGAAGATTTCGGAGGACAGCGGCGGTAGGGAAGCCACTCGGCGCTTCAGATTGTAGCGGTGCCAGTCGGTTTGCATGTGCGCCCGCTGCAGCTCACTCGAGCGGAAGGCGACCTGACATGTGTTGCACGTAAACGGGTGCGTCGACTGGATATTCGCCTGGGTCGGGACTTGCGACGCCATTTTGAGAGCAGCAAAGTGCTTTTGGGTGTGGTTGGAGGGGGAGTTGAGTGCGTGCGTGCGGCAAGCAGAGTGAGAAATGATACTAAATAGGTGGGGTGTGCGGCCGATTTGTGGGTTGGAAATGTGACTGGCGGAGGGGCGAATTTTGCCAAAGCTCACCACGGCGATTAGGAAGCAGCGGGATCACCGGGAGGTGCTTGCTGGAGTCGGCTCAGTGCAAGTATAGCGCACTTGTGCTTGCAGCGGCGAATAATGACTTTTGTTTCGCAGTCGCAGATATGACGTTGGGCTTGCCAAGCAGCTCGGCCGCTACAGGGCTCAGCCCTAGGACACCATACCGAGCACCCGTCAGGCCACTTTATATAGCACCAACCAATTCACTGGACCCTGATCTACGGCTCGAGCACGCTCAGGCATTACGATCGCTGTAGCTAACATGACCTGTTCGCCTCTGTACAAAGGCTGTACGTCCTCTCCGCGTCTCCGATGATATGAGCGCGCCAGAGCTTCACCACGCGCGAGCAGCCTCACGTAGTGTCTCGACCACAAGCTCAGCCTCGACCTTGACTGCACAACCGTCGCCAAGAACCGTGTCGGGCCTGGAGCGTGATATCGTTGATGCGGCAGACACAAGCCGCGTGCTGGAATGCTCGCAGGTCGAAAGACAGCTAGGCTTCCAGCGCCTTGTGCGCCAGTACGTCTTCCGTCCAATCTTCCTCCAGACGTGAAGCTGACACCCTCAGCTACTTGTCGCAGATACTCCATGGCTGTAAGAGCGCCTACTGTACCACGCCCACGTGCCTCTCGTGCCAAAAGCGCAATGCCCCTCGGCCCGTTCGCCCCCCAACCCAGCTGACTGCGCGCGCCCTTGCCCACTACCTAGCCAGACACGATGACCCACGCCGAGGACTCTGTCCGCACGAGCTCAGAGTAGAGCCTGATTCTCTGCAGATTGATGGCGCCGTAGGTGCGCGCCTCCACCAAGCTCGAGATGGAACTAGACAGTTTAGTCTATATCCGTCTGCGCTGGGCGTGGCAGATGCACAGCATACATCTGCAAGTAGGGTGGATGCGTTACATCAGGTGGGGACTGTCACGCTTCAGGACTCGCCACGTGCTCAACAGCACGTTGTGGACGCCGTCAAGAGTCGGCAGCAGACGCGCAAGGACAGAAAGTCGTTGTCTCAGAATCTCTACGACAGTGTCTCCATGATATATGCCTACTCGAAGCAGTTGCCTAGCTCTACGTCATTATTCCAGTCACTGCAATCATCAAGCTCACCACCACAAAATGATGCCGCACTTTCCAGTCTCCCCGACGCCAAGTGGCCCACGTTTGCAGAGAGCAGTTCCCACGTCACGTCTGCTCCGTTTGCGAACGGCTTCCCGGTCACACCGCCTGTGAATATGCCTGCATCCCCTGATCGTCAACATCCACAATCCAACGGCCATGTCCGTGCACCATCTGCTTCTTCCCCGATTCTCAGCGATGGCCAGCAGGTCCATCGCATTCCATATCACGTTCGCGGCTCCCCGAAGCCGGGCAAATCGAGCAAAGTAACTCAGACTTCCATTGACGGAACTATCGACCCGCCAAGATTATCAATTGCAAAGACAAGAAAAAAGTCACATTCACCCGAGAGAGACGTTCCAGGAATGGGGCGGACCACCTCACCAAGTTTCGTGCCCAAAGGTGCTGGAAGGGGGTCACCACCTGTTATCCGTGCTCCCATCGCCATTCCAGTCTTGTCGACCTTGAGCTGCAGCTCGCTGGAAGCACTCAAGGACGATGTATACGGCCATCGTAAGGATCAGTTGCCAGACAACTTCAACTTCTCCGTGGATTATGACGCAAACCGTCATTTTCAGCACTCTACACCGTTTGCCAATAGATCGTTGTTCTACACGCTCAGCGACCCTGAAACTCTGCTGAAGTCATTTCGTGACCCCAGCAAAGCCTTCGAGAAGTCGCCGCTTTCGCACCTTGACTCAGCTCGTTTGACTCACTCATTCCGGGATTGGAATCGCCATAACGGCGCCCTCGTGTTCGATAGTCTCTGGATCGCCTTAAAAGCTCTCTTTACGCCTCCACCTGAGCTCACCGTACAAAAGAGTCCACGTTTGGTACCCTCGCGCAAAGGGGCATCCGCAAATAATCCCACCGATCGAGACAGCCAAGATGCACCTTCTGCATCAAGGAAACAGCGTTATCTCGACAACGCCGAGGCTGCACACATTGTCATGATTTGCATCCATGCTCTGACCTCTTCGGTGTCTGTGGGATGGCCCCATACTTGGGCTCAGTTGCGGAAGCTGAGAGCCTGGGGCATCATTCTACCAGACGCTGCTCCCAATAACGATGACTATATACACCCATATCTCACCATCATAGACGATCTTGAATACGAGCCCGCGATTCGTCTCGCTGAGCATTTGTTACGCGCCATCGGCGCCCGTACGTGCTTTGAGCGGATCTTATCAACCACCAAGAAGCAGACAGAGAATCGCGAAGATGATGATAGTACCGCTTCACTCATGGAAATTGTTGTGCAGCATCTGGAAATAGTCGAACGTGTTGCTCTTGCTACCAAGCGTCGCATGACGCCTAACGGAGGCCAATCTGACGATCCTGGCTGGACTGTATCTTCTGTCCTTCTCGAATGGCTGAAGACACTGATAACAAAAAGATGGGATAGCAAGCTTGCGATCAACAAGTGGACAAGTGTTGGATCCGCAGTTCTTCTCCTTGACAAGCTCTGTACGTGGACCATCAACTTCAAAGTAACGCAACTGACAAGTACAGACCATTCACGCCCCAGCCTCAGACTACGCCCAGAAATGTTTGAGATACCCTTCTTCAATGAGCGGTTTGATGCAGTGGAAGAACCGGTCAAGTTCCTTGACTGGGAAGAACAGCCAAACACCCTTCACATTCTTCAGTATCCAGCTCTGTTTCCCGAGGAGTATCTCGTGAGGTACTTCCGCACAATCAACTTTACTAGTATGATGGAACAGTATAATCAGACCATACGTACTAGGCAGATGCGAGGGCTGCTCCAGATGTTTCTGCGAGATCCGCACAATTGGTTGATTAAGAATAAGATGAAAGTCACGTTAAGCGACTATCTGTTCCTAAATGTCAGCCGCGAGAAACCGCTCAAGGACACGCTAGATCAGCTCTGGGGCCTCGAGAAGCGGATGCTGTTGAAACCTTTGAAGGTACAGATGGGGGCTGAAGAGGGCGAGCTCGGACAAGATCACGGTGGCGTCACATACGAATTCTTCAGAGTTGTGCTCAGCGAGGCATTCAAGCCAGACCATGGTAAGTATACTGACTCATCTACGAAGCTTCACGCGGTTAACAATACTAGGCATGTTCACTCTCGATCCCCAGACGCGCATGACATGGTTCCAGCCCGGCACTCTAGAACCTGTCTGGAAGTTTGAAATGCTCGGCATGATCTTCAGTCTCGCGGTATACAACGGCATCACCCTTCCCGTCACCTTCCCCCATGCCTTTTACCAGTTTCTACTCCACGGGGTAGCGCCCCTACGTGCCACCAACCTCCACAACATCCGCGACTGCCTCGACCTCGTCGCAGACGGCTGGCCCGAGCTCGCAAAAAGCTTCGGGCAACTCCTCTCCTTTGAAGGCGATGTCGCCGACATCTTCATGCGCGAATACGTCTTTAGCTACGACGTCTTCGGGCACCGCGTCGACCACGACATGGACGAACCATACACGCAGCCCGGCTCTCCACCACTCACATCCACACCAAAAGAGCCGAAAATGGTCACCAACAAAAACAGAGCGCAGTTCATTTGGGATTACCTCAATCATCTGACTTACCTCTCGGTGCAACCGCAACTCCACGCTTTCAAGCAGGGCTTCTACGCGTGTCTGAACACAAAGGCTATCGCACTCTTCACCCCATACACGCTGCGCCATCTCGTCGAGGGCGAGCAGCACATCTCCATACCCGCGCTGCGCCGTTGTGCGCGCTATGAAGACGGGTACTCGGCAACTCACCCCACCATCATCACCTTCTGGCGCATCGTGGAGCAATACAGCCAAGACGATTGTCGCAAGTTGCTCGAGTTCGTCACGGCGTCGGATCGCGTGCCGGTGACGGGGTACGAGGGAATTACGTTTCATATCAAAAGAGTGGGCGATGGAGATATGCTGCCGACGAGCTCGACGTGCTTTGGGAGGCTGTATCTCCCGGAGTATGAGACGGAGGAGAAGATGGGGAGTAAGCTGCTGTTGGCGATTCAGAATTCCAAGGGGTTTGGGGTTGTTTAGATGGAGGAGGATTGGATGGTGAAGGGGAAGGAAGCGGGGATACATCATTGGTTCAGTATTCTTTTTATAGCCCATGGTGTAATGAGGACAGGGAGAGTCTTTGATACATTGTTTGTGTTTCTTGGTATCCATATCAGGCCGTCTATCATACAATGAATACATGGGTATCGGAGACCGCCGGTGCCCGCTACACCCCACGCTCCCACCCCTTCTCCACGCGATCGATCCACTTACACAAACGCATCGAGTCAAAGAAACGCCAACTCTATTCCAACCTCTCTATCCTCCCTTACCTAGGTACCCTGACTCTCGCACGTGACACCCACCCACTCACTCACTGGCCCGTCCCGCCTGGCCCAAAGAAAAACCCATCGAAAAGATCCAGCCCATTCCCGTCGCTCCATGTCATGACGTGCCGTCGCCAAATCCCATGCCAAACCCAATGCCCACTATCCTGCAGACTGGCATTCGCATCGCCCTGGCCGGTGCCGCCCTGCACGGGGAAACTGTCGAGGAAGTCAAGGTCTGAGAAGCCGCCGATATCTGGGTACGTCGCGTTGATGTTCTGCGCGAAGGCGTTGTAGGGGAGTTGATTTGATATTTGGTATGGGGAGGATTGATTTTGAGCTTGAGGTTGGTTCATTGGAGGGGAGAGGGTGGGGTTATTATTTGACGAGAAGTTTGGCGAGGAGAAGAAGGGTTGTTGCTGGTGCGTTCTGAGTTGCGGGGAGATTTTGAGATCAGCGGTGAAAGGCTGGATGGTGTGCTGTTGGGGTTCGTGCTTGATGGGTGGTGGAGGAGGGCGCATGGCGTTGACTTGATTGGACACACGGCTGAAGGAGCGCTTGTCTGTTTCGTCGTCGGAAAAGAGGTCTTTGAGATTCATGTCGAAGCGCGGCACTGGGCGGCGGGCTTGCTGCTGTGCGAAGTAGTTGTTGGAGTGGCTGGAGGGGTATCCTTGCATTTCGGTGTCGGCTCGCGGGTCGACGTCTGATTGTGACGTGTACGGCGTAGATGGAGAGTGTGATGAGGGGTGAGCATGTGGTTGCTGCGCTTGCGAGAGTGCCCGTAGGGCCTGTGGTCCAAATCCTGTTGTACTCATGCACATTTGAATGGTAGCTTTGCTCATGCGGTCAAAAGCGTCGCGACATGCCTCCGCTGGGGGACACTTGTCGATCAGATCCCCCAAGACGGAAGTTGCGGCTAGCACAGTGAAGTCGACATCGTCTAGGGACTGCAGCTAGTTAGTTTCAGAGCTATAGAGAGCAAGACGTCCAGTGTAGTACAAGAACGACCAAGGTTACACTTACTAGTAAACTTCGTACATGAACACTGTGCCACACTGCGTAGAGGAAAGAAATGCCTGATACTCATTAGCGGTATCGAGGATCGATGATACGAAATACTTACCAGCCATGAAGAGGTGGTGCGTAGCTAGGAACGTGTAATTCACTAGGTGTACGCGATGGAGCTGTCTGTACAGCTTCAGGACCTTCTGACCAGCCTCGGCGACCTTGAGGAACACCAAGTCCTCGTCTTCTCTTTCCTCCACATTCACCATAGATGGGCTTCCGACGTCCGAGCCCGTATTGCCTAGCTCACTTTGCAGTCCAGATGGTACGACCAGGCTTTGCCGATATAGCATGATAAGCGCCTGCCAATAATTGAGCTCCAAGAACAGAGGCGAAAACTGCACGCCTGCATCACGCTGCGTAGGCGCAGAATCCTTCCATTCCAGCAGTCGCCTATCAATGTCAACGCGCCAGGCGCGGAACGAGTCGAATTTGGCTAAGAATGGCGACGGCAGTTTGGTGTGCATGAACTCATTGCCTTGATTCGCGCCGCTGGCCCTTGCTTGTTGGGCTTGTCGATGTTGTAGTACCTGTAAAATTTCAGACTGCAGTAGCCTTAACCTAAAATAGTGATGCGCGACAATCTTGTAAGTTGGCTTATCGTGGTGCGCTGGTGGCTCGATAAATCCTTCCTTGGTTATGAATCGATCGTCTAGCAGCGACGGAAACTCTGTAGTAACTATTTGATCCGTAATGCCCTGCGAGCTGTTAGTCTTTGACCGCAGCTCTGGAAATCAGGCCACTGTGCACAACTCTGCAACTGCATATGCGCGGCAAAAGCATAAAGTCTCGCGTGCAGTACTACTGCATTGAGTGATTGACTTGCCGCGATAATGCCGACGTGATAAACAGGGAATCTGTGCATCCAGCAGGATTTGGTGTCACAGAGGCGCAAAAATACACTTACGAAGGGCCTGCCAACGCAGGTGCTAACGAGTCTGTCGAGCGAGTACACGCACCACCACAGCCGTCGTCGCAAATCTCTGACCCACTGTCGACGGCCCCTTTCTTTTGCGTCGATCTTGGAGGAACTCGCGTTGCCAGCACCTGTCGTCGCCCCGTTGCTTTCGGCTTTTGCTTCCGGCCTACCAGCAGCATGGTCTTCCGTACCCGACCCGTCTATACCCACTCCATCCTCGTAATGCAACCCCAAATCGACGCCTAGGCGGACAGCGACACCCACGATGTACCACAAGCCAGGTGCAACGGGCCTCAACAGGGCGAAACCCGCAAGGAGTAACACGGCTTGGAGCTCTTCGAGGCCGCCGCCGAAGCCGTCGGGACGGTCTGCTGCCGGTGAAGACCCGAGAAAGTTTTCGAGGTGGACAATGGCGGACGCGTGATACTCCTCGGGTTGGTGCTGCTGGCCTGCGAGTCGCCGCTTCTTGTGGCTCGGGGGAGATGATCGTGACTTTGTTGGTGAGCGCCCAGCGTCCGAGGTCGGGGAATCCTCTGCATCGGAGCTGCCCAGGATGATACCGGCACCAATGGCAAACACAATGTTCAACATGTATGACTCTCGTGATGTGCGGTGCCGCTCGCCAGAAGCGTAGACACGCTCAAACATCTCCATGAACTCGCCCCGATGCAGGATGGGTATCTGTGGGTTCGCGTGCTCAAAGTACAGCTCAACGAGGCGCGACCCAAGCTCTCGGTCGGGGAAGGGTGCCTGTCGGATGGTGGGTTTGGTCTGCAGCCCGAAGAACGAGTCGCGCATCGAGGTGCCACTGTCCACGACGTTGGTCGTCTTGCCTCCTCGATTGCTGCCGCGCTCCGACGACGATCCTGATACCGAGCTCTTGACGGCCGCAAACACGACTCTGGCAAACGATATGCCGGACGTGGATCCGAGGTAGCGCGGGTCGCTGGCGCCTTGCACCGAGACCATGCCGATATTGGAGACCAGCTTGTTCAGCTTCTCGCGGTCATAGCGGTCGTTCTCTTCCTGCGTCGGCGCGCTCGTGGGCTTTGCGGCGCCATTGCGCTGCTGCGGCGACGCAGTGACAACACTGCCCGTGGTGGTGCCGTTGGACGAGAAGGCGGGGTTGAAGTCTTCGGCGGGCTGGAAGTCGACCGCGTGCTCCTGCAACAGCGTCTCGAGATAGGCGACGCGGGTTTCGAGGTAGTAGACATAGCTGCGTGCGTGTCAGTCGCGCGCCGTGCATCCATCACCGTTCGTGTCTTCCTTGTCCGTACCTGCGGGGAATCTCGCGCTTCGTGATGGGATCGTAGCCCACGCACTTCACGCTCGCCTTGTCACATGACGCGCATGAGGGCAGGCGCTGGTCGCATCGGTTCTTGCGCAGGCGGCAGCGATTGCATGCGCTCACATTGCGGAACGACGATGCAGCGGATGCCGTGGGCACTGTCGGCGAGGCTGGCTTGCCCGAGGCAATGGACGAGTCCGAGGGCGAAGGGAGGTCCGCATCATGGGAGGAATCCTCCAAGGAGCGCTTGAGGCCGCTCATCAGGGCGCATGGCAGAAAATCCGAGGGACCAGACTAGTGTTCGAAGTAGGTTGGGTCGCTTGATGGTCGTGGGTCGTAGGAGCTCACTTCTCTGGATCGCCCGCCGACTTCGAGTGTTCCCCGCACCGCACTTGGGATGGCAAGCAAGCGTCAACGAGCAGGCTGGTGCAGTGTCCGAGGCTTCTTTTGCTCACGTCGACGTCCTTCTGTGGCGTGCGCTGCCATGTCCGAAAAAGCATACAGGCGACGCGCTGCTTCGTGCATGGCTAGATCCCGGCTAAGGCTGTCACTGATAAGAGAGATAGTCTGCCGGGCGGCGGGCGCCCACGTGAGAGCACGTGGGACTACTCCAGCACTCCGCTGCCAAGCGGGGGACTTGATCAACCTCCCCAGATATAACCCCGTACGAGTCTACTCCGGTTTGGGCATGTGCGCTGCACTCCACTCCGTGCAATCATAAAATTCCATCTAGACTTATTATTAGCTTGCATCTCACATGCCCAGCCGGTGCAATTGTACACATCTGCCCTGTCTTGACCTAGGCTTGATCCATTGTAGCCTCCACGCAGGGCCTGGCCTGGCCTCACCACCTTGACACGCAAGCCGTGACGTCTGTATACAAGCTAGAAATGTCACATGCTCTGCCATGCTATGCAACGGTCGCATGTCGCTCCCACCTAGGGTATATCACCCATGACTCGGCAGCCACTTTCTCCTTCACGACACACCGCATCTAGCACACCGATGGGCGTCTACCCGGCGTAACCGGTCCGTCCCACTACGGGTGCGGCTTTATTGACCTTGCCCTGCACGTAGCCTGACTATGACTCCTGCTGCTAATGCAAAAGTCGGTGTCAAGCAGGCTGAATCGCAGGTGCATCTTACAATCCACATGCATAGCGCTTCACAAAGCAGTGCAAGAGTTTCAGAGCAGAAGGGGGATTATAGCATTGCCTGAGCGTACTATTCTAGTAGGATACAATCCCGGAAAATACAAAAACATCGCTGGGGTATTCTGTTGTTTTGGAAAAACGCCTGCTCGGGATTACCAATCGCTGGTGTGAGCTTGCCTTCTAAACATGTCGCCCAAAAAAAACCCCTCCCATCAAATGATGCTGCCCATGTCCCTGCGCCGAAAGAGATGCGCCAGCCAAAATGCGAGCTCCGAAATGAGTCGAGAGCGTGAAACCTAGATGCGAGATATATAAACTTGAAAGAACTCCGGAATTTTTCGCTGCCAGCGCGTTGTGCGCGAGATGAGAGAAAGTACGTGCGCCGTCATACGTCGTGATGTAATCGTCTATTTGGAGAGTGTCTCCATTGGGTCGTCGGGAGTCAGCGTCATGACTGATGCTGTGTCGTCGAGTAGAGTCTCTTCGTCCCGTGGTTGCTGTTTCTTGCCTTCGGACAAGACAAAGCCTGGGGCCCATCCCAGCAATGCGACCCCGGCAATGGTCCACCAAGCGAGACCGGACATGTTGTGCTTCGTGCCAATGCCGTCGATGAGGCCCGATACAGTGGGACCGAATCCGCGCGAGATGCTAGCGGAAGAGGCCGCTGCGCCATTCAGGGTGCCGAGCACTCTCTTGGAAGGAGAGGAGTTGGCCAAAATGATGGCGAGCGACGGGTAGGAGAGCGATTGAAAGGTGACCTTACCCACCAGGAGGGCCATCAATCCAGGGATGCGAAGCTTCTCGGGAAGCAACGCCAAGTATGGAGCGAGAATGTAGAGGATAGGGTACAGAGAAAGTGTGATCCAGAAAGTGCGTAAGCTGCCGAGCTTCTTGCTGAGCCAAGGGAACACGATGAGCTGAGCAAACATCTGCATCGCGCCTTGTGTAGCTAAGAATGCTCCATTCATTTGGGTCGACCAACCAAATCCTCCTTTGAAGTGGAAGGGAAGACGAGTCTCACTATGGTCGGGCGCTTCCTTGGACATGAGGATCGGCAGCAACTGTTCCAGAGAAATTGTGTGGCTGCATTATTGTCAACAAATGTCGTTTACGACAAGAAGAGAAAGCGCTTACAAGGCGAGTATGCCGTAGCACACATATACGTTAAACACACCTGAGTGGTGAAAGCTTGTCGAGCCTGAGGCGCTGGTTGGACCGTCTTGTCTAGGGTAAAGGGCGGAGGTTCGGAGATTGAGGTGCGCCTGCTGCACAGAGTCGGGGTGCTAGACGTGCTTTGATATGCCTGCTCGTCGAGGTCGTGGTCAGCGAGCATGGATGTCATCTCGTCTAAGGAAGCATCCTTGTCGCTGAATGGCGCATCTGCATCTTGTCTCCAGATCTTACGCAGGACCCATTGCCCCGCCTCGCGGCCACAGTCTCGGTCATACTTTCGGTCCTCATGCGTCTCCTCCAGGAATAGGATCCCAACCGCAAGTCCAAACAAGACCACCATGGTGCAGAAAATATTTGGAAGCAGGTACGGGTACGTCTCGAAAATGGTGCCTCCAAACGTGCCGGGCCATTGAAGTGCAGGCCGGGCGAGAACTCCGCCAAGGAAACCGCCGACGATAGTGCTGTGAAATAGCGGTCAGTCGAGTACGAAAACGTCGCGCGCAAAAGGGAGCTTACCCAAGGCACCAGACAAAAGGCATGATGGAATAAGCGCGCGCTATGGGTTGTTAGGTTCCGATCAGCATTGTATTAAGATTGCGGCGGACATACGTTGGTGCTTCTCGTCTGTGACCAGCTCAGCAACGGTGGTTTGGAGCACGCCGATGTTCCTGCATGTTCGGTTAGCAGCTGTTCGCACGCTAATCGGTGCGATGACCTCACCCGTTGAGCAAACCTCCGAGAGCCCGGGCAACCATTGCCATTGGTAGGTTTTTCGCGAAGCCAAAAAGGATCATGCTAAGTCCTGTGCCAAAGAGGCCACCAAGGAGCACTCGTTTGCGCCCAATGCGATCACTGAGACGGCCCCAGAATATCCCGCTGATGCACTCTGCGAATGCAAACGACGACGTGATCATGCCGACGTACATTGAATGCGCGCTCTCGTCCTTTGCGATGCCGAAGTCCTGGATCATGTAGTAGGCGTAGGGAAATATGGACATGAAGGCGATCGGTTCACAGATCCGACATAGGGCTGTGGTCGGTCGTTAGTACAAAGTTCAGAGCTTCCAATTGAGGTGGTCCTACCCAGTATGGCCATCTGTTGCGTGGGGAAAGGGGTCTTGCTTCTGCTCGAGGCAGACGTGCCGCCATACCGAGCCATGGTGCGTGTAGTGTGCGGATGCGATTCAAGAGGTGAGGGTGAGGAAAGGTCTTGGTACTATGGGTGCTGAGAGCCGTAGGTATTTGAAGGATGGACCAGGCAAGACAAATAAGACATGTGCAGACTTGCGACAAGTTAAAGTACCGCTAGGATTGCGGAGGAGTCAGTTTGCCCAAGGGTGCGAGCGTCACAGGATATATAGCGACGAGCAAGATTTAAGTGGCGTCCTGAAAGCGGATGGCCCGCTGGGACGGACAAGGATTGGGGCGGCGGGGAGGACACGGAGAACAGGCGATGATGGGTAGTGGGTTTGTGTACGTAGTGTGTGCGGATAGGGACAGCAAGAGAAGCAGCGAATGCAAATGAGGGCGGATCTGTGATGCCATGGTCCGACGAAACAGAGCCATGGAAGATGCCGATAAGCGACCGGAGAGCTGTGCTGGCGACGAAATTACAGCTAGTGCCTTGTCATCTGTGACTCCAGGTCACCGGAAGGGAAGGGCAGCAGTGCCCAAGAGAAAGAGTGGTCGCTGCCCTTGCAAGGTGGCTACCCCTGATCTTGCAGACTTGCACAAACTAAAACCGGGTAGGAGAGGCACCCACGACATTGGTGCCTCTAGACGGAAACGAGTAAGGTAGTGCAAGAGCGTTGTGGGAGTTAGGACGAGGTGCCATGACTTGGGTGAGCAGCGGCGGGATCCCTGTCTTACAACGATCAACGACGCATGCTGGCTTGCAGTTAGCGTCGCCTGTACGAATCCGCGGCGACGGTTCGCGCACCTAACGTTGGCGCCCCGACTGGCCATCCCTGCACTGGGCCAAGGATGAGCGACCTGCCGGCTGTTCAGCGCCGCTCAAAGTATACCGCAAGAGGAAACGGAAGCTTGCCATGTTCCCCGCGGCAAGCAGGCTAGGTTCCGGCGTGCATGTCAAACTTTCGCTGCTGTGAGCCTGGTCAGACCGTCAGGGGCACGTCGTGTCTGGCCGCGAGTCAGGTTGCCTTTTTTTGCTTTACCAGAGTGCAGCCGTGGTCGCCGTATCGCCCGCGACGCCTGCGAAGCCTGCGAAGCCCGTGAAGCCCGTGAAGCCCGGCAGGGATTGTGCCCTACTCAGGTCTGCCATTGAGTGGTGTCGTTGCCCGCAATGGCTCCGGCAGGGCCAGAGAATGGCGGTGTGCGGCGCACTACTGGGTGTTGTATATCGTCCACCGAGTTGGCGAACGCCTGGCCACTGGTTGCCGTCACGCGGCGGAGCGCAGCAGTCATTCTTACATCGCCTTGCTGCCATGCCATGTCCAGAATCCGCATGATGGTCGACGACCGACAACGCCTCTGTCGGCGCTTCGACAGGGCGTTTCGCGCAGACGCAGCGCACGTGTCGCCGCCTCAGATCAGTCCGTGGCGCGCCCCACCATGCGGCGATTTAATTTGTATCCAGCCCTCCACTCAACCTCACGCCGCCCGACTTTGAAACTTCCGCAACCTTGCGTCCAACCGAGTCGCAGGACGTGGCTCGGCTGTGCATGCCCTATGTCACTACCGTACACCGTCGTCAGTCACAATCAGCCCATCTGCGTCCTAGCGACGCCCCAAGGACCTGTCAGCTGACCGTCTGGTGCGCCTATCTGCGTCAACTCGACCATGGCCCATGGTGTCTGCGCTGCGCTGGCCGTCACTAGAAATACCACGGTACCCTCTGCGCTTGCCAGCTTTGCCGGGACTTGCTCCGTCGTGTCTCGCTAGTCAAGCTATCGCAGTAGCCCGGTGATAAAGCGCAACGGCCGTTTCGACCTGAGCTGCGCCCAGCAATGTACATGTAAGGCTGACGCTGACCGGGATGCATGCATACTTCCCACGCGAGGACTTCTACGCGAATTCTTAGCGTCTTCTGGCGGCCCTGGGGTTCGCTTCGATGCTTCTGTCAATACTTCCTTTAGGCGCTGCTTGAGTCGCCCGTTGCAGTCACCGTCTGTCGTACTCTACCACCATATACACGCTTGCGCCGGCAGATGGTGCTTCGGCTATTGGCTTCTAGGATGTCCTAGGGCAGACATAGATGTGATCTGCCCAACCGACCCGGGGCGCTGGGAGCCATGATTTTCTCCGATCTCCTTGCAAGCGCCATACACAGCTCAATTGGAGGAACCACCGTCAAAGCATCGTCCTGCACCTCCGCATCGACAAGCTCCGACACGAGAGAGGTGCAGCCTGCATGCGTTGACTGGAGCCAGCACACGGCCCCAACCCACAGAGTTGCACAGCATAGCCCCATGCAGATATGCGTGTAATACAGGATTTGTTTTTTTATGCTGACCCTCGAAACCAGATGCAGATTGTGATTACGACCAGAATTTCGGTCGGGTCGCATTGTCTTTGCAACGGCCCGTCCGGTGAGGTGTGACCTGACTGCAGGTTTTCTTGTGCAGTCACCGGTGTGCGGGTCTGCTTGCTGTCGATGCGTGTCTATGACTGTAGTCAGTTACGTCAACAAACAGGCGTACAAATCGATAGACAGGCGATGTGCGAAGCACAAGGAGCTCATTTTCTTGGCCCGTCTGCGCGACGCCTCGCATCCTTTGTAGCGCTACGAAGAGCCAACCACACAAGTTCTGGGTCCGCTAGATAATCAGAAAATAAAACCCGGTTGTGCGACACCATCTTTGCCATGTCGTACTGCTTTTGGCGTTATGGTTATGATGCGTTGCGCCGGCAAGGTATTCCGACCATTAGCATTGCATCATTTGACTCGGCAATGCCACGTCGACGGATCCGTGTGCAGGACCATGGCCGTGTGATCTGCGCGCATCTCCTTTTGTAGACAATGCGGTTGGAGTTGACAGGGCGACGGGTCATGCCCAGGTGTTGGTGTGTTGGTCGTGACAGCAGCGAGGCCGCTGACAACCTGTGGACGGGACGCTTACCTCAGCGTTCGGAATGCCGACCGCCCATCCTTCGGGCACGACGCTCCACTCCAAAGCCAACAGTCAGATTTCAATTTCAAGACATGCCGCAGCCGGTTACCCTGCCACACTTACCGTCCTTCCGCAAGCAACATCTGAATGTCGAGTTCGCCTCGCTGCGTTCCGCCAAGCTCGATGGTGTCTTCGTGAGCATCACGCCTAGTGATCCAACGCTGTGGGTTGGCGTGATATTTGTTAGGAGAGGTAAACAGACGCAAATAATGCAATGCCAATCTACCACACACCACTGCGGCGTATTCACTTCCGACAGGTCCATATGCCCCTGCGGTCCTGCGCTTTCAGATATCTTTCCCACCTAGTTATCCCGCTCTGCCACCACTCGTGACCTTTTCTACCGATGTCTTCCACCCACTGCTTACGCCTCTCACCACCTACACTTACACGACTGGATCGCTGGATACCGATACCGTTAGTGCGACCGACGATGAGAGATTACCACCGGGAGGCTTCAGTCTCCGTCACGGCTTTCCGCAGTGGTTTGGACGAGCTCGAAGATCGGCACCTAGCTCGCGCGATGTCAGCGGATCCACAGTGAGTAGCCCGGACCGGATCACGACCCCTACCCGCCCAACAGTCGACACAACTCCCCTCGTTGTAGAGCATGTCTCCATCGTAAGCATCCTGGAGTATATGCGGTCCACATTTAGTGAGGAGAGTGTCCTCGATTCACTTCCTCTCGAAGCAGCGGCGAATCCCGGCGCTTATCACGCCTGGCGGACATATAGAGCACCAATTTTGCAGAATCAGCAACCACTGGTACCAAGCGCTGACATCGCACTGGCTGAACAAGCGGGAGACACTACGACTCTAGGTCGAAATCGTCGTCCGGGAGAGTGGAACTGGGAAGGAGTGTGGGAAGAGCGTGTCAAGAAGGCTGTGAAAGCGAGCCTGTCGGAGCCTGTTCTATTTGGCACGGAAGACATCGTGAGACCAGCTTCACCCTTTTACCAGTAACTGTGACTGATGCGAGCAGATACGATTTCGAGATAGTGACGAAGAGACCACAGAGAGGATGAGAAGACAGCTGGAGGCGACTGCCACGAGCAGCACACAGGCATAGGGGCTCATAACATCTGGCACATTCAATGAATTCAGTGTCCATGCCCAAGTCCTTATGATCTTTGTGAGGGAAGATCGGACTGGTCTCATAAGCAGCAGGTGTGCGTTATGGCTGTTGACAAAACGAGCTCTCTGCTACTTCCCAAAGCACTGCTGATTTCAGTCACGTCATAGCTTCTCATTCCACCATTTACAACACATCCTCCTTCATCGAGCGCACATATCAGCTAGCGACAAGAAAGAATACTTTTTACCCATCTTTACACGCTTCTGTAGCTTTGGCGCATGCTAATTGTCCTGTGTTGACTTTTGCCGCGGTGAAGGCCGCCACCACGCGGTGAAAGAGAGCCTGTTTGTTTTCATTTCGACGCGACACCATGGCCGCGACTATGCTCGACAGCTTTCTGCTTCCACATCCCACCATACTTTGTCCTCCTCCACTGCAGTTCCAGAAGAAACCCCGCAAGACGACCATCCGAAGGCGCATGCTCCGCAGGGCCACCCAGACTCAGAGGCAAACTGTCCATGGTCCTTTAGACGACATCATCGCCGAAATCAAGAGCGACATTCGTGAGTCGCCACCGGAATTTGTCGCGAGCCCGTTATTTCTCGATTGGGGTAACCCGCTTAAGGCACCGTCGACTTGGGCTGTGACACCGCTACCAGTCAGTCGTGCTCCCAGTAACCAACCCCTGACAATCCGCAAAAACAGAAACAGTCGCTCTTCGGCATCAGGCTCCAGCATGGGTGATTCAACATCGTATTCACGCAACAGTAGTCACGATGAGCTTGTGAGCAACAACACAGTAGGTACACCGTGGCCTTCGTTCGACGGAAGTTTGCCGCATGTACCAACCAAGGTCTCGAATATATCCCATACCACTAGCTACACCGAAAATGCCATTGCGCAGAGGAGCCTTGAAAGCGCTGTTGAGCGGGCAACTAGCACTGGCGGAACGGTGCCCCAGCGGCGCCCGTCGCGTTTGCGTATGTTCACGAATGGATTCCCACGTCTACGCCGCATGGGAACAGGAGACACGAACACCAGCACTGTTGATGTGTCCGAGTCTGCATCGCCAAACACTGCAGCAACAACGCCGCCTGCAGGTTCTGAGGACAGCTACGAGCCAAGTGACGAAGCTGTGAACGTCTATATGAAGAGGAACGCACACAAGTAAGTCGAAGGGTGGTCCTCCGTCGCGCTGTCTAAATGCCGTCAGCTGCACACGTCTCCGGAGTATGATGGAGCGCATGGCCACACGACTTCCAACCCCGGTCGAGAACGAGCCTGAGCTTGGAGAAGAACAATCTCTAAAGCCGCGAACGATGCCTACAACTCTGAGAGCAGCAATCAGAGTCTTCCCAGAAGTCAAAATTTTGACGAAGGATGTACAAGAATTCAGCGTGGCCATAGAGATTGAAGGCGTGCTCCACAACCGCAATGCACTATCTTGCGCAACAATTGACGTGGTCTTCGTTGTGGACAACGGGTATGACATCAAAGTGGTTGAAAAGGACTGGCTGACCGTATGCAAAGATATTATGTCACGAGAAAATGCCTTGAAAAGGCCGCGGACGCGGTCAATGGTGCCCTCTACCATATGCAACGCGGCGACCGTCTGGCTCTTTACACAACGCACTGTGTGCATAATACTGTCACAGGCAACAGACCAGAGCTACACTACCCGCTAAGACCATTCACTACAGACAGTGAGGACGTTTTCCAGGATTTGACTGCTAGTATCTGTCGGTGCGGAACACAGACTTGGCAGCCTACCCGTCCCAATCCGTCTATGACTGACGTTGTCCTTGGCGTGGCGAGATCTCTTGAGAAAGAAGACTTGAAACACGGTCGCACTCATATCATCTTGCTTTCATCGGCAGCTTACGTCCTACACGATATTTCGAAGACCCTCCCAAACCTAGCAGTTCATCGTATCAACCCGGCAGCTCTGCCTTACCGCCGCGAACCCGAGCTGCAGGATACAACATGCTTCGACGCGTGTTGCAAGAACGTCTTCGCTAGCAATTGGACATCCTACCAGTCCGCACCTGGTCGCATCAAGCGAGTGTTGAAGAACGCTCGGTCCATGGGGCCTATTGGAGAATTGACGAATGTTTCCCTGGATCTACGAGCCAGGGAAGGATGCGAGCTCATTGAGTACTTCGGCCGCTGGGACATACCTCATCTGCGCCTCGGACAAGTACACACAGTGTTCGCCAGGATCCGCGTGTATCGAACTCGGACGCAGAGCGCGGATCTGCAATCTGACAATCCCATTTTCAATTCTAGTCTGGACGTCAAAGGCCTGAGGAAGAACCTACACAATGCTCTAGCTCTCGGCGCAATCAAGGTCCATCTTTTCGACGTGCAGCTTTACCATCGCAACTCCATCAATACGGTCGACTGTTGGAATTATACCGAAGCTCCGCTGATCACTACCCTTGAACTCGGTCGTTTGGCGGCTCCTCTTGACAACTCTCTGGACTTGTACAAGCGCCTCTACTTCAATAAATTCGTCCAGCTGAAGACCGAAGATGCTCAGATTGAGGCCGAGAATCTACTCGCCATTTTGAGCATGGACAATCAAGCAGCCAGAAAGGTAGTCGAGCAGATTTACCAGGAAATCAAATGCCAAGTCAAGATACGAGAGTACGAACAGGACTATCGCCAGAGACTGCCTCTGTGTCCCGGACCAATTGACATCGAGTCGCCGCACGAGTGGCTCTTGGAGCTATGGAACAAAAGGAAAGGCAAGCGGAATGGCGTCACGGTCAGGAGAGGAACACTGAGCTTGGCTGATGGTCTGGAGCGTCTACCTTCGTGAACGCAACATTGGCTGATGCAAAAGATGTGTTGGAGTCTAGCGGCATTCGAAGTGTGCATTGACCGTTTGGCTACCGTGTTCTGGAAGCACACTCTTGGAGGTTGAGGCTTTGTGTCTACCATTCTTGGCAGCCAAATGCCGGCGACCTGGCACCTGGGGTACATCATCGCTGCTAGGTCCATTTTGAGAGTAAGGGATCTTTGCTGCTTTGGTTCCACCCCTGGCTCATCATGTCTCGTAGAAGAGAAGAAGAAGAAGCAATCAGCGGTGAAGGAGGACCCTGTACAACCATAGCCAAGAATATTCCCCCCATGCATCACGAGGCTGTCCCATCATGCAAAGCTACTGAGCTAGGCGATCCTCTCCACCCCCTTGCACGCAATGATGTCGGCCGAGCAAGCTAAGTCCTTGCAGCCCAACTTTTTCGAAACCTCGTGTCCCGCGAATCATCAGGAGCAAGGGCTCCCTTTGCCCTCTCTCCCCCCTGGACCCATTTATCTTCGCTCATCTTAGCGCAGCAAATCGGGGCCTTGTCCGGCGCCTATCCTAGAGCCCCACGCGAGACTTGTGAACGATGCGCAGAACCCACCCCCCGTCATGATGATTTTAAGAAAGCCCGATAAGGCCCCGTTCGGTTAATTCCTCTCATCGCCCGCGCTATGGCTCAGAAGGGAAAGACGGTGCGTGCGCGCGGAACTGGGAGCTTTGATGCCGAACCTTCTGCTTTAGGTCGCTAGTGTCGCGCGTGCCGATCGTGATGGGCATTGGGTTGCAGGGATTCGTGTCATAGAGTTTCGAGGGGGTGGGGGGAGGATTTAGAGTTGGAGGGGTCGGGGGTCGGTTTGGGGGAGCCGTTTCCTGCAGCGCTTGTTGGACTGGCGGGGAATGTCTGGTTATGGTTTTGTGCTTTTTGCCTTGGGATAATAGGATGACGGGGTTGGCAAAGTTTGTGCGAGGCGGGAGGTTCGTCCGGTGGGAAAGACGTTGGTCCGGAGGAGGGGAAATGAGGTTGGCATAGGCCGGTATTACACCGTGAAGCAGTGCAACAGTGCAGGAACGGCTCGGAAGCGATGGTGTGAAGTATAATGGTTGATGAGGCCACTCTGAGGAGCAGGCGGCTGTTGTTACAAGACGGACGGGCGGCCTGGAGGTCATGGCGGCACAATTTGCTTCTTGCGAGTCCCCTCGTCGTGGTCGCTTTTGCTCGTATAATGATCATCCGATGATTGTCTTCATTTCGATCATTGGTCGATTCGCTTGCTATTAGAGATAGGCCTGAATCGATGCTCGATATTGTTCGTACCCCTTGGACAGGACGCGTATCCGTTCGCTAACCGAGACACTCTTACTTGAGATTATCATTAAGAGCTGTTGAGGCTTTTCTGAAGAGCCGAGGTTATGAATTCCCTTTGGTGATGTTACATGCCATGAACACAGCCCACCGGCTATCCTTGTTATTCTCCGTGCTGTCAGCGACCAAGTATAAGAGCCAGACACCAAGCAGACTCGTTCCAACAGCCCTGTCGCCGCTCGAATTTAGAAACCTGTGCACGCAGTACGGTCTTATTCAGATAGCTATTGTTTGACCCTATGTACGATGCGGAAGTTGAAGGTAGGAAAATATTGGTAGGATATTCGCAAGTATTGGCTTCCGAACCACAAGAAGACTATCAAGACTGGCAATATAGCTTCGATGAGAACATTTCAATTAGACTGTAGCTACTACCTCTAGGTATCGAACCACTCTAGAGGGTCGTCCTTCTTGAAAATAGCTCGGTACACCCTGTCACCATCCTCCTTGATGACTTCTTCCGTATGGATGCTGTGAAGCTTGTACTCGCGCTCATCAGCGCTGCTGCCATCTGTACCGTCCTTCGCTGAGCCAAAGATGCGCACATGAATGTACGCACCGCTAGCCGCGGGTATCTGGACCTTGCCGAAGATGTGCAGGCCGTATGCGGAGGCAGCTACACGGACAGATTCGAGGTTTTGGGCTGAGAAGGAGGCAAGGTCCGAGTCTGAGAGGTCTTTTATGGCGCGGAAGTATTCGGGTTCGTGTTCTGCAATAGCTTGTTAAGAGAAGGTCTGCGCGGTTGGTGGTGGGTATGTACTGTCGTGATCGCGACGCAGCTTGACGAGCTCCTGCTTCACGGAGTCGAGGATGGAGCTGAAAGCATCGATTGAGGCTTGATGCGGCGCGTGGGCCTCGTTGAGCTGGACTGTCTCTTCGGTGGCCATGATCGAAGCTGGTGCTAGAATTGTAAAAGTAAGTTCGTTTGGGAATTATCAGGTGCTGGATATTCAAGAGGTACTATATATCCTTCAATCATATACAACCTGTAGTATGACGTGTGTTCAGGTACGCAAGATGAGGCATGGCAAGTTTCAGCGAAGTTCTTGGAAGTTGGCGGGGTAAACCTGAATTCAGCATCTAGGATCGATCGAAATGGTCAAATGAATGCAATCGCATGTGGCAGCACATATGGTCTGGCAAACCGAAAGGTCAAGGTTGATGCATGGAAGCACGATGCTCGACGTTTATAGTGGCGATTCGATGGAAGAGTCCAGGGTCCAGCACTAGGACGGCTGTACTCACGTGACCATCGGTCAGTGCCCGGAACTCCTGTCTGTCCCTGGCGATGGCATTTCTCATACATGTGCAATAGCTACCTGTAGACTATAAACAGGACAATGCGATATATACAGTGCGGAACTAGCTAGCAACCTGGCTTTTTTCATCGGATGCTTATCCGACGGCAACATTTACCTGTAGGGCGTGCTACGAGGCGTGTTCTAGCTCTGCGACCAAAGTGATAAAGCAATTAGGACCCATCCAACCATGACACGTCCGGATTCTCAACTTCCTCAACACTTTTACAACTACTCGGACTTTTTAAGCACAAATTGTTCATCATGTCGACCACAGCGACCACAGAAGAGTACATTGAGCTCTCCACCTTCAATGCTGCTCCCTTTACGCCACTGAGCAAATCGACACATTCGGTGACTCAACCAGTGTCAACAGTCCTTGTCCCAGATGAAGTGCCTGAAGATGCCCCATACTCCGTGTCAGCGATACCCGACGGCGGTTATGGATGGGTAATCGTTTTCTCCGCCTTCCTCACCACTTTCTGCCACAACGGCATCATCAACTGCTGGGGTGTGCTCCAAGCCGCTCTTCTGGATTCCACCCTTAGCCATGTACCAGCATCTACTCTCGCATATGTGGGAAGTGTGGCACTCGGCGGAGGTGCATCATGTGGTCTTCTCGCAGTCCGAATGATGCGCTATTTTGGCTCACGCACGACCATACTCATTGGCGTAACCTTTATGGGCATGGGATTAATCGGTGCCAGCTTCTGTACATCGAATCTTGCAGGGCTTTTTGGAACTACTGGACTTCTCTGCGGTCTTGGAATGGCTATGGTTTATGCTGTGACAAACGCGCTGCCTGTGCAATACTTCAGCGCACGTCTTGGACTTGCGAACGGAATCATCAAACTCGGTGGTGGTGTGGGTGGATGTGTTATGGCCATTGCCCTAGAGGGCATGTATCAAAGAGTTGGGATCGCCTGGACTTTTCGAATTCAAGGACTCATGACACTGGCGCTCGGTGTGCCAGCGGCATGGATGCTGAAAGATCGAGTTCCACTAAAGAACGTCCCTTTCGTCGACTGGTCCATGTTTCGCTCAGTCCCTTTCATCGCTACTTTCATCGCCAGTGCAATCGGAGTTTTCGCCCTCTTTGTCCCGCCTTACTACCTACCTCTATTCGCTCGATCGATTGGACTGAGTTCTAGTACAGGAGCAGGTCTGGTAGCAGCATTCAATGCTTGTAATGCTATCGGCCGCTTTGCGGCCGGGCCATTATGCGACAAGATCGGGCCTCTGAATATGTTCGTCATCACCATGGTTCTTAACGCTGTTAGCATGTTAGCCATATGGCCCGTATCGAACTCCTTAGGACCACTGGTTGTGTTTGCCATGCTCAACGGCATCGCCAATGGCTCCTACTTCACCACTCAGCCGACAGTAGTCGCCGGTATCTTCGGTCCCGGGAGAGCAACAGTCGCCATGAGTATGTCCGTGACTGGGTGGTCTTTCGGATATTTTATGGGGGCGCCCATTGCTGGCTATCTCTTGCAAGCTGCGGGTGGTAGGCAAGAAGATGGCGTGGGCCAAAGTATCAACGTTTATCGGCCTGCAATTTTTTACGCAGGCGGCATGGCTACTCTATCTGCACTATGCGTGCTCGCCGCTAGACTGACAGTCGCGAAGAAGTTCCGGAAGCGCGTATGAACATGTCTTCCTTCTCTTGTCGAACATCTACTCGACCACGAAAAAAAAGAATTGTAAAGTGCAGGCGTTACATATGGAGAGGAAAAACAAAATGTCTACGTGTCTCCCAAATGATACCGTCTTACCCATCGATGCGACCATCCTCCAGGCTCTCTATCATCTTCTCCTTCCACATCATCTTCCACTCCAACGTCATCACCCGTTGTGCTCATCCTTCTCCCATTAACAGACACCCGGATATTGTGCATACTAGATCGACGCACTGTCGTTGAGACCACGACGTTGTACTCATGAGTTACATTGAAGGCGTCATTCTGTGTAGGCCAAGGGTACATCTCAGCGCGGCAGTTGGGGCATGTGTTATCTGTGCGGGCCCATCTCTCGATGCGCCAACGGCAGAAGACATGTCCGCATTTGATGATTGTTGCGGCGACTTTGGAATTTTCGGCTGCACCTGATCTTGAGATGGTGTCGGAACTGCTGTGGGTGTTGCTGGTCGGCAACGCAGTCGTAATGGCTTCGAAGCAGATGGGGCAATTTTCTGGGTATCTGTCGGTATTGACGGTCGCGCGTAGGGCGCTGTCAGCGACGGAGCAACGGCGATATGAGGATGTCGACATGTTATCCTAGGGTGAAAGAGATGGGAGAGGTGCTTGAAGTTTTCACAATGAATTAATGCGAACAAACGCGCAATGCGCAAACCCAAGTTGGAAAGTGACGACGAGCTGCGTTGTTGCAAACGAGCACGCGGCAAACGATCAGGCAGCAAAACCACAGTAACAGAATTAATTGAGATTTGGTCTATTTCATTGTAGTATGTTACGAACATCTGAGCTGACTCAAGGAAATCTAAGAAGATGTCTAAGGGAGACGGGGAGACAGTAGGTTCACAACCCGGATGATGCCAGTATCGCAAGCCTGCGAAACCACCTCCAACTATTCTTTCCAAGCAAAAGGTGTCCGACCTGAGATTGATAAAATCAAGTCGTCCGACACCAGCCCCCATGTGCTGAATCTGGAGCTTCCTCATCAATTGTAGTCCTCATGATCCTCCTCTTCCTCCTCGTCATCACCGTCTTCGCCCTCAGGCTCATACTCACTTCCCGACTCCATCTCTTCATCCTCACCCTCCAATATATCCTCATCCTCTTCGCCCCCAGACGCACCCTCCATCAAATCTTCATCCACCTCTTCCTCTTCCCCACCGCCAACATACTCCCAACTAACCTCGAACCCACTCGCGCGATGCATCTCAATCGCAAACTCCCCTGATCAACACGCCAACCCGTTCGCTGGATAGCGTTTGCCTGATCATCAGCGCAGTCTCTTCATCCTGCATATCTCTTTCGATGAAGCTCGCAAATTCGAGTCGTATGGCGCGTGTCGGCCGGCGCATGGCTAGATGTATGTGCGGAGGGAATAGTGTAGTGTTGCACTCAGGACAGCGATTGGACGTGCTGTTTTTGAACCAGGAGTGCAAACACGTCGAGCCAAAGATGTGGTTGCAGGGAGAGATGCGAACAGGTGATTCGGGAATGGGATCGTCATCGGGACTGGGTGCTCGGGCGTTTGGTATGGGGTGCAAGTTGTTGCAGGGGAGTATGGGAAAGCGGTATAGAGCCGCGCCCTCGATTTCAGGGACGTACGATTGCGCGGTTTCTGAGATAGCTAGAGGCTCCCGACATATGGAGCAATCTAGGGGTTTGTCGAGAGTTGTTGCCCAGAGGCCGATGGCGAGGAAGTCGCTTTTGGAAGCATAGGGTGGTGTAGAGACTTCTGGCTTGCTCATTCTAGAGCGCGGAGTGGTTCGCGATGTGATTGTAGGAGATGTAGATGGAGACAGTAGATATAGTTGAATATACTCGCAAAGCAGATACCGGAAGGCGGTGGTTGATCGATTGCAGTTGAAGTCATATACAGCGGTCAGGCGTAGGATTGAAGCCAGTCACGGCACAGTATACGCTTCACCAGAGGCGCAGGCAGCAGCACTAGGCAAACGGTGGCACAATGAACTATGAAGACAATAGAATACAATAGTACTACCTAGCCGTGAACAAACAATACGATGAACAATAAGTCTGGAAATCCTCACAGCTCTATCGGCAGTAAACAATCGATCGTCAGATCATGCAGCAGCCTGTATACTTTCGACAACAAAGCGATACATAAAACAGCAAACAACGCCGCAAAGTCCTCCAGCCCACCCAATTACTCAAGCTCAAACTCAAACTTGGCCGGGAGATCCGCGATATCCTTGACAGGTTCACCTTCAAGCTCCTGCTCCTCCGACTGCGCCCTTGTTGGCGCAAACTCATCCGCCCAATCCTCCGAGGGGAAAAGCTTGACCCAGCAGAACGGGCACTAATTTGCTTCCTCGAACCACTGAATCGCACACTCTTTTCCCAATACGTGGCCATAGGCTGTGATCTTGATCCCTGGTTCGGCTTCGTCTTCGATACCATGCTCGTGGGGTTTGGCGTCCGCGCTGCGAATTTGCTTTATGCAAACATCGCAGTCCCCTTGCTCGACGGGCTTGTAGCATTCGCTGTGGAAGGTTGCATTGGTATAGATGTAGGGGGGAATATATTGTGGTAGTGGTTGCGGTGGTGCGGTGTGGAGAGGTAGGTGTTGTGATGATAATTGTGTGAGTGTGAAAATGACTTGAAAGTCTGTACATTTTGGCCCAAGACTTTGCGTGTGGTATAAGAAGGTGTGATGGCGGAATGATAGGGAGTTCTAAATTAAACAGAAGATAGAAGGTAGAAGAAGCTTAGACTGTGATCTTGCGTGCGAATGTGGTGTGCCATTTGGCTTCGAGCATTAGTGAGCTGAAAACTTGCCAACAAGCTTTTCAGATCACACAAGACCCTGATCCGCGCTTTGAAGGTCACACCGACTGATGCCTTGAGGCTATTCAGGCACTAGTATTGTTCTCTCAATTGTTGGTAGCATTAGTCATTATAGGCATCCAGCCTACCTCACCGCTTAGCGACGACAATAACACCCCTTACGACACCAGACCGGCCCCACCACTTGAATAGTGACCCAGCAACACCAAATTTACCAATACCCAGGCCCAGCGTCTTCAGTCTGCGGTCTTGCTCGTCGAGGTACTGCGCCAAAGGCGCAAAAACGCGCTCAGATATGTCCACGATCTTGATAGCATCGTCCGAATATCCCACGTCTATCAGTTTCTTACGATAGCCCTCCGGTGTAGAAAAGTTTGCGAAAGGAGCACCCATGAGTGAGGTCAAAATCCGCAGAATGAGCCTCTGGGTGAACGTGGCATCTGGTGAGAGGCATAAGTCAAAGGCCATGAACGACGCTTCCAGATTTTTGTGTGCGTGCTCGACCATAATCCAGCGAGAAGGACCGAAATGATATGCTGTGTCCAGAGCGAGCACCCAACGTTCTGAGCAATCTCTAGAAGCAGCTTCGATGCTTTTCTGAACTTGCTCGTTCCAAGAGGCGGGCTTCGCAGCATCTGCGCAGAAGATCGAGATGTTCGGTGTATTACTCGCTTCTTCATCGACGCGGTCTAGCTTCCTACTCTTTCTCAGCTCATCAACCCGTCCCAACGCATGACGAGCCTGTACATGGTCGTTCGTAATGCCGATATAATGATCGAATTCAACGCATGGCTCTTGCATATCCCACCAATCGCGGTCGCAAGGTCGGATTGGTACTTTGCTTGTGAGGTATATTGTCTGGTCACCACAGCCAATTCCTAGATCGACCAGCATTTTCTTGCGCCGCGTACCAGGAAAGGTTTGGGTGCTATCGGTCTTTTGCGAAAACCCGGCCTCAGCTAGCACTGCCTTTAGCAGGTCTCGACACGCTTCCGCCAGGGTCGTCGTTGTGCCGGCTTCGTCCCACAACCCCATGTTCATCCACATCGGCGTTGGTACTTGCAGATGCAGTCTGCCATGCTGTAGTCCGTACATTTCGCCTTTCTTGTTCTGTTCACTGCTCTTACTCTTTACTACTGCCCACTTGATGATTGTGTATAGCAGGATCCCTACACAGCAAAGCGCAACTCCACTTGACGGTGCACCAAATATGTCCGTGAAGGCGGGTTGGGTCCAATTTGCGCCGAGGACGAGCCTTGGGAGAACTACACCAATAAAGCATGCAAGCAAGCTATCTATGAGTAGTCGTACTAAAGTCATGGCGTGATGTCAACGGGTAGTGTGGTGGTAGAGGTTTGTGAGGTGCGGCAGGAGCGCCTTTTGCACATGCTAAGCCAGATTTGGACATGGCTTAAGGCCTTCAATAACATCATGAAGCGGGTGGGCTACTGGCAATCAGGCCCCAAAAAATGTGGATCCTTCGTACACGTTATTAAAGATGGGCTGCCTGAACGGTCAATCGGACAATTCTACTAGCACCATGCAGGTTCATCAAATATAAGCTGACAGGATTTTGGTGACCCTCAATTCGTTTATCGCTATTACATTGGGTATCTCAGCGGGCCACGTTGCTACATTCGAGCTTGTTTTTACTGCCAGGGAATATCAACACCAAAGGCGTTGGCCACACGCATCGCTGATACGACACAGCCCTCGAGCAGCACCATGCCATCCCAACACCACCCGCCTGCTAGCCATACATTATCTTCCCCATTCCGCCACCTCGGTACAGATTTATCGTCACTAGAATCCTGTTGGCTTTCGCTGAAGATGGCGTTGACAATGCGTTGGCTCTGTGGACTTCTCAGGACCCGAGTGAACTTCGCCGAATGGATGACAAGAGCAGGATCAAGTGGACTGTACGGGCAGGTAGTGACAATCACTCCACAGCGCTGCACATGATGTGACTCGGATCGTACAGCATCCTTGGTCGTTGTTCGAAGATAGATCATCTGCGCACCATGCTTCCCTGCAGCCGTTCGGACGGAATCCTGCTCGTCCAGTACTGCACGATCGTTGTGCACGACACTTTCCACAAGCGCAGTGGGCATCTGGAACATATGGTGTCGTAGAGGTGCGAATATCCGACCGACAACATCGGGAGCGACTGCAAGAATGATGCGGTCAAAGTACTCGACTTGCATTTGCCCACCACTCTTCTCCCAGGATACCTTCACACCCTTTTCTTGCGGCTCTACGGACTTTACAAATGCGCCTAGCTCGTATTCGACGCCACGAATAAGGCGATCTTGGACAGCTTTGACGCCTGCGGACACGGTGTAGTGTGGCGCGCCGTGTGTTCTTCTTTTGTAGTCCACCATATCGCTTGCTGGGGAATCCAGTAGCGTCTCATGGGGGCACGTCGTAACGCTCGATATGAGTGGCAGAAGGTAGTAGGTCACGAAGCGCTTCGGTGTGCGCGTCCTGCGCAGATATTGCCGCAACGTCTCGCCTGCATGCGGTACTGCGAGGAAGCAGCACAGCGAAAACCAAGCGTAGCATAGTATCAGGTACAAGACCTCCAGGAGGTATTGTATTATTCCGACAGCGTGTGGTCGAGGCGCTCGCTGATGTAGATTGGAGGCATGGACGAAGTAAGAGGAGCCGGCACTCGACAAATCCTCCCGCGCTCCCGCGAACTGAAAGAGGAATGGCTGGGAGTGGTATGGAACTTTGAGATGGTCGTACATGGACTTCAGGTTGTTGTAGAAGTTGCCAGCGAAGGCGCGCATGGGCAGATCGACGCGGTCCGACGACGTTTTCGTGGCATTGGGTATGGATATGGACGCGGAATCGAGCGATAGTGAGGTTCCCTACCACGTCAATACCTATTGTGCATACGAAGCGCGTCCAGAAGAGAAAACCTACCGACTCGAGTACCTTCACAGCATACCGCTGCCGTGGATCATTGTGGAGTAAGTACGCGCTGACTAGCCCCGCCAGGCCAGAGCCTACGATTGCAACACGTTGTTGCTGCTCCATACTGTAGAATGCGTACCAGAGAAGCTATCGAGAGGCATTCAGTGGTGAGGATCCAGGAAGCATGACGTGGAGTTGTTGTTTAGAAATTGTTCCGGATCATGCGCAGCCTGCCAAGCACAGGCGAGGTCGACGAAAGCTCCAAAAGGCAATGCCACCGGGATCTGCACGTGAGGGGCCATATTACTCTCAGGCTAGCTGTCAAAAATGAGACACCGCCCGCGAGACTTGAGACGGAGGGCCGAGGAACAAATATCGTCGTCATGTTGACTGACAGGTAGGGTTGCGATTGGCTGGGCAGGTGCGAAGCGAGCGCGCGTTCCTGGATTCATCATGGCCTTGCATACGTCGGATACGATAGGAACATTGCACACCCCAACCGTTTCTTATAGTGGTCAAGCCTCACTATCAGCGTAGAAGCAACACTCACGACACGGTGGGAGTACTCGACAACCTAGAATCCCGTTTTTTAGGCCTCCAACACCATGGCACCAGCGGAAAGTGGACCCGCCATGCGCATCGCTGTAATCGGCGCAGGGGTACGTGACGAGAGACCCACAACGAGAATTGGTCTAACGCAACAGGAAGCCTGGCGGACTGACGACCTTGAAAACATTGCTCGAAGCATCGACACCAGAAAGGCCAATTGAAGCTGTGCTGTTTGAGGCGTGAGTGGAAGCTCAATCGTCACGTGACATTGCTAAACCCATATCAGCGAAGACAATGTTGGAGGCACCTTCCATTACCGTGCATATGAGAATGCAGAACTCGTGTCGTCCAAACAGCTGACGACCTTTTCCGATCATCGATTTCCCATCGAGACACCAGATCACATTTCACTGCCGCAGTATGTCGACTATTTACATTCGTATGTGGACAAGTTCGCTCTTCAACCGCATCTCAGAATGGGATGTCGTGTCACAGGCATCGAACCGTTGAGCAAAGCGGCAGATAAGAAGTGGAAGCACAGAGTGAATTACACAGACAAGCATAATGGGAACGAACAGCAAACCTTCGACTGTTCACACATCGCAATCTGTACTGGATTGCATGTGGAACCGAACATTCCTAATCTTCCCGGTATCGAAAATATCAAGGGTGAAGTCTTTCACTCTTCCAGCTACAAGAAGCGTGCACAGCTTACTGGTCGGGATGTGTTGATCATGGGATGCGGAGAGACAGCAATGGGTATGTCACATCTTCTTGTCTACGCTATTCTGCTAACACGGCTCCAGACATCGCCTACGAAGCCATCAAATCAGACGCCAAGTCAGTGACCATGTGCTTCAGGACCGGCTTCCTGTCCTTCCCCAAAGCCCTCTCCCGCTTCAAAGTCTTCGGCAAACAATTCAAAGGCGGCCTCCCCATCGACGGCCTCATCACCAACCTCTTCGAAACAGCCTATGTCCACCGCGCCATAGCCGCCAGTCGCTTCCGCTGGTTCGTCTCCGACTTCGTCATCAAGCGCGTCCTCTGGTTCCTCACCGGCACTCAAGCGGGCATGAACCAACACGTCGGCGCCCTCCCCCACGACCGCCTCGGCCGCGCCTTCGTCTTCCTCAACAAGAGCAGCAAAGCCATGCCCTATCTCAACCGCCCCTACCAAGAAAAGCACCCCTTAGGCTTCCTGGGGAACGGCTACGTCGACCCGCCCGAAGACGCGCAGTCTAAGCGCTGGGTCGACACCTGCTCTTTCCCCTCGCACATCGACGCCATAGGCCGCGTGCTCTTCGAACCTCGCCCGGACCGCAAAGACTGGCGGCGTCTCAAGGACGCGGAGATCAGACCGGATTGCGTGGTTTATTGCACGGGCTACAAGCAATCTTTCTCCTGGCTCGACCCCTCGTATCCGACTGCGTCCGACGCTTCGATCCGCAACATCGTCGCGCCGGAGGAGACGAGCATTGCGTTCATCGGCTTCGTGAGGCCAGGCGTTGGCGCTATACCGCCTATCGCTGAGCAGCAGGCGATGTGGTGGACGGCGCTGATTACGGGGCGCATGGCGCTGCCAACGGATCCGCCGCATTATCATCTCCTGGCCAAGTCGTCGAGTCGTATCCAGTATGGCGTCGATCACAGCGCGTATATGAGCACGCTTGCGAAGGATTTTGGCGGCGCGCCGGGGCTGGTTGAGTTGTGGAAAGTCCATGGCTTCAAGGTGTTGTTGGTGTATTGCTTTGGAGCGAGCTTTGTTACGTTTTATAGATTGCTGGGCCCGTTTAGATGTAAGGAGGCGCCGGGAATTGCAAGGACGGAGTTGGCAGAGACGATTTTGAGGAGGGGCGTATTGGGGAATGTGTTCTTTGGCGTAAGTACTTCTATGCATTGAGACGGTGAAGCAGGTACTAACTACACGCCAGGTTATTCCGATGATCTTCTACGGCCTGATCAACATGGCAGCGTATGCCTTGGAGATGCTCGGTCTGATTCCCAAAGAGAAGTCTGTTGTATAGGCCAGGCGATTTTCGTATTGGAGATTGAATGACACTTCATTAGCTACATGCCTAAGCTATTCAAGCGTCTCCTGTATCATCATGCAGCTCCACAACCCAAGTGCCAGATCGTGACAATCATGCTCAAATCCACTAACCCAAGCACACTCATCATCCACACTAGCTCAAGTCAAACCCAGCCCCCGAAAACGCACTATACAGTAACTTCTCCTTCATCACCCCTTCGTCCCTGTACATCGGCAACTTGAGCAGATTCACACACGTACTCGTACTTGGCAACCTCTGCTGGTCGCTCCCCGCATCCCTGATGCTGAACCTCGGATTCAGCGTACCGAAGCCCAACAACGGCGCGCGCGGCGTACTCGTTACGAACTTGAGCACCGCGCGGCGCTCGTCGTCGGAGAGTTCTTTCATGATTTTCCAGAACAGCGAGATGGTCGGGTGCTCGAGGCCGTCGGTGCCGATGACATATGTGCCGCCGTAGATGGTGTTGCGACGCAGGTCTTCGACATCGATCGAGGTGCGCGTGCCGCTGACGAGGGTTTGGAGTTCCGAGTGGTTGAACATGGAGAGCCAGGACGGTTGGACCATTTGGCGGAGGCCGCGGAGGAAGGCAGAGGTCTGGAGGTAGGGCTGGTTTTGCAGGCGGTGGCGCGCCATGTAGCTGATGTAGACGAGGCGGTTTTGGTTGGTGACGGGAGTGTTTGCGCCGTCGGGTTTAAGTTCTTTCTCTACGGCTAGGGTCTTCTTGGGAGAACTGGTAGGGTCGATAGTTAAGATGTCGGTGACGGTGAAGTTGAGGCCGAAGTCTTCTACGTTGCCTGGGTACGTCTTGAGCTTATGGAGACCTTGATAGAGCTCTTCATCGAGATCGCGGAGATCGTTGAGGGTAGGTCGATAGCTCGACTCGTTCGGTGCATGGCCTTCACCGCCAGTCAACGCCCACTTGCGCAGGAAGAATGGAGCAAAGTTGACGTCCACCAAGATCCCCTCGTACAAACATTTGCCGATGATGCGGCCCAGAAACTCATAGCGTTGGAGTAGGTCGGAAATTTGTGTCCTGAATTCTGCCGTTCTCTCATTCAAATTGCACTGTCTCATTGCTGCCTTGAGCTCCTCGACTGCTGTTGGATTTGGATAGAGCAGATGCTGATCATTCTCAACAAACATGTCTAACTCTTCGGATGGCATGAAAGCTCTATCGGTGACGCTCGTGAGAAACTCTTTCGTAACGCCACCGCCGTCGATACCAGCTTCGGGTGAGCCAAATTGATCCATAAAGGTAATCTGAATGGGTTCTTTCAATCCGGCGCCCAAGGGATAAAATTGTTCAAAGGCATCCTCAAACTCATTTTCTCTCCTGATCTTTGCGGTGTGCCTGTCGAAGAAGCGGGCAGAATCTGGTCTCTGCATAACCCTGAGTCGCCACGACTCAGAGTCGGCGCCTCCTCGACGCTTGGTCATGTCCAAGAGAACGAATTCGCGGAAAATTTTGACTCGTGTGGCGAATGGGATAAAGAACGGCATGTTCTGCAAAATTTGTAGCCTGGGCGCTACAGCCTGCAAATACCTTCTCCGCGAAGCCTTGCGCTGCTGTCGCTGGAGTCTCTCTAATCGCCGCTGCTGTAGTGTTCTGCTTGTGCCAATAAGTTGTGGGGTATCATCAATCTCTTCCTCCTCCTCGTCTAGATCATCGGCATCCTCTTCCTGAATCTTGTGACGCGATTCTTCCTCTTCAACGACGGCTGGTATGAAGCTTGTCATGTCGAACCGTGAGGTCATCAACCAATGATCCGAAGGTAAGAACTTCCGTCGCGAGTCTCGCTCGTAGACCATGCGTAGGAGCCCTGTGACCAATCCCTTCACATAATCTATCTTCAGGCCCGCTACACCGCCGAGGGAGGGTTCCACAGGCTCTTTCCGTATCGAGGCTTCTAGCGCCTGAGAGCTGAAGAAGCTGATGCTTGTGCTTTGGTCTGCGGAGTCTCCTGCGCTTGTAATTTCTGTAGCATTGAAGTACAGCGTGAACCCTAGATTCTTCAGAAATGTCGTCAAGCTCTTGACCTCACTCAGAGGCAAGCCATTGTCGCGAACCTGGGTCGAAGAAGTGCCATGCTGTCCAGTCGAGAAGAACTCCTCGTCATCTGTGACTTTGAGTACAAAGGTGTATAGCTCCAGGAAGACCAGTATGACTCGCCATTCGTCAGCTATAGAGGCGCCGCGCTTGATCTCTTGCTCTGCTGGTTGCCAAAATCCACCGACAGGATCTGAAGCAATGGTTGAGGTTCTTTTAGGCTTGAGGAGATTGATAGCTGCTCGCGAGTCGCGGAAGATGGTCTCAAAGACGGAGGAGTGTTTGGACGCCTCCCAGAAGTACCTTATAGCAGGCAGCTTGCGCGAAGTTTGGCCAGATCGTGTTTCCGTAGGACCAATGTAAAGCCACATTCGTATCTCATCGCCGCGTCGTGGGAAGAAGCGAAGTAATGCCAGGGCATAGTTAGCGAGCTGCCTTGCCTCCTCGATCTTGTCATCATCAGAAGCCTCGGAAGATTGCGAGAATCCACTTAGCAGACTGCCAATGCCTTCTTGATTCACCAGCGAGAGAATCTGCTCCCTTATGAAGCTCGTTACTTCTTCCGATGTCGTAACATCCTCGTCATCATCCTCAACTTCTGCAATGGGATTTACACCTTCAACAACGTCGATGGGAAGAGAATTCAGTAAGATGGACACGACTGAGACGAAATCCTTGTGCACCGCATAGGCTTCAGGGGTATCGAAATTGTGCGCATAGCGGTGGAAGTAAATGAAGGGCCCGAGTAAGCGCAGCCGACTGACAGTACTTTGCAATTGTGGCTGGGCCTGTAGACCCGACTCTTTGAAGAGTGTCGCGAGTGCATTGGCTAGGAGTTTGTAGTTGAGCGAATCGGCCAGTGAGTCGCGAAACTTCTGTATCAACGGCGAAGGCGAATCGGAGCTAAGCATCGGAAGCGTCATAAAGATGCACCCAAAGGCCTCGTAAGCGTCCAAGGTGTAAGGCGTAATTTTCTTGAGTGGACATATGACTGTGCCAAATATGACGTCCCATGCCTTTGGCGCATCTGAGCTCGAGTCTTCTAGAGTCGGTTCGAGCTGTCTCACAATGTCGGCGAGGGTACCGGTAGTACGTTCGGGCGTTGCGAGACGTCTCGGAGGGTATCTGCTCGGTGAGGAATCGGAGGAGCTCGATAAGGCTGCCAGACCGGTCCCACGATGGAGTCAGAGTCTTGCCCTGCCGTTGCAAGATGGTGAATAGCAAATGCTCCAACTTGAGATATGCCGAAGACCAAGATCCCTTGACCTCAACACCGGACGCAGCCATTTGCATGCGGCGAGCGCCATAGCGCTGTATCCTCCTCAGGTCATCCTCACTCCTCGACGACGCAAAGCGCAGCAAACGGTGCAGCTGGGCAAGTGCCTCTTCTTCTGAGCTGTACGCAGGTGCGGGAGAAGCGCCTGCCGACTGCTCTTGGGCGTCCCATGATCTCCGCAGACCATCAGCAACCTGCTGTCGCGCTGCATAGCCCCTCCAGATCCTTTGTATCCTTTTCGCAGCATTCAGCGTGTCTCGCTCTCGCTGCCGTTGTGCTCGATCTTGCTGTGCGCGGTCGAGGGCGGCCTGTGATCCGCTGCCGGCGCCGGGATTGCCGAATGGGTTTGTCTTGCGGCCTCCGAGGTTCACGTTACGCGGTCGGCGCGTGTTGCCAGTGAAGCTCGTGAACATGGTGGCGGGGTTGTGCTCGAGCTCGTTGGATGGTACAAAGAGGCAACAGGTGGGTATTAATCGTAATGGGTGTCTAGTCGTTATCTATAAATTGTTGAAAGACGTGGCAGGTAGCAGGCGCGTGGCCGACTATCAGTGTGGCTGTTGCGAGCTTCCTGTGGCAGCTAAGCTATCCAAGTCATGATGCAGCCAGCTGCGGCGGGTTCGACGGCACCCAAAGGCGCGCTGGATGAGTAGCAGACGTCTGACAAGGCTGCAGCACCGCGCGGAAGGCGTGATCAGATGTGCAGCGGATAACAAATGGACTGTTCTTCGCCTTCTACCGAGTTCCACCGCGCTCGACTGCGGAAGTGGAGGAGAGGTGAATAGTCAGCACTGCCGCACCGGTAAGCCTGATGCGGGCCTATCCAGGTCCGTCTCTCGAGCATTACCGCGCTAACTAAATGCGCTACCGCAGCCCCATCTCTTGAGCCTCACCAACTACACACACAGACATCGTGATATCGGATCCGAGCATTGTCATTCCAGCTGATAATGAAACTCGTTCAGCTGATCTTTCTGACATTGAAGATGGCATCCGGGCGATATAAAGGTCGCTAACAGCCTCTTTGAGTTGTCCTACACCAGCCTTCGACATGCAGTTCCGGAACGCAGAGTCCGGTATGCTGCGCTACTAACGCTAGAAGCATATAGATGACCTAACAAAGTCCATATTTTGGGATTATCGTGCTCATATTGCGCTCTACTATGTCGACCAGGCCTATGGTATGTACCGTGTATCGGTACCAAAAAACACGGTCAAGCCGCAGCACTTTGTAATTCTTGCGTCCTGTGTCTTTTCCCGTACTCAGTATCTTCTTCTACTCTCCTGTGGCTTCCACATTTTCTGCCCCTCAAAATTCACGACAACACGCCTAGTCACGTATCAACCGTCGCTATGTTGACCCAACGCAACCCCGACGACATCCCACCTCCCTACACTCCAGGCCGCGCACCTCCATCATACCCAAACCCCGAGGATGCTGCCCAGGAAAGCCTCGATGCCACGCATGCCGTGCAGGCTCTCGCAGTCCCAACACCAGCAGCTCTGGACATCACTAACCGCGTGCCATACACCGCACTCCCCGTCCTCTCATCGTATACGACATACGACAGCTCTCGTCTGCCATTCAAGTTAACCACTAGGCCAAGCCCCGCATATATCCCCAGCGCAACTAGCCACATGTACGTCGCCATGCCCGAGCCTGATCTCACTACGGAGCGAGTGGTTAGTTCAAGTGCGGACATTGCTACCACGCCGTCAAGGACGGTTGTGAAGAGGAGGAGACCGACTGGTTGCGGTGGGTGTATTTGCTCTTTCGTATTCATCGTGCTGTTGATCACTGCAGTGGCGCTGTTGGACAAGAAGGCACATGACAGTGCTGCGAAGCATCCGAAGAAGTATGCCGATGCGCCGAAAATAAATCATGCTGAGCCATCTTGTTCTTTTCTCATCTTCTGCTAGGCTTCAGTTGTTGGACTTGAAGGCGTTTATAGACACGGTTGCAGTTTGACTTATTGCATTAGCGGATGGGCAACCCTCTAGGCGCTCGGGGAAGGAACCACTGAACTAAATTCTCGCATGTGTATCCAAATATCCTTCAAAACGCCGTCCAAACCGACAGTGCTTTCAATCCATCATCAAAACTTTTCAGACACTCTCATCGGCATAGCATTACACCAATCGCGCCCACCCATCACTACCTCACAACCCCACCCCATCCACCATTCCATCTACAATCCCGTCCCCCACCATTCCACCCTCTCCCCATCCCTCCACCGACGCATTGACCGCCCCCCTCATCGTCCCATTCCCCACAAACAGCCCCTCCCCCATCCCCTTAAAATTCAAGCCCCTAAAATAACCTGTCATCGCCCCCATTTGCGTCTTGAGTACCTCAACCGCACGCTCCGTATCGACGAGCTCATTCTTCATCTCGCGGATCCGATCATACCCAACAGCCCCTGGGAACCCCGAATTCAGCAGGAAAAGAATGCCGACGACACAAGTCGCGATGAACACCAGCGAGCACAGGACTTGCCCACACAGCCGGGATTTGCTGGATTTTTTGGGCTTGGGGGGGAAGGGCAGGTCGGAGGTTTGCGCCTCAATGTCGGTGGCGGAGGAGGGGGAGTCGAGGAAAGGGTTGCTGGTGGTGTTGATGGGTGGGGGGATCATGTGTTGTTTCTCCGAGAGGTTTGCAGTTAGAGGGGTGTATGTGTTGTTGTATGATTTCCAGGATGTGCGGCGCGTGGGGACGCGAGTGTCTGAGGCGAGGGCAGTTGTTGGTGAAGACATTATTTTGCTTTGAAAAGACGAGTAACTTCCAAGAAAAATGAGTGCCTTGGAAAAGACGAGTAACTTGAAGAAAGATTGGCGTGTGAAAACTTGCAAGAGAAAGTACTTCAGAGGTGCCGTTTATGTAGGGCGTTGTTGGCTCGGTGAGGCCGATACATATCGTCTAGTAGCCAAGGAAGGGAGATGATGCGCGTACTACGCGAACATTCCTCAGCTTGCGCATGATCATAGCGAAGACACGGTAGCTCGAGCTTCTTAGCTTAGTTGACGGGGTTATGTGGAGAACGCCGTTGCCTGGTCATACATACGGTCATACTGTGCACTGCGCGTTGACCATCTCTTTCATTGACCGCGGAGTTCAAAGTGTTGGGAGATGTGTTCTCTGGTCAATACGAGAAACAAAAGGTTTATGCAGCGTGTGTCGCGCGTCTCAAATGTACAGTTACCTGCCTTGCCTGGTGTCATCGTGGTTACATTCTGGTAGAGACAAACCGGCCATTGCTGCTCAAAGCCTGCGCCTAGGCTTGCGTCTATCCCTGAAGTGCGCCATGCTCTTTTGGTCAATGCAGCACTTTCCTGATACTGTGTTCATTACTAGATTAAGGCAGGAGTAACACGGATGGGCCGTTGGCCGTGGTGCCTCTATGCTTGCGCTGCATTGCTTGTCGTGTGCTGTATCAATATTGCTCTGGTAGCCCAAAGCTGGTAAGAACTTCTCTGCCCCAGTAGACGATGAGACCATATGTCCATTGTGAAGGGTGCTGCGAAAGTTCGTGCGCGCTCTGTTCAGACCTAGCTACTATCAAAGACTAGCTCTCGTGTTCTGTACAAGCCTGGGTAGATTCGATCGCACGTCATAGAAGCCTAAAGAGGGTTTGAGGTCATACAGCCTTGATCGAGTTGCACTAACATACTGCTCAGACTTGGGTGCTGCGTGCAAGTATTATTCCGGCACCTGATGCATTCGCGACGATGTTCAGATAAGCGGGTAAAAAGTGACATGGATCCACTGCATCTGCATCGTCAGGTGTGGAGTCTCGGTGTTACCTTCTATCACATGCTTTTTTTCAGGGCTAACCTTGGAAAGACGACACAAAGCGATTTTTGGAACAGCGAATGTCCATGGAACATATCCTCATACTACGAGGACCAAAGCGGTAGTGTGACATGGAAATTGATCGTCTATTGGATTCGGAGCGGCACGTTGTCGCGCCCATTGGTGTTCGGCAATCTGAACCCTTGCGGCCGTTTCACCGTTTTGGATGGCGCAAGTCTCAACAGCTGCACACCTACACTTTCACATGCTTCTGAAGACCTGGGTCAAGGCCGAAATCAGCAGCATGAATCTCGCTATGCGGTGGCTTCCAGACCGCCATTATATTCGCTATCAACCGTGCTTTCGCCTTTCTTTTCTTCCTTGACCGCTTGCAGCTCTGCTTTAGCAATACTGCGGAATTTGGATCTGGTTATCAGCGGACCAATCTTCCGCGCGATACGCACCGCTACAGCAAAATGTCGCAATTTGAGGACCTACAAACGATCGAGGCAGACGGCATAATATCGACAAGTGAACTACATGAGAACAAGACGAGTATGCTCTACCAGGTCCTGCCAGCAATAGTCCAGAGTCGCATGCCGATGCTGCCATCACTCCGCCGTTCTGTCAGCGAATATCGCAATCGAGGATCGCACACCAAGAACAGCAGCTCACTGTCGGACATATCCTTACCAGAGACGCCTCCTCCATGCTATTCCTCACGCCCTGTGAGTGGACGCACAACGCCGCGTCCTCTATCGGTGACAAGTGCCTCCGTGTTCGAATTCGACGACGACGTTTCTGTCGCAGGCTCAGCGTCGACCACCACCTACGAGAGCTCGAGTGGCATCAGCTGGCAGCATGCCAGATACGGTACGGGAACACCGAGTGCTTGCGTTGGAGTGCCAGTACTAACATGTTGTAGGCATCGCTGGAATAGCTGAGGCGGACCGACAAGCAAGCGCCTCAAATACTGGAAGCGACAACAGTCTCAGGACGGAGATGATCCGATCGCAATACCTGTACAACCTCACCGTCTTGCTCCGGAGCTTACCACAATCGCTCACGCCAGCGGAGAGCATGAATCTCCGCGCTGCCGTTCCGGAAACTATACTCGAGATGGAGCAAGGTACACAACCACAGACCATAGGAGCGGCCGTGGACACCCACGATGGCTGTCAAGAACCACGCGCTCGTACAGCTCTCGAAGTTGCGACAGCGTGGCTGGTCCTACGGTTTTTCCTGCTGTTCCAGCTCATGCTGCCGTACATCAAGCACTTTTTGAGGCTTGCAGCTCAATTCGAGCATGACCACCAAGTCACGAGGCGAGCGTTCAACACGAGCATTACGGTAGGAAGTGATGTCAGCAGGAGAGTTTCGCAAGCATTGTGTCGCCTCAACGAAGGTATCGCTGGGGAGGCACTTTCGAATGCGACTGTGTACTGCGCCGAGGGCATAGCTGGTGGGATACAGCAGGGCCTCATAGAGGCGAAGAGGTCGAGACAAGCAATTCAGCGTCGGAGAGATGCGGCCATCAGATAGTCTGCACAATGCAACATATGTAGATGCTACGATTCGACATGGTGAAGTGATTCTGGCCCTGATCGTGAGGTGCAGCTTATCGCGTGTCTTATCGGAGCGGCGGACTCCCTAGCGCGTCAGGACCTGCGCACGTCCACAAAAAAGTCTCTGGTGCATCTTCTGTTAGGGCATCATCAACAATTCACTGCCACTCTTCCATCCCGTCTCGCCTCCCTACACTAGGCGCCTCTCTGTGCGGTGTCATTACAGTCACATCGCCCTCATCCAATTCCACGATACCCTAATTGACGTTGCGGCCTACTGCAACTCACGCCTCCACCCACCATGTTCGGCGCACTACGAAGATGTCCAGCGACACTCGCTCGGAGTGTCTCGACAGCCGCCATATCTTCCAGCGCTCTTCGCGTGTCCTCATTCAGAGCAACGAGCGCACTCCGGATACCGTCCTCCCGGATCGTGAATGCCACCACTGCGGGCTTCCACCACAGCACCAAGTGGCAACAGATTGCAGCTCAGCAAGCAGAGACGGAACAAGAGGGGCCCATCACAGAGTTCGATGAACTGGCGAAGCGTGGCCTTGTGCACCCAAACCTCATCAACACCATCACGAGGCAGATGAGGCTCACCACTATGACCGATGTGCAGACCAGGACCATCAACGAGGCTCTGTACGGCACGGATATGTAAGGAAAGGACCCAACGAGCACACGAATCGCAACTGACTCCAGCAGCATCGCACAAGCCAAGACCGGTACCGGTAAAACCCTTGGTTTCCTCATTCCCGTTATCCAGCGAATCATCTCCAACGACCCCAAGCTCGGCGAGACAGTCCGCGGCTACAAGAAGGCCAGGTCTGACGATATCAGGGCCATTGTCATTTCGCCCACACGAGAATTGGCGGAACAAATCGCCGTCGAGGCCAAGAAGGTCACCACCGGAACTGGCGTCATTGTGCAGACAGCTGTTGGTGGTACTCAGAAGCGGGCTATGCTTCAGAAGACGCAGCGTGAGGGTTGTCATCTGCTCATCGGTACCCCAGGACGACTGAATGATATTCTGTCGGACCCCTACTCCGGCATCAAGGCACCGAACCTCAATGCCTTTGTCATGGACGAGGCCGATCGCCTGCTCGACGAAGGTTTCACCCGGGAGATTGATGAGATCAGGACGCACCTGCCAGACCCAGAACAAGTCCCACGCCAGAACATGATGTTCTCCGCCACAGTGCCACGCGATGTCGTTGAACTCGTGCGCAAGACGCTCCGTCCCGGATTCCACTTTGCCAAGTGCGTCGACGAGAACGAAGAGCCAACACATCAGCGTGTCCCCCAGAAGTTTGTTAGCGTTGCCGGTTTCGAGAACATCATCCCCACTCTCTATGAACTCACTCTGCGCGAGCACCAGGCTGCCCAATCAGGCCAGGCCCGCCCCTTTAAGGCCATCATGTACTTCAACAGCACAGCCGAAGTCGCACTCGCCGCCTCCGTCTTCTACAAGCTCAGCGGCGGCTTCAAGCGCAATACCCCGCTTCAAGGACTCCGTGCTTTCGAAATTCACGCCAAGCTCTCACAACAGCAGCGCACTCGTGCTGCAGATGACTTCCGCAGCACAACAAGCGGTGTTCTGTTCTCCTCCGACGTTACAGCACGTGGAATGGATTTCCCAAATGTTACTCACGTGATCCAAGTTGGTCTTCCACGCGACCGCGACACTTACATCCATCGTATTGGACGTACCGGTCGTGCAGGTAAGGAAGGCGAGGGCTGGATCTTACTTACACCCTTTGAGATGCAGGAACACACTCGTCGTCTAAGGAACCTGCCCATCACCGAATCCAAGGAACTGCAGTGTGCATCTATCGACATGTCGCAGCCCGCCGAGGTGCCCGAGCATGTTGGTGAAATCCTCACTTCCTGCGTAGAGGCACATAAGAAGGTCTACCCTGATCAGCTCGACGCGGCTTTCCGCGGTATCTTCGGCTCGTTCCAGTGGTACGGCGATAAGCACGGCCTTGTTGCTGGCGCCAATCGTTTGGCTGAGTTTGGTTGGGGTATGCCCACACCACCTCCTGTCCCATCGTCCGTCTTCAGTGGAGGCCGAGGCCGTGGCCGTGGCGGATCTGGCGGTGGCCGAGGTGGCTTCGGTGGTGGTGACAGGCGAGGAGGTGGTGGAGGATTTGGCGGCGACCGAGGCGGCTTCGGCGGCGACAGGAGAGGTGGTGGAGGCTTTGGTGGTGACCGAGGCGGCTTTGGTGGTGACAGGCGAGGAGGAGGCGGTGGTGGCATCGGCGGCGACAGGAGAGGAGGTGGTGGAGGGTTTGGCGGTGACCGAGGCGACTTCGGCGGCGAAAGGAGAGGAGGTGGCGGAGGCTTTGGTGGTGACCGTCGAGGAGGAGGCGGCGGTGGGTTTGGCGGCGGCGACAGGCCACCACGATACTAAACCGTGCCGACTCACACTCACTGATTCTTCTCCGGCCCCGTCCGGTCCGTCACGACGCACACATCTTCTTCTTGTACACTACCACCTATACCCCGGCTTTTGTTGCTGAGAGAAAAGCAGAGGTCTGTCACGATATGAAAGGAAGGACGAAAGGGATAGACACGGATTTTCCTGTTTGCATTCGGGCGGCGTTTTACCATGTTACTCGCCATAGGGAGAGTGGTTTTGGCTGGCTGGCTGGCTTTTGTCTTTTTTTCCGAATCATGTCACACAATCTCCAATCTAGGGCTGGAGTTTTTATGGGAAGCGAAGAGAGGGAAAAGTTAAAGGGGGGTTTAATGTAACAACGAATCTTCTACGCTTTTTACTATGATGTCTTTGGAACTCTTGGCTATAAAGTGACCTGAGTGCTTGCGGGAGAGTGACGCTGGACTTGTGTGTACATATTGAAGTGCTTAATGTTCTCACATACTCACGCTGGGCTTTACGTAGAGCTCGACGTACGCATTTGGCTGGGCTGTTTGACGCTGCAGGATGACTGGTACACGAAGGTTGTGAATTGGTGTTGACAGTGGAATTCTGGAGAAACCATAAAGAACCTAAATCTACTAAAGTTTCTGTACGATACTCATCGCACGACGCTGAAGATAGCAGCCGAAGCTTTCAAGACCTCCGGTATTTGGGCATGCATGAAGACACTTTCTGAATTACTCGTCTCCAACCTCGCGGACATTGTCAATCACGTAGCCATGAGACGTCTGGACACGGAACGACTCCATCTCGACAGCGTTGCCATTTTGGTAGTCGCGTACGCAATTGACATCTTGGTGTATTGCTCTTCCTCCGCATAGCGGTCGTTTCCAGATGCATGTAGCGTGCCTCATTCTCGCTGAATTGTTGTGGAGTGGTTCCGGGCTTTCGAGCCATCATGCAGCTCCCAAGATGCCTGTATTTCCCATCGGTCTCGCACGCAATGGTATTGTGCCAGTTGCCTTCGTCCTGAACATAACGTTGCACTGTTTCGCACGCCTGGTGGAGCGATTATCCGGCTTACCTACTGGATTAAAGACGTACAACCCAACTTTCGTCGCGCTGGTTCTGAATCTTTTCCGCGAAAGTAAGGCACGACTTGAGAATTCACCTTGTGTTTATGCGTGGATATAGACGTTGCGTGGAGGGTGGGCAAAAGGTGTTAGTTGACAAGTGCGTAAGATGCAACAGATGAGACTGGACAGGACAAGCAAAAGCAAAAGCATGAGGAAAAGTCGATGTCGCGATGCAGATGAATCACACTTGCCTAACATGCAATCTCAAACCTTATGCGGTGATTTACAGCACGGAAACGATAGCTACACCGCAAAGGCTTGGAGGGTGAGGCTGAGGTACCTGTGCTTGGCCTTACCAATGCAGACAGCCGCACGGTGTTTATATCATGATGCCTTGTGACGATGTCACAAGCAATATTGGCGCCCTGTCCTTTAATGGAAAAGATCTTGTGACGTGTGATGAGTGCGTGCCATCGTCAAGGTGTTGGCACTGTTGGCGTGGATGCCAAACCGTCCTATCGGACAGACCGCTACACAGACGTTCCGAGGAAGGGCACCTCATCTAGCGTATGTGGGGAAATATGAGTGGCGAATATTCCAATCGCGTTTGAGGTTGTTGAAAACGGCGACAAAGCGGTCGGGCTGTCGTCGGGTGCTCGCAGGCGAAGCGATATTCCGACTGTGTTTATCGGAATATGCACGTTGAGATTTGGGGATTGTCAAGGGCCGTCGGTGATGACTCGAACGCGACGTGAGCCCTCGGTTCATGCGGCGATTCGCCGCGACAGGTCATGCCCAGCGTTATCTGACATGGTCTTGACACATCTGAGGGCTGGCAGGTTTGGCGATGGCAATGCAGCATGATGTGTCTAGCGTATGTGGAGCTGAAGCTGATGAAGCTGTATACAGACTGATTGACTGCACGAGTGTGTATACGAAGGGGCGCCTGCTAGCGCATGTGGGGTTGATGATATCGTCAAGAATCGCGAGGACAGCATATCCAGTCCTGGAAGAAGTACCCAGATATCATGGCAACCTGATACAGAGGCTCCAGTCGGAGGATACTCTGTGGACGATGTCGGTGAGTTGTGGTGGAACGGCTCAGTTGTATCCGCAGCATATCCTTGCGTGACATAGTCAGGGTTCTGTGGAATGGATGGCTCGATCCTTGAGCGTGATGTAAGGTAGGCATGCATACGACTAGGAATCCTTGGTAAAGAAGCCAAAAAGAAGATGTGCAATGCAGCTTTGTCGTGGTACGCATAATACTTCCTTGGCGCGACTAATACAAAGGTATCCGTGGAATGCCCAAGCGCTCTGTGTATATGCAATTGAAGCAACGGGTGATAATGTTACTGAACAGACTGTGACAGGAGTACAAGCTGCTTGTACAATCCAATGACCCGACGAATGTATTGCAGTCGACCGAGCCAGAGATGCAGGGCGGCTTGAATGTGCGAACTGACCGACCGACCGTGTCTCTGGCCCGGATTGACACCAATCTATGGCCAATCGGTTTCACCCATATCTCGCCAAGGATACGATAGTGTATGAATGTAGACGGAATCGGACGCGAAGGGGGCACATGTGACCTCTTGCAGTGCGACCGGCTCCCGTCGGCAGTACTCATTTTTGACCGAGATGATGCTGAACAGCGCAAATCTGAACACTGACAACTAGGTGGAGTGAGTCGATGGGAGGCTGTTGCAGCATGTTAGGGTTCCTCGCGGCATGCGTTCGAGCGCCACAGACATGCACAATCCTCAGAGCCGCAAAATGATTGTCGTTGGGTCGTGGTGCACGCTACCACAACGTGCAGAAGCGTCCTCGGAAGAAATGGTCTTGATTTGCTATCGTGCTCGAAGATCTCTGCTTGCGGCCTAGCGGGACAACGCAAGCCGTAGATATGGTCACGTGTAGGTCGTTCGGCGGTGTCGGGAGGATGCCGCTGCAGGCATGCTGACGATGGTGGCCATGGAGGTAAGATGACCAGATCCGATTGGTTAGAACGTATCAGGAGATGAGCGCAGCGACATTGCTTTACTTCCACATTGTTCTTCGAGGCGTGATGTTCTGCAATCTGTGGAGGAACATGGTCCAGCCCCGAGCCAGGGGTAGGGAAACGTGGAGCGTCGCCAAGTGCGATGCGGTCAACCTCACTCGCTTCTAGGCCTCGACTACCATCCTTCTGAACCACAATTCGCCCTGAAAACGCCCGCTGGCTAGGCACTATGCTTCGATCTCCTAGCTCTTATTGAACCCTGCAACTAATCCTCGTCATACGTTTTGCCAATTTTGACGTCCCCGTTCGATGAGCAAGATTGCACATGTCTGCGCACTTGAGCAAGGGAGCAAGGCATCGAGCTTGTGTCATGCTGGCCATCCGTGTGTGCTTGCTGTACATGGTAGCAACTGATGGTACATGCGCTTTGTCCGGGCTGCAGAAGCGTCGGCGGTCCGAATCGCTTCCTATCATCGCTAGATTCGGAAGTGTTGTGGTGAGTGCGTCTGTCGGCTGTAAACGCGTGGTCGACGGCAGCCCGCGGGCGTCCAGTGCTGATCGGCTCGATCGTGGTGTCTCACGATGACTTTATGTAAGAATGAAATGGTGTGTGTGGCGTCTGGTAGTGAGCACGCAACCGCAACCGCCAAACGTGGTTTAGTGCGCACTTCCTAGCGCTTTCATTTCACCATAGCACGCCATAGCGATCAACTTGCCCCGAGAGTCATTGGAGAGTCATTGCTCTGCAACGATTACACCGGCGCCCAAGCTGCAAGCTGCAATTACCCCACAAGCCCAAGCGTATGCCCGCGCTCTACCACACTAAGTAAGTATATAAGTGCGGCCACGCGCACGATCTGTCCATATTCTCTTCCAACGGTAACTGCTCGCGTGCTTCTCAACCTCAACTAGCGCGCACCTTCCTGGCACGCACACGATCTGTACCGCTCAAGACCAGTTCGCTACTACACTTTGGAAACCTGCCGCCACCAAAGACATGGCCCCAAGCCTTCTGCTGGAGCCAGAGGCGCAATCGCCCTCCTTCTCTCTCCCAGCCAGATCGTCCTCAAAAACGGAAGGCGCGAACTCATTTGAAGCACATGCGCCCGTTGGTGGAAGCTATTCATTCGGAGGTTCTTCAGCCGCAGGCAACGGTCAAGCAAACGGCGGCCAGAGCAACGCAAGCAGTCATGGCTTGCCCACTCGGCAGAGGCCTGGGAACGACTTCGTCACCTCCCAGTCCCTCCTCCAACAGTCACAGGCCTATGCAACACAGAGCCAGGCAACCAATGGATCGCCCAAGGCGCCCAACATCCTGTACATCATGGCCGACCAAATGGCTGCTCCGCTTCTCAAGATGAACGACCCGAATTCAGTCATCAAGACACCACATCTTGATGAGCTAGCTAAGACGGGAATCAATTTCGCGAGCGCCTACTGCAACTCACCGCTGTGTGCTCCGTCCAGGTTCACTATGTGCACGGGTCAGTTGCCATCCAAGATCGGTGGGTATGACAACGCCTCCATCCTTGGCCCTGAAGTTCCTACCTATGCACACTACCTCCGACGCGAGGGCTACGAGACGGCACTTGCCGGAAAGATGCACTTCATCGGTCCTGACCAGCTTCATGGATTTGAGCACAGGTGAGTAATCCTGCTCACTGACCGCAGACGAGGCTAATACTTGCCCTCAAGGCTTACCTCCGACATCTACCCTGGAGATCTCGGATGGGCAGTTAACTGGGACAAGCCTGAAGAGAGACAAGAGTGGTACCACAACATGTCCTCAGTCATGCAGGCAGGCCCATGCGTTCGGTCAAACCAGCTGGATTACGACGAAGATGTCATGTACAAGGTAAGAAACTCATTCGCTTGGGGGCCCATAACCTATTACCTCGATCAAGCCATCTCATTACCCCTTCTTCACTGCTGACCTCCTCTCAGGCTCAGCAATATCTCTATGATTACGTTCGGTCTGACCCAGAGACGCGTCGGCCATTTGCTCTGACCATCTCCCTCACTCATCCTCATGACCCGTACACCATGATCCAGGAGTACTGGGACCGCTATGAGGGCGTCGAAATTCCTCTACCTGATGTGGAGATACCTCAGGAAGAGCAAGATCAGCACTCTGAGCGTCTCATGAAGACCATCGATCTGTGGGACAACCCGGTTCCCGATGAGGCCAAGATCCGTGCCCGACGTGCGTACTTCGCCGCATGTAGCTTTGTCGATGACCAGGTTGGTAAGCTTGTGCGTTTGCTCAAGAACTGCTACCTCGACAAAGATACCGTCATCGTATTTTCGGGTGACCACGGCGATATGCTAGGCGAGCGCAGTCTCTGGTACAAGATGTCGTGGTTCGAGAACAGCGCGCGGGTACCCATGATCATCAACTGCCCGGCCAAGTTCGAGCCCAAGACAGTCAAAGAGTCCGTGTCTACAATGGATCTCCTTCCAACGTTCATTGACCTTGCTGGCGGCGACGCTTCGGCCATTCTGCCCATCGACGGTGTCAGCCTCCATGAGTATCTTGTCTCTGACAAGCCTGGAAAGGATGAAGTCTTTGGTGAATACATGGGTGAAGGCACTGTTACTCCCACTTACATGATCCGACGTAACCAGTGGAAGTATACATGCTCTCTGGTCGACCCTCCACAACTCTTCGATTTGGTCAACGATCCTAAGGAGCTTGTCAACCTTGCTACCTCTGCCAAGTCACACCACCAGAAGGTTTTTGCCGACTTCGAGGCTGAAGCCCGGGAGAAATGGGACTTCCAGCAGATCCACCAAGCTGCCCTCAAGAGCCAGCGTATGCGTCAAATCGCTTGGAGTGCCCTGCAGATTGGTCGTCAGGAGTCTTGGGACTACCAGCCTCCCTACAACGACAAGAACCGGTTCATCCGTTCCCATATCCCCTTGGACGACCTCGAGCGCCGTGCTCGTTTCCCCGTTGTCGACCACCTTGGTCGCGAACGAACGGCAGGTGCGAGCCACCATGGCATCGCCGGTGCCTTCGGCGAGTGATACTCTCGTTGTTCGGGAGCCTTTTCTTCTCTTTCTCACGGGAGCCTTCCCAGTCATACCCACCTCTTGACATGGCTCAGGACAACTTCATTCGAACTTTCATGCAGTCGATCATGCTTGGATTGCCTTTTAGCGTTTGACGACATCACGATTCGATGACATGTGCGGCCCAAGATTTAGCGAGCACTGCGAAGCCTAGTGCATAATGAATTTGACAGCATACTTTGGGTGACACAAAATGCATGGCGTTGGGGAGTCGAATATCAAGTGTAGCGGAAATCACATCGTACAGTAAATGGAATTACAAGGATTTTACCGGAGTGAAAAAGAAACTCATCTTGCGGTTTCGCACCAATGATAATGCGGCTTACGTGACTGATGCAGATGTGACAGATCGGGGCTGCGAAATGCGGTAACCACGTGAGGTGGCGTTTCGGACCATGAGCCGATCGGGGTGCGGCCATACCCTATCACTCCCGCATCGCGCATAGTGACGACCTTGCCTTACTTGACCTCCCTCTCACCGTCTTTCAACTGCACCTCGAATCTTTCAAGCCCGAACTCAGCCCTTGATCCCATACCAAGATGTCTACCGCCGCCCGCCGCCGTTTGATGCGCGACTTTAAGGTACGCCACCCTCGCTGTGTAGTGAGGCTACACGCCAGCTGCAGCCCCGTGATGCATGGGGACGTTGCTAACAAGAACACCTACAGCGCATGCAAACAGACCCTCCCGCTGGTGTCTCTGCATCTCCCATAGCCGACAATGTCATGACCTGGTACGATTCCGCCCATTGTTCCCCGCACGCGACACCTGCCATGTACCCTGCCATGTCACTGTAGCACAGGCACCAGCAGAAGGACACTGTCGTTCCGCACAATCACTAATAGTCGGCAGGAACGCAGTAATAATCGGCCCCGCAGACACACCCTTCGAAGATGGGACCTTCCGCCTCGTCATGCACTTTGAGGAAGCATACCCAAACAAGCCGCCGAGCGTGAAGTTCATCAGCACCATGTTCCACCCCAACGTATACGGTACCGGAGAGCTGTGTCTTGATATCTTGCAGAACCGGTGGTCGCCAACCTACGACGTCGCCGCGGTCCTTACGAGCATTCAGAGGTATGCCCCGCGGTAGAGCATCCACGTATCCATGGAGGAATACTGACATGGCGTAGCTTGCTGAACGACCCCAACACTTCCTCGCCCGCCAATGTCGAAGCATCAAACCTGTACAAGGAGAACCGCAAGGAGTACACCAAGCGCGTCCGTGAGACTGTCGAGAAGAGCTGGGACGACTGATGTGGATAACGGTTATGACGAAATATGGCATGATTCTGGCATAAACATGGCGTTATTGGTCTGCATGGTGTTCAGCTATACCATTCACGTTGGGAGTACAGGCGTTTCGGTACATTTTGCTCTCTCAGCGATGCGTCGCAGGTCCCTCATCCGCAATGTACAGTAGTCTTCTTTACTATAATGAAGTGAATGTCTTACCGCTGCGTTACTGTGCATTCGAGATCGTGTGGCATCAAATATGTCATGTTCCAACAGAAGTTGTGAGACGTATATTGCCAATTCACTCGTGAATCCCACCAGTCAGGGGCAAAACTTGTGTGTGCTTTGCACCTACACGACATGATCTAATATTTTCAAGAGCACACTTGTAAGTCTATAAGGGAGCGTGGAGATGTACGCTACGCCACGATATTCTAATCTAGTTTTGCGGGAGTTTTTAAGAATATCTAGGCAACCTCAATCTCTTCTCGTTGGGTGAGGGTGGATAGAAATGTTGTCGGTGCCTGGTGGACCCTTGGATGTTAAATGTCACGGTTGACAGTACACCTGGGCATGTGGGAGCCGCCTTAGCTGCGTCACGAGCACGGGTGTGGGGGTGGGAAAGCGCGGTCCCCGATCTTGCGCACCACAAGCCGACCGCCTGCACCTCGACCTGCACGCCGCCAATATTCCCCCATTCGCTGCGCCCGTCCAGTGACAGCACCTGGGCACGCTTTGTTTACTGCAGAGCGGCTGGCTTGCATCATCTTGTTTGCACTAGGGTGCCCAGCTCGATCCGGCGGCATAACTAGTCATCTCGGTCCCCCTACCAGCAGCGGGGGTCCTTAATTACCAACTGCCACGCGCCGAGACAAGCAAGACGTGACGGTACCACGACAGCAGTTCCCCCCGTGTTCGCAGCGACACTGCCGCAGCGAGTGTGCAGAGCAAACAGAGTGCGGCCTGTGGGCCAAGACGCTGTAGAGAGCAGCAATCATGTCGTAGGTAGCTCCGCGGCGATGTTCGAGGAATGAGACATGCTAACACTCGGCGATAGGAACACAATCAAAGGTGCGCTGTGGACGAGTACGGACAATGCCGTGCAGTATACTGACTGTGGGACAACGTAGTCGTGGCGCGGTTCCGCCCGCAAAACAAGATCGAACTCGCCAGCGGGGGAGAGCCCATAGTCGACTTCAATTCCGAGGACACATGCACGATCCAGGTACGCTATCATTTTTCTCGAGAGAGGAGCTGGACGTATAGGACCCCACTGACATAATGGGCACAGTCCAAAGAGGCCGCGGGGGCCTTCACCTTCGACCGCGTGTTCGATATGGCCTCGCGCCAGGCCGATGTCTTCGACTACTCCATCCGCTCGACCGTTGACGATATCCTGAACGGCTACAACGGCACGGTCTTTGCCTACGGTCAGACTGGTGCTGGAAAGTCCTACACCATGATGGGAAGCGATATTGACGACGAAGCCGGAAGAGGTGTTATTCCACGTATTGTCCAGCAGGTCTTTGCGAACATCATGGCATCGCCAAGCAATATCGAGTACACCGTCCGGGTCAGTTACATGGAAATTTACATGGAGCGCATTCGAGATCTGTTAATGCCGCAAAACGACAACCTGCCGGTGCATGAGGAAAAGAACAGAGGTGTCTACGTCAAAGGATTACTCGAAGTCTACGTTGCAAGCGAGGACGAGGTTTACGAGGTCCTGCGAAGAGGTGGCACAGCCCGTGCGGTTTCAGCAACAAACATGAACGCAGAATCTTCCCGTTCGCATTCCATCTTCGTCGTTACTGTTTCGCAGAAGAATGTGGAGACCGGATCACAAAAGAGTGGCCAGCTTTTCTTGGTGGATCTGGCTGGTTCGGAGAAGGTTGGAAAGACAGGAGCAAGTGGACAGACGCTGGAGGAAGCGAAGAAGATCAACAAGAGTTTGAGTGCCCTGGGCATGGTCATCAACTCCCTCACGGACGGCAAATCCTCGCATATTCCTTATCGAGACTCCAAGCTCACACGTATCTTACAAGAATCGCTTGGAGGTAATTCCCGGACAACGCTCATCATCAATTGCTCGCCGAGTAGCTACAACGATGCGGAAACTCTGAGTACCTTGAGGTTCGGTATGCGCGCCAAGTCGATCAAGAACAAGGCCAAGATCAACGCAGAACTCAGCCCAGCGGAGCTCAAAGCAATGCTGAAGAAGGCCCAGGGACAAGCGACCACTTTCGAGAACTATATTGCGGCACTTGAAAGCGAGGTCTCTATGTGGCGTGGTGGCGAAACGGTACCCAAAGAGAGGTGGATACCAGCTCTGGACAATGGCACAAGTACTAGCAAGAGACCGCCTTCAGCACCACGTGCTGGAACACCATCAAGGCTAGACGCAACAAAGAGCTCGGAAGCACCATCACGACCGGATTCAAGAATGGATCTCGACCGTGCGGGTACACCGAGCATACCGCTTGAAAAGGACGAGAAGGACGAGTTCCTGAAGCGAGAGAACGAGTTGCAAGACCAGATCGCGGAGAAGGAGTCCCAACTTGCCAAGGTTGTGGACCAACTCACCACTGCAAAGGACGAGCTACAGTACTACAAGGATCGCGACTCCAAGACAAACAAAGACAACGAGCGGATGACATCTGAGCTCAACGAGATGAAAATGCAGGTTGAGAAGATCCAGTTTGAGAGCAAGGAGGCCCAAATCTCTATGGATGCTCTCAAGGAGGCCAACGCGGAACTCACAGCTGAGCTCGACGATGTTAAGCAGCAGCTCCTGGATGCAAAGATGAACGCGAAGGAAACCAGTGCGGCTATGGACGAGAAGAAGAGGAAGAAGGCCGAGGCTATGGCACAGATGATGGCTGGATTCGACCTTGGTGGCGAAGTCTTCAGCGACAACGAGCGCAGCATACGAAGAATCATTGAGCAGCTTGACCAGCTGCACGAAATGAGCTCGGCCGGCGAAGCCATTGCTCCGGATGCGATACAAGAACTTCGAGAGAAGCTTGTGGAGACACAAGGCATTGTGCGCCAAGCAGAGTTGTCGCTCACAGAGCGAAATGATGAAGACGACGCCCACAACAAGAGGCGTGAAGCTCTTGAGGCACGATTCGCCGACCTTCAGAGCTCCTATGAGCAATTACTTGAGCAAAACTTGTCCGAGTCGGACAAGGAGGAACTCAAGTCGAAGCTGACAGATGCCTATGCTGCCAGGCAAGAAGGTACCGTTGAGCTCGTCGATGATCTCAAGAAGGATCTAGCAAGGAGAGCCGAAGACAACACCAAGCTCAAAACAGAGATTGAGAGCTTGCAACAGCGGATCAAGAGTGGTGCGATCGCTAATGGCGTTGCCAATGGCATCAATGGCAAGACTGTTCAGCAGCAGATTGCTGAATTCGACAACATGAAGAAGAGCTTGATGCGCGATCTGCAGAACCGATGCGAGCGTGTAAGTACCGTATTACGTTTGCCAGAAACTGCGCTAATCCATTCTTTCACAGGTCGTCGAGCTTGAGATCTCGCTTGACGAGACCCGTGAGCAGTACAACAATGTGCTCCGGACCTCCAACAACCGCGCCCAACAGAAGAAGATGATGTTCTTGGAGCGCAACCTCGAGCAGTTGACCGTTGTACAGCGACAACTTGTCGAACAGAACAGCTCCCTGAAGAAGGAAGTTGCTATTGCAGAACGCAAGCTCATCGCTCGCAACGAGCGCATACAGTCTCTCGAAAGTTTATTACAAGACTCCCAGGAGAAGCTTACAGCGGCAAATCACCGGTATATTTATCATGATCGTAGATTGCTTCAAGCACTTGCTGACAAGACACAGATTCGAAGCCCAACTCACAGCCGTAAAAGAGCGTCTCGAGGCCGCCAAGGCTGGTTCGACACGTGGTCTCGGCTCACCTTCAGGGCCAGGCGCGTCGTTCGCTTTTGGCGGCGGTGTAGGCTCACGTATCGCCAAACCTCTTCGAGGAGGCGGCGCCGTCCAAGACGGACCTGTACTTCCAGTCATCGGCAACTTGCAGAAGCAGGACGGTGACAGCGAGGGCAACAAGGCGAAGCGTACGAGTTGGTTCTTCAACAACGGCAGGTAGACGTAATGTGACACAAGGACAAGCAATATAGACATTCTTACCACAGCGCGGCTCGGGATGGGCGTTTACGGCTTTCACGCTTAGCAACTACGTTCGGACTTGATTAGCAGCAGAGTCATAGAGATGAGCCTTGGGACGACGACGGGCAAGAGACATGACGGGGTTAACTTGAAGCAATGGAAACGTGTGATTGCATGATTATTGGGAGTTGCGGGGCTGCTAGCTTTTGGTGTGGTTTCGGAGAGGATCGCCGCTGCTTTTCTCCATTTCTAGTCGCAACCTTATACCATAGATGAAGTCGAATTGCATTAGTTTGGTGTAAGGCCTGTGGGGTTTCAATGGAGTGAGGAGGCTCTCAAGTTGCAGAGGAAGCAAGAGATAGCTGGTGCTGATGCAGCCAGACTACGACAACAGTCTAGGATATTGGGAGATTGATCGAATTGAAGCTCTGAATACCTCCAGGAGGTCGTTTAATTCTTCACAAGATGGACTGAAGTCGAGCTGTCTACTCCCCCGCCTTCTCAAGCTCGTACAGATTCTCCCCCTTCGAATTACGCTCACTCCTGCCAATCATGTGCTGCACATAATTGCAGACGTTTCTCGCGTACTTGACGTCCTTCTCGAACTCAGTAGGCTGCGCCTTGGCGCGCTCTGCGTCACCGGCCCAGGCCTTCAAGTTGGCAATGCCGCTGTGGAACTTCTTGCCCTCGCTCCGGATCACCTCGATGGCGTCGGCGGCCCAGCGGAGGCCGCCGTCGGAGTCGCGTTCGTAGTTGACGACGAGGTCGAGGGCACGGGCGGTGCGGCTCATGAGGTCGTCGAGATCGGCGGGCCAGGGCAGCTCGGGTTTCTCTTTCTTCTTGCTGCCGTTGTCGTTGTGGACCCTAGTGACCGCGGGTGAGGGGGATTGGCTGCGGTAAGAGTCGTCGCGGCGGCCGCGGTAAGAGTCTTCGCGACGACTACGGTAAGAGTCGTGATGATGACCACGGTAAGAGTCGTTACGGCGGTCGCGGTGAGACGGCGAGCGGCTGCGGTTAGGTCGCTCGCGGCGAGATCCCAGAGGAACCGCGTTTGAACCGCGAACAGAGCGGGAGTTAGCTTCAAGGCCAGGGGACCAGCGAGGTGACGAGTCTCGCTGGGGATTTGGATGAGACTTACCATCGTATGAGGGACGGTATGAGTTCCAGTAAGCTGGAGGGTGGCGATGGGAAACCATGGTGGGCGGGTCAGGTGAGGTGAGATTGGGTTGTTGAAGGTGGGTGGATGGGTGAGGGTAATAGTAAAGGTTGGAGACGGGCAATATATATTATCGCTGAGAGAATAATACAGCTTGTGGGAGCTTGCGCCCGTTTTATATGCGGCTCCGTTTGCTACTAGGTGAATGACAAGGTGCACAAGAGCAAGCACGGGACGTCAAAGAGTGAACAGCGACACGAGAACAATAACAATAACATTGCATGAAATTGCAGAAGAACTATCCATTAGCTTACGAAGTAGAAGTGGGATGTGATGCAATCATTCCTGTGCATGCAATACTCTTGGGCACTTGGAGAAAATGGGTGTGAACCTCATGTGCGTGTCTCGGGATGTGTTTGCTGCCTATATATCTCCAAAGAACTTCTTAGTATATTGATGTACACCATACCACTCAAGAACATTCGAAGCAATTCATGAGGTACAATCGGCAATGACTGTTGATTGTTGACAAGATCATGACTTCTAATATTGTTACGACACAGAGGCTTTGTGATGCTGTGGAAATCGGGACGCCTACATTTTACCCCAGACATCAAGAAAGGGCGCTGTTCTGGCTCGCAGACTTGTTTTTCAACCTGATATTCTTTGTTGAATCGAAGCTATACAGGAGGCTTACGTTAAGAAGCTCATAGATAAGCTTTCGGCTAGCGCCCGGCTTGGCGATGTATGTCAGCTCCGATTGTGACGCATCATGAGCTTATCTTTTCATCTGTACCTGCATCACTCGATATTATGAGTCGCGACTGGCCAATTTCCAAAGCAACAGAGGAGGATGCGGAGGGCATTGCTTCTCTTCTCGCGGGATCATGGGCCGATCCGTTCTCGAGGCTGCAACTTGGAAACGCTGAATCCACTGATTCAGCCACCGTCATGACCCCTCGCATTGCACGACAGCTGAAAGCCCCGGATATGGAAATGTTCATTATACGGGATCCTGCCACAGGAAAGATTGTAGCTGTTGCGCAATGGCAGTTGCCAAAGGACGAGCCTGCGAACAAGGAGACGCAAGAGGAGCGGGACGAGCGACAAGCTCTGGAAGACGAATTGTACATGAAAAGACTACCCGAGCACAGCAATAAGGCGCTTATCATCGAATTCGGCGCTGGTCTGAGAAAACTGCGGGAGGAGTACATCGGAGATGAGAAACATTACCTGCTGAACAACATCGCAACGCATCTGGACTATCGAGGCCAGGGCTTGGCCAGCCGTCTTATCGAGGACATTCTGATTCGAGCAGACGCAGAAAAGACTCTGGTATGTTTGGAGACGGCTAGTGATAATCCTGCGATGAGGATGTACAAGAGGTTGGGCTTTGAAGAATATGGCCAGTTTACCATTGAGGACTTGAGCAAGTTCGCTTCCCAGGAGGAGCTGTACCAGTGTGGTGGGATATCGAAGCATACTCATGTTGTATTCTACAGGCGACCGAAAAGTAGTCCGGAGTAACGTGTGTCCTCACCTTTTCAGCAAACGAGAGTGTGCTTCACGCCGCTCCCCATCCTTTACCAGCAGCTTAATCAATTGCGCTCGGCTTCATCTCTATCCGTATATATCACCACACTGTTTGATGCGGAAATATCTGGAGTGTGTTTCGTGAATCGCACAATTGCGAACTGGTTCCCCCGAAACATTGATCTCATCTTTTCAGTAGTCGCGATTGGCCCACATGTTGCGGATCGGTCCCTCACCTGGAAGTCTCTCTCACCTGCGCGTCAGCTGCGGGAACTACCGACTCCCTGGCTTGTGATACTATTTGGCTCCTTCAAAAACCTCCTAGCCTCCATCACCACAACAGCTTTTTGCGATCCAGCGCAGTGGCATAGTTGCGCCAGTGGTGCCTCTCACAGTGCCTTAGTATCGTAAGTTTGACACTGTCATCTCCCATATGCCTCTTGATTTGCAAGCTTGCAGAATATAGCCTTGCTGATGTGGCTACAGCATTACACCAAAGAACGAAGACATCTTCCCTCATGAAGCAACAAGATCGAAACGAGTCTCCGCTGTTCGAGCCTGGGCAGCTCGCAGCAGAAGCGGGTGAGATTACACATCCAGCAACCGCACCAATGGCGACGATGTACAACAAAGCGAAGACTTCCACAACCACAAGTTTCAATTTGGCCTCAACATACTCTAGAAATGCGGAATCAAATGCGAATACACCCGGAAAGCGAAAAGGTAACTGGGCTCACTTGCAGTGTTGAACCTCGCTAACTGATCCAAGTACGGCACACGCTCCTCGACGTGGCCGCTCATTTTGCAGAGCTAGATAGGATGATTGAAAACGGCGAACTCGAGAACGAGATTCCGGCTTACGACCCTACCGAGGAAAAGCTCCCTGCTGACAAAGTTTCCGTCTTCAGACCGGGGTTCACGAATGCTTTGTTCCTTATCAAGCACAAGGTCGCTCAGCGCATCTTGAATGCTGTACAGGCTCTCAAATTGAAATGCCCGAGTGCGGAGCTAGATCACATGGAGCAGAGAATCAAGAAACTCCTGTCTCCGTCATTCGGACGTCCTGTCAGCGTCGGGTGGAATGGCGATGCAGGAAAAGGCAAGACCTCTAGTATCAACGCTGTTCTGAGTGTCGCAAACTTGGCCCACACTGTATGCATTTCAAAATGAAAGTCAATGCCTTTTAGCTAACGTGTCGCGCAGAGTTCGGGTAGCGTTGCCACATATGTGCCAGTCGAGTACCTACCTTTAGGTGATCGAGAGGCCCCATATGCGTTCGAGCCTAAGATTTGCTTACCAGAGGAAGCTCTTAAATGTATTAGAGATTACTGGGAAGATTACTACGGAGGCATGCTCTCGGACGACAAAGATGAGGACGATATGGGAGCAACTGACGCGGTGAAGCCCGCTCGAGATGCTTTCCTAGCTCTGTTTTCCGACATCAAGCAGTTCGCAAACGAAGAGACCTTGGACGACTTCCTTGGCCAAGCGACTTCCATCGACGATCCAAAAATCCTGTCCAAGCTTCTCAAATGGGGCAAAGAGCGATACGACAAGCTCTATCAGATTCTTGCCATGCAAAGGGGACGTGCGTTCGAGGCTCAAACACCAGATGATTTGGGAGAAATCATGAGACCGTACCTGCAGACTGCCACGGACCCTTGTTTTGAGGGACATGAGAACTTGGGGCTCAAGAATTCGGTGTGGCCGTTCGTCAAATTTGGCCGGTAATTTAATACCTTCCAGGGCGTGAACAGAGTTTGGCTAACTCGAGGCAGTGTGTCGTTGAACCATCCACTTTTGGATCACATAATCATAGCAGATCTAGCCGGTCACAATGACTGTAACAGGCAGCGCGTTCGTCTCACTCAGAACTACATCAAAACTTGCCAAGTTGCGGTAATGGTGGACGAGGTCAAAAGGGCTGGTGATAATGAGCCCTTCAAGCAAAGCATTTTCGAAGTATGGCGGAGAAGGCGCGGAGACAGTGTGGTAGTTGTCTTGACACATACAGATGTAAGGTCTTGTCCCACTAAGTCTGAGATCTAACAATTGACTTTACAGGACATTGGCGACGACGCTAGTTGCAAACCGCCTCTTGAATTAGATGAACAAGATGCTCTAGACTCGTTGAAAGCTCATAAGATTGTCTATGAGCAGAAGTGCAAGAAGATCGGTGCAAAGTGCAAAGAGCCCGCATACAAAAAGGACCCCGCACTACGTGCAGAACTTAATGATCAAAGGGACAATTACAAGTAAGTTCGACGTTCGACGAAGATCAGGCTGAAACCAGCAGGACTAACGTAGTATAGGGCACATGTTACGCATGCTACCATACTGTAAGTTCTTCCAAGTCTCTCATGTAGTATTTACCATACTAACCAAGGCGAAGAAGGAAGCGAATACTTATCGGGGCACGCAACCGACAAGTCAAGACTGCTCTGAAGACTTGGTTTCGTGATAAGACAGGCGTCAAGGTGCCCTTATCAGTTTTCTGCGTAAGCACGACAAAGTACATGGAACTCATTGAGCCGGACGATGAGCGGACACTGAAGGATCCGCCCGTATTTACACCAGAGTCTACTGAGATCATTGCGCTCCGGCGTCATCTGCTAACCCTGGTCAACAAGCGAGGGCAGGAGCAGAGTATAGTCAACTATTACAGGCTTGTCAAACATCTTCTGAACGAGATGTCACTGGCGTGTACTGGGTTCAAGCCCATGTGCAACCGAAATTCCTTGATCAGGTTCATTCAGGAGGCCCATGAGAGCCTGCCGGACCTGTGTCGTCAACATCGTCTGGGCTTCACAAAGTTGCTTGAACCAGTTCTAGAAGTCTTCAGCAAGTCCATGCAGGAGTGGCTCCGAAAGGCTGAGAGCAAATGCGAAAAGTTTGGCAACTACAATGCGAACAGCTACGGGACTTTTCTCAAACGCCATGGTGTCCACAAGCGTCCGAACCAAAAGAAGGAGAACTGGAACCTAACGCTACTGGATTTTGCTCTGGGCGAGTTGGAACCGTTACTCACCATTCTTTGCAGCCAAGGACGCAAAACCTTTGCTAACGACCTGATGCAAGCGTTCCATAATCAGATGGATGACTTGGAACGCGAACTTCGATTTAAGCTCGATCAGACTCAGATCAAGTTGTTTGGCGAGTTCTTTGAGAACCTTCAGCTGCAGAACAAGCAGCTTGAAGTACTCGTACGATCGGCTGTACGCACATTGAAAGAGGGCCTGTTGTAAGTCGGCATCACATCACATGCCAGCACCAGAACGAACTGACAAGAATCAGGAAGGTCGGGCACGAGGTGACCTCGCTAGAGGCGAAGGGAAATCCTTTCCTCCGGCACATGAAGCATACGTACACTTCCATCATGGAGCAATATCCACCCAAGAGCGGCAAGCCCGCGGTCCACATCAATCGGCGCACCATGTTCAAGAAGGCCGTGACCGACCCGGTGTCAGGGCCATACCAGGCGATCAAGACGCACATCGAGACGCAGGCCAGTGTGTTGCTGCAGACTGCCGACTCAGCGCTCAAGAAAGGCTGTGACGAGATTTTCGTCGAGATCTTTCACAACTTCGACCAGATCTGTCCGGAGCAGGAAGACTATGCATTCAAGGCTCTGGAGCGCGGCAAAGAGCTTAGGGGAGATATCGAGCAAGCAAGGCAGGTGTTGGAGGGCGAGGTGAAGGAGGCGCTGCTCAGCGCTGGCATCAAGGTTGCGTGAGCGATACTCGGGGAAGAAGCAACGGGGTTTTTCGCATTGAACATCGGTCCTATTTCCCAGTATCCAGCGGTTCATTACACTGTTGACGTGTATTGTTTTGGCTTCCACAACGAGATGGTAAGATGTGGGGTACGATGCGAGATCAACAACACAATGTGCGAAGAATGACGTGCAGACGCCAGACGTGTGTGCATGGCATGCTGCGAGTGAACGACTGCGGGGCCGGGAGCAAAGCATAACAATAAGCCGGCACCCCGAAGCAGCCAAAGCACAACAGAATGCAGCTGGTCGTGCCGTGGCGTTTGTTGATATGTGCAGACCCTGGTCTGGTTGCCCTGGTTAAGAAGGCACGCTAAGCCTGCAAGCTCCGGTTCGCGCGACTGCCAGCCACACAAAACAACTCTCTCTCCCCAGTCCGACAACACAGACACGGTGCCCTGACGTGCTCGCCCTCGCTCAATTGTCTCTTTGTGCCTCTTCTCTTGCCCAACGAAGCCTTGGACTCGCATGATGGCTGCTGCATGAACGTGCCGCATCCTCGACCTGCCTCCTCAGTCGCGTCGCGCGGCCCCTCCCAGCGTCTTCCATCCCACCAACCACCAGACCCATCGCCTGCTGCCGGCCTCTACGCATGTCCGCAGTAGCTGTCCCCCCTTCTCCCCACGTCCCTGGCGCCATGTCGAACCGCCGCATGCCGCTGGCTAACCTGGGCAATGCCACCAACTCCCCTCTGCGCGCGACTGCCGTGGGAGGGAAGCGCCAACGATCCCACGCGAGCGAGCAGCGCGATGTCTTTTACGGCCAGCCCGCACAGAAGAAGCAGATCATCGAGGTCGACGATGCAGAGGCACGTCGTCACGGCCTCGTCCGCCGCACCGGTGCCCCTCAGACGGCCTTGACGAGGAAGCTCGAGGCCGCACGCGAGACCAAGATGGCGCCCAAGCAGGCCCAGCGCACGCAGAATGACCTCGACACGATCCGCCAGTGGCAGAAGCACTACAAGCGCCTGTTCCCCCAGTTCGTCTTCTACTTCGACAGCGTGTCGGCTACCCAGAAGGACAAGATCATGAGCAGGGCTCAGATTTTGGGTTCGGTATGTCGGGTTGCTTCTTCTACCGCAATGCACATCTAACATTGCACAGCGCGAGATCACCTTCTTCTCCAAGGAAGCCACCCACGTTGTCACGACGCGTCCCATTCCTGCCGACATCGACTCCAGCTCCTCGTCAAACGCCAAGGGTACCGTCAACCCCAGCCAGCTCGAGAACAAGCGGTCCGCCTTCGATGCCGCGCTGCAAAAGTCGAGCTCCCGTGGAGATGCCGTCCTGTATAAGGCGAAAGAGCTGGGCATGAAAATCTGGTCCGTGGACAAGCTGCAACGCATGATCGAGACCATGTTCAACAGGGAGACGGGCGAGGATCCAGCCAGCGTCCAGACGCGTCATGGTGCAGCCGCCGCCCAGCAAAAAGGACGTCCCGCCGACCTCCAGAGACTGCTACAGAACGAGAAGCTGGACCGCGACTACACCGTTGCCTCGCAGGAGCTTATTCCGCTGCGAGGATACTACGTCTACGTACATGACATGGACGAGTCCACGCGACCTGTGATGATCCGGGAGTATCAAAAGGTGGAGAAAGAGAAGGGCAAGTGGCCGCAGTTCCGTGCTTCGGGTAACGGCAAATGCCCATTCGTGGATGATCCTCACTTTGGTCGCCGGCAACAACAAGAAGAGGAGGCTCGCCGTCAACAGAGGGCCGCAGCTGCGGCGGCACCACGCACGCGGGCTGCGTCTGCAATGGAAGGCAAGCTTGCTTTGGGCGAGAACAACAACCTTGCGAGACGACCCAGCGCACCTGCTACCTTCGTCAAAGCCGAGGATGAAGATGCGAAACCCCTAGACCCTCCCAAGGGCGTTCCCACCAAGCGCGCCAGCACCGATGGCGTACCTCCCATGTTTGGCAGTGCTCAGGCAAACATTCGAGCAATGCCGCGTTTCATTGCCGGTGAACCCATTGCCTCTGGTCTCCAGGCTTCCAACATCACCTCGGCCATCCAATCCCAGATGATATCCTCTACCGCTGCGGCGCCCAGAGCTGGAAACAGCAAAGAAGTGAACGCCTTGAAGCGAAAGGTGCTCGAGAAGAATAGTGTCCCTTCTGCCAATACGAATAGCGGTCACTCGTCAGCCATGAACGATGTCCGAGCTATGCTCAACCAAGAGCACGTGCCACTGATGCGCGCAGCCAAGCGCAAGGCACAAGAGACCCTTGGCCTTGGACAGGAAGACGAGGACACAGAGAAACAAGCACGCAAGGTGGCAGCTTTGCGTAGACGTAAGACTGTCGAGAAGGAGCTCAAGCCTGGCTACTGCGAGAACTGCAGGGAGAAGTTCAATGACTTTGACGAGGTACGTCTGGCCACGATGCCTTCCACTTGCCCAACTAACACATCTGCAGCATGTTGTATCACGCAAACATCGCAAGTTCGCCATGACCACCGAGAACTGGGTCGAGCTCGACCAGCTCCTTGCCCAGCTCGACCGTCATTGAGCTTCACAACGAACACGCTGCATTCCTAACGGCATTGATGCACGACCTAATACACACGACACACCTTTTTCTTAATTCCACGTTCAATTCATCCGAGCACTTCGGTGCATTTACTCTGCGAGCGAATACCCGTTATACCGCATTCTGGGCTCTACAGCATTTCCGAGGCGCATCTTCTTTTTTCTTTTGGCGGCATAGCTCTGGGTACGATACCCGTGGTGGCGGTACGATTTCCGATTTGGAGAGGGGAGTGGAGGTTGATGAACGATGCATGTGTCATTGTATATATCTATTGTGGTAGTATGGCCATTGCGGTCTTGTTTTGGTCAGTAACTGTTTGCAACGGCAAGCGGGCTGGCTCGTGTGTTGGAAAAAACTAGGGGTTGAAGTACATGGAGGTTTGAAGGATATCCTCAGAAGACGTGGCAGTGGAATGGAAGAAGAAGACCCGTAACACGATGAAAGTCGATAATATATATCCCTATCGTATCAGATATCTTTCTAAAATATCAATGCGACAGTCGAAGTCAACATGGGCAAGCAAGTGCGATTGCAAAAGTGACGTGGTTGGAGCAGCGGGGTTGTGATTGGCCAGGCGGGCGTTTACACATGCGACTTCCTCTTTCCCTCTTACACTCCATCTACCGAACTCAAACTTTGCCTCGCTATCCACATCTCTTTCTTAACTTTTGGTCTTTCGAGTTCAGCCTGCTTGTCCCGCACATCGATCTGGTTTCCAGCCTGGACTCTACCTACCCTACACAAACATGTCAGCCCAAGAAGAACGAATACCAGAAGACGACGACACGACCGAAGCGCCACTCACCATGGCCGCATCCGTCGTCCTGACAAATCTCCCGCGCGACGCATCCAAAGCCCTCGAAACAGCGGGGAGTTTGAACGTGCAGAAAAGTATGTCATTCTTACCATCCCTCCCACACACCCTCCAATCATCCACTACTTGTCTCCCCTTCGAGCTTTTGATTTCCACATCCATGATTCCCCCCATGTGTTTATATATTGACGCGAATTAGTAACAGTCCGTCTGCACCCCATCGGCTCCGCGCCGGCGCTCACGCAGCGCGTCTTCAAACTTAGCACGAACCAGCGCTTCGACACGATTGTGCGGTTTCTGCGCAAGAGGCTGGGTGTGAAAGAGCATGAGAGTGTGTTTTGCTATGTGGGGAGTGTGTTTGCGCCGGGGCTGGATGAGGGGGTTGGGGGGCTTTGGTCGGTGAGTTGTGATTTTTATTTTATTTTGTGTTTAGAAGGGAAGGGAGGCGAGGGCTAATGTGTGAGGTGTAGTGCTTTAAACAGGGAGAGGAGTTGGTTGTCGGGTATGCTATGGCACCGGCTTTTGGGTGATGGGAAAGATGGTTGGAGGGGTCTGGATAAAGGCTGGTTGCAAGGTTGCATGAATTTATCAAGGTATCGAGGGCATCACTCGCTCTATCAAGATGATCGGTCATGTACTCTCCCAAGGCACCTTCTCCGGTACCCTCCCCAGCACCAAATCTCTAACCCCCTCCTCCAACCCCTCCACCAGCTCATCCACGATGCCCTCATTCCATCCCCTCTGCTTCCTCTTCCCACTCAACTTCTCCCCCGCCCCAAGCGGATCCTCATCCCACAGCGCATACCCACTCTTCTCCTCCCCCTCCAACGTCTCATCCAGCTCCCCGACCGCCATAACTGGATCAATCCCCTGCACATTCACCCTGTCCTCGGGCCACCTAATCGCCGTCGCATGCAGTTCCAGCACCCTCCGCGCCTTGAACGCATGCGTAACAACCCTTATCTGCCTCGGATACCCCCCCGTCGTCCGCCGGAAAAGCAGTATACTAAACAGCAGATTCTGCAACGAGTCGGTGGCATGTTCTTCGAGTAATATACGTCCCCTGGCGAACAAGGCGTGCGTTTTCCCGCCGCCCAGGTGATTCTGCTGGAGTTCAGACGCAAGTAGCGCGTGGTAGTATGATCTTGCTTCACTCATATCTGTCCCTTTTTTCGTCCTGCCGCCACTAAACACCAAGAGATTCTTCTCGAGATCGACGTTATCGGGGTGGATTGATAACGCATCCAGGCCAGCCTGCGCGTGTGCTACAAAGGTCGATTGCTCGCCTGGTTTCCCTGTTTCCGGGTTGGATTTCTGAAAGGGCGCGAGCAGCCAGTTGCGCTCGTCGTGGGGGCTTTTCAAAGGGAAGTCTGCGTCCGAGGCGCCGGGGAGGTAGATGGCGTGGCAGCAGACGATTATTAGGTCGGTGAAGCCGCTGTAGTTGCGGCGGGTGATCACGTGGTCTGGGTGCTTGAAGTCTGGGTTGGTGGCGGTGGGGAAGGCATCTTCGGCTTGCTGGTGTGCGGAAGTTGCGTGGCCTGATGCTGAGGTTGTTGTGTCTGATGTTGTGGTGGGTGTGGGATTGGTTAGTGCGGAAGATCCGGTTTTGGACTTTGGTAGGGTCGGGGCGGCTGAGGCCATGGGGTGAGATCTTAGATGTTGATGCTGACCGTAGAATGCTTGATTGATGACACGGGCGTGAGAGGGTGAGATTTGGAAATGCTTGTCTTGATGTCTGTCAGTCAGAGTGCACAATACGAGACAGTAATAATTGGCATACATTTGACCCTTCTGTCTACAAAATTATGACGCCGAGTTTTGTGGTTGGCGGAAAATGTAATGAAGATACTGAAAATGCAATCGCGATTACGCTTTTCGAAATGTTGACATTCGATAGGAAATCTGAAGGCTATGACGTGCAACGCGCACGCGATGGTGGGCTGCACCTCCCCGCATTGTTGAACCAAGGCCGCTTTCGATTCAACAGAACGATACAAGCTACTGCAAGTTCACAAAACAGACAGGAATTTGCTCAGGAAACGATTGCATGAAGCTCTACATGGTCTTTTCAGTCTTCAAATGCGACGGCAATATCCCGCGTGTAGCTTCAGGCTAGGTCTGCTGCCACCTACTGCACCCTGGTAGCTTTCCGTTGTCGTTAACAATACGTCGTGCTCAAGCTCCGCACCGAGATGACAGCAACGCGCCGTGCCGCTCGAGGACGGATCTGGCACAGTGTTCGGAAGCAGAATTATCGGCGCGATCGTGTGTCGATAGTCTGCCTCAGCGGCAGCATACGACGTACGGAAATTTTGGACCGAGCTATGGCCGCTTCTAGCAACGTTGGACCAGCGCCTCGCTGTACCCAGCACAGACACGTTGCTTCCAGCAGAAAGGATAGACAGGAACCGTTGCTGCAGGAGCGGTTGCAAGCATTCGATTGCCCCTTTTCGAGGTAGCAATATCTGAAAAGGCAAGACTAAAGACTTTTTCATGCAAGCCGAGATGCGCAGGGCTCGACAAGGCCAGCGCCAGCGATGCACAGTGGTGCATGTACCTTCAATTAGAGATGGCCCGACACGCGACGTGATGTAACCTTGTCGGGAAAAGCGACCTACCATGCGCAGGCGAGATGGTCGCTAGGATGCTGCTCCATTTGGCCCAGCAAGATTGCTGACGTAGACAGTGCAACGTCTAGCTCGAAAGAGGAGAAGGGCCGCGCAGCATCCAAGTTTCTCATAGGCCGGCCGTATGGGGGAAGAAAGCGGAGGGGGTGGGAGACGCGAGCCTCGTGGTCGAACACACTGGCAAACTATGTGCATTCACGGCTGCACGCTGCACGTCTGCTCTTCTAGCAGCGGTGAGGTGGTCAGTGTCTCGGATTAGAATTTGTTCATTGCGGTTAGATCAAACGGGAGAGGCGACTGTTGGGTGAGGCTGAGCCAGGCGGAGGCGTGGAGCTGACAAGGCCCTGTTCTAAGAATAACCGGCCGCCAGCTAACGCCACAGCTCGAGAGACAAGGTCGAGTGCAGGCAGAGGTCGTGTGGCCGGCAACAGCGGGCATCTGAGTAGACGATCAAAGCGATAGTCGAGCGATCGGCGGTTCTCGCGTTGCAGCACGACGAGTAGGCGTACACATTCTTTCATAAAGGGCTGCCCGCCCGCACTGTGAAACCCAAACGGCTGGTTGCTTCGACCAACCACCAGCATTCCTGCGTTTCAGCGACAGAGCGCGCCAGGACCGAAAGAGCCTAGCCCTGCCTCCGAGCTGAACTCCCTGAAGAGAGCGCCTCAGACATCCTCGCGCCTTTTATTATCCAGCGCTCCCCACAAGTGCGCCATTCTTTTTGAATTCCATCTCCTTGCATCGACACACCACCCACCGCTCTATTGTACGCCATCGCCCCGAGTGCAGCCCCGACCCGCTGCCCACCATGGCCTACAACAACCAGGCCTACGGCGAGCCACACACCGGCGTACGTGCCCCTGATGACGACGCCGCCCTGAGAGCGAACCGTGAATGCTAACCGCGGCTGCAGTACGACCGCAGGGACGAGGACGAAGTCGCCCGCTCGCTGCTCCACGAGAACCCCACGGGCGCCCACCCAGACCCCTTCTACGGCCATCCCGCCGAACAGCGCCCACACTCCACATACAGCCTGTCAGAGACATATGCCACCGACAGGCCAACGCAGTACCCGGGACAGGCCCACGAGGGCTCCGACGTCTACTCGGCCACCGGCGGCTACGACCCGGCCTCGGACTTTGGCGCACCACAGCGGGCTCCCTCGCCCTATGCGAGGAGCGAGACCAGCTCCACCGCCGCATGGAGGGAGCGACAGCAGCCCGGCGGTGCCGTTGCAGCAGCCGGCGGCCTCAAGCGCGGCATGACCCGTAAGGTCAAGCTTGTGCAGGGCTCCGTCCTCAGTGCCGACTACCCCGTGCCCAGTGCCATCCAAAATGCCATCCAGGCCAAGTACCGCAATGACCTCGAGAGCGGCAGCGAGGAGTTCACCCACATGCGATGTAAGTTGTGACAGTCTTGACGTTCCCCGTTTTGAAGTGCCGCTCTGACAGCTGCTAGACACGGCCGCGACGTGCGACCCCAACGACTTCACGCTAAAGAATGGCTACAACCTGCGTCCGGCCATGTACAACCGCCACACCGAGCTGCTCATTGCCATCACCTACTACAATGAAGACAAGGTCCTGACTGCGCGTACCCTCCACGGTGTCATGCAGAACATCCGCGACATTGTGAACCTCAAGAAGTCCGAGTTTTGGAACAAGGGTGGTCCGGCTTGGCAGAAGATCGTCGTGTGCCTTGTTTTCGACGGTATCGACCCCTGCGACAAGGGCACGCTCGACCTGCTCGCCACCGTCGGCATCTACCAGGATGGTGTCATGAAGAAGGACATTGACGGCAAGGAGACGGTTGCTCACATCTTCGAGTACACCACACAGCTGTCCGTCACTCCCAACCAGCAGCTCATCCGCCCGCACGATGACAGCGCCAGCACCCTTCCCCCCGTGCAGATGATGTTCTGCCTGAAGCAGAAGAACAGCAAGAAGATCAACTCCCACAGATGGCTCTTCACTGCCATTGGCCGCATCCTGAACCCCGAAGTCTGCATTCTGCTCGATGCCGGTACCAAGCCTGGCCCCAAGTCGCTGCTCGCGCTCTGGGAGGGTTTCTACAACGACAAGGACCTCGGAGGTGCCTGTGGTGAAATCCACGCCATGTTAGGAAAGGGCTGGAAGAACCTCCTCAACCCCCTCGTCGCCGCACAGAACTTCGAGTACAAGATCAGTAACATTCTCGACAAGCCGCTGGAATCGTCCTTTGGTTACGTCTCTGTGTTGCCCGGTGCTTTCTCCGCCTACCGCTACCGCGCCATCATGGGCCGACCTCTCGAGCAGTACTTCCACGGTGACCACACCCTCGCCAAGATCCTCGGAAAGAAGGGTATTGAGGGCATGAATATTTTCAAGAAGAACATGTTCTTGGCCGAAGATCGTATTCTCTGTTTCGAGTTGGTCGCCAAGGCCGGCTCCAAGTGGCATCTTACATACATCAAGGCTTCAAAGGGTGAAACCGATGTGCCTGAAGGTGCTGCAGAGTTCATCGGTCAGCGTCGTCGTCTGGTTGAACGGTTCCTTCGCTGCCGGTATCTACTCCCTGCTCCATTTCGGCCGCATGTACAAGAGTGGCCACAACCTCGTTCGCATGTTCTTCTTCCACATTCAGCTGATCTACAACATGTGTCAAACGGTCCTCGCAATGGTTCTCTCTGGCTTCCTTC